AGTCCCAACCCTTGTCGAGGTGGATCATGATCTTAGGCTTGGGGTTGAGGGAAGAATCCTTGATACCGAATGACGCAGAGTTGAGAAGTCGACCGATGTTGTAGAAGGACTTGGTCGAACCGGTGGGGAAGAGAAGACCAGCAGTGATCTCGTTACCGATGGAGATGATGGAGGGCTGGACTCCAGCAGATTGAAACGCGTTGGAGACCTGGAGGGTATAGTTGTAAAGTCTCCAGGCAAGATCATCAATACCAGTCGGCCAGCCAGAAGGAATCTTTTGGTTAGCCGGATCAGCCCAGGTGTCGCTGAAGTGCAGAGTCAGGTAGACACTCAAGCCAGCAGCCTTGGCACGCTTGGCAAGCTTGAGGTTGTAGTCGAGGTTGTAGTCGCCGTTGGATGGGTTCACCCAGACGCGCTGTCGGACCGAGTTGACGCCATTTGCGACCAAGATCTTTTCGAGGGACTGCGATGAGCCTCCGTTGGTGTACTTGATTCCCTTGGCCTCTTCAAGGAGTAGGGAAGACCAATCGACACCCCGATAGGTCAAGGCCGAAAGGGCCAGAGAGCAGTATGAAATAAATGCCAAGAACCGAAGAGCCACCATCTTGTCGTCCGTATAGGTTCAGTGTCTATCAATTCAGAAAGACAATTCGTTTCAACCAGCGACCACGTCTTTTAAGTAGTCTCGGTTCACGGACCTAAAACCCCGTGGTCCGATTTTGGCATGTAACATTGCGACTAGGATGTTTGTTTCTCCTCCAATCAAGGGTCCATATTACGTCGCGCTATAGTGTTTCACTGCTTTTTTTCCGTGAAACTCAAAGTCCTTAATAATGCCTCGTATCAAATAGGAGGTTCGTTAGCTTCGGATAGAGGACCTGATGAATAAGTGGCCAATCGGAGGTTGTGAGTCCGTTACAGGACTGGCTCCTCCGGCTCACACCGCCTAGGAATATGGTGTGTCTATCACGGAAGGCACGGCTTCATAGACTTTTCGAGATGATACTTTTTTAGAGCCAGTTGGGACGACTTGGGAGTTTTGTATCGCCGAGATGAGCCCGAAATATCACATCAGCTTCCTAATTTGATTTCAGCAGCTTAAGTAGTTCTTGATGAAGACAAGAGAATTAACCAATACTTTGTCTTGAGCACGCGCATTTAGACTATTCCTTAACAGTCTAAACACTGCCACACCCCGTGATCGTTGAATGTAGATCTTTGAGGTTGCATCCGCGATCCGCACCAATGACTACCGACATCTGAACGGCACATTCGGCAGGGTTGATTTGTCACTTCAGATTCCCGAGCTTTATCGGTGTCATTTCATTTCCGGGGAAGACCATCATTTCCTTTCTGGGTAACCACCTCTCAAACTTGGGAAAATGCAGCTGCAGGGTCACCGTCTTAGCATTGGGATATGATGCTGTGATGTGTTGACAATGTGTTCTTTGTCAGGGGAAACACCCAGCCCTTGATGGGTTGAATAAGCCAGAAGATCGCAGCTGCAGGGCGCTCAAGATTAAGGTGCTTAATTAAAATCTATCGCTCCGGGCAGAACACTACCGTGCTCATCTACTTAATTCTCTGGCTTAGACTGTAAGTCATAGACTTTCTATCTGTGGTGTTGTATGATTTAGATGTCTAAGGTTTGTACGCGAGTAGCAGTCCCTATTTGAGTCTAGGATGGCAGCTCATGAATCGAAAGATCTTGTTAATATTAAGACCGTGGATAGATTCCCAAACATCAGTGTTCTGGATCCCCCACATCTATACCACCTCTTGAAAACTGGTTGGAGGCTGTGTGGGTTTTCTGGGTTTGCTTGAATAAACACCGTCAAATTCAATAATTGCAGTTCCCCACGACTAAGACCTCGGCTCTGAACGGGACGTCCGATTTTTACTAACTTGGAACATACGTGATCTAAAACTTGGCGTCTTTGTTCCATATTAATTAGCCTAATACTATTGAAAGAATCAAGGAAATGTTGTTAGATGAGTTGTTGGAATTGCAACTTACCTACCCTAGGGCTCGACAGAGCTCATGCGGTGCAGTTCGGAGCAACTCTCAGTCCGCATAAGGTGACAACACAGGGTACCTCATTTGATTTTCCAAATATATATTTTGCACTCGAATGCTTAAGCTCAACTTGAATAAAACAAGAAGGCCCCGACGGCTGAAACTGAACCCTTGCATCAATCAACCCCTGGTTTACCCGAATGGTAGAAAGATTCAAAGACTACATTACAAATTAAACGATCTTGGCATTAATTAGGGAATTATTCGTCTAGATTAGTCCTTTTAGACTCCGTGATATGCTTTTGTAACAACACCCAGCTCAATCTCACTCGCGGGTTTGTCCCCATTCGTACTGCTCGCTGAGCCATGCTCCTCCCCAAACGCCGCTCTATCAAGTCCAGCCTGTTGTTCTGTCGGTGAAGAAACACGACGTCCAGTTTCCAGCTCGTTTGTCGTAACAGTGACCTCGTTCTTCTGGTAAATCTTGAGCGGAATGCTATCCCCGCTGTTGATCTGTTCCTGACTCTCCGAGATGCTGAGTCCTGGCTCGTGGCTCGTTCCCAGCCTCGTTCTCCGTTCCTCGCGTGTGACGCTGGTGAGATTTCCGTAATTCGACCTGAAGCGGGAAGTAGCCTCGCCGGTGCGCTGGCCTGATGATTTGCCGTATCTGGCAGCGAAAGAGCCCAGTCTGAAGACGCGTTGAAGAAGTGTCCATGTGAGGGGGAGGTTGGCTGTGATGATGGCTGTAGATACTTCGCGGATGTACCAGTAGATCCACTCGCTGCCGTATGGATCTCCAAGACTGTAATATTTGCTGAGAGCAGCTGCCAGGATCTAGTTGACAAGGTTAGCATTACCGACTTTTAGAATTCGGGCCGTCTCAGGACATACTGTGAAGATTCCCAGTGCGAAAACACCGCACAAGACAACCTTTCTCTTGATGGCAAGCTGCGACTGCAAAAACACCGGCATCGGAAGGGCGATAATCATAATGTCGGAAGAAATGTTCATGACGGCGTTGGTAATCATGTGATTGGTCTCTGCTGAGCAGTTTACTAGATTCAAAGTTAGTCGAACTGAACATGCAATAGTGGCAACATCAGATGTTCTTACAATCTTGAGGCGGAACTTGCCAGTAGTGGCTGAAGGGTCTGCACCAAGCGGCAAACCACAGGATCTGCATCACGACAAATCCCAAGACGACGTATCCGGCAACGATCTTGACAAAGAAGTTTTGCCGCAAACTCAGGCTGTCGCATCATTAGTATGGTATCGTCAATAAGAGAGGAGGAAATACTCACGTCAGTCGACCGTACATGAACAAGAGACAGCCCTTGACTCCCCAAAGTGTAAACATCTGCATCTGCTCGGTAACCAAGACGAGCTTGGATCCGAATTCTCTGTCGGCAATATCCTTTCTGTCACTGAGATCAATCTTTTCTCCGGGCTGGATGAGGTTGGTTGGCGTATATGTCAATACTTTGACAATGACCAACAATATTGTATACGTGATCTAAAATTGTTAGCGTGATGAAGAATGGGGTCGTCTCTGTGTTGGAGCTTACCATGGTGAAAACCATGAGGTAATCATCAGCCAACATGTTCTTCCATGATCCCAGTAGCATTCTTCTCGAGATCCTAGATACGCGTTAGATCTGGAAGCGAACTGTCAAAAAAAAAAAAAAAGTAAAAAGAAACGACTCACATTCTCGAGAGAACCACCACCAGGGTCAGGGCGTACCACGCCCACATCTCAGTGTCGAGATTCGACATGTTGATCGACAGAATGCAACCTCACGAGCTGCCATCCAACAACTTTGAAAAACGGGACGCAAAACCTCGGGGCGTGGAAGCAAGGGGGAAGCTGGGGATTTTGAGACCCAGATTTCTTTACCCTGAGGACGCACAAGGCACAAACACGCGTCAGTTAAACTCCTTCCAACTGGGGCAACGATCAAGAATAGCAAGGCATGACTTGGAAAAAGACCCAATTTTCACTCTCAGACCTCGAAAAGTCATCCCATCCAACAAACGCCCGGACATTATCGGCGTCCCCTGTTTTTGTCTTCCTTGCTAGCGTTGGCGGCATGTCGACCACCTGCCAACTGCGAGTCAGAGGCTTCTCGATACCCGCCCACTAAATCGTTCTCGACGCCTGTGGAAGCTGGACCGAGCCCCGAGTTAGCGTCTGGTGAGACGCGCTATTACACAATTCGGGGTCTAATCCCGACTTATCGAACGCCACGAACTGGTGGGTTTTCGGCCGGTTCGGATCAAACTGAGCGAATTTGTTGGTTCACGTACGGAACCCCTGGATGTCATCGTGGAGCCTCAAAAAGCAATAGACCCATCATCAGTTGCGCAATCGGAGCAACGTCTTAGATTCGACACGTGGCGAGGGCCTGTTAGAGTTGAGATGCTCCTGGCAACGGATCCATTCGACCCAGATAAGAACCTTTCCATCGGAATCCAGGGGCCCCAGGAACAGAGTCGCATCGGAGGAGAGGCTCAGATCAGGCTGTTCGTAATTGCATGATGTACAGGGGTTTCTTGTCAGAGCGGGTGAGCCTTTCATTTTTGGGAGTGGCATGTCGCTTGGATCTCCAAGCGAGGCCACATCTTGATGGGGTCTCTACGTTGAACAGGCCACATTACGACCTTGTTCACGGCTGTCACGGCCAGGGCTGAGAAAAACTCTGATTGCCGAAGTTATTCCTTCATCCCCAGTAGGGTAAGTTCGGTCTATAACTACCCGACCGAGAGAACGCCATGCCGGGACTGCTGACGCCACCCGTTCCTGGTCAACATTCCAATTCTTGGCTTTTTTCAAGCCTCAAAAGACGAATTATCATTGACTGTCAATTTTACACTAAGCGAAATTAATCATACACATTTGATCGAATCACACAAGTTTGTTGGTCCCTCCATGTTTGAAAGCACTGATCACCCATTCCTCGCCACATCTTCAACACCAACATTGTAATCACTCCCATTCCCACCAATCACCAATCACCAAGCAGCCTGTAATCTTGGCCGTAGCACTCTTCCTCGTACTTACCCTGCACAAGCCACGTGACCATGTTGTCTATAACCTCGCCGCCGGTGATGGTCTGCATGAGACACGGTCCTTGAGCATTTCGATGCCCTTGTCAACACCCCTGGCGAGAAACATCTTGGCGTAAGACCAGTCGAAAGTTCACGTGATGGAGAAAAAGGTCCCCCCTTGCGAGGTATTCTTATTCGTGGCTGAACAAGCCACCCTCACTGAACTCGCAAGGCTGCATGGCGACAAACGCAGCCTTTTCGAGCTCGTCGGTATCGTCAAATCGGAGACGCGAGACACCCAGCTTCTCCATGACTTACATCCACCGAGAAGCGCCGTCTAACAACAGTGTTGTTGTAGTTAGCTCACATTTCAGCACATTTTTCAATGTCTGAGCTATTGTCTAGAAGAGGGCGGATGCTGTCGTCGCCTTCACCCCGTCCACGGGTTATCGAGGCCTGTCTTCTTCCACACGACCTTGCAAAGTAAACGAAAATGTAGAGGCAAGCCGAACCCTTCAGCCAGGCCATGTAGTTGTTGATGACACGGGCTTGAATATTCCGCCCAGCGTCGACGAGGGCAGCCAGGGCGTCGCGATTGCAATGTCCGCGGGCCATGGGCAGAGCATGATACAAAGGCATTGCATGATATTTTAAAGAAGACTTGCTTTGAATTATTATTTAGAGTTGCCAGTTTAGGCCTGACAATATCATTTTATGGCTACGGGGTCTCGTAGCCCGCGCGACTTTATGTAGGCACCTAGGTTGTGAATCATTGGCCGCCACTCGTGCCTGTACGGACTTGTGGCTTGCATGACAACTTCTGTTGGGCTGAAGCTGCCCAACCACCGCCATGTTTCGCCCTACCACAACACCGGCTTTGTGACCTCATAGTCCTCCTAGTTCGATCGAAACAACAACTGGTCTAATTCTTCAAAGCAAATGGACTACCAGATACTATTCAGTCGTCGACACGATGAATTACTCGACTCAATGGAATACCTCCCGCCCGCTCCTGGCGTCGCACGTCAGTACGAAGTTATTGAAGTACGGCACGGGATATTGGACAAGGTCAGCTGGTAAAAAAGACGACGAAATCTGTTTCTGACACTGCTTATGTAGAAAGTTGCGCCAGGACACATTCCGGAGACGCAGCTTGAGACTTGGCTCGATGAGGTCCGCGATACACAGCCAATCTACACGACCGCTCACGCTTAACAAATGCAGGAACCAGACCCGCAATCCCTCAATGATGATGTACCCTCGAAGATAAGATCAAGATTCTTGTTAGTTTCCACTTCAAATTGAATTGCGTTCGATGAAGCTCAGGCGTATATTGATGAAGTCCAGGCTGGGGCCGACCCAGGGCTCGAGAGCATATCGCAAGAGCGAAACATTCCCCCACCTCGATTGCTACGGGAGCGACAAGTTGCCATTTTCTCGTACCTCATTCGTAGATATCCTGGAGAGGTTTCGACTGCCCGCTGCCACCCCCATGATGCTGAAATCAAACTCGACGCACTTCCAGATGTACACTATGGGAAGTACGGACCAAGAAACACAAGACCTGGGTTAGCCGCATTCTCTTTAGCGTCATATGTCTAATGCTGATGATGGTGGTTGCAGGTCTCACCATGCGTCTATCTTCGCGGGGCATCTTGGAGCTCGATATTTCAGTATCCATATCATACCAACCCAGTACAGGGGCAGTAAACGCTTTTCTCCACGGGTGCACCAGCGAGCAGCAAACTGAGGTGGGAGAACAACTGCGATATCTCTCCATCTTGACCGGGAACCCCCTCCTCCTTCCTATCATCCTCGCCGAGATGAAGATGGATGCCATCAAGGAGCTGGAGCAGAAACTGTGGGGTGATCTTCTGAGCGTAGAAACACGGAGTGGCCAGACGGGTGCTCCTGCCCTCAATGCTTGGGATAATCAACAAAACGACGGCAGTACCGACTGGGAGAAGCTAGCCGTTGATGCGCTGAGCGTGATGCAGATTGCTCCATTAGCGGAAGACCATGCCCAGGCGCTGCTGGTCACCATCGAGGAGATAAAAAAGATGTTGGATAGATTGGATAACGCAACACAGCTTGGAAGAGGCGACTACATCCGGCAATCTGGACATATGCTCTCAGAGAAGCTGCGGTTTCTATCTCACGGTACGCAAGTAACCATGAGCAGGATCCAGTACATCGTCAAGCGTGCAGAGGCACAGCAATCAGCAGTTCGTTCAAGATCGAAGGAGACACCGGATCATCTGTTGGCTGACGAGAACAAGGTTTACAACTACACAGCACAACAAGACGCCCGGCTCCAGAGTTTTATGGCAAAGCAGTCAAGCCAGGTCGCCCAGGCGGCGAAGCGAGATAGTTCAGCGATGAAAGGAATAGCCGTGCTAACCATGGTGTTCCTGCCCGGGACTTTCATGGCAGTAAGTCTCAGTCTGAAGTTGTTCCCCTACGTTTTCGATAAATGACGACTACTAGACCTTCTTCGCCATGCCCATCTTGGAATTCACTGCCGACTCCCGTTTACCGAATGTGAAACACGCATTCTGGTTGTACTGGGCCATCACCTTGCCCGTGACCACGGCTGTCCTGGCTATCTATCTATCGTTTCAGATGATTAAGGACAAAAGAAATCAGCGGGCTGAGCTTGGAGTGATGGCTGTGTGATAATTGCCTGGACTTACTACTACACTCAATGCTTATATTACGTTACTGGTTGAAGAATAAGCACAAAACTTGGAGGTTCGAACTCTTTTCCTCCAACTACGTAAATCACCATCATAGAGAAGCGGGCGATAAAAGCGTTTGATTATTCTCGCTCAACCTTGATCTCCAAAATCAACTAAAATAACTTCCTCTGAAAGATACTTGTTGCTCGCCTATTGATAAAAGCAGTGGATCAGGATCATGTGTGGTCGGCTTAGAATCAAGGATAGGCCCCCACTCCTCCTGCCTCAATTCTCCAGCACCTTTCCCAGCAATATCCACGGCACCATCCCAAGCGAGTTCTTCATCCGATTCAGGCGGCAGAGTCGGTTGCAGGTCTTCAAAATCCAATGACCCTGCCGATGGGCCGGAGTACGAACTCCCAGCCACAGAGCTAGCGCTCCCGAAAGGGGTCGAGTTGTTGGATGGGAAAGACTGCACATCTTCCCCCCACGGAAGACACTTCAAAGCAAGAAACGTAAGATGATTTTTGATGTGATCTCTTCGCTCATGGTCGGGAACATCCATATTCGCGTTGCAGAGCGGGCAGGACCGAAACAGCTCTTCTCCATTTGCCGGGACGGCAACAGCTGATTCTCTTCTACTGTGGGCGAGCCAGTCTTCCTGGCCGTAGGTCTTGTCTGGCACTGAGCATTTCTCCTGGAGACAGACGTACGCTTTTAGGTCCTCATCGATGTGCTTGCTGATAGAGGAGGGAGTATTAGCTACCACCGTACAAAACCAAACGGGTTTCCTACTACAGTCGCCCAAGTATTTTAGGAAAAAGAATGCGTATACGTACCGCCACATTCTGTCGCTTCGCACCACATCTTCCGAGAGCGACCGGTAGCAGAATGGACAAATATGTTCCGCCCTGCTACTAGGCAAGGGAGGATATGCCAACTCCAGCTCCTGCATGGCTTTCCCCCGCGAAGCCCAGACTTTGGGTGCCACGGACCTTTGTGCGGTTGCAAATGTCGCGGATGCCACGGTCGAAGCGTTGAGGGTCGCCCTGGGCGAACGGATCGGCGGTGCAATAGTTTCGCTGACGCTTGGCACGGGGGTCACGGTATTGGACAGCCTGGAGAGTAATGCTCTGCTTGGCCTGGCTGGCTGCGCGCAATGACGCCACTTCAGATACAGGAAGTGCTGCCGACGCTGCAACATTGCCGTGGCCAAGCGCTCCTGGAGGAACTGGGGAGCTCCCGGGAATTTTCGACTAATTAGCTCCGCTGCAAAATTCTCTTTGAATAGTCTCATGTCCTCTTTTTCTTCATCGGTAAGGCTAGATTCGTAGCTTTTTTCGGACTGGTTCCGACCTGGTGCGAGGCCTCGGAGGGCTTCCCACTTCCCTTTTAGCATCGTAGTCTTGAGCAGACGTTAATCTCTTGCCGACTTTCAATATCATCGGGTAAAGAAAAAACAGGCGGTCTTGTATAAGAGGGACGATTTGGAACCGTCTGGGTGATATGATGTTTTGGGCTTGGGTGACCCTTCAGCCCGACGCTTGTAAGATGTTAGGTATCAAGTCACGAGTGACAGCTGTCCAATAGATTCATCCTCTCCTTGTGCTGTTTCTTGCTCTCCCTATATTACTAACCAAAAGCGATATGAGGGGTGATCTATCTAGGCCACAGTATACATAATCTTACTAGGTAGACACACATAAATCGAAGTATCTACTGTCCACCCAGGTCTCGCATTTTCTGCCGGCTTTGTCCACCGGGATGGCTCCGCATAGTCTAGTCGGGACAGCGAGTGACAGGAATTCTAGGGGCGCATTGCACGCGAGAAAGTCTCACTTATTAATGCCTACTATAGTTTAAAGCGGTCAGAAATAAAGAAGGCAGTAAGATACATATATTATAGACCTTAATTAATAATTTTAATTAATATAATACTTTGATTTTTATATCTTAGTTTTTTTCTTTTACTATTACTATATTTTTATTTAGTTCTTATTTCAAATCCTAGAAAAGCAGTTATAGCAGTAATAAAGTTATTAGTTATGATCTTCCCACTATAGTAAGCAGAAGAGCGGCCTATCATCAGTCCCTATAGCTGCTGCCTGTTCAGGTAGCAAAAAAAGCATTTAGGCATCACTGAGGTAATTATAAAAGCCCTGTTCCAATCTAATTAAAAACTTAGAAAAAACAAACCCGGATTATCTTCCCCTAACCACTACATTAGAGTCCATCCGATGGCTGACGATAGCCCGCTTTCCGTAACAGCCAGTATCGTTGGCATCCTGACCTTTGTCGTCGCACTGATTGCGGGTGTGTATGCGCGAGGAATATGGCTCATGAGCAAGATGCAGTCGGACCTGGCCATTGCTGACGCCTGCTCGTCATCGCGTGAATACCTGAGACAGACGGCCAAACTCGTTTCATCCAACGACGACGCTGAGTCCGCCTATAACATTGAGACACTATATGTTTTGGAAATTGACTTAGTGTGGACATTCGCACGACTTTTGGAACTTTCAGCCGTCCAGAGGATGAGAGAGTGAAATAAAGAGCAACTACATGTCAGCCGGGTGCTCAGAGATATCAGCCAGCTGCTCAGAGATATCAAGGATTTAAATGATAATCTGCGATGGCTCCATTTGGAAGCACATTTGGCATGCTTATCGAAGTGAGTCTCAGTACCGTAACGAAAATTCACATTAATGATTTAGTAGAAACGTCGAGAAAACCCTAGAGCTCACACATCACCGGCAAATCAATACACTACATCCCAGCGACACGCCTCAACAAGAGATCAGTAGAGCGGTGGGACAGACAGCTCCTAAGCATGATATCCCAGCTGCCTTATTTGACCGGGCATTGCGCCGAGTTCGTGCAACAATGGTAACCAGGGACCTGGAGAAACTTATTATCTATTCCTTTGATGACTTAGTTAAGCTTTTATTAGACCTCGACGAGAAGTATTGGAGCCTTGGGAATAGTCGTAGACAATTTTCGCCCTAGTACAATGGGTTAGAGGGATTATATGTGGTCTCCTTGATTCTAGGTTAGGGTATTTCATACGATTTGTACATGCAACTATCACGATGCCAGTGACTGGACAGCCCAATGCTCCTTTAGAACTCAATGTCTAGACTGCCGTCTAGAGGGGTATAGAGGTTGCCGCCGCCGCCGCAAGTGGCGAGCAAGGTTTTACAAGAAAACCGGTGTTTATCTCGACCCTGGTTTCAAGACCACCTTGAGAAAGCGCGATGCAGTCTTATTTGAACTCTGCTGTTCATGGTCTTAGTTAGACGCTTACCCGTACTCACATGTCCCTTATCATGAGTCTCTTTGGGATTAACTTCTCTAGATGAGACGCGAAATATAGCTGTATGCCGATAGTCACACCATTCGTTGCTTCAACAGGGCTCGGGTAGTGGGTGTGGATGCTTCACAGCTTGACTGGCTGTTTGTACCCGAGAACAGTGAGGTTGAATACTCGGGGCATGGGGGTCGATCACATTTGAGTCAAAGTTGGGAGGTTGCAACCGAAACAAGCATCCTGTCAGATCTCGCAGCCGCGCTGGCTGGGTCCATCCATCGCATCCTCAGCCAATCTGGACCCAGAAAGAAAGACCCCATCCATGTTTGAGCCAGTGCATGGAAGCGCCTTTGACATAATGGGTAAGGGTGTTGCAAGCCCCATAGGGGCCATTGGGCAGCGGTAGACATGTTGGCATGAATCGGGGAGTAGAACTCTGCCGATCCTATCATAAGTGCCATTGCATCGGCGTGTGAGAAAGAGTGTCTTACAGCGGATACGGGAGGGGGCTTGAGCACTTCTGAAGTGGCCCATGCGACCTGCAGAGACATACTAGAACCATTAAACGAGTGAGATGTCAAGATAGACTACATACAAGAGGTAAATACGCTATGATGCTATGATGCCATGATGTGCCAAATATTATTCGCCCTTGTTGTGATAACTTAGCCAGAAGATCGAACCAACATCGAATTCCGCGTCAGGAATGACACAAGATGGGCGCAAACAGCCGTGCAAAGAGGAGGCGAGGCTAGAGACCCTCACCCGTTCCCAAATTCGGCCAGCCTCCGCATCGCTTCCAGCAGTGACTTGCAATAGCCGAGAAGGGCCGCTTCCAAGGTCTTGGCTTGATCATGGTGCAGTTCGAGAAGGCCTTCGCGCACAGCGTCGATGCTGCGTAGATGCTATGCAACGTTAGTTTTCTCTCAGAGATGGCAACACTGGGTCACACATACACGCCTCAGAGCTCCCTCCGCCATCCACAATTTCACCTTGGAGCGCTTGGATGAGTTGCATATGACTTTGACTTCTGCTCGAATGTCCTTTGTTTCTTTTGTCCATCTCCGAATCGACTTGAGTGTCTTTGAGCGGAGTCCACAGATGGCTCCATGACGCTCCTCTTGTGTTTCAAATACATCCAGTTCCTCGAGCAGTTCTATCAGTCGGCCCCTCTCAAGCTTGCTGGTCTCAATCATATCGTTGTTGATTGATAGAAGGGCTGTGTAGTGACTCCTGGCTCTGGCGTAGGGCCAATCTTTCGTGAACAATCCACCGAAATAAGACGTCGTCTCGTTTCGATCGGCAATATCGATAATGGCCCTCTCGATGTCGATGTGAAGTTGACTCAACTGATCATAGTGCCCATCGAATCTCAGCTTGACGTCAGTCATCAAGCCATCGTGGATCTCCTTGAGGAGATCGGCCTCCTGCATGGCTCGTCGAAATGAGGCCTCCATAGCCTGGGGTAGCCTGAAGTTTCCGTTTACGACATTCGACTGGGGGATGGATGACTCCAGCGTCGTTAGATATTCGGGGATAACAAAAGCCTCCTCGGCAGAGATGGGCGACATGAACCGGGCTTGGGGAATGGCGGACATTGTCCTGTTCATTGATTCGGTGGTCCACCAATTCAAAACTGCTGGGACAACGTGGGCGATCCCCAGGATGGCCGCGGGCCATGCCGCTCCCGGCTGAGCAATGCCCATCGCCATCAGATTACCCCAAAATCCGTCACCTGGTGTGTGCGGATCAAGCCATTTGTGGATCTGAATGCCAACAAACAGAGCAAGTGCCCACGGCACCAGGTACTGTACATCTGGGTTTGAGAGGACTTGGGCGAGGAAGCTTCCAACATCCCGAAGACCGTTTCCCAAGCCCTGAAAGGGACCTTTTCTTTGGTGCTTCTTGTCGCGCTTTCTGGATTTGGGGCGCTTGGATGATCCGGAGGATCTTCCACCCCAAGGGAAAGGGCGGCTGAAACGCATGGTGAACAAATAAGGTGATGGGAAACAAGAACTGCGGTTGCTGGTGAGGATGGGTTGCTGGTGAGGATGGGTTGCTGGTGAGGGTGGGTTGCTGGTGAGGATGGGTTGCAAGAGAAGGATTGCAAAAACGTTGGTCAAAGTGAGATGCGAGGCCAATAAGAAGACCCTGAAAGGAGCTGTCCCTCCCTACCGCTGCGGAAACTCACAGTTCTTGAACACTGTTGGTGCCAAGACTAGGTAGCTTCATGCCGTTTAAGAGGGTAGAATGCTTGGCTTATTATAGGGCGGCGCGCCACTCAAGCGTATGTACGTACACCTTGAAACGGCGTTGGACTACTTGCCATTCACCGCTTACCTGACGGGAACCGCTCTGGTGACTAGTACGTGCAAACCGCATGGAGTAGGATGCGGGTTGACAAACGGTGGATGTCGCTAAGCGGCTGAGTCTGCAAGTGCCAGACGCGGCTGGCCGTCTTCCAATCCATACCAAGTTGAGAGCCTATCAGAGTGGGGGAGGGAAATGACAAGTCTCAAAAAGTGGAACCGTGAAGTTGTGAATAGAGGAACAATAGAAAGATGCACGCCGGACAGGAATACAGGAAACACGAAGGTAATGTAACCCTCAATTTCAGTGCGCCATGGTGGTCTTTAATTCAGGGACAAGAGAAAGCCCTATCTCTGAGACGAAATCGATATCATGAAACTGGCAATCTAGGTGGGAAGACAGACAAACAAGATGGTATTGGTGATGAGGGTTGCGCCAAGACCAAGCTTAGACACTTCAGGGATATTGCATGTTGGTTCTAGACTGCACATCCCGTGTCCCGCACTCCCATCTTACAGTCCAATCTCCGACACCCATATCCCAACTCCCCACTTCTATGAGGCAGATGAGCTCGGCTACTGCAGAACAAGTGACGGGCTAAGACGAACTCCTGCCCCCCTGTAACAAATGTCTCGTCTTTACTTCTCCTCCTTTCAAGTCTGGCTGCAAGTCTTCTTCAGCCACTTGAGACCGCCCTGGCTCTTGACTAGCTCGGGCATGAACTTGTACATGTACACCGCCATGAGTTGGTGGTCCTGCATCGCCTCCGCCACTCTGCTGTACAGGGCTTGTTCATCCTCTGATTCGCGCGGGCTGTTGAGGAGCCGTTGCACCCGTTCCGCCCACTTCTTGTTGATGGTGTCGAGCGCCTTGTCGTTGGCGGCCTCTCCGGGGATGAGCCAGCGTGGATCAGTGAACGGTGCCTCGCTGTGGTTCAGGCCGAGATGTTGGAAGAAGGTGGTAGGTTTCTGGGTCGGATATGTCGTGAGAAGACGGTGGTGGATTTGGCAAATGTTGATGACGTGCTCGCTTACAGGCTTGATACGCTGCTTGCCGTAGACCGAGTGCCAACCAGTCATGCTAAGGGCACCGAGAAGAGTAGATGCCACCATGGCCAAGATAACGTGAGGGATGATCATGCTGTTGGGCATGCGTGAACAAGAGTAGAACAATGTGATGGGCGTGAGAGCTGCGGTAGGTGCCAAAGGTATGTTGAAGAGTGGCAATGGAAGATTCAAGCGAGGTAGGGCATTGGCATATTTAAGGTGGAAATTGAAATAAGACGATTACTACCTCTGGGGTCCTCTGACGCCCAGAGCGAAGGTTCCATGGCGAGCGAGCAAGTAGGCCAGCAAGACCTGGCATGGCCCAGGCCAAGGTCTCAGGACAACTGACCAGAGTCTTGGCTTAAGAATAGCCAATGACGTAAAGTAATCAAACAAATGTTTTTCGTTCTTAGGCCGCAAGGCGTTGGTCTACGGACGGTTTCTTCTTTGAAGGGTGGTTGCTCAACCACTTGTGCACGGTCCCGGGCGTGATGTTGCCCGCCTTTGGCTTGAAACTTTGGCCAAGAAGCAAACACTCCAAGGCTATTGAAACTGCGACGCAATCTATCACAGGGGTGATTAGTGCATGTTTTTGTTCCTATTGACCCTTTATTATCGTAGCTTTGTACTCAACACCACCACCGCCGGCTGTTGTTGTTCATGTGACACTCCAGTTTGGCACGTGACATGGCTCGCGCGGACTTCTTTGTTTGTACCTGCTCGTACTGGGAGTCTGCCTACCTACTTTCTTGATGTCCGGAACTTTTGGCCCGGCCGTCTGCTCATCTGCTCGTCGTATTCCCTCCAGACTGCTCGTCTACTGTTGCTGAAGGTGCCTTGGCGTTGATACAGGTAGGACTCTTCGATTCCCACGCCCTTCACCTCAGATCCACGGCTTGCTGACCAGACTCACTCTCCCTCTAGAAACCGGCATTGCGCTCCTACTCCGCTCTCAGGTTGAAGTCATGGCCCCGACCTCACCAGACAAGCCAGATGCCCGCCGTTCTCGATCTCGACCACCTCTTTACTCCTTTTCAGGCACGATACGCCACCAGTTGCCAGTCATACCTAGACCCTCGCAAAGACCCTCTCGTTGTCGCCTTCCGCCAACCGAGGCCACAGCCGGAAACCCTCCCACCGGCCGCTTCGATCGCGTTCGTCAATTGAGTCGCTCTTTTCGTCCTATTCGCAAACCCGGGAGGTCGATGTTTCCACGGTCTCAACGATCCGATGCCACTATCATCACCGGGATTGACCGCTCGCTTCGATTCCGCCCCAGTGTACTTGACCAGTCCCGAGAGCCTCCTGCACCTGTCGACTCTAAACACCACCAGAGCCCGTATAAACCTCTGTCTTCTATCCCATCCAAGAGGGCACACCCTGTCGACGCGAATAACGACAGCCGCTGTAGCCATGACTCCCCACAGAAGCGGCATTGCCTTGTTCACCAAGATGTGTCTGAGTCCTTCCACAAGGCTACAACTGCCACACATCTGCTTCCTCAAATTTCATCTATCAATCATGCCGTTCCCCGTCCCAGCATCGATACGTGTGGGGACGGGTTTCCCAAAGAGGATCAATGTCACTCAATGTGGCCTTTGGCTTCAGCAAAATCTGATACGACGATCTCACTCGGAAAACACAAGAATAGTACAGCCAGACAACAGACCACACCAGCAGCCACCAAGGAGCATAACCAGTTGGACCAGTCTACTCGATCCATTGACCATCAAGTCAAGCCCCTCTCTAAAAGGCCTGGCGATGATGGGCTGCCGAGCGAAAGGTTTGATGCAAAGGCATGCCAGCAACTTGAATCTCCTCGCCGCACAGCCCTCGGCAATACGGAGGGCAGTCCCTATGATGAGCTTGCAAACCCCAACAATCTTTCGGAACTGAAGAAGCCATCTCGGGACAAGAGTGAGACCTCCAAGAGTCCTGGTCCAACCACAGCTCCAGGCTTGGGGGCCTGGCCCCTCATTTTTGCCTGTATTGCTGTATTTATCGGTGGGATGTTCTTGTCTGAGTTGAGATTCCCCGACTTTCGAATCCCCGAGTTTCGTGCTGTAGATTGGAACGAGAGGGCCATCGAACTTGAGATTGCGCTGGCGACGATACCAAGAGTCGTTCTTTTTGGCGAGGCCAGTCTCTCGCACCAGGGAGTCCATCCTGGCATGCTCCCCGTCGATGGCTTGGCCCATGATCGCAATCCCTCGTTCGGGCCTAACGAGAGGATACCAGTGCGATCCAAGTGGTTTTCCAACTCAAGCGAGTTTCCGCAGTACGAACCTTGGCTGACCACGTCATCTGGGGTATTTGTGCCCGAGTTCGAGTTCTTGCAGGACCTTTGGAAGGTTACTCACAGCACGTGCTTAGGCCTTAGTTCGGTTCCCATTCCAGATGGGTCATCTCCATCCGACGACTTTTGCTTCCTCCTTGCCGACACCTTGAATGACTTGGACACGTTCTACCTTTTTCTTTTTCGTCAATTCGGCTCATACTACACAGGTACGAGTCTTGACATGAATGAGGTCATGCTGTTCAACATGGAAGCCCTGCAAGAGATGCAGAGAAATGGTTCCGAAGAGCTGGGCTCTGATCAGCTTCGCGCCCGCGCGTTGCATGCTCCATCTACGACAACAGTTTCTCTGCCGACCGTTGAACCACCATCTCCTCACCGCCGGCTTCCCACTGATACAAGCATCCCTGACGACATACCAAAGAGCTTCATCAAGGGGTGGCGCGATGCAATGGCTGCTCGCAGCTCTCGGTTTCAACAGGAGCACGCATCAACGACCACCCCGACCTTTGACACGACCGCGTCGAGTAAGATTCATGTCAGTCGTCTCGGACAAAGAGCTAACAGGGCTACCAGAGATACCGACGCCCAGAGACTACGCCGAGGCTCAGATGAACAATGGGACCGCGAACATCTTGGTCAACCATGTTATTGACGTGATCGTTGGCCGACGCCTGAACGAAACCGACGAGGTTGAGGGTCCAACCTATGGCAACATCATTGAGCATTCAGTCAGGCTAGACAAGTTTTGCGATCTTTTTCCTCGACTAAATGATCACATATCGAAAGCCATTCGGTCTGCGAATAGGAGCGAGCTGAACGCCTACCAGCTCAACAGGCTCAAACGTATTCAGGACGTCGCCCCCTTCCTGCGGGACATTGCCGTACCTAGATTGGGCGGCATGCAAGCCAGAGCCAAGCGAGGAGTCCAGCTACTTAGGGAGACAGAGAAGCGCCAAGCAGAACTTCAAAGTGAAATTAAAAAGACGCTGCGAAACGGCTGGCTCGGCCCAAGAGTTGAGTGGCTAAGCCGCCGGATTATATGTTATTACCTACCCGACCTGAAGAGCATGGCCCTTCAATGGAGCCACGCTCGCCAATGGCTGGCAGTGGAGTCGGAAGAAGTATTCGAAATATATCAGGGCCGGCAGGCAGAGTTTCGCTTGCTCGACACAAGGCGTCCAGATAATCTTTCTAAGAAGCAACTCTCTGAGTGGCATTTATGGAGGAGCTATATGATTTGGTCGCGATGGTCCTTGGAGGATAGACGCAGACATCCAGAGGGAAAGGAGTCGTTTTGCTGGAAGGAGACGGACTGGGACCCTTTCGCATCTACATGGCAGAGAATGGTTGGATGGGTGAAGGGTCGGGACAATGTTGACATTCCGTCTCAATGTGGCGACGCGTCAAAGAGACATGGATGACTTGAGCGAGGGTTCCGGGAATGTATCTCAGATTGCATGTCTTGGATGAAAGCGTCTATGATCTAGACGTTGATAGAAGGGTACAGGGGGTTTATCATAGTAACATCATGTCTGTCCCTCCTTGACTCCAAGAATAAGTCTCGTGGCGTTTCGATAGCCTTATATTTGCACCTAATTGTCCGGGCTCAGAAGATGGGCTCCTTCAGCCCGTCGAACAAGCACCGCGGTTTCAAAATCAACGTCAGCATTTAGTGCTTCGCAAGTGTGCGGGAGGTATTATGAGTCAACAGCTAGGCTGAGTAGGTCTCTCGTGCATTTAAACACGCCGATGATGCTCATTACACCAAGAGCCACTCCAGTGGCAAACCTGCCCTCTCAAATGGACCGGCTCTAGAATTTCCCTTTGTTCCTAACGTCCCTAGATCTTTCTTGTGGCCTACAACTTGGATTTCTTTTTAGTTATCGCTCTCAGAAAAAAGAGCATCCAAGCTTCATCCAGTTTATGAGCAGAAAGACATGCCTGTCACAACAATTTAATAAGCTTGAAGGAGGTTTGGGTTCGATATGCGCACGCATATTATAAACGGAAGCCATATGTTTGTACTCATCTGATTCAATAATCTTCTAACCTATGCCGTCGTATACTCCGTGCCTCATCACAGCCTCGACTTCTCGGCCCAGAAAGGCGCTAGGGACTCTTCTAGCGGGCTTAATTTGGCTTCGTTTCTTTTCTTGGTCGTCTTGAAAATCCTAGGCAAGCCTGTCTCCTCGAAAGTGGCGCCATCGCGCACCATGGCAGCCAAGCCCTTGCTGGATAGAATGATCTTGGGCATACCGTAACCTGTAAACCCTGCCATGATGAACTGACCAGGTTTTTCCGGGACTTGGCCAACATGAGGCATAAAATCTGAGCTGTAGCCAAGGACTAGGGGTATAGTCAGCGATATTGTCATTATAATGGAGATGCATATTTAAGGTCTGCAGGATCAACTCACTCCCAGTCCAAACCTTGTTGGTCTTCATATCGCTATCCTCCCACCCGCGGAAGTTTCGCTGCATGTAGTTGTCGAAATAAGGGACCGCTTCGTTCACCAGTTCGTCATCTCGCACATTGTCGAACCATCGGTGCTTCTTATGCCAGAACGCCTGCCTCGCACCGCCCACAATGATGCTTCCATCCGCCCGAGGAATGAGATAGTCATTGTTCATCTTGTCGAATCTGATACCGTAGGTGTTGACAAGGTGAGGAGTTTTCTTGCCTTTGGGACTCTCGAGATGACTACAGATACCTCTAACAGGGGTGATGGCCCGTGAATACTCGGGGAGGAGTTGCGATGTGTACGCGTTTGCTGCGTGAACTAGCTTTGGTGCCTTGATGGTTCCGCGGGACGTGTGAACAGACCAGAGGCCACTTGAGTCTCGGGTCGATGACACCGACGTCACTGGTGTGTGGGCCTGAATGTTGAGCCCACTCTTGATAAGCTTTTCGAGTATTTGATGCACCAGCTTGGAAGGCCACAGATGAGCCGCCGTGTACGATATGCAGCATTTGGCGTTCTTGACCCCCGAAACCTGCCTCGGATTATTAACTGTGTCCCGCAGTATGAGGCGAACAGAGAATAGTCATTACTCACTCTTTCAGCATCATCTCGACCAGTGAAAGCGACATCGGCAAGATTAATGTCAGAAGTCTGAGAGAGACTCTTGAAGGTTGCCTGAACTTCGTCGGCGTGCGCTGAATCGAGAAAGACGTCCAAGGCTCTCGTAATGTGGAAATCACAGTCCAGGTTCTCCTTCTCTACAAGGTCCTTGACGGCGTAGACATGCGATGCCTCAAAAGCAGCAAGTTCCGCCGTCGCTGACTTGCCGAAGAGCTTTGTAAACTTGGGAATATCCGAGAAGGTGTCGGGCTTGACATGTCCGCCGTTACGCCCAGTCGCACCGGAGCATATCTTTCTCGCCTCGAGCAGCACAATCGAGGGAGGGTTGGGGTTGTCCTTGAGGAGAAAGTATGCAGTAGCCACGCCAGAGAGACCAGACCCAATAATCACGACGTCGGCCTTGGCGGGCAACTCGAGTGTGCTTCGATTGTCATCGAGCTTCTTGGGCTCAAAATTCCAGAAGGAAGATGTGGGATTCGCGACTGGCGCACGATTAGTTGTGTTGGAAGCCATTGCTCAATACTGTATTTCGGTTCCCTTCCGAGTGAAAAACGATGGGGGAGAACAGAGTTTAAAAGACCTGGCCTGAAGAATGATATCAAGTTTGGCCAAGCCACAGATGCGGGATAGACAAGCAGCCCGCAGGAGACACCGTACCCAAATAGGAAATGTTTGCCTAGCGAAAGGCGCCAACATTGTATTCCGGGATTGAGTGTTAAACCCTCCGGGCCGGAATGTTATCATACAAAAAGTAGCCAGTAGTGGACTATTCGGCTTTCGAAAAAGATGCGGTAGTGTATTTTGTGGAAGACTACTCTCTGGAATGGCAGGTTGAATGAGAACAATCCTCCTCGCACTTTGACTATTTCAGGCAAGTCAAATGAGAGCACGAGATAAGTCTAACATCTGATAGGTGGAACCCCGCAAGATAACGACGTCAACCGGACCGGGAACTCAACGATGACAATTACAGAGATGATCTACTTTAGATCTGAGTAACATCAGATACGTCCATGTTTATGCACGGCGGCAAAGCTACTAAGGCCGCAGAGCAGATTGATTCTTAGTCAACCAACTGACCCAAGCGTCTAGGCCCCGAAAGGAGCGACTGTTCGTTGATTGGTGACTACTCTCAAGTTCCTAATTGATGGTCTTTCCTTAGACTTGGGCCTCGGACGCCTTGATGATCCTGCGAGCCATATCGGGGAGCGTATCGGCCATAACATCCATCTCGCCGAAAATGTCGGCACACGACTCCTTCTCCAAGATGGTGCAGTAGGCACCCTTGTATCTATTTCCATATCCGCATTAGCCATATTCAAGTCCATTGTTTCTAGCACAGAACTCACCCAGCTTGCTTCGCAGAAGACACGTCCCACATGTGCGCCGCCGCGAACCACTTCTCCGCATCACCAAGTCGATCCAACAGGGGTCGGTACGAGTTGAGTGCTGGCTTGCCGACGCCAGCTTCATCACACGAGACGAAATTCTCGATTGGCATTTCAATGCCATTACTCAAGAAGCATCCCCTCACCTGTTCTGTGTCGCCAGCAGTGAAACCCCAGACAGTGAAGCCGGCGTCGCGGAGGAGTTGCAGGCACTCAGCAGCCCCTTCACGCAGCGGAAGATCCTTGAAATGCTTGACAATGTAGGCCAAATCCTCATCCGAGGCAAAGGACCTGGGCTCCTTGATGCCACCGATCCATATCATGCGGTAGAAAAGGCTGCAAAAGACATCGTAGAAGCGGCGGTACCGCCCGGTGATGCTGAGATAAGTGTACTCTCGCTCTGAAATCTCAAACCACATGTAGCCAAGCATGGCGGGTTTGACACCTTCAGCGCGGAGGCGATCTCCGAGTCTGTTCTCGAGAGCATTGAGGATAGAATCGTAGGTTACGATGGTACCGACAATGTCGAACACAACGTGCTTCTTGGTGGCTGACATGGCGACTTATTTGGTATATAAGACGGGAAGAGTAGTTGGTATAGAAAGTGTTCAAAATTCCTGAATATGGAAAGGATGAATTTGAGCTGTTGCAACTCAAAGGCGCGACACCGGCGATTTATCTTGAGTTTTATACCAATTCAATGTGATATCTTAGAGTCAACGGGATGCATCCCGACACGCGGCTACACGCGGGGAAGCTTGAGCCCGATGTTCTCAACATCGATGCATGTGGCTTTATTGTCCGCACGGAGAGTGGCCAGGGAGTGGCTCAAAGACTTAGACAAAGTCTCTTATCAAAGGTTGCAAGCATCTAACAATGATGTTAATGCATGTCTTATCTTTAGCCTGAGTGCCGATCAGATATCACCGATCAGCCTCCATCCAAGTTTGCCGTTCCTAGCCGACCAAAGATGTTATTAAATTGCAAATGATTGCATGGCCATTAACTGTATACGGGTAAGAGCGGGAATAAACACAATCATTATTCTCAGTTTGATTGTCATGCGGACCGGGGACTACGCCGGAAGCGCCGGGTCTACTGGATGCCGGTATCAGTGCCGGTTTGATGGAGAGTGCCGTGGTGCCGGTCTCTTCTCACCGGCACATAACACTCCTCCAGACTATATTTCATATGTCCACCGCCGAGAGTTTGTAGTCGGAGTTTACGCTGAGATCTGATTCGCAACTTGAACTTTGGCTGGTCTGATACGAACTGTAACCCATCGATCAACTGAACAACCAGCTGTACTATGCTAAGACTGCTCCCTTAACAACCACTACTAATACCCACTCAGGTGACCGTCGGGCTGGGCAAGTAGTCAATGCGGGACATATTATAGTCATCATTAAATGAAAGGTTATGAAATTATTAAGCTATTCAAGATCATCTCGACATCACCACACCTTAAACTTCAGTTCCACCAGGCCCTAAATTCTACCGTTAGGTGTTCGATACATGATTCATGCCAAGTCATCAACATAAGAATCGCCCGGCCTAAAACACAGAGATCAAAAACAAGCTGCAAATTGAAAACATCAGCGCAGCACCAAATCTGGGGCTCTCCTTCACTGAAGCATTGTCCGATGTGGTCGTAGCTGTGGCGGTTGACTCTGAATTCGACCCGGTCATTGCAGTTGTTATATCCAGCGTAGGGAGCTCTGTTTGAGTGGCCGCACTGAATCCTGGCTGTTCAACATGTCAATAAATACTCAGAGCCATATCGCGGCGTGGTTGTGAGAATACTCACCAGGCCTGTTCCAATTACAGACTCGAAATTGTCACATTGGTATCCAAGGACATTTGACAACGTCGCCCCCACCCCTAGACAGGTAGTGTTGCCCACATACGCGCACGAATATGCTTCGCGCAGGAGTGTTGGCCGGCAAGTGCAAGAGCTGAATTTTGAGCCGTCGGTATCTGACACGTAATCGGTGCACTCGCGGAGGAGTTCTCTAGCCTCGGCACACTTCGTTTTGATGTCTTGACAGAGCTGATCTGGATAGGGTTCATAGGAGCTCGGCGGTGCAGTGGTTGGGTCAAAGGTGATGACTGAGCCGCAAAGACTATTCCATAATTCACGAGCTCTGTCAAAGTTGACGCCCAAGTCTTCACGGCGATAGCAGAGGCGGAGCTCATTCTCACATCTATCGGCATTAGGTGGCGGCTCATTATTCACAGACAAGTTACTTGCCCAAACAGCGAGTCCAAGTACTCTTGGTGGCAGAGGCAGTCTTCTTTGCCAGGGCGGTCCAAGACTGTAGCACATGCATCGCCGGAGGCTAGGAATGAGTCGCAGGCTGGGTGCGCGGTAATCTCCGAGCCTGCCGCGCAAGAGAGGCTCGGAAGTGTCTCAGCAAAAGCCTCCAAGAGACGTCCCGCAAGGATCAGTAAAGTGCAAAGAGTCTTCATGATGCAGCCTCGCTTTGGCGTCCAAACATGCACGGCCAAGCGATGGACATTGTCCACATTAATATACACGGGCCTCGGCATGTTCACACAATCCGTCGTACTATTAACTTTCCAGCTTGCGTCTCGATCCCGCCACTAAAAGGCGATTATGCAAGCCAGCGTTGCAGTCACTGCGGCTGAAATATTGGCTAGGTGCTCAAGTGAGTCGAGAACGCCAATATTTGCGACAAGGCTGGAAACCGGGCTTGGGAGCTATGCCCGCTTTTGGATGGTTCTACACCCTCTGGGATATCAGCTGAACAGGTACCCTTGGACGTGGCGGGAACCATCACGTTGATAGAAGACTCGGCTAGAAGACAAATAAGCGATACCTGTGCTGCTTCTTTCGCGTTGAGAAGCCATTAAAAATGTCAAGATTGAAAAGAGAAAGAAATACACCATGAAGAGTAACATTGACTGGAACAAGTACTTTCCACCAGGTACGTTAACCAATGTGACGTGTTCCCGCAACCTCGGGCCGCTGACAGGTGCTTATCTCATCCAATAGCCATCTTCGGCAGTTGGATCAGGCTGCGAGTCACTTCGCTCCGACTGAAATGCAACGAACTCAGTCGACGATTCTCCAAATGGCGGCACCGGGTTCCTACCAGGAGGCCGCCTCTGCTTCTTACTACTGGAGGCATGGCTCTACAATTATTCTTCCAGCTCGTCATGATCGGCATCATCTGCGGTCTATGGCACATATCGCAGCGTGATAACGGTCTTGCTACCGTGCCAGACAATGACAACGCTTCGTTTGATTCGAGAGGCTTTCACCCAGCCTCCATCTGGAGCTCATCCATTGTTTGGGCGACTGTTCCGGCTTGGATCATCTCGGCTTACTCTTCGCTCTGGTCGGCCATGCTTGAGGCCCTCAAGAAGGTACAGCCGACTCTGGAACTCGACAGGCCCAACTCCACACGGCGTTCGAGCGCAGTTGTTTGGGAAGCGTGGAAGCAGAGGCTGTTCTCCATTTTTGGTCGCAAACCAATTCCACAGCCAACGACAGCCCAGACTCGCTCAACCGCCAAGCGCACCCTGTTGCTGGACTATGGAGAGTGGCCAGTACTGAATGGGTTCAAAGCCATCAAACAAGGCCACGTTCTCCTAGGTATAGGCATGCTCCTCCGTGTGGCGCTCTGGACCGCAAGTGGTCTGTCAGCTGCCATCTTTGCCGTCGCTCAAGTACCCCGGGCGACAGAGACAGGGCTCTACAGCGACAAGTTCTTTGACGAGTGGCTAGGATGGTCTGAGGGCAGAGGGACCAACTATTCATCATCAACCCCAGCCCTAGAGATGGTGAGTGCCACGGTTGTGAGGGGGGCCCAGAACTATTCTTGGACGACCGAGACGCACTCATTCTTGCCATACTTTCCCACCGAGAAGAATGCCACTGGAAACTACACTTTTGATACGGAAGCGTACTGGGCAACAGTTGAGTGCAACGCCCAAACAGATGAGGACCTAGTACGCGCCGGCGCCATTTCGCTCGCTCTGGAGGACGACGACGAGTACAACTCAGCTCAGCTCAGAATCGGGTTCAATTCGGGCGGTTGCGGTATCTCCAAGTGGTACAACCTCTTCAATAGCACGCTCAAATACGAAAAGTCATGGTCAGTTGTTGACTGTGGAGAAGCTGCCGGTCTCATGAGGATAGGCATGTTTACGGGCACGTACAACGCCAGTGAACGATTCCGCCTCACAAACCTCACATTCATAACCTGCAAACCCATGCTATACCGGTCAAATACAACCGTCGAGGTTTCTCTGTCAAACAATCCTTCCATAGCCAAGGTCCTCAACTTTACGCAGCATGACCAGGAACAGTTCTGGCCCGGCTTTGCCCGAATTTGGATCAAAGAGATTGACCTGTACTCGATTTTTGACCCAAAAACTTACATCGACATGGACAGCTTCGCACGTCTTGTCGTTAGTCATGGCTCCAACGATCTCACTCTTGATACCATTCCCGACAAGGAGAAGCTGCTCAGTTCATTCAAGATTGTCTTTCAGTCCTTTTTCGCCAACTATGTATCTCTACAGGCCTACTCTTCAGCAAAGAATGTCACTATCACGGGAGAGGTGTCGCGGTTGCAGTTTCGTCTTTTTGTGGTCAAGTCCCCAGCATTCGCAGTCGTCGGCATCTTTGCGACTGTCTTTTGCGTTACCCTTATCCTTCTTGTCCATTTGCATGAGAACCGGGCCAGCATCGAAAAGTTCCTTGATCTGATGCTCGGGAACGCTCTTTTATTCCGCCGAAGTGACGGAGTTGAGCCATTCCTCCAAACACTCGAGAATCGAGCACTGCAGACGCAACAACCCCCGGAGAATATTAGCATGGTCAAGTTTGCAGAAAAGCAGAAGGACATGGAGAGTTGGGCCACGTGGATGGACGGTAAAACAGGAGATGTGTACGTGGAGGTGCCAACAACTCCCGTCCCCCGTCCTCCTGGTCTGCATGCAAGCGGCAGTGGTAGTTCCCATGCGCCGTTGACACCTGCCGCTGCACCAACGGCACAAAACACCTCAATTCCCATGCACAACCTACCGCATCAAAGTCCGGGAGGAAATCATACACAAGCCAATCCTTGATAAAACTGGTGTCTCTTTGTTCTCTTTTAAAGGTCCTATATGACACGCGTTGAGTAATTCCTTGGTATTAGTATTCTCGTTGACTGAGTGATGGCTGTTAAGATTGGGTGCTTCAACGAAATTATGCAGTCTGCCAATCAGTGTCGAGATTTATTCAACAATAATGATTGATACCTATTTCCTCGTACGTATACAAATAATGATGAAAGCAGCGCCCCTCTTGTTTTAAAGATATGATGGGTGTTGGAGATGTCTTTTTGGTTACTCCGTGCCTAGGGTAGCATTAGCATGGTTTGAGCGACGCCGTTAACCCGGCTCCTCTTTTCGCATCCCGGTGCTAAAGATCGGCGCTCATCGCATCCATGGCGTACTATGGAAGAGGACACAAGGGTTCTTGGGCGGATCAGACAAAATGTAACATTACATAATTTGCAGAGTCCCATCTTCGCCTTGGACCTCAGGTTTTCGACCATCCAACGTAGGTAGGTTGGCCATTTTTTTTTGATCACAACCTCAGCCCCGCGTCAAGATCAAGCAACGCAAACATGGCGGAACAAAAGTCGGTCGCGATTGTTGGTGGTAAGTGATCAATATTTAATGAGGTCCGTTTTAACTGATGGGAGGTAGCGGGCATCTTTGGCTTGTCCCTGGCCGTGGCTTTGAGTAAGAGAGGTAACATGACTGAGTAGCAGAGTAGCTACTAGATAGCTCACTGACATACCTCAGGACACTCTGTGACTGTATTCGACCGATATCGATACGACGAGTCGACGTACGCCCCCGACCATGATTCCGACATCCAAGCTGCCTCGGTCGATCACAACAAAATTGTGCGTCTACTCGCCCTTTCAACCGACCTCCTTAGACTAATTGCCCGCTGAAATAGTTCCGAGCTTCATATGGAACCAAGATCCATTACCAACGTCTTGCAGTCGAGAGCCGGCGCGCGTGGGAAGCAATCGACGAGACAACCCGCAACGACAATTCATCTTCACCCCTCTTCAATGCTTGTGGAATGCTTCGCGTCCAACCGACCACGCATCTCGGCGCTCTGGAACGTGAAACCCTGAGTAACATGGAGCGGGATGGAATCAGAGATACCCAGTTCGTCAAGAGTAACCCCGAGGACATCAAACGCGCTCAAGAGCGTGGCTGGGATCAGAAGCTTCTCAACTTCAACATCCCAGATACGTCGCCGCAGGAAACGTTTGAGGCAGTCTTAGATTCACTTGCCGGCTTCATGCGATGTAGTCGAGCATGTGCCTACTTTTATAAGGAGGCGGTCGCACAGGGAGTCACATTTCACTTCGGTCCAGAGAATGGCGCCTTTGACGGCTTGGTCGAGGAGAGCGTTGGCGAGTCTAAGAAGGCGATTGGACTAACGACCAAGGATGGCAAGTTCCACAAGAGTGACGTTACAGTCATTGCAGGTACGGGATACTTTACTGCCATTTGTGAACAAACTGACTCTTTCATAGCGGGCTCGTTTTCAACCCAGCTGTTGCCAGAGCTGTCGTACCACATCGAGTCCTCGTCAGGAAGCGTCGTCACGTACAAGATATCCACGACTGATGCGGAATTGTGGGAGAAGTACTCACCCGAGAAGTTTCCTGTCATCACATGGAAATGTGCTCCTCGGGACAAGCAAGGAAAAGACATGGGGAGCGTTTACGTCTTTCCTCGGACACCTGAAGGCCTGATCAAGATTGGATACCGCGGTATCAAGGTGAGAATGAGCCAAAGTCGCTTCCTACAGGTAATGTCTAACTTTTCCCCTAGTTTACCAATTTCCAACCAGCTCCTCCAGAGTGTGGTTTCACACAAGACGGGAAATGGTCAGTTCCTTTGCCGGCCAAAGAGTCTCGTCTTGTTCCAGAGCCTGCTAGAGAGGCCATTCAGACGTTTGTATCCATTTTTCTGCCCGAGTTTGAACACAAAGACTTCTTCTCGACCAAGCTCTGCTGGTACACAGATACCCTAGATAACTCCTTTCTGGTACGTTTCCCTTCCCACCTTCTCTTGACCCCAGCTGAACAATGACAACAGATCGACTACGTCCCCGCATACACCGAAAACTCAGTCTTCGCTTGCACAGGTGGAAGTGGACATGGGGCCAAGTTCCTTCCAGTTCTTGGGAAGCATGCAGCGGACATTCTCGAGCATGGGGATGAAAGCACCTCGTACATGCGCCCCTATTGGCGATGGCGTGAAGACGCGCGTAGAGGCAACGGACTGGAGGAGGGTCCAAATGGGCCACGAAACATTGGTAGAGGCTAGTCGGAGGCCAGGTATCTTCGGGCCTTTTGACTCCTTCGTGGATCAAGCTCTGTTAAGGGGAGGGGTTTACCGCGGCTTCTTCCCGTTTCGATTTGCATACGAGGCAGTTTCCGTGGACGAAATATTACTAACAAATAAAACAAAGGCTGTGTGGATGTCCCACAGATGCTATAGACCCTTTCTCGCGAGAACACATCCCATCAGGGTACTGCCTTGGATGAAGCGCTCCTCGAACGGAATGCTTGAAAGGGAGTCACATCCGACGATCAAATCTCACGAGGCAAATTCACCGAAATAGATCACGGGGGCTTATTCCCGTTCGGCATCTCCGTAGCTTACGCCAGTCAAATGCGCTTATAATCAAGCATCAATCACGTTGGTTAAGCATATGGCAAGGGCAACGGAAGTTCGGAACACACACGACGAGATGTGCGTGTGGGGGAGCGTGAAAAGGTCCTTCAAATCGAGACATCTTGGGTGTGATTCGTCATCGGACAAATCAATTTGTTTTGCCATAGATTGCGCAGGGATGTCGATGTGGATGACCAACCCTTATGGTCACGGCTGATCACCTCCCAATGCGTGGGGGTGGTGTTGTTCCCTCGCAACTCCTTACCAACAGCACGAGCGGGAGGAAAGACACATTTGTCGATTCTGTAGTACTCGTAACTACCCGCGTGCCGTTTTATCCGAGTGAGAACTGTTGGTGGTGAATTTGCCCCTGGAGTCGTCATTTGCCCACAATTCTTTTACACCGTGAGCTTAAGGAGGGAGCGATGGCATCTCCGTTGTGGTAGTAAAAGTATATAAGCTTGCCAAGGGCTTGGCTAGGATAGTATCAAAACCAAGAAGCATCTCAAACAATCGTCTTCCCATTCTCACGTACTTTCTCCCGTGTTGGTCCACAAGCAGACGCTTCACGTCATCTCGACATGATGGCATCTGAAAATCGCATCAATGTTGAAACCGAAAAAGTCAACGACAGTTCCAATGAACAATCAGTCGATGGCCGAAAGGTCAGTCCCAATGTTATGACCACAGACGAGCCTTCTGGTCCCGAAAACATTGTCGACAACAAAGACGTAGACGACACGACCGTCTTTTACAACCTCAACAAGGACAAAGTCGACCCTATAACCCCAGAAGGCGAGAAGAAACTGATCCGCAAGAATTTTTGGTTTCTTCTGACTCAAACCTGGTGGATCGCATTCCTCATTCACCTCGACAAGTCGACGCTCTCGCAGGCCAGCACCATGGGAATATTCGACGACGTCGACATGTCCAAGAAACAGTACAATGATCTTTTTGTCTTGTTTTATACGGGATATCTCATTGCTCTCTGGCCAGGAGCTTGGCTCTCACAAAAGACTGGACAGAAGCAGTTCATTGTGGGGTCTTTGGTGCTGTGGGCGTTTTTGTTAGGGATGCATCCGTTGGTGAAGACTGGCAAGCAGATGATGGCACTGCGTTTCATCCTAGGCATGGTAAGTAACGTGAACTTGAAGGAGATGATTCATCAGCTAACCGTGTCTCCAAAGACTGAATCTCAAATCGTCCCGAGCACGACAGTCCTCCACCAAGCGTTTTTCCCTCCCAAGAAAAGCCCCTGGGTCCAGCTCCTATGGTGGGCATCAGGCAGTTTCGCCAATGTCCTGCTCACCATGGTGGCCTACAAGCTTATCTTGGAAGACAATGCACATGCTCTTGTTGGCGGCATCTCCTCTTGGAAATGGCTTCACATCATCTGTGTAATCCTGACATTCATCGTCTGCGTGCCACTCGCCTTCTTTCTGCCCAATTCGCCAATCGAGGCTAAATGGCTTTCAACGGAGGAAAAGATCCACACGATTGCGGCGATTCGAGAGTCTCAGTCTGGTATTCGCAATTCGACGTGGAAGTGGTCGCAAGTTCGAGAGGCGTTTACCGATTTCAAGAGTTGGCTCTTCATGTATGTTCCGCCGGAGCCCTACTATCACCCATGAGTACTAATGTACGATTGACAGCATCCACATGTTCTTCAACGAGCTCCCAAACAACACATCTCAGCAACTTCCTCTCATCGTCGTTGGTTTCGGATTCACGCCTGCTGAAAGCGCTCTCTTTAATATTGCCAAGCCTCTTATCGGATCATTCTTAGTCCTCGTCTCAGCCGCCATGTTGTACGCGACTAGACTTGGAACAGGTTACACCTGCGCAATCTCGTACATTCCATGCTTTGTTGGGGGTATCATCGAAGTTAGTACATTCTGAAGTGACTACTTTCTGATGTTATACTGACTTGGGTATAGCTCGCTGCACCGTGGTCAAACAAGGTTGCCCTGGTTGTCGGAACACAAATTTCCACCTTCAAGCCGTCTTACCTCCTGGGTCTATCTTGGGCTGGGACTACAGCGACCGGCTACACTAAGAAGCTTACAGTTCTATCAACTTGCGTCGTTGCCGCATCTGTTGCCAACATGATTTCTCCAGAGTGAGTCAGACCCTTGTTAGATCAAACAAGTCTTATTAACAGAATATGGCAGATTCTGGCAGCCGCAGTACAAGCCTCAGTACACACTCCCATGGTCCTTCATGACCGCCTTCTGGTTCATCTCGCCTGGAATGTGTCTCATCATCCGCTGGTATCTCGTCCGCGAGAACAATCGCCGCAAGCAAATCCTCGAGGCCGACGACACCAGTTTTGAAGAACACGAGAAACTCGACACGGGAGACCAGGTGATCAACATTAGTCACGAGGATTTGGACCAGACCGATCGGGAGAACCTCAAGTTCATTTATCCACTGTAGGTGAGTAAGAAACAGTGGATGGAGCTATGACAGGTTGCGATGGACAAAAGAAGGGTTTGGGGACGTTGGCTATGGCTATCAGTTTAGAATGCCATGTTCCTCAACACATGCAACCTCATCCGTAGATTTCAATCCACTTTTTGGAACATACCTCAACCGAGCATCGGGTCGATAAACAGCATGATATCCGGAATAACTCTCTACCAACCCTACCTGATCCACACAGTCTCTTCCCGTAGGCCACTCATCCGTTGCGCCCCCAGGCCAGAAGCGACTCGGATCCCCACGCTCCACCGTCATTCGATGAAGATGTGGTGCGGTTCGTAGCCTCCACCGAATCATTGGAACACACATCCTTTTCCAAAGGATAAGACGAAGAAAGGGCCCAATGAAGGTAAGTAGAAAGAGAATACCGCCGATGAGAACGACGACGAGGATCGACACGCCCGAAGTTGTGATCTTCCCAGATGACTCCATCAACGTCAGCCGACAGGTCTCCAGTTGTTGCGCTGTTGCCTCAACAACCCGGACGGGAAGCTCTGAAGAGACGTAGTTGCGCCAATTTGATACTGCTCGTGTGGCAGATGTCAGGAGCACCATGCGGCTTGCCAGTGCTAATCGTACAATCTCGGCATGTCCACTTATTTCCCTTGGAGCCAGCTGCGTCGATCCAAGAGACAGGGTGCGGCTTGCGTAAACGGATTCACTGCTGCCGGGTATGATGGACAGCAAGGGAACCCATGTGTTTATCCACATAAGCTCGAGAAATCCGACGTTTCTGTCTTCATGAGATCTTGAGCTGTTGATGTATTCGCCAACTCCGTCATTGCCTCCTAGTGATACGCAGCTCTGTCTTCCTCCTGGACAGTAGGCGTAGCTTGTGTTGCACATGATGGGTACAATGGCCCGCCTGTATCTGTAAGCCCCTCCGACTTGAGTGTTGTTGGTAGCAAAGACCGGATCATCGCTTGTAGTGGGACTCAGTATCAACCGAATGTGGTAGAACAGAAGAGTGAGATCGCCGTGATGAGCTAGCGTATCGTTGGGTTGCCAGATGGAGACCTCAGAAGGCCCGCTGGAGTTGAAGTGGGAAAACAAATCATATCCGTAGCAAAACCTCTCTTCAAGGTTAAACTCCTCAGTGACGTACTCATCTCCACCAGTACTGCTACTGCTGCCGTAAAGTAATCCATAAGTATTCGTCCCGTCTTCCTCTGTTCGCAGGAACTTCCTACGATACTCTGGTTTGTAGCAAGTAGTCAACACGCCAAATTCGGCATGACGAGAGGAAGACTTGCTGCCGATTCCAACCTCGGACTGCTTCACCCAGTAGTCGACGTCAACTCGAAAAGAGTTATTTCTGTCACAGGCGGGGGCCCAGTCTGGGCACTCTGATGATATGACAATTCGATCCTTGTCGTTTGAAAGACCAACTGATGAGGCATTTGAGCCGCTGTAGTTGTATCCGTGCGTGTCTGCAAAACGGAGCATATCCCAAGAAAGTAATCCGTCATACTGTGATCGAGCCATCCAATTGCTATAGTTGAGCAGTGGACTGCAGTTTTCGATTGAACCGGGAACTCCTTGGACAACGGGTATTCTCCTAGCCAAGAGAAGAGGGAGGAATATGGGCACCACCATCAGCACAAGTGCACCGAATAGCCAAAGAAGCGCGATGAATTTGGCAGGTTTGCACTTCGTAGACCCCAAACATCGGTATGCGGGCGTGCTGACCAGCGCTGCTTGAGGGCTCATAGTGTTGGCCATTGCGACTCTGACCTGATCAACGTCCCATGCTCGATGATGCTCAGGGAGGAGCCAAAACAGACTCATTGCATAGGGTCTGAAGAGCCTGACCGCAACGGCCTGGTATAGCAGGGTGATGAGAGCGACGGCGATGGCCCAGGTGCTGCTGCTTATGACGGTGGGCCACCCATAGCGAACTATGGCGTCCCATTTTCGCATCTGCTCCTCCTTGTAGATGCCACTGCCCATGTTGTTCATAGTTGGATTCCGTGCTCTGAAAAGCCGGGGTATTTGAGGTCGAGGTGATATTTGATGGGATGGGCTGGAGAGTGATGTGTCGAGTTAAATTCCGTCTTGCCGGAGAAACAATTGCATCAATTATATGAGCTACTTCTTTCATCAATCAAACCGGAAATCCAGCTGAAGCGGCAACTTCCTCAACCACCGTCGTCAAATCAGCCTCGATACCACCTCATGACCTGTCGCCTGTCAGTCTAAAGCGAACCCGTCCAGGGGACGCAAGGCAGAGACAGGGGGGCGCACAAACTCAAAGAATCCCAGCCAATGTGGAGTCAGGCCAATGGCCGCTGCTAACGTTAAGGTTAAAGCTTTGTTCAAACTCACGATTAGAGACGGAGAAACAAGAATCTGACAGCCATACTAGGGTTCTGTTAAGGCGTTTCCGGTTTTCCGGTGGCATGACGCCTTCAGTGTGTCGAGTTTATTGGTACCGCGGTGTCTCTGACATGGGGATTCAGTCACCAAGTCCTAGATTGCTAATGTACAGTACGCAGAATGCAGTGGCTCAGACCGAGGCGGAGGACCTTCTGAGCGACTAACTCCATCATGATGCAGCTCATCACCCTCAGCGGGGACCGATCAATTATTTGACCGCATAGGTATCTCAGAAATAATTATATATAGCCATAACTATTTACATGTCGGGGCAGTAATGCCTCCTTTTCCAGTAAAAAGGTGGGATTAGGCACTGATCAAGTTGCCATTACGCGTGAAACTCAGCAAGGATAGCATTTTTCTCAACCACCAAATACCTATCTGCAAAATCCTTATTGATGAGTGAGACTTTTGTTAATTGAAAATGACGCAAACGGCTTACTCCAATGGGAAGACGACTTCTTCGAAGTCACTTCGTGCTGCTCGATGTGAGGCTCACTTCTGATAAATGTTGCGACTTCCACGAAAAGTGAGCTAGCTCAAAGGCCAGGTTGTAAATTCAATCGCAGGAGAAATTGTAATCTATCGATTGGGTGTGAAGCATCCAACTCCAATCCGTTTCTGTCTCGTAGAAACAATTCAGGTCCTAGGTCACTTTATCGAGTATCAGTCGTGATTCTTCCCCCTCCTTAGGGTAGGAAGGCAGGATAAGGACTGTGGTTTGAGCCGGTCCAAGCTTCATGTTTAATTATTCCCTTAAATCGAATGTGGCATTAGGCTTGTCGATCACTTGACAAAGTCGGAGTTATGCAGTCACCGATAATCTCGGGTGTCATCTATTTCCGATAGAATCAGCCAATCAAGTGTCATAAGACGATAATATTGTGCAACTGCAAGTATCCACAACCTACAGGGTCTCTTTGTAGTATCGAGCCCGAAGTAAAGAGGGGTATCACGAACAAGGGTCAACAATCAAGCGGGGGATATCTCGTGCCAAGAGCGATTGTCTCATTGTCAAGATACGTTGCGACACAGGAATCATCCCTTCGCGTCATCTAATCCGGAGCAAACGTCTAAAAAGACACGAACTTTTGTCACGAGAGCCGGCGCCTGTTGGCTTGGCTGCAGGTCCCCGACGCAACATAGCACGGGGGACTTTTTGCCAGACCGTCCAAAACGGCAGGTCAAACATCCCGGTCGGGTTTCACCTCTAAGCCGCTGCGGGAAGGCGAAGGCAAACAGTGATCGTCGCGTTATCGTGGATAAACCAGGTTAAGGTTATTCGAGATTAACGTGGTACGACACTGTAAAATATTAAGGCCGAGGGGATGCATCTGAACAGATCTTCTTTTTTCCCCTCAAGGTTCCTCGTGTGACCTCCTCTCTCTCTTTTATTCTCAAAATGGCTGGGAAAAGCGCTTTGGTGGCCTTGCTGGCTTTTGTCTCTTTTGGCTCAGCTGCCATTGACCCCCCTCGCAAGCCTTATCAGCCTGTCGGCGGTGGTGATCGTATCCTCACATTCAACGAGACCAGTCCCAGTGCCAAGATTAGGCCGTCGACCTTGAGCGTCGAGTGGTCTTCAGCCGGCAGTGATGGCAACTACATCGTCACCAACAGCGCTGGTGATCTTGTTCTAGAAGACATCGTCACTGGCAAGAGCAGCAAGTTTGTCTCTGCGGACAAGCTACCTGAGGACCTCCATGAGAGCTGGATCAGCAGCGATGCTACCAAGCTTCTCATCGCCACCAACTACACCAAGCAGTACCGCTACTCGTACTTTGCCGACTACTCCATCCTCGATGTCAAGTCCGGCGAGACAACACCTCTCGTTGATGATCAAGTCGGCGACATTCAGTACGCAGAGTTTTCTCCCTCAGGAGACAGCGTGGCTTTTGTCCGCGGCAACAACCTCTTCATCCGCGACGCGGAGGGAAAGATCAGCCAGATCACCAACGATGGCGGTCCTGACATGTTCCACGGCGTTCCAGACTGGGTCTATGAGGAAGAAATCTTTGGAGGCCGTTCCACTTTCTGGTTCTCTCCTGACTCCAAGTTCCTGGCTTTCCTGAGCTTCAACGAGACTGGCGTTGGCACCTTCACCATCCCATACTACATGGATGGCGAGAAGCTTGCGCCCGAGTACCCCCGTGAGCTGGATCTTAGATATCCCAAGGTCGGATCCACGAACCCTACTGTGGAGCTCAACATTCTCGACCTCTCCTCAGGCGATTACAAGCCTGTTCCCGTCAATGCCTTTGAGCCTGAAGAGCTCATCATCGGTGAGGTGGCCTGGGTCACTGATGACCACAGCGCCGTCATCTACCGAGCCTTCAACCGTGTACAGGACAAGGATGCCCATGTCGTTGTTGACCCCAGCACTCTGAAGTCCAAGCAAGTTCGTGAGCGAGATGGTACCGACGGATGGCTCGAGCACACTCTTTCCATCAGCTACGTCGGCCCTCTCAGTGCTTCAGGCAAGGACACCTACTACGTGGATGTTTCTGATGAGGATGGCTGGAACCACATCTACCTCTACCCTGTCAACGGTGGAGACGGCATCCAGCTTACATCCGGAGAGTGGGAAGTTACAACCATCTTGAACATCGATACCGCCAGGAGCTTGGTCTACTTCCAAGCTGCGAAGCGTCACTCTACCGAGCGCCATGTTTACAAGGTCTCATGGAAGACTAAGAAGATTACCCCTCTCGTGGACGAGACTGTTCCTGCTTATTGGTCTGCGTCTTTTTCGTCCAACGGTGGTTACTACATCCTCACCTATCAGGGTCCTGATGTTCCCTACCAGGAGCTCTATTCTTCCAACTCTACTGCAAAGTCTCTCCGCGTCTTGGAGGACAACAAGAAGTTCTACCAGACCATCTCAGAGTACAACCTCCCCAACATCACCTACTTTGAGCTTGAGCATCCAGATGGCTACAAGATGAACGTGAGGCAGCAACTCCCCGTCAACTTTGATCCTTCGAAGCAATATCCTGTTCTCTTCACCCCATACGGAGGCCCCAACTCGCAGCAGGTCGCCAAGTCTTTCCAAGCCTACAACTGGAGAGCGTACATCTCTTCCGACCCCGAGCTCCAGTACATCACCTACACAGTCGATAACCGCGGAACCGCCCAGCGAGGTCGAAAGTACCGCTCTCTCGTGACCGCTCAACTCGGCAAGCTGGAGCCCCTCGATCAAATCTGGGCTGCAGAGGAGTTGATCAAGAAGTTTGACTACATCAACCCAGACAAGGTTGGAATGTGGGGATGGTCCTACGGTGGATATCTCACTGCCAAGACCATTGAAGTCAACTCTGGAGTCTTCACGTTCGGCTTGATCACAGCTCCAGTATCTGACTGGCGCTTCTATGACTCCATGTACACTGAGCGATATATGAAGACCCTCGACGCTAACCGTGACGGTTACCTTGAGACAGCCGTGCACAAGGTCGACGGCTTCAAGAACATCGCTGGCGGCTTCAGTGTTCTCCATGGCACCGGCGATGACAACGTGCACTACCAGCACGCGGCTGCGTTGATTGATCTTCTCGTCGGCGAGGGTGTATCGCCTGAGAAGATGAAGATGTTTGCGTTCACTGATAGTGATCACAGCATCGTGTACAATGGTGCTAGCGTGTATATCTACAAGTACCTTACTGCAAGGTTGTATGATGAGGTCAAGAGGGAGCCAAAGAACAAGTTGCTGGCTCATCAGTGGACCAAGAGGCGGGTTGATGGTGTGTCGAGGGCTTAATCTTCGAAGCTATTGACAGGTTTAAGTGTATCATACGATAGACAATGGATTGAGCTAATAGAAGCAACTTCGATTCCATGACCTGGGTTTCATGACCCAACCGTTCCTAAGCTAGAGAGTGAAAAATGATATTACCAGATCTGAAAGTGAGGGGTCGTCTCTCATTTAAAGGAAGCAATAAAACAATTCGATGGCCATAGACAGCCTCACTATAACTTTGAAGACTTGCTAACCCAATCAGGAGACCTCTTTTGCAAGAATGCCCCGATACCCTCCTTGGCATCCTCACTCTTCGCATGCAAAGCCATGACCCGTCCTGCCCAACGAGCCGCAGCTCCAAAGCCATCGCCCCCTTCTTCTCCGTCGGATGCACCCATACCAAGTTGCGTCCAATATGCCCATTTGCCAACGGCTTGCTGCTGAGCAGACATGGATGCAAGTTGATCGATGACTGCTGAGACTCGGCTTTCAAACGCCGCACTTCCAGCCTCACTAGATTGATCTCTATCCGAGACTTGAACCACGTCAACTGCTCCCGGGATATCTGATGCTTTGACAGGTTGTGCTGTTGCCAACAGGCGATAAGTTGCTCCAGGAGGTAACCGGCGTGAGACGGCAGTTGACGGGCTTGTGCAAGGCAGCCCAATCTTTGCCCCCGGCAAGGCAAACTTGGTGTCTGCCAACGCGATAGGAAAGTCTGTTGCCATGGCTAGTTGAAATCCAGCAGCTGTGGCGAGGCCTTGAATGGGGCAAACGACGAGAATCGGACTCCGTCTGATCAATGTCATGACTTCTGCGCAAAGACTGAAGAGTAGTTTGACATCATCATGACTGAGCCCAGAGAGCTCCTTCAGATCGTGTCCAGATGAGAAAACGGGTCCCTCGCTGCGCAACACCAGCACATTAAGAAGTCCAGCTCTCTCCCTCTTCCATTCAGAAGAATTGACCAGCCATCCGTACTTCTTCCAATGCTCGCTCGTCGTATCATCTCGACGCACAACCTTCTCCAAGTCTTCCAAGATCCGAGTTTGAAAAGGCGGCAAGATCCGAAGCTGTCCACTCACGGGAGATGTGAGAGCCTCGGTGAGCTGTCTCTTGAGATCTTGCAGGACGCCAAGACTCAGAGCATTTCGTCTTGCCGGGTTGGAGAGTCGTATGTAGGCGACATTAGGTGGTAGCTTTGGGAAAGGCATCGTTGTCTCAGACACCCAAGTTGATTCGAGATTTTTTTCAAGTGTGTAAAAGTGATCAAGGATGAGAGATGATCTTGGCCCTTGTCAACTGGCTGTAGGTGGTTGTCAACCTTAACCCCGCATTCTCGGCTATCCTATCCGCCACCCGGCAACGCCTCGGTCAACAACCAGCGAATGAGGCACAACCGGGGCAAGTGAAAGAGTGTAAATGCATATTATTTAGAGACAGAAATGAGAGGCGAATTCCTATTCTTGAATCACACAATTAAAATAGTCTTGATGTCCTTGGCGATAGAATCGACATCTCCCTCATGCCACTCCGTAAACATTGCTCCGTGGACATAAGCTCCACCAAGCAAAGTATACCTCCCATCCCCTCGAGGCCGTAGCACGAACGGTGCGTCTGCCCCGGCCAAATTCCAAACTTCATCAACCACTCGTGTCGACTTCGGGACAACCCCAAGCTGCCCCTCCTGTGTTGTAAAAAGGTGTTTTCCTGAACAGTTGATCTCGACTTCTCTCTGAAATTCAAGAGCCTCTGCCGAAAAGGGTCTCGACAGCTCTTTCATAGCCACTTGCGCCATTGCCATTCCTTCATCACTCCTTCTACCTTCTCTCCAAGCAGCGTCGAGTTCCGGTAAGATGGCACTCATTTCCTCAGGAAACAGGTCATCTTGAACATCGTCACTCAGCTGATCTTTCAGAATCTTTTGGGCACGGTACATGGCGCTGATCGATGACTTGAGCATATCCCAGTTGGGGGAATCCCCTCCGAATTGGCTAAACATGCCATTTTTCTGCTTACTTGATGCAGCGGGATCAGAGAAAAGGCCAGCAATCAACATTCGCAGGTGGAGTTCCCTGTCCCAGAATCGTAAAAGTAGGTCGACTGTGTTTTTACATGGTGGAAACTCTTTTCCAAGCCGGCTTGTTAGCAGTGTCCTCCAGAAAACCTCCAATCGGGACTGGATGACTACTGCTCCCCCGTTTTGAATGGTAACCTGCCCATATATCTCCTCATTCGGAACTAAATCGTTGGTCTCAAGGTACGACCTCAGAGAAGGCGTCAAGGGCGGAACCCACACACTTGACTCCTCCGGAAGTGTTTGCAAAAGACTCATAAGTGAGTTTGGGCCATTGTCAGCGCCTGGGCCGAGGAGACCAGTGAGTTCATGGACCGCGCAAGCTGTCCCAATGCGCAATCCTCGGACCTCAAGAACTCCATCAGAACGAAACTTGAAGTGTGAAGTGCCAGAATGTTCCCTTTTAGACCACAGACTTAATACTGGATGGACCCTTGGCGAGACCAGGCCGTCACTGGTGAAATCCGGAACCCAAGATTCGAGACCAGGAGTCTTGGTTCGCTGGGGGTCTTCTTTCAAGGCGAGATCGTTTAAGCTGTTGCTCGAGTGAAGCATAAACTGCATTGCATCTCGGAAAGCTTCAGCGATGGGCTTCTCGTAGGCTGGTTGCAGCGTTCCGACCTGACCTAGCTCTTCAGCCAGACCGAGAAACGCATATACCTTGTCTCTTGGATCTGTCGCCCTCATGCTCTTGAATGGGCCCATAACATGGCTCAAGCCATGTTTATCTGACTTCCAAAGCGTTTTGGGGGAATGAATAGAGCTATGGAACCCGAAAACATTTGTCCTCATCCCGGAGAGATGTTTCAACATTGACTGATTCGGCAGGTCATCTGAGTTTGGCTGGTAAAGTCGGGCTCCTGGATCCTGTGCCTTCATCATCCTCGCCTGTTCGGTAAAACTGTTGGAGTGTCCCTGAAGCGCCTGAGCAAGGCCTGTCATGGAGCTCAGGCACTTGGCTTCGATAAGCAGGTCCATAAGGTAACTCAGATGGTCAAGAGTGAAGGTTGTTATCCCACAACAAAATGACAACTGCCGAGAGAGGGCAGCTTCCTGTACAACCCACGAGCGCCAAAACCAGGAGCGACTCAAAAAGGTGTAGAGAGCGATCCACTCCCAAGGCTCGATTAGCTCCATGCCTAAATCCCTGTAATTCTTTGCTTGAAAGATATTCAGGGCCGCAAGTTTCGAAAACATCTCGTCCTCGGTATTCAGTAGCTTTGTCATTGTGTCAATGGCAGTTTGGGAAAATTGATCGTCGCCGCCAAGCCAGACTAAACAGAGCCGCGATTGCTTATAGATCCGGCCCATGAGCATGACCTGAGAGTTCCGCTCCTTGACGTCCGACTGATTGATGCAGATCTGGTCAATCCAGATATATAGCGTTGGGGACGCGATCTCCGTCATGTTGGAGCCCTCCATTCCTGCTAACGTTCGGCAATATCGATGACCTGTCTTGGAAGCTCGCAAGCGCAGAGATAGAATGGCCGCGTATAGGTTCGCAGTAACTGAAAAGGGCTCCCCATCGCAGATGATGTCAAAAGACGGTGCAGCCCAGGCGGTGGCTGACGAGACCTCGCTTTGATCGGAATAGACGGTGACTGGGCAACTCCAGGTATAAGAGAGTGCATCGTAAACCGGATCGTCGTCCAAGTCCTTGACGATGAGAGCATCGAGGGGGGGTATAGAAGTCAAATCCATTTTGAAACGTTTCCGAATGCACCTGAAGCACACGAATTGATGTCGATGTTGGAAGGTGATCGTACTTGACCACATGGCGCTTGCGATTCTCGCAGTTCTCAGGCGGCCTGATCAAGGGGATGGTTATGCCATTGGGACCTTTGTGGGTTCTGGGAGACGTGGGCTCAAAACGCTGCCCAGCCTGTTCCTTAAGCCTTTTGTGGATTGCGTAGATCTTCGGGTCCATGGTAACATTCTTTTCTCCAGCTTTAGAGTAGTTATCGCGGGCATCAAGTTGATGCGCGATATATCCCGCAATGGCTCAACGCAAAGCCATGCAAACAGGCTGCACGAAGAGCTAGTTTCAACCCCCCTGTTGCCGCTTATAATGCCAAGGGATGTGTCAAGCTTGTCGTGATTGGACAAGGTTGCAGTTTCATCCCGGTTCACACATTGGCCGAGCCGGAAACCGCCGTGCTCCAATGAGATAGGCCTAAACATCAAACCAGATCGTAATCAAGTCGCCATTCAACTAGAACCCGAGATCTTGATAGCCGCCGTTGTGTACGCACGCATATCAAAGGCATTCTGACGGATAGTAGAAACCCCTCATCTATGAATTGTCCTTATTTCAGCCCACCCAACCTAATCCAAGCCAGTTAATAACCAGGAAACAGGACCTGCAGCATATGAACCAGCCCGTCAATTTCACCGCTTATATCCATTACCCTTGCCCCCAAAGTTGGGATGCCCCAAACCCTTCCTCTCCATGACCGCAAGTCCCTCGCCCTTTTGGCATGTAAACAGTTCCATCTCCATCAGCTTCTCATAGAATGGCACCGATCGTTCCCAATCCCCTGTCATCAACAAGCTCCTCCGTAGATGGGGCAGAGACTCAATCACCTCCTGCACACACCTCACAAGCCAGCTTCCAAGGCCTTTGCCCTGATATGACGGGTCCACCCAGACGTCTGTCAAGTATAGGAATGTTGTATAATCCGTGACGCCTCGGGCAATGCCCAAAAGCTTCCGCTCAGTTTCTTCGGGACTGTTCGTCTTGGGGGTTTCGTCTGGTGATTCATGACAGTCGTATAACCCAAAGCACAAGGAGTTATCAAGCATTTCCTTCATGGCAGCTTCAGGTAGTGCATCAGCCCAGTAAAAGTCATCTGAGTTGAATATTTCAATGAGACGTTTCACGGGAATAAGACTTGAGTCGGTGGAGATGAGGTATGATCCCCGTCTCCAGGATTGCTTTCGAAGTCGACTGGGGGTTGATTCCATCGCGTTTGATGAGAGGTGTGACGTTGATTGAGATGTTTACAACAGAGGAAGTTCTTGATGTCAAATTGATCTTTTTTAAGCCGTCTCCGATCGAGTCTAGAGAAGAATCGAGTTTGGTTTGACTTGAAATATGTGAGTCACACCGGACCGGGGCTCCATCCGAGGCATCGGCGCTTTTGGCCGAAAATGAAGCTAGTCTTGATTAACAATAATAACAAGGTATAAAAATTAACGCAAAAAACGGAATCTATATAATAAAAAGCTCTAGAAGTAAAGGAAATTTGGCCTAACGCTAGTATAGTTAGTTGCCCTTGACGGAATCTTATCTCTAAAAGCAGACACGGATTCTGTGGTCGTGCTAGGTTAAGACGGTCTAGCGCTGAGGCGTTGTGGTGGGTGCCGTTGCTTGCGACGATGACTGACCCGGCTCGTCTAAACCCAAGGTCGCCAAACGGGATGCAATTGATGCGTCCCCTTGATCAACTTGATCATCATGGGTCAGGGGATCCTCGGGATCTTCAGACCAAGATCTCATGTGGCCCTTTCCCTTCTTTTCCTGCGAGTTGTTGCCGCTATCATCCCCCTGGTCCGGCGACTTCGTCCAGAACGTTCGTCAAAGACCCGCGTCCCAATACTTCCAGCAGGGCAGTAATTCACCTTGCTAATCCGTGTATGCCTCCTTCTAGTTCTTGGCAGCTATGTCCATGTGAATTAAACTTGAAGCGCGCTTGATCGTGATGTACTCAATGCGGCCATGATAAAATAAGTCCACAACTGTCACCCATTCGTCTGTGGAGGATGCCGAGATAGGATTCTCTTTGACTGGGTCGGCCCTGTCCCCGTCGTCGCCCTCCATACTTTCTGCTTCATCATCCTCGATGGCAGCTTAGTAGAGGGGACGACTGGGTGCGTAGGCCGAGGGCGGAAGAGGTTTGCACTGCCGAGCTTTGTCTGGTTGATACATTGAGCCACAGGAGCAAGGGACATCGCAGAGCATCTACCCTCGAATGTTGGGGTGGTGGATGTTGGTTTGACATATCAAGAAGCGTTTGCCGAATTGTCGACACTCGGAGTCACGACGGCGCGCATGAACATTCAACAAATGGCCGCAATACGGCCACCAGCCTTCTTCACCTGAGCTCGTCATGACATGAGAGTAGATCAAATTGTCGCTAAGGGATTAACATGAACACAATAACAAGAATCCTGACATTCCATCGCCTCTTATAGAAGAACTTTGCAGCCACTGACCCAAAGTAGTGCGCATCAGTCTCGTCATCCTCCATTCTACCCGTCCAGATGGCTTCATGGTATCAATGAACCAGGTCTCGTTTTATGTTGAGCTGACGGAGACCACTGTGGGGTTGGCATACCTTCTGACATTGATCAGAGGATCTGGGTTCAGATGTCAGCCTGATGCCAGAGACACAAGCGCATTTTCCGGCTCTCCGCCCAACCCTTCAGCAACGACGCCAACTCTGCCCTACTTCGCCATGCCTGCGTTGAAAGCTTCCTGCATTCTTTGCGCTAAATCATCATCTTGTAGTACTCTCAGAGCCAAGATCGCAATCCCCTTGGCTGCTTGAATTGCTGCATCGAATGCGCCTGGCTCGCCGGCCGCCCTTGCGAAGCCTGGACCGTGTACATTGTCGGTAGGGCGAGTTGGGATAACAAAGAGAGGGTGCAGCGATGGGCACTCATAGCTAACATTTCCAAAGTCCGAACCACCCCCTGAGATGTGGGGTTCGCTCATGTCGTCATTGAAGTCGCTGTCAAAGTGCTCTGACATGATGTTGGTGAACTCGTTGCAGAGAGGGCCGTTCGTATGGAGGTCGGCGTATGTATCCATCCTGTTCACCATCCAAGTCAGCGATGGATGCGAGCAGAAAGTAATGCTACTTGTCTTGGCCTTTCGTTCGTCGTTCCATAGATAAGGGAAAGGGGGTGGGGGGACACGTACAACTGTTCAAATTCGATCCTGCATCCGGTGGCGATGGCAGCGCCCTTGAAACAGTTTCTTACGCGCTCCTGGAGCTTCTCATTTTCCGCCAAGGTGAGAGAACGCACGCCGACCTCGACTACGCTTCTCGCCGTGATGATATTGGTCATCCGCCCTCCCTCTTTGATGTAGACGTTGATGCGGTCTGTGGGCCGAATCTGCTGCCGCAGCATGCTGATGGCGCTGTATGTTAATGACGCCGCATCAAGCGCGTTGATGCCGTTCCACGGAACCACCCCAGCGTGCGCCGCCTCGCCAGTGAAGACCCCTTGGAAAATCGCGACCGACCTGCCACCGACAGCGGCTGCCCCTGCGGCCTTCATGTTGTCCAAGGGTGAGCTGGCGTGGACCATGAGGGCAGCATCTACACCCTTGAAGGCGCCCGCCTGGATTAGCTTGATCTTGCCGCCGCCCCCTTCCTCGGCGGGGCACCCAAGAATACGGACTCGCCCTGGGACCCCGGATTGTTTCAGGGCAGCCGCGATACCAAGAAAGGAGGCGACGGAGGCGACGGCGATGAGGTTGTGTCCGCATGCATGGCCAACACCCTCAAGTGCGTCGTATTCGGAGCAGATCGTTACGAGACGACCTCCTTGGCCGTACTCAGATACAAATGATGTCTCGAGACCAAAAGCGTGCTTTTCCACTGTGAAGCCGCAAGATTGCAAAAGGGCCGTGATGTTCTCGTGAGCTTGAAACTCTTTGAAACACAACTCAGGGTTACTGTGAATCTAGAGCATGCGTTAGTTAGATGGCGTTTCCTATGACGTTTGTATTCTAGGCAAGGAAGCGTGGTGCTGTCATACTGCACCGTTCAGCTCTCGAAGAGCATTCAAGGATTGATCAACAGCAAGTCCCACTGCGACCGCAGAGCTCTTGCCATGAGGAACAGTGATAGTCTTGGGCTCAGTGCCACCGAGGACAGCCATCTTGTCAAGCGCTCGCTGGTGGGGGTCAAAGAGGCGATGAAGGATAGATAGTGGGTGGTACGGGATGCGTGCAGTGGCTTGATGAAGAAGGAACCGGTCTTTTAAGTCAACAGCATGTCAAACACCAAACAAGATTCCACCGATAGAGCATCCTTCCTCAGCCTGTATCGTGACCGTTATCTAGAGACGACGTTATCGTGGAGCAGGATCCACACAGCTCAGCTCGTCGTCTAGATCGTGTAGGTCTGCCCCACTCGCCAGCCTCGGGGTTGAGATAATTGCTCCTACCAATTGCCGTTGATATCCGAAGCACACTCGTGAAGGGTCCAGATAGTGGTGCGTCGCCCGCGCCGGGTGTCCCGATCTAGAGTACTACTGAGGATCGCTTTCCAGCGAGGCTCAAGCTTACTCATGATCCATTCCTTGTGAATAGGGTTTCTTGTCTCCATCACAGCTACGAGAAGTGCCCTTTGCAGGTCCTTGAGCTGGATCTTGGGGATTGTATGTTGAACTGCCTGCATAAGCAGAGACAACACATCTTGGATCTTGTCTTCGGGCATGCCGGCGATTCGGTGATAAGTAAGCTTCCAGGCATAGTAAATTGTGACGAATACAGCAACGCCTTGGACGAGGCTGGAGACCGAGGTTGGGTAATTGTCGTCAGGCATCGTAATCATCTGGAACGTGGCGGAGAAATCCTGCAGGAAGGTGAGTTTCAGCTTGACTTTGAACGAATGTTGGAGAGGACCTCACCAGCTCTATGCGACTCATCTTCTCTTCAATGTGCGGACTATTAGCCGTGGACGTCCGGGTGCTGTCTGATCCCATCGTCGACCAGCCGAATTCTGTAATCTCCGACTCCAGCTCAATCAAGCGAACCAGCATGTCGAGATGTTGGGCGCAGAAGACATCGTCCAAGCGTTGCTCAGTAGGATACCGAGTTCCCCAGTTCAGCTGGTACATGGGACGTGAGATGACGCCCATACGCCGGATAAGCTTTGGACGCTCGGAAAAGTATCGAGCGACCTTTCCGGAGCAGCCATAACCCGTCGCATACACATCCTCTCGGTACACCCAAAGAAGCAGGCGCGATAAGAAACTGCGCAACGAGGGGCTCATAGCTGTGGCAGACGCCGATGCTGGCCGAGTCAAGGCTTCAACAATCGATGAAGCTTGGAGATAACGCACAACAGCTCCGCTGAGATTGAGCAGCTCTGCCTTGTTAATAGTGGGCCGGTGGGTGAGATAGACGTATTGAAAGTAGAAAGTAGCGAGGGCTTCGATATGGTCGACAGTCCTAGCTGGCTGATGCATGACTTCTCTGAAGGCCAATGATGCCTAAGCGAAGTGCGTCTCCGCTAACGTTGCTCCACTTGGAGGGAAACCATTAGCGCGGCGTCGCATATCCAAGTCTTGCAGCGAGACAGCTACGGCGCAGCGTATAGTGAGGGAGCTGTGAGAGGCTTTCTCCAGGAGAAGCACAGGAAAGGACCAGGCGAGTGTCTTTGAGGTGTGAACCTTGCAGAACTCGTCCTGATAATGCCGTAGTGCTCCGAATTCCTCGTGGCCGAGTATCAGGCCGTCAGGTCCCCCGTGTACGAGGAGCTCGGTACTGGGAAGGGCAAGGCGGTTGATAGTAGGTAACGGCTGGGATGACGACTGCGTTGCGATACAGCTCATGGCTTCCTCCCCGCGCAAAAAGGTTGCCGTTGTCTGGGCAGGTGTTTCGGGGTGTTCCCATTGGGGCATCGTCCCCGATACCGAATCAGTGTTTCCCAAGAACAAGGTTGATACGGTGTCACCAGATAACTCATCGAAGATTGTCCACTGGAGATCATCATCGGAGCGCTGGATGTGGTTGTCTTGCAGGGCTGGGCCTAATTCATGAGCTACAATGCGTCTCTTCGGCTGGAGCGTTTGAGGCGGAAGAATTCGAAGCGATGATCTCGTGCCGTGATCCTGTGTCCAATGGGGGCTGCAGTCAAGTCTGAGTCGCTCGCATCGCCGGCAAACAGGTAGACGTTCATCGCATTTGACATGCTTCGCCCTGCAGGTGAGGCAGCCTGATGCAATTCCTGATTAGCATGATAACCCCTGAATGGATCAGATGAAGCTCCTCAACACACCCAGTCTAGATCGCCCCCCTTTGCTTCGTCGCTTCCCCGCCTTCGCTATCTGGGCCGAATCATGTAGTGGCATCGTAGTCGTGTGCTATGAGGGAACGTGCAGTCGTTGAAACGTGTATCTTGGCGAAATATGGAGGGGTTTAGACGACGACAATGGCGATTGTGGGGTAAGATGTCCAAGTTTCGAGTACAGCTGCTGGGGGCGAAGGAAAATAAGTGAAGGCGAGGCCTTATCTTCATCACGAGCCGACTAGCAGTGTGGGTCCAGGCCTTGCACTAATCTCACACGACGATGCTTTCCCGAACATGGTTAACCGGATGGATTCGAGATAGCCGTCGTCTATCGTCGTCTAACTCGGCTAATTAGAAGCCGGCTCAGGGGGCCCACAGATACCGGCAGCTCGCGTTTTGGTCGTTGATGGGTTATCGATGGCTCGTGTTGGCGTTTCCGAATTGGCAGCTGGAGGCTGAGAGGCATATAAACTCTTCGAACAACCCCCAAGGTCTCCGGGTATCTCCCATGAAAACACAGCAAGCGTCAAGTCGAAAGCGTCTACTCTAGAACACCAGGATCAGAATCATGGCGGCAAGCCCTGAAACCCAGCATCCCGCGACCCAGCCCAATGTCGTTGACGAGAAGGCTATGTCAATGATAGAGGAGCATCACGATGAGCCTGACATCTCCAACATCGAAGAAAAGCAGCTTGTCAGAAAGATCGACCTCCAGTAAGCATACACCCCTGACTGCGGTGGGATAGCTGACTGTCTTTCTGTTCACTGACACTATACTCGCAGTCTGATGCCGATACTCGTAGCCATCTACATTCTCCAGTATCTCGATAAGAGCAGTTTGAATACTGCCTCGCTTCTTGGCATTATCCAGGACACAGTACGCCGAGTCTGTTCCATTGCGAGGCAATAGACCAATACTTACTATGACTATAGAAACTCGTTGGTCAGGAGTTCCCTTGGCTCAATAGTGCCTTCTACTTTGGCTATCTTGCTGCCACATATCCCATCTCCGTGCTATTTGTCAAGCTTCCAATTGCCAAGGTCCTGGCAGCGTCCATGTCAGTTCTCCACGCATCACTACAGCCGTCTCTGCTAACAGTACGACCACAGTTTGCTCTGGGCCGTAGTTCTCGGTTGTCATGCTGCTGGCCAAAACTTTGCAGCCCTGTGCTCTCTACGTGTGCTTCTCGGGGCGTTTGAAGCAACTATAAGTCCCGGTTTCACACTCATCACGGGATTGTGGTATAAACCATCCGAGCATGCCTCCCGACATAGCCTTTGGTTCCTTGGCAACGCCGTAGGGTCTCTTCTCGGCAGTCTCATTGCCTTCGGTTGCACCTTCATTGTCGGCGGGCCCGTTGCACCGTGGAGAGTAAGTCATTATTCCGGACGTCTTGTGTAACTCTGGTCTAACTGGTATTTGTAGTGGCTATTCATTGTTCTCGGCATAATCACAGCAGGCTGGAGTCTCGTCTTGTATATCTGGCTCCCTGACACACCGGCCACAGCACGGTTTCTCGAGCCATCCCAAAGAGTCTGGGCTACGCAAAGACCTCAGTTGGTCCAAAAGAGTTTCAAGACAAATAAGTGGTCTAATGAACAGTTCATTGAGGCCATGTGGGATCCCAAGACCTGGTTTCAATTCCTCGTTATTACCATTGTGTCCCTGAGCAACGGCGTACTTGCCAACGTAAGTCCTCCCTGCCTATGTGGGTGCTTCGCTATGCTAATGCATCAATTACAGTTCAGCTCCTTAATCATCAAAGGGTTGGACTTTGGCACCCGTACGTCGCTACTCCTGGGTATGCCTCTGGCTGCCTGGAACGTGATCGTTGTCATTATATCCGCCTGGGCTGCGAAGAAGTTCCGGAAGTCCCGTTGCCTCGTCTCTATGGCTGGCGTTGCTCTCTCACTGATTGGCACTGTCCTGGTCCGCCAGCTCCCAGCCACAAATCGGGCTGGTCGGTACGCTGGCATCATCCTCTGCGCTTCCAGCGTGAATACCTTCCCGATGATGCTCAGTCTCATCTCAAGCAATGTTGCCGGCTTTACGAAGAAGTCTACGGTCAGCGCGATCTTCTTTATTGGATACTGCGCTGGCAATATCGCAGGTCCCCAGTTCTTCATTCCGTCCGAGGCCCCAAAGTACACGGTAAGTAAGTATTCTTTACCGGTCATACTGATACTAATAACACTCTGTTCTAGACGGCCTTTACTGCTTTGTTTGTTATTACGTGTGTTCTCCTTGGCACTATTTTTGCCTTTAGGCAGTACCTTGCTTGGGAGAACGCGAGGCGTGACAAGGCACAGGGCGTGCATATTGATGCTGAGTTGCCCCAGAGCGATACATTGCCGACTGTCGTGATGGAGGCTACTGACGAGACCGACTTTGAGAATAAGAGCTTCAGGTATTATCTCTAGAGTTTCGTAAGAACATATTCTATTTGTAAAGTCGGAAAGCGGCAGCCTAGCGTCGTGTTTGGCTTTCCAAACCCGCATTCGTCCCTGGTCCAGCAGTGATGCGAGATGCTTTAGGTGCTGGGGAACAAGATCTAGGTTGGCCTCCAGGGTGCGAACGAGTTCAGTACTATCCTTGGGGGCGGAGACTCGATGATAAGACTAGCATCATCATTGGGATTAATCGGACCAACCAAGTCCATAGTGAGTATCAATCAGTAGTGTAGGACTGATGGAGGGGGAGGTCCACGTACCGCCGGCCACAACGTGGTGACTGGTTAGAAGTCAGTTCCGAGATACAATAGAGTCCTCCCATACGCAGACTACGAAGCCAGACAACTTAGTGATATCTGTATTTGTCAGGCCAATGCTACAGCCGAGGTGAGCACCGTGAGGTATCGAGCTCCCGCTACCACCCGAGCGGCGACGAGGCATCTCGGGATTAATTATATCTTAGCTTAGCTATATCTAGCTTATTTAATACTAGGTATAACTAGAGAACTTGGAAGAATTAAACCTCCTTATGCCTATTAAAACCTATGTTTATTTTACGTCCTTATATAATACCCTTTTAAGTTATTAACGTTAGTAGATATTCTATTTAAGTGGGTAATAGTGATACTTACTCAGTTAAGAAGCCCGCGTACTTCTCTCCCGTGATCTGTTCACGCATAAACTGCTGCGCAATCTCGAATTTGTGACCCTCGGTAGCCGTCTTCAGCAGAGCTTCATGTTGCTCATCAAGAAGCTCGAGGATAGTCTTCTTGTCCAGTCGAACTCCTTCAGCGGTGCTGACTTTGTGGTGGACCCACTGCCAGAGCTGCGAGCGAGAGACTTCGGCGGTAGCTGCGTCCTCCTTTTAAATGGTCAGATGAGATATTTACTTTGGGAAGCAGAAGTAACTCACCATCATATGGTTGATAGGGCTGCATCCAACCCCGCGAACCCAAGCCTCCATGTACACCAAGCAAACATGGATGTTCTTCTTGACACCCTCAAGCGTAATCTTACCCGGCACATTAGGGTTGAGAAGATCATCCCTAGTGACAGGCACCGTCTCAGATCGACGGAAGATCTGATTGGAAGTAGGCATGTAAGTGTTGAAAATGTCTTCCGCGATGGGTGCCAGAGCTGGATGAGCAACCCAAGTGCCGTCATGTCCGGCCAAGACCTCTCGAAGCTTGTCAGCCTCCACGTTGGCCAGAGCCTTTGCGTTGGCGGCTTCGTCGTTCTTAATCGGAATTAGGGCTGCCATTCCACCCATGGCATGCACACCGCGTCGGTGACAGGTCTCAATGAGTAGCTTGACGTAGGCGTCCATGAAAGGAACAGTCATGGTGACGTCGGCGCGATCGGGGAGGATGAACTTAGGATGGTTGCGGAAGATCTTGATGAAAGTGAAGATGTAGTCCCATCGTCCACAGTTCAAACCGCCGATATGGTTTCGAAGCTCGTAGATGATCTGAAGAAGAGTTAGGATCGCAAAAGGCCTTGGAAGAGTGAGTTCAATACTAACCTCATCCATCTCGAAAACGGCCGTGATAGTCTCAATCAAAACAGTAGCTCGGACAGTACCCCGAGGGATACCGATATAGTCCTGAGCAACATTGAAAACATCATTCCAAAGACGGGCCTCAAGATGAGACTCCAACTTGGGGAGGTAAAAGTATGGCCCGAATCCAGTATTGATGAGCTCCTTGGCGTTGTGGAAGAAATAAAGACCAAAGTCGAACAATGCACCCGAGATGGGAGCACCGTTTACGGTAAAATGGGCTTCGTCGAGGTGCCACCCACGGGTTCGGCAGATCAGGGTGGGAAGAGTGCGATCTGTTCTCAACTTGTAGTCCTTCTCGCCAATCTTGAAATTAATCTGGCGTCGAATAGCGTCAAAGAGGTTGAGTTGGCCTTCAGTGACGTTCTTCCACGTAGGGGTAAGCGAGTCTAGCTCCGTTAGTTATCGCACACAACACTCAGTGTCGGAAATTGTACCCTCAAAATCTGCCATGTAACAGTAAACATTAGAGTTGAGTGCGTTGACAATCATCTTGCGATCGGTCGGTCCCGTGATCTCAACCCTACGATCGGCCAAGCCAGGCGCAGGAGAAGCTCCCTGCCAGTGGCTATCCTCTCGAACATGCTTGGTCTCGGGTAGAAAGTCGGGCAGTTGTCCAGCGTCAAACTGCTGCTGTCGAAGTTCACGACGATGCAACAGTGACTTCCGGGTAGCCTCGAATGAGTGGTGCAGAACAGACAGAAACTCGCAGGCTTCCGGTGTTAGGATCTTCTGGGTGGCTTCGCTGGATGCACCCAGGACAGCATATTGCTGCTTCTTGTGAGGAACGAGAACCATGGTTGAAATCTTGGGTTGTTCACTTGCGAACTGATCAATGATGAGGTTGCTGTGAGCTGTGATGGCCTTTTCTGTTCTTCCGACGGGACTCCCATGATCATCTTATACTTGGATGAAACATTCAGTTCCTATGTAGGAGTCTACGGCTTACATCCGAATGTCGAAACCAATTGCTAGAATTCTCTCTCATCGGACGCTGTCCCGGGGGCAACTTTAACGATACACGATGCTAAATTTGTCTCGGGAGTCTATCCGGCGATAGCTCTGCTCAGCCAAGCCATGCAACAAGTCCCCTTTTTCGCCAGACTTGGGCAAGTTCCATCTCGCCTTGCTACATACACCAAGTCAAGTTTCGGACCCATTCTCCGAAATTGACGCCGAGAGAGGCTAAACCGTGCCCGGTCACAAACTCCGAAGCCGGATCGGAAGGCTTCCGACAACGTGCCGCTGGGTCATAACTCCGAATGACTGGCTCTGAAATCAATAGGCTCTTCAAATCCCGATACAGAAGACTGAAAACGTTTCGGGCCTTGATGCCTACTAAATTGGAACGACGTGGGGTTGTTGTGCCAGGTTGCAAATGGTTTTGCTTCGTTTCAATCACGAATAGAGAATGTCGCCCATCTGTATGCTATCGAATTGATTGACCCTTATCTTTGCCATACTCAGTGGCGGCTTTAAAAAAGCTCATCCGCCTCAATAGCAAAACGCATAGTTATACAATAATCATGGCAATCAACGAAAGGGACTCTAAACTTTGACATCAACTCTGGGATATGGCATTCTCACCTACCCTACATCTCATCTCCAGTCAAAGAATTTCTAATCTTTGATATTAGCTTCTAAATTATATACACATCTTTCTTATACGCTCTTTCTTGTTATTATTGCCCTACCGGATATGTGTATCGCTGCATCACTTACTAACTCATTGTTCTGCAGTCTGTTGAAAGTGTTAGCTAGTTGCTTGTCCGTATTTCACAGCCCTAACGAGCGTTTACCAGCCCACAGCTCTTGTTTCATCACCCGCTACATCAAAAGTGGAAGATTTCCCCCTGTAAGAGATATCAGTTGACTGCTGAGAAACGGTCGTGTGTACGATAAAAGCGATGCCATCCTGTCCGTTGACGATACTGACGCAGGAGTTGGTTGCCAGGTTCCACTTTCTCACCTGTGGGGCATTGAAGTGAAGGTCCCGGCTTTTTGGCTGCCATGAATGCCAATGGGCGAGAGGTTCCCAGCCATCCATCCAGATTTCTCTCCAAGCTAGCTTTGTATTCTGCCAATACCGTATCGACTCAACACATCCGGACTGGACGGTGGGTCTGAGTACCCCTGTTGAAGATCACTTATTGGCCATATGTGAGCCAGAATCTGTCGTTGGAGTCCTTAACTGTGGGATGGCCAATCGGGCACTGCAGAGGAGAGGCTAGTAAGGATGGTTCGAGTCCGAATGTATTGAGTCGATACGGTAACAGTAGAACATGTTTCCCAAGCTCTACCCTGAGACCAGGTTGAAAGCTTACGGCGTCGTCAGAGAAGCCAGCCTCAAGTCCTCGACCCTTTTGCTAGAGGTTAAGCTGGCTGTAAGCGGAGCCTTGACCACGGCGGTTGCCAAGCACGCCTCCGGTTTCTCCCTGTCGCTTGTATCTGAGGTGAGCTCCAAGGCGAATCTTAAGCTGGGCTTCGAGTTACTTCATCTTCATTGCAAGTTGAAGAGTCGAGCGCGACATCCTTCCATGTTCAAAGTGGGGGGAAGGGGTTTTGTTTCGAAGCATCTTTACGTCAAACTTGGGCTACTCAAGGTAAACAGAGGGCGCCTTGACGGTGGAAAACCAGGATTGTCAGCTTATCAATCATATTAAGATCTAAATCATTAAGAATATGTACCAAGTGGGTTAAAATGTTACGAACAGGTGGAGTGACCCCTAAGCGAAGTGTCTGATCGCGGCCCTGTCAAAGTGATTGGCCAATCGAAACATCCAAAAACCGTTTCAACACGAGTCGCGCGCCGAAGCGTGGGGCCGCAGTCACTTCCCAAGACGGACTTCAGCTCCGTTTGGGTCACTCTGCTAACCACACCTGGAGCATGACCCGAGGTTGAAATGCAGGGGCCGTTGCATCCGCATTACGCTTAACGGTTGCGATTGAAGCCACAACTGGGTGGTGACGACATTCTGCAACGTCTCGGCGCTCCGGAACAGGAGCGGAAGTTTCTTTTAGGGGTGTCGCAGCGCTGTGTCATCCCGTTGCCAAGTCCTGTTAGTTGGTATATGTGTGTCCATGTTCCAGGCCATGTCCGGTCCCTGTTCCTTTTCCCAAAACATGTCCCACGCCAGATCTCGTCAATCTTGTGCTTGCACAATTATCTGCTCTTCGTAATGTCTAACTACCTGCAGGGCTGGTTCATCCTTCTGTTATGGTTTGTTTCTCACGTGGCTGGGCAGGACCCTGCTTCGCTGATTGGGTTGGTGCCTGATTGTGCAGTGAGACATTTCTTACAAGCCCTTAGAGACACCCCTGAGTGGCTAACATGCATCATAGCAACCATGCCTCGTCAAGGGACTTGAGAATGGAAACTGTACCCTCACAGCCATATCCGAGTGCTTGTGCACCAACATCACTATCCAAGCCGAGATGTCAGAATGCGTGCAACTCTCCTGCTCTTTCAAGGACCAAGCTGGTGTGTACCTGTGCAATGCCTTCACTACCTGTCTCTAATGCTGGTTGACCCAGTTGCCTCCACGTTATCGAACCAAATATGCGTCGGGTATCCTATCGAGTCACGAGCACATCAGGTCAAAGCGGCTGCAATTGCCTGCGCAGCAGTGGCGTTTCCCATCGTCATTCTACGATGCGTTGCTCGACTGATGGTCACCAAGAGGTTATGGTGGGATGACTGGACAGCCCTTGTGGCAACGGTAAGATTAGCCATATCGTAGCATTAGCCATCGCCAACACCTAGCAGGTTTTCTTAATTGCCCTACTCGTTCTACAGACCCAAAGTAGGTACATTCACGGCTAAAAGAAGTCGTGAGCTCACAACATGATAGGCACGGATCTCGGCTTTGGCCTCCATTACTGGAACGTCGAAGTAGCAAACGCCAAGACCATTTTTCAGGTTTGCCCCAAGTCTCTTACTACCACGAATAGTTCCTAACAAAAAAAAAGATATTCTACGCAACCCAGATTCTATACATCCTAATCCAAGTCTCGGCTAAAGCATCAATACTCGCCTTCTACTCACGGGTATTCACGAGTCGCACCTTTCGAATAGCTGTCTGGTCAGCAGCCGCGTTTCTCATCGGCCACGGCATCATCTTCCTGGGCTTGGTCATATTTCAGTGCAGTCCTATGGCTTCAATATGGAACCGGAACCTTGAATCTAAATGTCTGAACCTTACTGCTATCGGCTACGCTGGTGCAGTCTTTAGCATTGTTGAGGACATTGCAATCCTTATCTTACCGATTCCTGAATTGTTGAAGCTACAGCTTGGGGGCCGGAAAAAGGCAGCCTTGTTGTTCATGTTCAGCATAGGATCTTTGTGAGTAATAGCTAGTATTGGCATGGTCGAAGCTAACACACACAGTGCTTGCGTCACATCGATGGTGCGTCTAAAGTACCTAGTGAGCTTTGCGAGCACCTTTGATGCCACTTGTGAGTCGCATTTCTACCCTCGACCGTCATTGACTAACATTCGGAAGGGGACAACGTCTATGTAGTTATCTGGTCTATGATCGAACTTTCTTGCGCCCTAATCTGCGCCAGTCTCCCTGCGCTACGGCCTCTAATCCAAATGTTGCCAGGGGTGCTAAGCACGGCCAGGGGATCTTCGGTCAAGCACACAACAGATACCAGTCGACGAAATGCGAATACACATCCCAGCGTTTCCACAAGAACAGAAGAACCTCAGAGAATCAAGGGAGAGAGGAGCGACTACGGTAAAATGGGAGATGCATACCTGGATATTGAGCCCAGCAGTAGGGGTGGGAGTTATGAGTTGCAGACAGTGGCAAGCGAAAGGCGGATGGTTTGATTGTTTTAATGATTATTTAATGAGCCTAGATTACCTTAATGAGATAACCCACCTTATCGACCCCCCAAACTTTGCAGCCAACTCAATACGCATTTATCAAGACAGAGACTGAGACCAAAATTCACGACAAGGGGCAACGCTACAACGCTTCTGGCTTGCAGAGATACAACATTGATCTATTAGGGCCGGTCACTAGCTTTCTGGCTTCGTACAAAGATTGAAATTTATGACTTAACCAATTGACCTACAGATATTTGATATCAAAGGGCACCGTCTCGGCAAAGTCCCAATCATCCTCCCGCTCAGCATCTCCAAATACCCTGAGAGCACTAAAGACGACCTTGTACCTCCCCTCCGGAACAACTGTCCCATCAGCAAGTTGCCCTATAAAGCCGAGCCTGTAGTTCCTCCGGATCACCCAAACATCCGGAAACCCGGGCATGTTCCCGATGCTTCGAACGGAGAAGAATTCGGTGATGGGGAGTTTGGTGTCTGTGAGCGCCACGACGTCTGCTCGGACCATTTGCGTCCCAAATAGAAGACTGGCTACCATGCTTGGGTACTGGAATTGGCTATCCGGAGGTGGAGTCGTGCCTGGTTGAGGGATGGTAAAGGTCTTGTTGGCTGGCTCTGGTAGGCCATAGGTGCCCAGGAAAGTTCCATACTCAACGCCTTGTAGGAATATGGGAGTCTTTTTGATGCTCCCTGCAACACCCATGTAAGGGATGCTGTAAGACTTCTCATTGTTTGTTGAGAGAGTAATCAGGCCGCTGTACACTGGCAGCTGTGTTGCATTGACGTTCCTAGGTGGGATTGCCGTGACACTCACTTCACCGGACGAACCCGCTGGAACAGTCAACTCCCTGCAATGACGATTAGTTTGAGACCTAGTACTTATAGTGGCGACAAAGTGCAATAATACTTGGGAGAAAACGAAAGCTCCGCCCAATCATCGACGATAGGGTTGGGAAATGCTGCAACTGAGTGTGATCCAGCAGCAAAGGTGTACACGGTAGCAGCTTTTTTATGCCCTAACTTATACGTCACATCTTTATCTCCTGTATTCTTGATGCTGAACTTTTGGCGGCCCGAGAAGTGGTCTGTATCGTTGAGCGAGATCTGGCTCACGCTGAGTACCGTGGTAGCATGCGCAGCGTCGTAGGCCTGGATGAGTCCTGAGCCTTGCTGCGCAACAGGCGCTAGTATGTCATGAACAGTATTGCCATCAAACCACGGGTTAGGCTTGGAGGTGGAAGACATGACGCTCCGCAGCTCAAATGGATCACGAGATCCGCGGGCCTGTGCGACGAGTGCAAATATAGCGGCTGCTAGTGGTGTAGCCATAGAGGTCCCAGACATGACAGCATACTCTCCCATGTTCATCGGATACGTCGAAAGAATATTTCCGCCTGGTGCTGTGAACTGTGGCTTTGACTCGCCCTCCCAAGTCGGCCCCCAGGAGCTTGAAATGCTCGTAAGACCCCCGGACTCTTGGTTTGTCAAAGGCTCATAGTGATAGCCCGCCACGCTGGGATCAGTAATGTCGATGGTAATGTTTGACCCTTGGTTGAGGAGCGATATCCATTCTGCAGCTTGACCCGGTGTCACAACCCCAACACCTTCAAGGCCATCTGAGTAAGGGAGGATAGATTGAAAAGATCTGTACAAGTGTTATTCCAAGCATAAATGATTTAGGCCAACAGTGACAATAAACATACGAGTTAGTCTGGCTGTAGAATAGCATGTATTTCCCACCCTTTGCAGCCACGTTACCTCCCTGCTGCCAGGAGCCACACTGCGAGCTATCGGCCACCCGAACAAGGACGATCTTTGAAGACAAGTCGGGCGTGTTTTCCGAAAAAGGTGAGCAGGCATCATTTGTCGAAGTCGTATCATTGCTCACGGCCCATAACGGTAGGGTTAGATTCTCTCTGAAACCAGGACCTCCGTTGAGGAACCCGAAGGAACGGGTATTCTCATCCGAAGTGTAAGATGCAGCAGTGAGAAGCAGAGGATTGATCGTATTCTGAACCGAACCGATGGCATTGACGTTGACCCCTGTGGCTGGAGAAGCAGTCAAGAACAGACCAGATGAGCCGCCGTTGCCTGGAGCCACCATGATCGACACGCCCTCCGCAGCAATGCGAGAAGCCGCTATTGCCCAAGGATCATTGGCCCAACCGGTGTAGTACCCGGCAGAATACGAGATGATGTCACTTCCATCTTCAAAAGCCGCGTTGAAAGCTTCGAGCATGATGTCGTTTGTTGATAGCCCCGTGCAACCCCAGGCCCGATACATCCCAAGAGTGACATCTGGAGCAGCACCGGTGAAGTTTAGTTCGTTGGATTGAGCCGCAATAGTGCCCGCAACATGAGTCCCGTGGCCGACGCAGTCGTCGAAGGGATCGTCATCGGGCTCCGGCTCTCCCGGAGGTGAGTAGTTGTCACCGACAAGGTCTCGGCCATAAGCTATCAAGCACCCCTTGCCGAAGCAGCCGCCGAGTGCTGGATGCGTGTAGTCGACGCCGCTGTCAACCACAGCAATGCGAATCCCGTTGCCTGTATAGCCCTCAGCCCTGAGCTTGTCGACCTGGGTTATCATGTGAGGTGTGAAGGTATCCTTCTCAGTATCGCGACGTTTCTTCGAGCCGGATGAGGCGGAAGCTGTTGCATTCCCCCCAATCATAATCGGGTTGGGCGCCGGTATCTTGATCACTTTGACAGGCCAGATTCTCTTGACTTCGGGCCTGGCGGCGATCTGTTCGGCAATTTCCCCGCTCTCATCATTGGTAGCATTGTCGAGTCGAAAGGAAGCACCGTGGAATAGTCGGTAGTTGAAGGTCTTTCGCGGCTCAACCTTGATGCCTAGGTCCTCATAGAAGCTCTCTCCGGGATCTTTGTTGTCCTCCCACTCGACAATGAAGGCGCCTGGGATAACATCAGCTTCTTCTTCTTGTGATGGAGCCTGATCGTTCGCTTGAGATTGTGCGTTGGCAAGGGCAGCAGAAAACGGGCCTAGAAGCACAGCCAAGGCCCAGGTTGCGATCACATCACGCTTCATGCTGGGCAAGGAAAACGATTCTTGGGCTATGGGACTCTTTCTCTTAGATGACAGAAAAGGTAGAGTGACGAAAACTACTCGAATGGTTCAGTGAACGGTATTAAATGGTGATCGTCACGCCATGGAGATGATTAATGCCCAGCTTGCCAAGGCTCGTATCCTACAATTTAGTCAAGGGCCTCCAGTACGTGATGCTTGTATATCACATTCAGAGTTGCATTGCGATAACGAGACCTTCCTTTTTTGGGTTCTATACGGACCACTATGTTACACTGGAGCTAGTCTTGACTATCCGATCAACCCGAATCCGAGGACATGAAACCTTAGGACTGAAGGCCACCAATCACATGGCTCTAAGTAACGTTATCTATTCAAAGACGAGGCGGTAAGCCCTATCGTTAGCAAATACGTGCCTTTAGGTGCTAGGAAAGTATCCAATAAGGCCGCTGCAAATTTTCACCATCTAAAGTGTACATAACATGATATAATCGAATTCTTGATGATAAATCTATTTCATGTAAATACCTTTGAGGCGCCTGCCCAATCAAAGTTCCCAGTACTCCGCTTCCATACAAAAACACATCAAGAAAGGGGAGAATAATAGCTCCGGCATGTCTCAAAACTTGCACTACAAATGATATATGTCATGCCCACTTCAAAATCACATCAAGACTTGACTACCACTTCTTCCTTTTCCTTAGGCTGAGACGCAATAATCTTGGGGAGAAACAGCCACACCATACCCATAGAGTCATAAGAAGGCTTGTCGAGAGAAAAGATCAACATGATGACCTGAATAATGGCGAGGGCGAAGAGCGAAATGTCAAATCGCCTCCGGTTCTATCCAAAATCAGCATCTTGCACGTACATCGAACGACTTTTTGAGCGTACCATGTAGGATCCAAGTATAGGTATTTTCCGTTGACCTTTGACTTTTGAAATGCTGGATAGCGCCAGGCCAGTCATGGAAGAATCAGCCACCCCGGAAACCACATCCCAGATGATCCAAAGAACAACAGAGTTTGAGGTGTCGTTGAGATGATAAAATATCCTCAAGATCGACATCATGGTGCGAGCAATAAGGATGGTCCACATAGAGAGTCGGCGCAACAGCATCGCCTCGTCGTCGGTGGCAAGAGAAAAGTCATCCCAGGTCCAGCAGCAGTCGCAGGGCTCGTCATCGGGCCGGGAGCATGGTGTAAACCAAGGGAACATAATGGTCGATTTTTAAGGCGGAGGTTGAATGGTGGCGGCTGTTGTTTTTCGATTGTGGAGATTAATGATTGAGCATGAAGAAGAAGCGCTTCATTTAAGCGGGGACGACTTTCATATAAATGCAATCAGGCGTTTTTACAACAGGGATCATGTTGGCTGTGTCGAGTAGCAGAAACGCATGTTGGTCGTCGTAGGATGAGGCTGTGCCAGACAGCCAACAGGACTAGTCTTGCCCTGCCCTGTAACGCCATTCAATTGGGGCTGTCCCAGCATCTGCGCCCTCACTGGCCATTATTGGGCGCGACTCAGCCCATGTCAACATAGCCCACCCTACATGTGAGTTGGACGTAGGGTTTCGCAATGATTACCCCAATAGGAATCCAGCATGTTTGAAAGAACACATGAGAAATAGAAAAGTAAATAAGAATAAAAGCGTTTTGCTTGACATCTGGGAGGAACAGAGCGACCGGTAAATTACGTTAGCAATCAATTTCAAAACGGCAAACTTTTCATTTGAAATTACCTATAAACTAATCGCTTGGAATCAATTGAGACTTCTATCTTTATCCTTTATCTCTAAGTCATGGTGCTTGCTCATGTTTGACTGTTAAGAAGGCTGAGGCATGATCCTTACTAGGTATACTTTCTTGTCGGGAGTAACGTCTCTAAACAGGCCAAGCCGATCGGACATTGAATACCGAACGCAAAACCCCTGTCGATTTGTCGTCCATTCTAGCCCTTGTCAGCGGTAATTAGACGGGAATTGTGTGAGACTAAGGACGCCACGCCTTTTTTGATCTGGGGTAGCAATTCTCTGATGTGATTGGACAGGATCTCCTGAAGACCAGACGGGGAGGCAGAGTGCCAGCTCTCCTCTTGTTGACATATGTCAACGGTACAGATCTGCCAAAATAGACAGTAACTACTATATCCCACTCGTAAGCCGAGATATTACCATTAGGCATGCGAAATCTCTTGGATGACCTGAACCCTCCCCTATCTGTTGCAACACCCAGTGGCCTATCAATGGAGTCGTATTAACCAAATAGGTTCCTCGCAGATTACGCCATCACCACCAAAAGCAGACAATCAATCGATAAGTCACATCGACAACTTCCAACCAAACAAGACCAGTAGATTATGCATTCATGTGCGGGGAAATTGATCACGACATCGACCGTTGCTTCTTCCAGGTTGGGGTGATATGTCAGCAATCCGATAGTCGGCATTCCTCCTTATAACTTACCCTAGTATCCCCAGTACTGACTCTTGTTTCTTCTCTTTGAATTAGCACTATAGAAAACATCGAGTCATTCGCAGAGCCCAACATGCCTTCCGCCGTCCAAGACATTCCACAGTACACCTACGTGCCCGAGACCAAGGAGAACCTTGATTGGGCAGACTGTATGACACCTTTTCCCACGCAACCCATTGTTTCGCCAATCTCCCTGTTCTGGATATTAACATCTAGAAGTGGCAAACGTCGACCTCTCTAAGTACGGCACTAAGGAGGGTAACGCTGAGCTCGCTCGTGTTCTTGTAGATGCCATCCGGACCAAGGGCTTCTTCTACGTCACCAACTTTGACATCCCTCAAGCCAAAATCGACAGGCAGTTCGCCCTCGGTCAGGCCTTCTATGACCTTCCCCTGGAGGAAAAGTTCAAGTACGTCCCCGACCTTGATGCGGGCGACTACAATGGCTACAGACCTGCTGGAAGACGAACTCTGTCGGGAGGTGTGAAGGAAAAGACTGAAGTGTGGAACATGGCGAGTAAGCCACCCGATAAAGACAAGATCAAACAAGACTACTGACATCATCTCAGCCAAGGATGGAAAAATCACACAGCCTATCCCTACTCTGCTAAAGAATCATCTAGAGGAGATTGAGGCATTTGCCAAGGTTTGCCACCCATAGCTATAGCTCACCATGTCGCTCACACCAAGTCCAGGACCTACATGACAAGGTTCTTGACCCATTGCTTCACCTCGTCGCCATCGCTCTAGAGATCCCAGAGGACTATCTCGTCAATCTCCACAAGTGGGGAACACACAACGAATCCCATCTTCGATACATGAAGTACGGAAAGTTCTCCCCACAAGAGATTGAAGCACTTGAGGATGGCTTGTGGTCTCGCGGTCACACAGATCTAGGCTCTTTCACACTGTTGTTTAGACAGCCTATTGCAGGTCTCCAGATCAAAGACAACGAAAACGGAAGTTGGAAGTGGGCAAAGCCACTGGACGGAAGTCTGACTGTCAACGCGGGCGATGCGTTGAGTTTCCTGACTGGAGGATATGTCAAATCAACAATCCACAGAGTAAGTCCAAGTCCACAACTCACAGTGCATCTCTAACCTCACACCAGGTTTCTGTGCCCCCCAAGGACCAGCGCAACGTAGACCGCCTAGGCCTCCTCTACTTCTCACGCTCGGAGAACGACTTTGTTCTCAACACCATCGACTCTCCCGTACTCAAGCGTGAGGGATACACCCAGAATGAGTTTGAGTCTGGCGGTCATCCGGTTCCCACCATGGAAGAGTTTACCCGACTAAAGCAGACTTGGCAGCAGTCCAAGAAGAGGGGCACCAGCTATGAGGAGTTGGAGGGACAGCAAATCCTGCCTGGTTTCAAGGGCAAGTATTTTGCATGATTTCAAGTGAAGGAGCCACTTGTAAGGAGAGTACCGAAATACACAATGAAGGCACACATGGGCTTCTGTTATCAGTAGAAAGTGAGAGCATCTTTAAGCCGTAGCTAATTTTAAGAACTCGCACTGAGGGCTTATTGAACCACCCATGATATCAGGCTGAAAGGAAAGCATAAGCGGCTATATCCACGCGTTGCTGACAGACGAGCGTAGGGCAGAAAGTGGCTGTGTAAGAAAATGCCGCATCTTGCGTCTATCCGCGACGTTCAATCTCATCTTCTTGGTCAACATCTTACAATCTATTCATGAAACCTATTCGCAGTATCTACTCTATCCATGCTTTTAGAAAAAGACACAGCCAAGTTTTCTTCTACATAGCAAGGCCCCCATAATGGCTACGTCGATACCCCAGGTCGATGAGTCGCAGATCTGCCAAGGCTGTCAAAACGTCTTGCAAGCAATCCTAGCGACCGTCCAGTCAACGATACCTGGCATGGCTCATGGAAAGACTAGAATCGTCACAGATTCGAGTCATGTCATGAAGGAGTTGCTAGGGCTCAGCGCTAAACAAGAGCCACTACCTTGCAAGATGTGCGAGTTCCTCCGCCGCACGCTCACCCCAGATTCCCCGTTTGCAAACGGTCAATCCAATTGGTTGGAAGTCTTTGGGCACCCCATTAAGACTCTTCTTGGTTCTCACTCAATTTGCGACGATGATCCTGTGATATCTGCAGCTCCGGTGCAGAATGTAGTGCGATCTTGGTTATTTCGGCTTGGACATCGATACGTCAGGTCTCGCTTCCGACCTGATGCTTATTTCTTCGGAGTTTATGGATCTGAGGGTTCAATATGTGGACGTAAGAGTCTGTTATACCTTGTAATGGTTTGTAGCTGACCAACATATAGAAGAGAATCTCTTAGGCGACTCTGGAGAATCCGAACCAACACCAACCCCCAGCTGGATAGTTTCTGTTGTACCCATCCCTCCACTTATCGACTTTACCGTTCTGAGATCTTGGATTACCAACTGCCCTCCTGAATGCAGATCCCCACGGAGCTGGTCTGATGCAGAGTGGGACCTCGTTAGCTTGATCGACTGCGAGACGCGTCGAGTTGAAAAAGCAGCCAAAGGAGCCAGATTCATTGCCCTCAGTTACGTATGGGGGCAACCAACAGAGAAAAACCCTCGTCCAATCAAGTACCCAATCCCCTTTCAGCTCCCTGATCGCTGCACGCCTACCATTGAGGATTCGATACAGGCAACTAGAAAACTCGGCTTTAGATACCTATGGGTGGATGCCTTGTGTATCAGTGGCGAACAAGATCTGATGATGAAACAGATATCTCGCATGGACTTGATATACAGTCGTGCAGACCTCACGATTATAGCACTAGCAGGGAAAGATGCCTCTCATGGACTTCCAGGCGTTAGCACACCACGTCCCGCGGCAAACCAGAACAAACAAGCCTTGAAAGTCGTTCAAGGCAGCAGTTGCTACACTCTGGCATCAGCACTGGCTCCTTTGGAGTCAGTTATTAGTGATTCTGTTCATACTACCAGGGGCTGGACCTATCAAGAAGACTTTCTTTCTACGCATCAGCTCGTCTTTGCCGATGACACGGTCTACTTCACATGCCCATTTGGCTCCCTACAAGAGTCAGTCGCCATCCCGTCAGAAGTTGAAGCACTCCTACGACGTCAAGGACCACTGAGCTCGAGAGAAGTGAGTCAGCAGCCAGCGAACCCCGAATGGTTCTACAAAGGACCTGATTTCGTCGTTCATCCAAAGAAGAAAGTGAAATCGACCGGATCTAGCTTTCTGGAAGTCTTTCATCACCATGTCGAGGAATACACCCGTCGAAACCTATCCTTTGACGGAGATAGCTTGCATGCATTCCAAGCGGTTCTCGCACGTTTCTCTTTCCATGGCTTACTCCATCTTTGTGGCGTTCCTTTTGATGAGAACAAGGATACCGGGAAGGATCCCCTGCCTACTATCCCAGTCTCGCTGAATAAAGCACATGGCAAGATGTCGAACCAGGACTTTGGTACTGGTCTTACTTGGGTTCACATGGACTATGCTATCAAGAGGCGTTCTCACCTTCCTTCTTGGACATGGGCTGGATGGGAGGGCCCGGTGTCTTGGGAGGGAGGATGTAAGCCTCTGAAATCAGTGAAAAGGCCCAGATTCTTCGTGCTGGATAAAACTCGGGGAGAAGCATTGAACAATGCAGATTTGTTGGTTCGGGCTGAATATTGGGCAGTGAGAAGAGAACATGCAAATGAGCCCGCGTATCTCGTTGTGCAGACAAGCACTTGGGTTCAAGTCAAGCTTGAGAGAGAAAGGCCAACTAAGTCAATGAGATGGACTTTTCGTATACACCAAGGGGAGAAGGAAGGCGGCGAAGAGAACATTCTCTTCGCCAGTATTTCGACAGCAGAAGGAGAACAGGCAATGCTTGGTCAGAGAAGGCTGGCAGCGTTCCACGTGGCAGAGAATCGTGAATCAACAACCTGGCTAATCATATGGGAAACGGGTCGGCAAGCTGGCGGAAAACGTATTTGGGAGCGGGTTGGTTTGGGTCGGGGTCGGACATCCCAGTTTCTTACTACAAACCTAGCTCAACAGGAATTTCTCTTGGGCTAACGTAAACTACCTATCTACGAACTCAAGTTTAGTGAATAAAACATAAACACTATCGACAACAGTCAACATTCACTTACGATCATCCCCTGCTCTATGTCTTCCTCCATGCCTCGCGCTACGCATCCTAGACAACCCTCCTTCCCGTGTACATCTTAGACTCACACACAGAGGTTAGAGCAGCTAAAATACCTATGAGAGGCTAGACGTTTCATGACGATATGGCTAGGTATAACTCTTTTACTATTATAAAGGTATAAAAAGGCTATTATATTAATATCAGGTCATAATATTATAATGTATTAAAGATCTGTTCTTTATTATAGTTATAGCCCGGCCCCTAATGGGTTAACTAAGCCTGAAGATCGAATATCAGCTTTGACTCGGAACTCTAAAGGAACAAATGCTTAAATGACCTACAAAGAGGGGGAAGACTACACCGCAAGAAGCCCTAAAGAGGGCATTCCCGGCAAGAACCGAAGCCGCATACTGAGCATAGGCTATGCCCAAATAGCTAAGGACCGGAATGAACAGCGTGATTATGCTGACGGTAAAAGACCCAGACCCAACTAACGGCACAATCCAGTGGGTGCTCGAGCGCGCTGCCCATCAGTGTGACCTCTTTCATGCGCGAGTGTCCGCAGCGTCTCTCCAAATTTGTGCCAATCATTCAACCTGTTAGCACTATTGTCCATGTCCATCCATCATACGCAGTCTCAGGCAAGGTACTATTGTGTGTGAGCTGGGTAACGCCCCCAAATGAAACCATTAGCCGCAAAAACAAAAGACACAGCCATTGAAAAATGACGCCGTCAAAATCCAAGCGTAAAGCATCTTTGCCCTGAAAAGAACCTATCACTTCCGGTGTCCGCACCAAAGACAGCTCATCTTTCCACCATAGAGGCAGGTTCTTGCCATATCTCGCTAACATCCCACGGTATATATTGTAAATAAAAGCTCCCGTGTAGTGATGTCTTTCACTGCGTGGCTCGTGACATTACCTCACTGACAGATGGTTCTGTGTCGGGGGTTCATACGCCCATACCTTGAGAGTGCTCTGGCTAAGAGTGCAATGCAATCTGTTAACCTGAGGGTTTTATGGATTGGCCAGACATTAAACATCACGTCCTTGTGCCCCGGGCTCCCTGTTTGAAGCGCATTCCATCGAGCCATCTCCCGTTGTCTCGTCTTGCATGGTCGTTCCATTGTCAAGGGGCGCGGAGACGACATGTTCTGAGTCCAGCGGGGGCTGATTCGATACCGGGTTGGGAGTATTTACCTTGCTTGTCATCCTCCTTACACAGGGAAAAATAGTCAATGAACCCAGTCAAAACTACAGACCTACCTTGCCGAGTTACAAGCCTGCCTCTGATTTTATGTTTCCATTCGTCTTTTCTCTCATGCATTCTTTAGCCAAAGGGCCAGCTGTATTGGCCATGACTTGTCTCGCCATCACCCCGTGACACGTTTGTCTCTTTCCGACGTACAAGACACTCAATATAACCTCAGTTATTCCAATCCAATCTTTGACCACCTGCCCTATAACGTTTTCAGTCCTTGTTTCGTGTTGTCCGAGGTTCTATCTCGAAGTTCTCCCGTAGCGTATCACCCCAGTCCGGAAGAGGGGGGAGGACATCATAGTCCCGTTGATCGTGGGCAAAGAACCGGGACTTTTGCCACTTGTGGATATCCCAGGTACGACACTCATCAAAAACCGCTTCCACGTCATGGGGTTGTCCGGGGTTAAAGTTGCAGCGGAGGACCGACGTTTGATTGGAAAGATGCTCCAGAGCCTGCCAGAGGTCCTGCGGGACTTTGGCAAAGGTGTACTCGGGTATGTGCTGAGATGGGACTGGCAGAATGCCTTGGGCGTAGCATCGTTCCAGGGCCGTCTGCCAAGCAAGATCATGATGAACCGTGCGCTGGAAAATGTCAGAGCACAAGTTGGTGGCTCGCCCACTATCTAGGACCAGGGTGAAGGCGTTGGCAAGCATGCCGGCATCCACTGTGGCGAGACCTCCAAGGAGCCAGTGGGCTACAACCTCGGTGATACAAGAATAGCTAATCTGGTATCGAGTGTTGTTTGGCTCATCCCGCGAAGAGATTGGTAGCGAGTTTAGGTTGCCCAGTTCGGCTTGTTGAAAGATAGTGTTGAGTACGTCTACACGGCGCTCGATTCGGAGTCTGGGGTTCTCTTTGCAGAAGGGAATTAGTCCTTGTGCATGACGCTCCGGGTGAGCTATTGAAATGTGGTCCTCGTGCACCACCATCTTTCGTAGCTGGAGGCGCGTGTGGGAGGGGAGGGAGTTGAGGAATCGGATAGCAACAGCCACCGCCGAGAAGCGGAACTTTTCACGATAGCGCTGTTCTTCATAGTCCTCCTTGTGCCATCCGTTCATCCTATCCCATACACGGTCGTCTGACAGCTCAAGACCCGTGGTCGCAAGCACAGACTGCGAGGGGATGGCCCAAGGCTCGTACGATTTGTCGAGGAATTCAAAAACATCTTGCGTCGCCTCCCTTCTTGGAAGTTCTTTGTTGATCAATTGGGTGAGCTCCGGTCCGTGCGACTGCGCAAGAAGCCGTAATGCGTATGTGACGGCCTGGCTCACCAGGCAAGTGTTTTCGTGGCACCATTCCCACCGTTCTTGGCCTGTCGAGAAGCTGTTCAGACAGCGGTAGGGGCCTAGCTCGAAGTGAAATTGTTCTTCATAACGAGTCGTCCTTGGAACTGGTTCCTCCTCGGCACGCGCCAACATGGGCATGAAGCGAGGAAACTTGAGAGCGATTTGAGAGCGCATGTCCGGAGTCAGATGGTGTGCCATCCTCATCAGTAGATTGCTCTGTAGTGAAAGTTGGAGATCGAGCTGATAGTGAAAGCGGCCGGCCCATGCACTCCACTCTGGATGATGGACAGTCGAGAAAGAGACGGTGTTGAACCTTAGAGGCAGATCCTTTGCCTCTTTGGCAATGAGACGACATGTGTACATAAGTGCTAGATCGAGGGGTCGTCCATCGGAGGTTGCGAGTTTCCCAGGTCCGGCTTGGAAGGTATAGCCATCGTCGAGCGTGAAGTAGTGCTGGTAGATCTCGTACCGCAGCTCGTAAGGAAGAGTGAAAATGCTGGCTGGAGGCATGTCGACGAGGGACTGAAGGCTCCCGAGCGTGCGCATCATACGTATCGAGGGGTTTGTTAGTGGGGGGATAGATACAAAAGCCTGTGATTTGAATGGACTGGTTGATCAAGATGGGGAGCAGTTGTCGATGAATCGATCATGCTATTGGAAGCATCAGGAGGATGAGGTTGGAAGAGAAAAGGCGGGTGGGCGGGTGTCTTTTAAAAGACGTAAACTGCGGGGCGCCATCAGGCAGAAGTCGGAGTGGGGCAAACTCAAAAGAGTCGGGGCATTCCTTTCAGAGGTTGTGCGTGCAACGGGCGGGACGAGGATTCGTGGAGCATCACGATTTATTGAAAAGTAATTTAACCTCATAGCATACCCAAAGGTAGATCAAGGCAACCCAGTCAGAGAAATACAGTTTTACACACAATCAAGCCATCATGCCCAATGCCTTTCAATATATAAGTCAATATCAAATAAGCTCTGCAAATGCTTCCGCGCTCAACACTCTGCCTCAACGAACCTTCTTTCATCACGATGATAAAAGCTACCAGTATGGTTAGTCCCAAGTGTCATTTCTAACAATAAAGTGCCACAAAACTTACCAGCCTGCTCTCCATCTAAAATCGGTGCAAACAACACCAACCAAGCACACCTGCCACTATCCGCAATTAGCTTCGTCACTAAATAAGCTCTAGTCCGATAAAAATGTACTTGCCAGCCATGAGGTGCGTTTTCCCACTCAATGACACCAGCGCACCAGCGCTACAATACTGCAACTAAGCCAGAGAATATCAGCCATACATGAACGAGCAAAAGGGCTTATTACTATGCTTACCACGATGCAGTGCTCCCACGATTCACTGACCCTATCGGGGTCAAGTCTTCAAAAGGCATTGCAATGCCTTAAGGATAATAGCCTATTGAGGCTGCTGGACCCAAAGAGGCTCCTGGCAGTCTCTAGGCCCTTGTCAGACCTGCAGAGGGTCACTATATAAAAGGTTAGACAAGAAAGAATAGCTCTCTGAGTATGCTTACATTTGGCTGTCTTTGGCTGCCTTTTGCTCGTCAGCGAACGAGCCTTCAATGGCACTGCCGAGAGGCGTTTCATCGAGGCGCAAAGAAAGAAGCTCAAGCGCCTAGCAATGCGAATCAATCGCAACAGATTGCAGGCTCAGGATAGAGCATTCCTCAGCCAGTTGCAGCAAGAAGAGATGTGGTTGCAAGAACTTCTCTGCTGCTTGGAGTGGGTCTGGATGTCAAGCCAGTGAACACCTATCGGGTGTTAACAGGGTTTCCATCTGAGAGGTAGGCAAGAACTGGCTTACCAAAGATGACTCACCGGCTTCCCAACAGATGAGCCACGGGATGGGGATGGAGTCTGAACCTATATGTCAGCAAGACCGTCAGAATGCAAGTTTGGAGCGGCGCGTCCAGTTATGACAGAAAGATGACTTACAGAGTCAAGGTTCAATGAAAAGTTTATCAACACAATTCAAAACAAAGTTTCAAGACGTGCAGACAGCAAATGCAACCTCCCCAGGCAGGTCAGCACACGACGGACTCAAAGAATCTAAGTAACAGCCAGACTTACTGCGTAAACACAATGAGTAATCCAATCAAATCACTGGAACCCTTACAAAGGGAGTGCGGCTACTCCTCAGCCATGTCGGATGGGCCATTTTCCCGAGGCCAGACGTACTGGTTCAGGTCAAAGTGAGTAATGGCCCAGTCGCTCGCGGCCTCGGGCTCCTCAATGAGTAGCCTGTAAAAGTTGTTGTGGCCAATCTTCTCGGTCAGCGCAGCCCTTGGTCCTCGGAGCCTTTCACACTGGGTGAAAAGGTGAAAGGCGGTGTGTCTGCCCTTCCCGCAAGGGCATCGAGGTGAGTCGGCACGCTGGTCCTTTGTCAGAGGCAAACTTCAAAAGACGAGTGGATGACACAAGTCGACGTACCTTTATCGAGTACAGATAGTCGTTCAGTCCGATCACCCCAGTTCTGCACTGTAGCAGAATGCTGGTTTGGGCACGGGGAAGATCGCTGTAGCATCTGAGAAAAGCGTCGCCCCCCCAGGGATCTTTCATCGCTGCAGGCACCGTCGCGTGCTTCTGGGCTCGTTTCTGGCGATACTCATCCCATATAGCCTCGCTCTCCCTGAAAGTGTCCCCCATGCAGTATGCCTTCAAGGCATTGTTTTTCTCCTTTGGAATACTCCAGATCGAGGCTGCCCTGGCCTCACCTGATTCAGACACCATACCCTTCCACGTTCGCTCTCTAAGTTCTCTCGCACCCCGATCAAGGAGTGTGTAGGGATGAATCTTGTCGTCGTCCCATTTGCTGAGCCTTGTTCTCGCCTCGACTAGGGCATCGTGGTCGGGGGTCTCGAACATCTTGGTCCGGTGGGTTGCCGGCACAGAGTCATTCGAATGCTGTCAATCTTCAGCTCCTTTTCGAGAACGATCCTGGAGGTCCCCCTCATCGCTCCAGAGATCTGGAGCAAGCACTGATATTGCAGCGACTCGAGGATGCCGAGTCTCTTCCGCGTGATCCCCCAGTTCACATCCTTGTGGATAGGTATGAACCATGCTCCGCATGCATACGTGATGATGGGCAGGATCTTGGTGACGTAGATGTGCCTCATGGTCTTCAGCTTAGGCCCCCAGATGGACCCTGAGATGCCGCGCAAGTGGTTCATCTTGGCCTGGACCTTGCTCTTTCGCTACTCCTCACGTTAGCTGGTGCGTGCGTCAAGGCAAAGTATCTGCACGTACCTCTTGAATGTGTTCTTCCCAGCGGAGCCCCTTGTCGACCTCTACACCAAGTATTCTCAGGTGTACCTCGGGCTTTTTGTTGAAGCCGGGGATCTTTGGGGTCAGTGTACAATCGGGCCCACGAGAATATGGTCGTTTGAAGTGCATGAGGTTGTACTTTTCGGGTGAGAACGTGACTCCTAACGTCGTTGCGCATTGGATAATCATGCCATGACACCTCTCAATCGCCCTACAGTTCATCTCGTAGCTCCTCGACACTGACAATATGTAGGTATCGTCGACATAGGCGAAAACGTAGATAGTGGCTCCATTGTAGCGGCACTCGGAGGCCTTCTCGAGGATCGGTGCTGAGAAGAAGAGGAACAGGATCGGTGACACAGGGCTTCCCTGAGGAATGCCAATGTTTACCCATAAAGCGGGTGAAGTTGCGCCGGGCATTCTTAGCACAGTACTGCGACTGGACAAGAAGGACCAAGTCATCAGGACAACCCAGTCTGGGATGCCCCGTTTCACGAGTCATTCCAGGAGCTTCGTCCGATCCACATTGTCGAATGCTCCCGCAATGTCAAGACCCAGCAATGTGGCCTTCATCCTCTTCTTCGTACACCAAGCGGCGTAGATAGGATTGAGGAGATACTGGAGCGCCTTGGTCGTGCATTTTCCAGGTAGGCCAAACTGTACATGGGGAAGCAGGTTGTTCTCCATCGCGAGATCCTTCAGGCGGTCAGCCAAGATTCTTTCCAACATCTTGCCCAGGGAAGGCAACAGGGCGATAGGCCTCCAGCTCTTCGGGTGGCTATATACCTTTTTACCTGGCTTTCGCAGAATGATGGTGGTCGCATGCTTGAAGTTGGACGGGTGATAGCCAAGCTGTAAGCAGGCATTGAAGATACGGGTCAGAAAAGGAAGCAAGACGCCGATGGCCTTCTTAATGGCCTCGTTGGCGATCTGGTCTGGTCCAGGCGCCTTCCCAGAAGATAGCCTCTGGATGATCTCAGCTACCTCATCCTCAGAGACGGACTGCTTGGCTGAGAGCTGGTGTCTGGTCGGGTCGAGAGACGGCTTTGGAAGGCTCGGTGCGGCCTCGCCGTCGCTGGTCTCGGGCCACGTGCTGTTCCTCAGACTAAGCTCCTTCTCCTTCTTGGTCCGAAGTATGGTGTCGTTGACTTCGAACACGGGGAGATGAGCGGGCTCCTTTGGCTGGCACATGGCCGTGGCCATCCTGGCAATCCTGTGAGCGCCCCGACTGTATTTTGTGCTGGCTGCCGTGAACTGACGCCAGCTGTCTCTGTTCTGGGCCCGTTCTTTGGCAATCCTCTTACTGTTGCAATGGCTCCAGTACCGATGCCACCGACCATTGTTGGACTGGCGAAGCTTCTGCAGAGCCATCCTTTCCTCGTCTTTGAGTCGCCTCAAGGCACCGTTGACTGGCCGTCTAGTTGGCTTGAAACTTGCGCAAACTCGCGTAGGCACATGCTTGTTGATGGCAGAGCTGAGGACTTGACGGATGGCATCGATGTATGTGTCGATATCGCTCTCGGTCTCAAGAGACGGGTAGCCCAGGGCGTCCATGCCGTCTTGGACATCTTTGTTGAAGATCTTCTCCTTCGTGCGTCTCCACTGGAAAACGATCCGACTTGTCCGAGCCAGTTTGAGGCTCAACCTCGTCTCAATGACTCGATGATCAGACTCGAAACCGAGAACGTCCAGAACCTGCCAACTCGTCCAACGTTGTATGATTTGATCGCTGATAAACGTGAGGTCGATGGTCGAACCATCCTCGCTCACGCCGCGAGTGAAGGTGGTGGTGCCGGGAACAGTGAGGCAGGTCATCCTGGCTGCCTGTAGCCCCTGATGAAGATCCCTGGCGTCTTTGGAGACATTCTTCACCTCAACACCTCTCCAATGCTCGTGGGAGAGGTTGAAATCCCCGACCAGAATATCACGGCCCGTTGTTGTTGTGTCTCTTATCAGCGCCTCAATGTCCATGGTGGTCTTCATGTTGTAGACGTTGTGGATTGCCAATGTACCGGCATTGGGCGTCTGCAAGTAGAGACTCGCTGCAAGATCTTTGTTGGCACCCTTGTGGTATTCTACCTCATAGGTATCGCCTGGGATCGATTTGTGCACAAAGAAGCACACGTGGGATAGACGGACAGCCGGCTTCCCACGCGCACGATTCTGGGGTCTGTCATCCTCACGGAGTGGCCTTTCTGGATCGTAAAAGGGTTCGTACGCTCGAATCGAGTTCCACGGCATGTCGGGAGGAGGGTCTTGAAGGACAATGACGTCCGGGGGTCGGCGCTGTGTCCCAACCTCACGGGCAAGGTTTTTGAGCCTTTTTCCGCAATTCTTCAGATTGGCTTGCCAAATGACAAGCTCCGAATCGTTGAACGCGGGGTGGTGTTGCATGATCGGCGGGAACAGCCCTTCGGGAGCCTTGCGGTTCGGCATAGTAACTCGCCTCGTGTGCGAAGTCTTGGGGGAGGGCTAGCTGTTGCCAAGTCAGCCTTGTCTCGGCATGGTTGAGTTGATGCGGGTACCTACTTTCTTGTGGATGAGGTCGCGGAGAACGGGGCGTGGAAGATGACCAAGATGATCAAGGGAGCGGAGACAGCGTAGACTAGAGAGGTTACAAAGAGGTCGTCAGGTGGTGAAGGCGCGAGACATACGGAAGACTGAGATTCGAGCAATAGAACCACAGTACAAGGGTGAATCATGTGAAAAGACAAAATCTTCAGAACAATGCCGTGCCGTGATAAGGTCGAAGAAGGACGCGGCAGATGAGCCAGGTTGTCAATGAAACGGAAAGGAACAACGGTGTGCTTCAAGTGACTTGGTCTGTTAGTGTTCTCTGGCGAAAGGTACGCGACCATCTCTGTACTTATGCAATTCAAATAATCCGAGCAATCTTCGCCAAGCCATTGCCTCCATAGGTACATCCACCGGATCCGGATAACTAGGCACGTACTTCCCCATGTTTCGGAGGTCATTGTCCGCCGTCGAGCCCGATCCCGGCTCCGGTGTCATGCCGTCCCGTCCCCGAATTCATTGAGGCGGGCGCACAAGCAAGCCTCATTCGACTCCTACAACTTGGCAGGGCGAGTTGCCGTTGCAGAAATTTCGACAACGCAACACCGGTCAAAGCCACCGACTCGGTCACCGTCAATGCCGTCTAGGGATGCGGCTGATCATTGGCTCAATACCTGGGCTAGCTCTCAGCAAAAGCAAAGAGGCTCGTCCGCCTCACTCTTTCTGATACAGGGGCTCTGACAACATGATTCTTCGCACGGCAGAAGTCCCCTGTCGCTCAGGGGCATTCGAGGAATCTGTTCTGGTCTCGTCGGTGTGGCGAGCTACGTCTGCAAGCCTCGATGATCTATCACTCAGTTGAATCCCATCACAGCAATAGTATAACGCCAATGTAACGCTCCGAGGCGATCTGGAAACTAGCAAGGGAACGATCTGGATGCGTCGAAGGGCCAGAATAAGCCATCCGGACGCCTGCACCCTGCTCGGCTCTTCATCATCAAGACTTGTTGATTCTGTGGCTTCGTCGGTGTATCCGTATTCTGAAATCCCTTCATCGGACATTCCCAATTAAGTAGCCCGTGCCGAGCGGCCTGACCACCGAGCATCGGGGAGGAAATCAAGATCCGTTGAGGTGTAAGCATGGAGTAATTTGTTGAGGTCATGACGAGTCCAGCTAGACATGGGTTTGACTCCTTGTCATGACTGCTTTTTCTCATACCGGTTTACTTCAGAGGCAAGACTCGATGTTGCAAAGATCTAGAGACTAACGTGGTCGAATCTTTACCGCTCCAGAAGCGAGTCCCAGAGGAATCGGCAACATCTTGAAACGCTCAAGATATATTGAGGCACTCTGAGGCTCGAGTCTTGTTGCAATCCAATCCACATTGCCCAGCATTCCCTGTACCACTTCCACGCCTTCAGTTCCTTCTTTCCCTGCCCACCATGCCCAGAAAGGCTGCTCAACCTCCTCCTCCCAGCATCGTGGCGCCTGAGGAGGAAGGTGGCCTGGCCACACAGGTGGCTGAAAAGGTCCTCAAGTCTTTGGAGCCCATCCTGGAGAATCGCATCGGAACTGTTCAGCAATCCGTCGCAGTCGTCGCCAAACTTGTGGATATGAATCTGAATCAATCCGACGACCCGAAGCACTTCCTCCAACGCAACCCTGACATCAGGTACACCCTCGATGCTCCGTCCGATCTGAATCGAGTCAAAGCCCTGACCATGTCTGAAATCATGTGCCTCCTTCAGCGGGCTGGTGAACCTTTCAACCAAATCATCCGCGTGAAGCACAGCGGGCAGGAACTGAGGTTCACCTCCAAGTCGGAAAGCGCTGAAATTCGAATCAGGGCGGAGGCTTGGCAGATCAGCACACACCTGGGACTTTCTGTCAACTGCGGAGTAATCCCAAAGCCGTACTTTGTCTGCGCCGATAACGTCTCCAACGAACTGTTTCCCAAGCCTCGAGACTTGAAGGATGAGTGGAGCGAAGAAAACCAGGTGGATATCAACAACGCCTTCTGGGCGCGAAAGAACCTCATCTTGGTGTTGTTTGAACTCGAGCACGCGAAGAAGCTCATTTCCGATGGTATCTTTTTTGGCGACACACACTTCTCTCATGTCAGGTAAGTGTTCCTTGTTCTTACAACCCGCATGAGTACCTGCTAACGACAACCAGACCATTCGAACTGCAGTCGGTGCCCAAGTTCTGCTACAAGTGTTACAAGCCCAACCACCTCAGGAAGGAGTGCCAAGCACGGGATTTCCGGTGCGGCCGATGCGCTGGAATGCACGATACCCAGGGCTGCGACAATCCTGCCATCAGGTGCCCAAACTGTGGAAAAGAGCATGAGGCTTGGTTTCCGCAGTGTTCCAACAGGCAAGTCCAGAGCATGCGCGCCCTTTGCAAGGAATGGGAAAGCCAAGGACCCTCGTGGGCTACAATGTCACCGAGGGAGGAGTTGAACGGCTGGCTCAAACAGATGACAAGCCCGAGCCCGGGCCCAAGCCAAAGCCAACCAGTTGAGCCCAAAACCGCTCCGAAGAAGGGAAAGAAGAAGGCGAAGGCCTCCGCGGATGCCCCCAAGGATCAGGATCGACGTGTGACTCGGTCGGCCACTGCCAAGGCAGCCGCTTCATCGACAGAGTCTGGAGATCGGGGACAGACTGAAGGTGAGCAGCGTGTTGGCAAGCCCAAGGGTAGAAAGAACAAGAATTCCAAATCTTGATTAAGGGATGATGTTCTTTGGGTTTGTTTCTAGGTCTTGAAGTTACTGTAGTTTGGTGTTGGTTGACGAGGTCGTTGGCTAGAAAAGGAAGAACGACTTGGTGACAAGGGGACTAAAGTCGGATAAGGCAGGGCTGCGTCTGTGTTGTAGTTTTGTTGAATAATTTCATGTGTTAATCACTGCGCGCTTTATTCTTGAGCTCCACACCCTGCTTGTAAAAGCTGACTTTGAATGTCGTTACCCTGGATGATAAAATAATCTAGTTGCATCACCCCCCTGATAACTTCGCCGCTAACAAAAGGCTCCATTTATTGACGGTCAACGGGTCGTGTAGCCGCCATTGGCAAAGATTGTCTGACCCGTGATCCATCCGCCTTCAACGCAAAGGAACTTAACAAGTGGAGCAATGTCCTTGATATCAGTCAGGCGCCCCCCAATTGCTTGACTCTTGTGATATTCGACTGCATCCTGGGACTCTTGTGGATAGAAGAAAGCTGTATAACGCAAGTCTTGGTCAGTCACGCCAGCAGGCAGAAAAGGGAACATACGTGTATCCATGGGCCCGGGAGCAACAGCGTTGACACTTATTTTGCGACCCTGGAGTTCTTTGGCAACCCCACGAGTGAAATGCTCTACTGGAGCCTTGGAGTCTGCATACGAGGTATAAAAGCCAGTGAAGGCTGCCAGGAGTGAGGTCACGATGGTGACTATCTTGCCGCCATCTTCAACATGCTTGGCACCAGCTTTGAGAATCAAGAATGCAGCCTTGGAGTTGACACTGGGCTGTTTGTCAGTGCTTCAATCTCGAATTTCCGTCGCAAAAGAGAATACTCACGCAAACATCGTGTCATATTCCGCCTCCGTAATCTCAACAATAGGCTTCTTGAGCACCTTTCCAACCGTGTTCACAACGATATCAATCTTTCCAAAGTCCTTGAGGATGGAGGCAAACAATTTGTCAACAGCGGCCTCTGTCGTGAGGTCTCCTTGATAAAAGGAGACTTTCACACTCGGAAACGAGCTCTTCAGCTTGGTAGCTAGTGACTCGGCATCTTGCTTTGAGGCGGGAGAGTTGTAGTGAAGCGCGAGCTGAGAGCCCAGAGGAGCCAGAGACAGGGCGATCTCTGCACCCAAGTTCTTTACTCCTCCAGTGATAAGAGTGACCTTTCCGTCGAGGGACATGGTGATAGGAAAGAGGTACTAGGATTTCAGGAGTTCTGAAGTTTGGAAAACAGGATTCAAGGACGATGGTTGATGAGGACAGGAGGCACGGCAATCAATGCCCATTTATATATTCGTATGTCCATCCTGATGTCGCCATCGTTCGGGTATTCCAGGTGTATCTCTACTCTCGTAAGGCGGACCAACTATCCATCAGTGAGACTCTCGGCAAATGTTCAGCTGAAAGAAAAAGACGCTAAAATGCCAGATGCATATTCCCAATCGGGGAAAGCGCCCGCGTGACGAACGCTCATGGATAAGATCGTCATCCTCGCATCATGACAGGAGCGATATGTCTCAGCAATGAGGACGTGGCCGAATTATCCGGCTCAAGAAGCGGTGTACAATAAAGGCAACAAGTGAGCTATTGGAACTTGTTTAGAAGATGACAGCATGGACTGGGTCAAACAAGGAATATGCATCTTGCTCCTTAGTGTGCTTATCCGCCCGCATACGCGGGAGACCTAAAAAAGGTGACAGCTGCTTTACATGCATATACCCAATTCAGCAAGGTGCAATCAACTCCACGTGATATGAGCTCACGGGCCGGGCACGACCAATTAGTTACTGTCTGCGCAGGAGAGCCCAGGACGCCTGAATTTATCACTCCAACCTTTCGATAACCCTGCCTTGGGCATCATTTGCCTACCCTCCCTATTTGTACCTGCCCAGTCCTTTGTCCTCGGATAAATCATGACTTAACATGCCGAAAGAGTGGAGATTCGTCGTCAGTAATCGGCCAAGTGCCCTCAAGGCCAAAGCTGCCAGCATTCGCGGCCATGCCGCTTGCCAGGGTTGGAAAGCACACAAGAAGCCTCGAGGCCAGAAACGCCGCAGGGGCTTACCACCACTCAAAAAGACAACTTATGAATACGTAGCCGTGGACATGCCATCTTGTTGGTTTCCTCCTATTGAGTACCAGCTCGGAGGTGGCCGAGTTGATCCATTCAGGGCTTATCCGGGATCCCAACATCCCGCTATTCCCGCCTTGGTAGATCATTGTATGTGTCGAGAATTCATAAGTAGCTTGGCCATACGCTGATCTGATATAGACCTTATCCACATGGCTGTTAACATCCCCGAGCTGGACCAACCAGGCAATGCCGGGCTTCTCCGCTCAAGCTGGTTCCCCCTCGTCATATCTAACGAATGCCCATTCAAAGTAATCCTCCTTCTGGCAGCATCAAATGCCGTCGCAATCAACTACAAGCCATACGCCTCTTGCGATCTCGTTCAACTCCATACCAACGCGATCAAAGCCATTAACAACGCTTTCGACAGCAACGAGAAGCGTGTTTGTGACGCTCTAATTGGCGCCGTCGCCAAGATGGCGAGCTTCGAGGCCATGCATGGAGATGTCGGGTCGTACCGCATTCATATGGAGGGATTGTGCAAGATGATCGCCCTTAGAGGTGGGCTGGATCAGCTAGGCCTCGATGGCTTGCTGCGAAGGATTGTGGTGTGGATTGACATCAACTCTTCTTTTCTGCTGCAAATTCCTCGGTATTTTCCTCAAGATGGCTTTGTAGTTGGAGAGGTTTGGGGGGAACCGAATCCGGAGCGTTTTATCGCGCCATAGTTGCATGGAAGCCCGGAGGTATATCTCATCTCAAATTGTCCTTATCTTGACTTCTATCTGCACAGCTGTAGGATTTCTACCGCGCAGGAGGTCTAGATGAGATCAGCAGTCTGCTGCTCAAGGATGGCGGCATTCTCCCCTACAGCCTGTCCCACTGCCGGATGCCTCGTCATCCTTATTACCTAGAAGACCCCGTGGAGGAAGTGTTACTCTTGATGTATAGGCAGGACCTCCACGAGCACACTCTGAGAAGCCTAGTCGCTGTGAGGCCATTGATAGAAGCAGCTAAGAGTAGCATGGACTGTTCCTCATCTGTTCGCTTTGCAAGCTGCCAAGGACTCCAGGTTACCCATCTCAGGCAATTCCGCAAGATCAATATCTCCCGGAGCTCAACTGTCCTCCAGGCCATCATGGCCAAATAGAACTCCGATCTTTATGTCCGTTGTAGGGTACCCCCAATGCCCGCCCGCAAATTCCTCGTCAATCTTAAATTGGTTTGTAAGGGAGGAGTTCCCATGTCTCACTGACCTCGGGAATCATATGCCGAACCAAGAGAAAAGCCTCTGATCAACGTGCGACGCGGTGTCTCTTGACGCGAGAGTCGGCATAACTTTTGTGTCAAAAGAGCGATGGACCGCTCTCATTGTCCATATTCGTACTTCTACGCCTTTTTTGCCCGTCCGAACGTCACATGAGGTTTCCTGGTGCCCCGCAGAGGCGTCGGCATCCGGGCTCGTTCGTGCATAGTAGTATCCGGGGTTGACAGGGGGTTTCCCTGTCAAAACAGTAGAGCCCCAGCTCAGATGTCACACCAATCCGGGAGTACTCCGAATTCTGCATGGTTCGTCTCGGCGCCGGGTTACATGGAAATATTTGCTACCAAGCAAACATGCATGGATAGCGAGATTTTCGCCATTCTGATGTGGGGAAGTGCGCATTCTCGGGAGAGAGCTGAGCGAGCTAGAGACTAACTGCCTTTTCATTATGGTAGAAACTACAAATGCAGAACTCCGACAGGCTAGGCAGCAAGCTTCGGAGAGAGCAGCAGCCCCCGAAGGTGCCAAGACCGATCCTTACCAAACACCAATGGTCTTGTCAACGACAACCTGAACTGAAGGGATTTCAGAAAGTTAGAATCGCCCAGTAATTTATCCGTCGCGGTCTCTCGCCTGTGGATTTCCACAGGTTGTACTCGGTATTTATGCCACAGAAGATCAACTGCTGCCCCAATGGACCTCGAATAGGAACTCCAAATACCTGGATCTGGGGGCTCCCGAGGGCTTGCATCCAACGTAGCGGCATCTATGTGGCAAATCCAAGGAATATCAAATGATGTGGCTAATTAAGGGATGGAATTTCGAGTCTTCACCGGCAGAATTAAGGCCGCCCCTTGTTTGACATGGCACTGGCGTGATGGGCGTCGGCCTCTGTTGTTCCGAATCGCCAGCTCATCGGTATAACCTCCACCGTCGCAAAGTCTGCACTGGATGTTGAGCTACCCAAGATAATTCGGCAACGAACTTGTGAGCTAGACGCTTGGAAGATGTTATTTGCTCTCTGGAGTTGTGAGCATATAGAAAATTCACGTGGCAGGCTTTGTCTTCCAAACGCGAACCGAGGCGTTCGATATGAATGGTTTGTTACGAACCCCAGGACTAGGGCCTCAATTCAATTCTAAAACTTTGCCGACATATTGAAAGTGGAATAATAACATCATTCATCCCCGTACGCTTGATCATCCGTTCGTGCTTTCATTTAAGAATTTTCTCATCATGTAACGCTTGGCCTCGTAAATCGTTTAACCTCGTTCCGCCACCGCCTAGCGCATGCTCCATGGTCTCCGTGCCTGATTTTAACTCCATGAGCCACATGACGTATGCTTCGTTCTTCGTTTAAGGCTCGTTTTATAGTCTAAACCGCTTTTACCCCTTTTGGGTCCCGCTGAGCCAAGCTTTGAGACTCGACAGCGGCCTGATTATGCCGAGTCTGAAATCATCGCCAAGATTCTTCCACCACGGTATTTAAGTGTAATATATCCTATATCTCCAGACTGGTTAGATCCAGCCTTGATCAGCCACCAATTGCGCTCATTTTCCACACTTGCAAAGCAGCAACACTTGTCTCTCCCTTTCCAGCTCTCTTTCTTCATTCCTTTGCGTTCCTTTCTTTCTCATACGTATATCCATCTGAAACCCTCTTCTTATTCGTTCTGCCAAAATCCCGTTTTCTATATCCTGGCCGCAATGTTGCTACTGACGGCAACTTTTGCATTGCTTCAGGCACACTCTGTGCTGGCTGGAGTAGTTGCTAAGGGAAGGACAAATCAAGATGCAGTCGTTTATGCAGCCAAAGGAACGGTATCTCTCTCGTCGGATGGCACAGATCCTGACATTCTAATCATTGATTATGGTCAGAATGTTGAAGGACATCCCACCTTTGAGGTTGTGTCCACATCCGGGGATACTTCCGGTTTCGAGCTCACTTTCGCCGAGTCCAAGTATGCCTTTAGCAACTACATGGTGCGTTCTGGCTATATGGAGTGGCAAATCTAGCGTACTGACACTGTATTTAGAGTGACGGGCCTCTTCCTCTCGCTGCTGCCATGGACAACTATCGTGTGAACCAATACAACATCTCCAGGCCTGGAGTTGTTACCAATCGCTTCATCCAAGGAGCTTTTCGCTATCAAAAGCTCAATCTTTCTACGACTGGTGAACTGCGCCTCAGGAAGGTTGGTGTGAAGCAGACCGTTCATACTACACCCCTCACTGAGCTCCCTGGAGCTTTCGAATGTTCGGACAGCGACTTGACTAGAATTTGGTATACCGGTGCTAGGACGGCGCAACTCACGGAAATTCCCAAGGGCACAATTCCTGACTTTTGGCAAATTACCGATCAAGGTGCTTTTGTCGAGAGTGCGGCGCCACAAGCTCTTGGTAGCCCTGAGGCTGCCCAGCTCCTCAGCTATGAGATTGACTTTGAAGTCAAGCCCGTCACTGGAGAATTCATCTTCTCGGTGTTGTCAGACACTCTGAATGAAGCCATCATCGTCTCTTGCAACGTGGTTACTGGCGTGGTCTCGGCAACATATGCTCCTCACTTTGGCTCAATACCTTCTACTGCCAGCGCTCAGGTCGGCAAGTGGCTGTCCGTCCATGCCCGGGTCAACATGGGGGAGGTCTCGGTATCCATCAACAATGAAACGGTTTTGGAGTTCAGTCAGACGACCAAATTCGCTGGTTCTTTCGGCCTCGGTGCCCCATTCGGCCACTCAGCCTACTACCGGAACCTGAAAGCTGCCACGCTCGATGGAGTAAAGGTCTACTCATCTACTTTGAAGGACCCTGGCTTTCTCGCCGACTTCTTCATGGGAACTAATCCTGCCGATACGATTGTGGATGGCTCTCGGCGTGACAGAATTGCCTACACGGGAGACCTCGATGTCGCACTCGCTTCAAGCTTTGTGAGCACTTACGGCACTTCTTTCATCGAAGGCTCCCTTGAGCTACTTGGTTCTTACCAAGCAACCCCAGGGTTCTTTATCCCAACCGCCAAGATCCAGCAGGAACCACTGAAGGACATTTTGGACGTCAATGTCACAGGCCTTATCGGCTACTCTTTCAATTTCCTCAACGCTTTGGCTCAAAACTATGAAGTCCAAGGCGACCTTGCATTTGCCAAGAAATGGGCTCCTCGTATTGTGTTGATGCTGGATTGGGCGCATTCCAAGTTGGAGAATGGTCTTTTCACTCTCGCCGACGCTTCATTGACGGGAGATTGGAACTATTATGATCCTCCTCAGACGGGTGCAAGCTCCAAGTTCAACTCTCTCTATGCCTACACCTTGCAGCAGACTCAGACTTTGCTTATGGATGCTGGCGTTGATGTCTCTGTATACCAGAGTCGCCTCGAGAGCCTTGGCGATGCTATTCATTCTCATCTCTGGAATGAAACCCTTGCGGCTTATGTCCTAACCAATGAGATCCCAACTGGATTTGCCCAAGACGCCAACGCAATCGCCATATTATCCGGTATCCCGCAGAGTCATGGCGTTTCAGCCAAGTCACTACTGTCAACTCTTGAGAGCCAACTCCAACTTCCTGCAGGCCCGTTGGCCTTCAGCAACTCTACGGTTGAGGCTGGATTCGCGCAAAAGATCAGCCCTTACGCCTCAGCCTATCATCTTCGTGCCGCTTTCGAGTCCAACGATACCGATACTACCAAGCTCCTCTTGAAGACGCTTTGGGCTCCCATGGCAGACTCTGCACATGCCAACTACACCAACTGTTTCTGGGAGACCCTGGATCCTGATGGTACCCCGGGCTTGGGATTGGTGACCTCTCTTTGCCACGGATGGGGCGCAGGCCCAACTGCCGAGCTGAGCCGCCATGTTCTCGGCGTGCAGCCTGTTAAACCTGGTTACCGGGAGTGGAAGGTTGAGCCCATGACTTTGGATCTCAGCTGGGCCAAGGGTCGTGTCCCAACCGCGCATGGACCCATTCAGGTTCAGTGGAAGTTTGTGTCTGGCCTTTTGCAGATGAAAGTTCGTGGGCCTAGCGGTGGTAACACCCGCGGAACTGTCCATCTTCCTAAGCCCTTGCCCACACCTCTTGACAAGACTGTTCTTAAAGCGAATGGAAAGGTTGTGAGTGGCACAACTTTCACAGTTCTTGCCGGCCAAGAAATCACCATTAAGCAAGTCAAGAAATAATCCTTGTCTTTTGCGGGGCAGACGTAGAGTAGAGTTGTGGCGGTCGTGAAGGTTCCCGATGGATAGGGTGGTCGTGCTGGATTACATTGGCAGAGACGATGCTGGCGTTGTCTTGTTTCACGTCTAGCGATTCATTTCCAAGGTATCAAGAGTACCTAACTACGTTGCATTCAGGGCTCAGGTAGTTGGTATATTCGAAAGTGCAAACGAGTCTTATTATTGTCCCCAACGCCGAGTTTCGATAGACCATCACCCACAACAGCAAATGATACAGTTATTAGTACATGGTTCCATTCAAACGCAATACTGTAAAACATTGTAGCCTACCTAGAATGAGTTCAGTTGACCACTTGTAATATTCGGCCTAGTCTATGTCCAAGTCATGAACTTCGATCTCTTGCTACGTCAGCTCACTCAAGCAGAAAGAATGCAGAGGCTTAATATCTATGTAGGCTAAACTAAGAGCGTTCGGTGTTCCAAGGGTATTGTTTCCACCTATTCAGCCCAAATCATTTTTGAGGCATCATCCTAGTCATGCAGTGTTAGGGCTTACTTATACCTTGATTATCATAATAGCTAGGTAAGTTATTTCAGAGTGAGGGAGCAGCGCTTTGGAAATGGACGGCGATATTACCTAGGACACTCTGTCATACCATAAACACCACCCAGTTGACCCCGCACGGGCAGTGAGATCGACACTCGCGATTCTGAAATAGCGCTTCCCGAGTCAGTCCGGTAATATATCCCCTAGCTCTTGACAGACACGTTTGTTCGCAACTTCGCCATGGCTTTATATGAGCCTCTAGATGCCACTAGAGACGAAATTCGAGTCATCTCCGTCTCCGGCACACCAAAAGGCTCAGAAGCCCTCCTCCAATGCACCATGGACACAGTGTCTTTAAGCGACAGGATAATAAGAGATCAAGACTCTCGATATCGGTCAGACGATGAGTCAAGGCCGTCTACCCCTGCATATGCTGGCTCGGCCGAATCAAGCCAATCAGAAACAAAAGGGCCGGTGCCGGGTATTGACACTCAGCCTCGGTTCTTGTGGGGAGAGTACGAAACACTCAGTTACGCCTGGGGATCTCCATCAGAGCCTTCGCACGATATCTTAGTAAATGGCCAGCGGTATCTCGTTCGTCAGAATCTTTATCATGTTCTCTCTCAATTTGCAATCTCCTCCAGATACGCTTCTGGTGTGAGACTGTGGGTGGATGCCATCTGTATCAACCAGGACGATGGCCTCGAGAGGGCTACGCAGGTCAAGCGAATGAAGCAAATCTACAGCACCGCCATGCGAACTATTGTCTGGCTAGGAAAAGACCTTGGGCCTTCCTACTCGGCTGTCATTGACACTGCTGCTTATGTTGACCAGCTAAGCAGGATCCTGACGCGCACAGCCGAGTTCAGCCCAGATTTGTCTTTTGACCATTAGAGCACAGACTATGAGTCAGGCGAGGGCAAGGAGTCTACAGCCAGTTCTACGGATGAAGCTATGGCTAGATCTGAATCGAGTGAGGATGAGTGCTTGACATCGGCTGGACATGAAGAGACGTCCGAGTCTGGATCGAGTGAGGATGGATGGTCAACGTCAAGTTCCGAAGACGAAGAGACAAAACGCCAGCGAGAGCTTGTCGCACAGGATGAGGAGCGCCTCCTTGAGCAGCTCGGTCTATCAGGAGGGTTAGATGATGTCACTCTACCTATAGCCAGCTCTACACACCGAAACAATATCCGCTTGGCGCTCATCCTCCAGCCAATAATCGACAACGAGTACTGGAGGAGAGTATGGATTACCCAAGAGCTCTCCGTCAGTGTTGGAGGGTCTTTGATTCTCATCGGCAGCTCTGCTCTCGCGCTCGATGAATTGCTCGAGGTGGCGGACCATCTCTTGAAATCCATCGTGAGCATGACATACATGATTCCCCAACTGTACGCTTCGCAGTCCCTCCACCTCAACACATTCAACTTTGTTTCTTTGATACGTTCCATCAACGGCATCGCCGCGGAACAAGAGGGCTGGCACTGGATGCTCCAGGGTCTCATATCTAAATCGACCCTTGCAGCGGATAAATTCTACGGAACCGTTGGCCTTTTGAAAAGCTACGAGCTTTCTGAGATAATTATCGACTACAACCGGCCCGTTTCCCACGTTTCAATGGATGCGACGCGCGCAATCATGAAGGAGACAAAGTGTCTATGTCAATTCGTCATCTTCTCTTCTATACATAATCCGAGTCTCCCCTCCTGGGCCTTGGACCTCTCTCAGGAATATGATAAATTCACGAGTCTGGACATTCAGTTCCATCTGGTTTTCGAGGGGACCGAGCTCGAGATTGGATCATCTCTTCTAGATCGACCACACCAGACTTTCTCAGGTCGAGTGATCGATGACCAAACGCTGATCATCAGAGGTTCTATCCTTGACGAGGTCGACGGCATGGGTTCTTACTTCGAAGACCTACTCCCACCGATTCCGCCAAGGCGGAGTCGAAAGCCGATTGCGCCGATCTCGAATCCCACGACCGAAACGCATGCCTACGAAGACGTAATGGGGATGCTCAAGACTCTCGATAAAACCCTACTATCCGTTCGCCCTAAACCGATTAAGAGTGTGTTTCATATGCCCATGCTGGCAGTGACAGAGAACGAGCCGTACAAGCCAGCTTCGTACCCAGAGGGCATGTCGCACCACACAGCGTCCAAGCTGCTCGTGCTGAAGTATTTCTGCGAGAGGAACGCCGGCTTTGATCTCTGGGGTGTAAAGTTTGGCTCACTGTTCCCCGGCCTCAAGGAGGGGAGAACCAGAGTCTTTGCGTCCCAGAAGCTGGCCTATCAAGCTCTCAGTAGCCTCCAGCCGTCATTCCGCGAGGCGTGCAATCACTGGGACGGCTGGCTTTTATCACGACGCAGACTTGTATCGACTATCGAGGGGCGTTTTGGCATGGCTACTCTTTTCGCGGCGAGGGGCGACAAGATATGTGCTGTTGAGGGTTGTCAAAGCTTGGTCGTGTTGCGACCAGTGGGCGAGTACTTTGAATACGTAGGGCTTTTGCGAATTTATGATCTCGACGAGGAAGTTGAGCGACACCGAGAAAGAGGATTTGATAGGGAATTGATGTTGAGATAGAATACGCCTGTGTTTTGGGGCCCTTCTTTTCATAGCCGGCCATCTTCACTAGGTACCCAATGTAATAGACCTCGTCCAATTGATCCATTATTATTGCTAGGTACCTAGGTATGATCACTAATAGGCACTGTGACTCCGCCCGAAAAGTGGGGCAACCCCGTTCCGAAATCCAACCCCATCTCTCCCGAGCCGCATAGTTTATTCCAACCATCTGTCCTTCATCACCCCCCACCACGCAGCATGCCTCGGGCTTGTGATCCGTGCTCGGTCAGAAAGATCAAATGCAACGGCAAATCGCCATGCGACGGCTGCCTCGCGGCAGACCTGCCGTGCTCACACGCACGGAAACGCAAGAAACCGGGGCCGAAGGGACCGAGGAAGCGAATCAAGGAGGTCATCCAGCAGATGCAGACAGCTGAAGCTTCAAGTGAGGTGGAACCTACAGAGCAATGCGACCCCGAACCAGACACATGCGCCGTTGGGCCAAGTCCGACAACGTCTGATCCCCCACACAGCTTCTGCGACAACAGCGCCGTCATCAGCGGCCGGATACCGCTGTCAACATTCAATTACTACTTGGACATATTTCGGAGCCATCTCCATGTAGTATGGCCCGTGGTAGACTGCGACTCGATGAAATCCCGTCTCCTAGACACCAACGACCAAGTCGTCTACGCACTCGCCGCGGCGATTTGCAGCGCCACGATAGCCCAACTTCATCTTACCGTCAATGGGAGTCTGCATTCTCACCATCAGATGGCTCTTGAAGCCGAAAGCGCAAGATTTTTACTCGACTATTCGTCGCACGAGACTATTGACGCCTTGCTTACATCCTTCTTCTTGCACGTGTTTTATTCCAATACCGGCAAGATGACCAAGTCTACGCTTCTACTACGTGAGGCAATCGCCTACTCTCACATCTTGGGTCTTCACCAAGACATATTTTACACCAATTTAGACCCGTATACGACACAGTACCATCTTCGTATTGCGTGGATTTTATTCATCACTGACAGGGCCCATTCCCTGCAGCACGACCTACCACCCACCTTCAAGCTCAGCCCGACACTACCTGAGCTCCAACCACAACAAGGTGACGGTCTCAGCGCAGCATTTTGCAGTTTATGCCGACTGTTCCAGTCTTTTCAAGAAGCCTGTCCTCCAGATATTCGATCCACAGGAGGGCGCCACTTGCTTGGAAACATAAGCACTCAACTGCGCCGAGCACACCCGTTCCCGCTCTGTGAGAATGAAGTGCAACGCGCCGACCTCGTGGTCACCGATTCTTGGTTACGCGTCGTCTTGTGGAAAGTGGCGATCCCATACGTTGACTCTACGACGGATCCCAACGATCGAGGTCTTAGTGTGTCATTCCCAATGTCTGTGGCGAAGGATCTCCTCTCCAAACTCGCCACCTTGTCGTCCTGCGCCCTCGAGGCACATGGCCCGGGAATGGTAAGCTGTGCCCGTCGTGTCTCCGGGTTTCAGGCTAATTTCAAAAACTACAGGTGTCCAAACTGTTCGAGGTCGCGAGTTCCGTCGCCGACGTCATTCTTTGCGCGCCCGACCTAGCAGACGTCGGGTCAGTCCAAGTCGGACCTCGGGAAGTCCTATACGCGCTGGGCAGTTTGATCAGCTCATTACGTACAACTGGTCATCCTGAGTTGATCACCCTGCTTCGAGAGAAGATGATGGCGTGTGCTCTAGATCAAGCAGGGCCGACAACGTTAATGCAGATCACGGATATTTCGGACGAGGATGCACAGAATCTTGTCGTTCCACATCGAGGGGATAACCGATAGTTTTATTCTACGCTTTGGTCTATCTATTCCGCCTTGACTGAAACAACAAAAGCTTCGAATGGGCGAAGAGCCAACTTGTCCCGTGTGACATCCACCTCTGGATAGTTGGACAGCAAGACCTCGGCAGACGACAGGTTCACAGACGCAGGCACAGCCCAGGTGACAGGAGTCTCCCTGAAGTTACACACAACCATCGCCTTCTGGTCGCCCCTCGATCGGGAGTAGGCAAAGACGTCTTCGTGTTGTGGATCGAGGAGTTCGAAATCGCCGTACACGAAGATGTCACGCAGTTCTTTGCGCAGAGCCAGAGTCGATCGCCAGTATTCAAAGACGCTGCCCGCTGCGGAAACCTGGGCTGCGGCGTTGCAGGTCTTGTAATCGTCGTTGACCCTGATCCAGGGGGTGCCTGTCGAGAAGCCGGCATTTGGGCTCGAATCCCACTGTCAAAATATTAGCGGCGCTCCAGATACTTGGCATCCATGGATATCTGGATACTCACCTGGACAGGGAGTCTGGCATGATCACGAGACTTGAGCTGGTATTCCTTCCGGGCAATATCCAAAGCTGCGGAATCCGGTCCAACCGTCTCTTTGAGCCTATATCTACCCGTTAGCTGCGGACCTGAAAACAAACTCTCAACAAATCTTACTCTTCCCAGTGATTCAAGGTCTCAAGGTCCCGATACTCAGAGATATCCCACGACTCAGGCATGTTAGCCATACCCAGCTCCTGACCCTGATAGACAAAGACGGTCCCGCTCTGGAAGCAGAGGAACGTGGCAAACATCTTGGCAGCAAGGGTTCGAAACTCGGGTTTGTCAGATGCCCAGCGAGAGATTGTCCTCGCTTGGTCGTGGTTCTCCAGGTACAACGCGTTCCAGCCGCGGTTCTTGTACATAAAGGTCTGCCACTTGTCGACGATGGACTTGAGATCTGCCATGGCCCACTTTCTGGGGGAGAATTTGCCTTGGTCGCCGTGGTCCATATCCACGCTGCAAGAGTCAACTCACTGAAGGGTCCATGCTCATGGTGGGTGGCACTTACATCTCAAAGTTGAAAATCATGTTCAACTCTCCTCGGCTCTCTCCAACGCTCTTGATAACCTCCTTGGGATCTTGAACTGAGGGCATCTCTCCAACTGAAAAAGCATTGTACTCCTTCAGGATCTTCCCAATGTCTTGTAGATATTCGTGGAGTCTCGGACCGCAGGCAAAGTGCTCGACACCGCTCTGGTACTTGGCCGAGGGGATCGTCACCTCTGCGTCTGGAAGTCCGGGGGTCTTGCTGATGAAGTTGATGACGTCCATCCTATCCAAGGTTAGCCATATGCAATGTTTTCACACCGACAACATACCGGAATCCATCGACACCCTTGTCTAGCCAAAACCGAATAATGTCGTGAACGGCATTGCGGACAGGGGGGTGTTCCCAGTTGAGATCAGGCTGTTCCTTGGCAAACAGATGGAGATAATATTCGTCGGTTGCGTCATCGTATTCCCAGGCGCTACCTCCAAAGAATGAACCCCAGTTGTTAGGAGGTTGTCTCTTGCCGTCTTTGTCGTATCTAGGCTTGCGCCAGATGTACCAGTCACGGTAGTTGTTGTCTCGAGATGATTTTGATTCTTGGAACCACTTGTGCTGTTTTCGATTCTATTAGTGCATTGAATCAGGGTGGTCTCAAGCTTCGTACCTGATCTGATGTGTGGTTAACGACAAGGTCCATGAGGAACTTCATCCCCCTATCATGGAGACCCTCAATCAACCTCTCCACATCCCCTAAGGTTCCATACTGTGGATCAATATCACAATAGTCGGCGACATCGTAACCCATGTCAACCTTGGGAGATGGGTAGATGGGGCACACCCAGACGATGTCGACACCGAGTTGCTTGAGGTAGTCAAGCTTCTCAATCACACCGGGGATATCGCCGACGCCATCTCCATTGGAATCTTTGAAAGAAGAAGGGTAAATTTGGTAGACTGAGGCTTCCTTCCACCAGGCCTCGGAAACGGGGCTGGCGTTTGGTACTGATGTGGCGGAGGGCATTGTGTTGAGATGTTGCGTGTGGGATTACCTGGAGAGGCCAAAGAGAGGGGAAATGGAGGGACTCTTTTATCCCCGTGAGAGCAATAAATGGAGCACGTCCCATAATGTCACCTCATCAACCTAACATCATTCTTCGTCTAAGCCAAGAAGCAATTACTAGTGACTCCAACCTCAAAAACCTCCCGATAATCCCCCCGGTAATCCTCCCGAGAATCTTTCCGAGAATCTTTACACCAATCATCTCTCATCCCCTCAACCGAACCCGCCCCCCTGACCCTTAGCTCAGAACTTTCTTCCACTTCTGTGGGGATTCTGGGGATCCAGACGGTTCGCACATGATCTCCATGGGGTGACAATCTCCTGGTCGGCGCTGAGGATTTTTGCCCCAGACTAGGTCCCCGGATTCGGGACTCCCCGTTTTCTGGGTTAGCTTGTTGAAAGTTGTAACTAGAGAAAAACTTGACGGTGAAGCGTGATTCTCTAGCCGGAGAGAAATGCATATAAGGGCACGGCGATGCCCTCCAGTTGACGATTCTTCTGACTCAACAGCCACAAACACCTTCATACATCTACAGGTTCAACTCGTCTCTTCTTACATATCCTCTCTTCGCCATCATGGGCAAAAAGGAGTCTCTCGCCCTCAAGTCGGGCAACGAGGTTTACAAATCGTACCGCAACAATACTGACCAGAAATGGATTCGTGACCCTGGGCTGAGGAAGCTCAACATGGGCCTTGCCTTCATGTTCTCGTCGGCCGCAGCAAACGGTATGCATACACTCTTTCCTTCCATTCACTATGTCTCATCAACGAGTTCCACAACAAGACTTGGTCTTGTCCCTCTCGATTCATCCCGCAACTACCAACTTGAACTCTTACTGGATGCTCTACAAACTGATCAGCTAATTCATGACAGGATTTGACGGAAGTCTCATGAATGGCCTTTTGATCATTCCGCAATGTAAGTTTCGCCTTGTAATATGTTGCAAGTGTTCTGACAGAGCTTGTAGGGAGCGACGACATCGGAGACGTCAGCCCCAGCATCCTCGGCCTCATCATCGCCGGAATCAGTCTCGGTGGACTTCCCACCTTTATCCCAGCCGCATATGTTAGCGACTGGATGGGCCGTCGATTCACCATCGCTCTGGGCTCATCCATCATGGTTGCAGCTGCCATCATCCAGGCTGTAACCAACGGACCATGGGCATTCCTCGGTACCAAGATCATGCTCGGAGTTGGTCTTGGTTTTGCTCAAACTTCTGCTCCACCTCTGACCACCGAGATTGCTCACCCGAGACATCGCGCCAACGTTACGAACCTCTTCCAGGCCATTTGGTTCTGGGGTGCCATTCTTTCCGCCGTTGTCACCATGGGAACACTCCACATGAGTGGAAGCTGGAGTTGGAGACTCCCTGTTCTCTTCCAGGCTTTCTTCCCTGCCCTTCAACTGTGTGGTCTCTTCTTCGTCCCCGAGTCCCCGAGATGGCTCATCTCCAAGGGCCGACGCGATGAGGCGTTCCACATCTTGGCCAGGTACCATGCCAACGGTGATACCTCAGACGAGCTTGTCAACTTTGAGTTCAACGAGATATGCACTGCCATTGAACAAGAGCGCGAGATAGAGAAGCCCGGCATCATGTCCTTCTTCAAGACAAAGGGTAACCGTCATCGGCTGCTGATTTGCGTCTTGGTTGGATTCATGATCCAGTGGGCTGGCAACGGTGAGAAATAATTGGAACATCAGCTATAGGGTTCATCTACTAACTCTTCTTAGGCATCGTGTCTTATTATCTCGCCCCCATCTTGGAGAGCGTCGGCGTCACCGACTCACTCTCTCAGGCCGGAATCAACCTCGGCCTTCAAGTCTGGAACGCCATCCTCGCCGCACTAGGTGCAATGGCTTGTGAGCGATACGGCCGACGACCTCTATGGCTTCTGTCTGCCAGTGGCATGCTCTGCTCCTTCATCGTCATCACAGCCCTGTCGGCTGTCTTTGCCGATCACGGAAGCAAGGCTGCTGGTAATGCCGTCGTGCCTTTCCTGTTCATCTTCTTCGGCTTCTACGTCATTGCCTTTACTCCGCTATCGATTGCCTACCCAGTCGAGATTCTGCCTTTCGACCTCCGATCAAAGGGCTTGAGCATCAACCTAAGCGTCGTCTTCGGAGCTGGCTTCTTCAACCGTAAGTTAATCCACCTCCCCTCCTCAAGCCTGATCTGACGCCGCTGCAGAGTACGTGAACCCGATTGCTCTCGACGCGATCCAGTGGAAGTTCTACTTTGTCTACATCGGAACTCTGACTGCGATGTTGCCGACTATCTGGTTCCTCTTCCCTGAAACAAAGGGAAGAACTTTGGAAGAGATTGCTGTTGTCTTTGATGGTCCCGGTGTCAATCACTTGGATGTTAGCGATAGGGTGTTTGCTGGTGGCAAGTCTGTTGATGCACAGAGCATCGCCCCAAAGGCAGAACATATCTAAAGAGCGGTTCTGAACAGCCCAAGGAGAGGTCAACCTCTCTCTGAAAGTATCCAAGCAAGGGGCACGCATTGGCTAGCACTCAGATTGTTAATATTCGAAAGTATGAGTAAGACATGAACACATGAAAGAGCACTTCTTCCAGTCCTCCGCCGCCCATGATATTACATCACCTTCATCTCGACACACTTTGCCTCCTCAAACATCTTCCCATCCATAATTCCATGCACATATGCCTCTCCTACAAGTTTATACAGCCCTTCCTCATCTCTCCTCAGTAGCAAAGGCACTCTCCCACCCTTCACGAGGACAATCTTGTCTCCCACCTCAGCCTCTCCCGGGAGCAGAGCTAAAAACCCATTCTCGCCACGACCCAGTCGTCTTTCGTACACGTGCTCCAGCAAGCTAGCAAACTCGCTGTAGTCCCGCCACGTGCGCATCACGTAACCTAGGAAGGCTAGAGGACGGAACAGACTGTCCACGCGCCATTGATACAAGTGGAAAACGGGTCGTAGACTGGATCGCCACGAGTAAAAGAGCTGGGACGTCGCGTGGCGGCCACCAGAGGCAAAGGTGCCCACACAGAGCGTCTGCCAGTAGACAGCGAGCGGATCGTAACCATCCTCAAACTCTGGATTGGTGGACGATGTGTCTTGGCTGCTCTTTGACGATACTGGAGACTCCTGCGCAAATGCCTCCCAGTCCCAAAAGGTGGCCAAGTGCGGGACAACCGACGACAGCTCCCAATAGATTGCCATGACGAGCATAAATAGCTGGCCCAGAGAGGCCAAGCGCGCCATGAGCGTATCTCCCGCCTTTATTGGCTTAAATCCACTGCCATCTCGCTGGAGGCGATGCAGGACGGACGAGAGATGCGTGATTGTCATTACTTCGTGGCCCTCGAGCATGAGGTGGCGGTTGTCGTCAATGAAACGGGGCGTCGCCTTTGTACCGCAGGAGGCGTGAGTCTGACGCAATTTTCCTCGAGCGTCATGCATAATAGGGCGAGGGCCGCTTGGTGCACTCCAGTCGGGCACCCAAGAAGGAAGCTCCAGGTTGGTAGTTGGAGTGCATGCTCCGAGAACATTGAGGTCGCCTGATTGCAGTAATAGCTTCCGGGCAGCATGACAGTATACCTGGCTAGTCGACAGTCTGTAGTCAGCCTCGATGGCAAAAGAGCTAGCGGATTTGTCTGCATCCGCGTCTATAAGCCCTAGTAGAGCGTAGACCTTGTCCCTAGGATCCGAGGCTTGTCGAAAACGGCATTGAATGAGTAGTTCCATCAAAGTCTGCTCAGGTGTCGTAATCGATGGTCCCTGCCTCTGTTCCCACAAAGCGTATGTCGACAGATATGGTATTACGATCGGATCGACAATTATCCCAAGCGTCACCGGGTTCCAGATACCAAGAGTAAGGCCATAGTTGATACCAGCCGAGAAGCGGTTCCAATCCATGGTCAATGTGCCAGCCATGACTACAGCCTGTGATGCGAGGAGGATTTCCTGAACGGTCCAGGCACGGAACCACCACTCGGCACAGGCAAGATGGAGGATGCTAAAGTCGTCTCTAAACCGGTGGAAGAGCGGGCTCTCTGTGGGCTTCCGGTCCAACAGCACCAGGGGCAGGTTATAAGGGTCGATGTCCATAGAAGGGTGCTTCCGAGAAATGGCCTCAGCCGCAAGCTCGTCCACCATGGTAAATGCCTTTGCCGTGTACGCAGGACGACTCTCTCCCAGCCACACGATAGTGCGAGCAGCGTTTCTATAGATGTCTGCCATGATGGAAACCTGATGGTTTCTCTCCAGAACGCTGTTTTGGTCGATGCAGACGGCGTCGACCCAAATCGTGCATGGCTGGTCTGGCTTCCGAATGTTGAGCAAGGCAGTCCGGAGATTTGTAGTGATCATGAGGGTGCGTTCATTTATTTGTATAGGCGTCAGGTTGGTTTTGTCGCCCCATACATAGCTCAATGCGTCGTATTCTTGGAGCCGGCTATCCAACGAGTATTCAACCAAGTTGCTGGCGATATCATCCTGGCGGGTTCCCGGGAGAAGCTCAAGCAAGCGGATCGAGGCGGTGCCGCCAGTGATAGCGGTGTACTCGTATGGCCCACTGATAATTTCGTTCCTAGTGCGATCCTAGTCAGGCGGCTTCCAGTCAGAACCACGGCGAGTTGACTAGAAGGGTTGAGACAAACTGGTAAGGTCCCTTGTGCGGGGTTGTCCTCCTCAATGCTGTTCTTCCCCTGGGTCAGCCTTTCAAAGGTTCTCTCTACTTGCTTCCACACACGATATGACATGATGATTAAGCAGTGAGTGTTGCGCCGGTTGTTACAAGATACACAGAAAGGAAGGGATTTATGAGGAAGGGAAAAAATCGTGTCAGCTTGATCCTGGTGCTTTATGCACGGCACGGGCCACGGTCACTGATCGACGAGATTCGCGAGGTCGCTAGTTCTTGAACGTCTGACCAATTAGCAAAGACTATTTGAGACTGAAACCATGCTGTAGTAAATTGTTGATGGTGATTGGGCACTTGCGGCCTATCGCCGATGCTCGCAGTGAGTCACGTGGGAGGTCTACTGGCAACCTTCCTTCTCACAAAGCCATAACATGAACTCAATACCGTGATGAGTCTCTCTTCATAATCCTTGCTGTTTTCCTTCAATATCTATGCCACAAGAGCGTGGTGTCTCGTCCACCAGCAACGACGCGACTCCCAATCCAACCTCAGTCAACCCCCAACGGCCTCCCATGCGTGCAGCCACCCCATCTCAGCAAGCCCTTCGGGGTAAAATCATCGTTCTAAACGGCTTCCCAGGCACTGGAAAACTCCCAATTCTCAAAAAGGTCAAGGAGCTACTGCCCACCGAGACGGCATGCCTTCTAGACAACCACCTGCTTATCGATCCCGTGGCCGCAGTCATCCCCGGCCGAAGCCAAGAGCACCATGAACTGCGTCGCAAGATTCGGGCGCCAATCTTTGAAAAGCTTCAGGAGCGTGCACAAAAAGGCCATACCATCCTCATGACGGCTTGCCTGGTTGAGGATGACGAAAGAGACGCCAGCGTCCTCCAAGAGCACCTCGACATGGCACACGAAGCTGACGTGCCCATCTTCTGGATAAACGTGCACTGCAGTCAGGAGATATTGCAACAGCGTGTCGCGAGCATTGAGCGATGCTCGGGGACCAAAACGAAGCTAACGGACCCGACCCTTGCCTGCGACCTGGTGGATAAGCACCGTCTTATTAAGCCACACAAGACCGACAACAGCATGGAAGGATTATTGTTTGCAACATTGGACGTCAGTGGATCCGTGGAGCTCTCCGTCAGTGGCCTAATGAGAATCATCAAGCTTCCATAGAGCGTCATGACAGGTCGGATGTATTTCGGAGGGGGTTTTTGCAGCAATCATCTGCAGTTCTGCAGGTCAGTTGCAGGCATCACGTATGCAATACCACACATTTGAAACATGAAATGCAAAGTCAAGGTGTTCTGAGTAAGAATTTATGGCGAAAGCACAAATGAAAATTTGGGTGCTCCTATTTAACACGCCGCCAGTTGACGTACGTCACATGGGATATTTTATCTGGACTTGATGGAACAAACAGAATTAAATCTCATTTTCATTATTAAGTCGACTCTCTACTGGTAATAGATTCCTTTCCTGGGTAAATCTTGACCGTCATTGCCAAAACCCAGTGTTGATTCACAAGCATTTTGATCACTGCACGGGGGCTACCCTATGCTTAAGGAGTTGTCCTGTTTCTCAGCACCGCCATCAAAAACAGATGAGGTTGACATTGCTCCGAGGCATTTATTAAAAAAAGGAAGATGTTTTTTTAGAATTTGCTACTTGTCAGCCAAGTTAGGTTGATAACTGACTGGTCACATAGACTCGGGGAGGCGCGGAGAGAGAGGACCTCAGCCAACGTCTGCATGAAAGCAACAAGACTGCCTAAGAGAGAAATCTAGGAAACTTTGGCCTCTTTGCACCATTCTAAGACATTTCGCTAGAATAAAGAGAAGCCCAAATAGTCCCGTGCAGCCAGGTGTTGACCTTATTCCCCCCAGTTAGCTGAAGAACGACTAAACGCTGATCTAGGCCAACGGAAAGACGAAACTCTAGTGCCGTGCTATTAGCAAGATGCACATAGGTCACAATGTGTTGCAACGCTGTTTGACACCCAATGCCTATCTATCCTCACCAGTCGCCACAATACGAGACAATGATACTTGAAGTTGCGTCGAAGCTGCCGAGCCTGCGTTACAACCCCACAAGGATTCATGAGATCCATACTTAGTTAGGGGCCGGGGTCTAATGGAGATGACCCGATCCAATGAAGAACACACGGGCCAGGACAGGCATTGCACGTTTTTTCCCTGCTCTGCTGCGTGTTTTTGAACGTGCACGATGCCTCCACTGCGGCCACGATGATCGAGATTCTTCCGTGGCCTGGGCCTCTAGCTTGGCACACACCCATGAGCACGAGAATCCGTACGGTATCTCGTCCAAGAGATAGAGGACGACAGGCTGGGTAGTTATAGGACGCGTAATATTGTTGATAAGGTCTCAATTGAGAAGGTGCCAAGTCGCCTAAGGCCATTCGATAACAAACTTTGTCCCTCGGCCCGCCTCGCGACCCAATTCTCGGGTTCGCCTACGAGCAATGGGTCAAAAACAATGGATACAAACACCCACAGCCAACATCGGCAATTCTCAGTCGCGTGCGTGCGTGGCCTGCAGCGGCACTTGCAATTGCCGAGGTAGCCACAGCGATCAATCCATGACACGCATATTGATCTGATCTGTATTTCGTCAACTTCAGCAGACAAAAAGACTCATATGAGCAGGGGACTCTGACCTGCGTGGTTCAATCTGTCTGGCGCGCCGAGTTGATAAGCACAGCAACCTAATTGGCCAACCCCCAAGTCAAGCTAGACCCAGCATCTCCACGACACCTCCATCAACTCGCGGCTCCGGGAAATCTGACAAAGGCCTTAGTCGAAAGTCGCTTAGACACGAAAGGATGGAGCTTCGGCTACAGCGGGAAAGAAGAGACCTGTCACATCCATTTCCCCGTGCAGGTAAACGTGGGCTTAATCTCCGCTGCGCATGATTCAGCAGACGCCAAAAGGAAAAACCTGGGCGCCACACACACTTCGCCCAGCCGTTAGCGAGCCCTCCATACCAATCCTCACAAACCTGCCAAGAATCCCACCAGCCATGTGCCAGATCGTAAACCACCCGCAGTCCAGAACCTCTCCCCTTGTCAACCGGGGGACACATCCTGCTGAAAACCCCCCTTGCAAGCCACATCAGCCCGCTTTGACACTGACGTCTCCCCTTTCCCACTTCCGCGTCTTCCAATTCGACGAACCAAGAAAAAGAACCATGAATCCGAGCGCGATCCCAGGGTTTCAGCTCGAGATGTTGGCAGAGCTAACCGAGACGAGCTTCCCAGTTACGTCCGTGCGAGAGAGGGGATGTCCTCACCTAAGAAACGCCACCACACGAAACGTGGTGAGCTTCTCATGTTGATGGATTGTGCGTGACGAAGGAGCCCTTGTTCCCTTTTCGTTGCGGCCAGTCGCGTGCATGAATTGTCAGGCGTGGCGCGCATAAGGGGCTTGTCAGTCCCTGCTACGTGGATATGAAGCTGCTGATAAATAGTCATGGGCTCTCCTGTTCAAGGAGGGGTCAGCTTTGACTACTTTACTCCGTCTTATCACTCTGTTCTCTCTTTTAGGTACCTACCTTAATAGCTTACTCTGGTCTACCTCCTCACCTCAACAATGTCGACTGAAATGGAACATATCGACCGCAAATCACTCTACACGAGCCTCGAAGCTCGAATCGACTACCTCCACAAGTTCCTCGACTTCGATGATCGTACGCCTCCCTCAAACCCCACCCCCAAAAATAATCCCTGTTGACCCATCGTAGGAGATCTGGAAGCACTGGCCTTCGGGTCCAAGTTCGTCAAGGACCTAATCCCGGCCGTTGTGCACATCGTCTACAGAAAGCTCCTCCAGTTCGACATTACGGCCCGAGCGTTCGAGATTAGAGATACCACATCAGAGGCGCCGTTGCAGAGTGTCTTGGACGATAATAGCCCTGAGCTTCAAGAGAGAAAGAACTTTTTGAACTCGTACCTCACAAAGATCTGCTCGGACCAGTCCAAGATGGCTTTCTGGGAGTACTTAGACAACGTTGGGTGAGTAACAGCACGACCCCATCTGCAACTATCTGTGTTTCCTTCTCTAACAGCTGCCCTACAGCGCCATGCACGTCGGTCTACGAAGAAGCAAGCCCCTCCGCGTCGAATACATCCACATCAGCGCCACCCTCTGCGTGATACAACACGTCCTCACCGAGTCGATCCTCTCCCACAGCGTCCTCCCCATGTCCCGCCGAGTCGCAATGGTCAAGGCCCTAAGCAAAGTCATCTGGATCCAGAACGACCTCTTTGCCAAGTGGTGCGTCCGAGACGGCGAAGAGTTCACTGGAGGTCCTGCAGCAGCGGCGAGGGCGGATCAACTTGCTTCCGCAGGCGATGTTCCTTTGAAGGAATCTGCTGTTTCGACTTGTCCTTTTAGTGGAATGACTAGCGGTGTTCAGAGCTAGGTAAAGGAGACTTGTTATTTATTGATGGGAATGAACTTTTCTGGTTGTTTACTGGTGTCTTGGGCAATACAGGACCCTGATTAGAATGTCAATGATAATGTACTTTTACTTGATGCAATACGCAAATTGAGAACAGAAAGCTCGCCTGTAGGCGATGAACTCGAGTACTTCTTAGATTGCAGTGCTATGGGCATGAGTTCAGTGGCAGCACTCCTTAAAAACCAATCGTCGTTACTCTTGTGCCTAGTATCGTCTCTGATGGTGTCAGCTACAGATCAGTGGTGCTCGCTTTCTGGCGGCTACAATGAGCCTTCCATTTCACACCCAAGTTAGAGACACGACTCGATTTTATCTTCATCACAGCTCTAAGGCCTCATTTCAGTAAGTGGTGACGCTTAGTTAGTTAACGCATTCCCTTCAGCATCGGGATAAAATATTGTCATGTACTGATGACTACGTTCTTTGATATTGAGCTCATGCCTTCTTTTAAAGACGTCAGTGGTAAACACAAAAATGCCGGGGTTTAATGCTGGTGTGTGCCAGTGACTGTGGTCTTTGTTAGTATAGTCGATGGCTTCTTCGGTAGATGTCGCCAACCTCACAACGGAGTAAGTGAGTATCATCCGCGACCAATTTGGGGTTATATACGAGATTATTATTTCTAGTAAACCATTTTGGCCACTACCTGAGCATTAGCACCGCGAGCGAAAGATTGTTGCCTTCTAGAGCTCACAAGGCCACCCGGGTATGATAAATCGACAACTTGCAACCGTGAGACCAAGGCAGGCTAGCTATCCATGGCCAAATCCGTTTAACAAACCTATCAACATCAAGATATTCTCTTTATCTGAAATACCTTCTCTATTATTAGCCAGCAATTCAATCAAGGGAGTAGGTGATAAATCGTTGCTTTAGCCCGCCGGGTGTGGTCTTGTGTAACCACTGCGGCATTAGGCAAAAGAGATCGCCGCCTAAGAGGTACATTCCTGTCAGGGCTGACAAGTACCTCGATGTACCTCACCACCCTAGCCAAATTGCTTTTGCGGAATTCAATGTCCAGCTGTCAAGCTAACCACAAACAAACAAAAAAGCAAACTCTACCCCGGATCGACCTGTCAAAATGTCTCATAGTAAGCACCAATCATGTTCAACTTCTAGATATAGAGTTATAGTACAATGCAGATCATATCAAGATTCAGTCATTGCAGTGAACCGAAACCAAGCAACTCCAACCTTCTATCCTTACAGCTTTACTTTATGGGGTATCCTTCAAAACCGCGTCAATCTCTCTCTTGAAAGTCTCAATGATAACTCTTCGGTTCAACTTCTGTGTGGCAGTCACAAGGCCCTACAAGTATGTCAGTATTTTGTATTTCAGGAGAAACGATTTCAAACTCACGCTGTGAGGAGTCCACTCGTCATGAGTGAGGACAACGCCTGCAACAAGCTCCATCGCAGCAAGGCCACCGCGCTTTCCTGTAGAACGGAGATCTTCCAAGACTGCTTCCTTGACTCTGGCGTCGTGATACATGTCATGCTCGTCCACGCCCAAACCCTCTGCAATTGACATGAGGGCCTTGACCTCAGGCATGATAACCGCGATGGGACGGGAATGAGCCGGGTCAGCGTGGACCATGACATTGATAACAGTCCGAGCACCGCGGTAGATAGACTCCAGCTTTTCAAGAGCAATGTACTCTCCGCCTTGTAGCTTGATGAGGTTCTTGATGCGATCGATGACCCGCAAATGACCATCGGCATCAAACTCGCCAACATCGCCTGTCTTGAACCAGCCATCCGGAGTTATAGCCTTTTCCGTCTCTTCTGGGTTGTTATAGTAACCCTTCATGAGGGACGTTCCCCGGGCCCAAATTTCACCCTGGGGCACCTTGGCATCAGTAGAGTATCCAAATTCAGGGACAGAAACCAGTTTTATCTCGAGGGAGCCTGCAACCGGGCCAAGAGTGTCGAGTGAGAACTCTAGAGGCGAGCCCAGGGCACCACAGGCGCATGTTTCAGTAAGACCATACCCGATGATCATGGGCGCGATAACGTGAGATATAACGTGTTTGGTCCCCTCAGCAATTCCGCTTGCTCCGTTAACAGTGAACCGGACCCGTCCACCAGCCAAATCTCTGACCTTGCCAAAGATGATCTTGTCAAAGATGTTGGCTCCCGGCAATCCGTACCTCGACATGAAGCTCTTAAAGTTCAAAGCGGCCCAAAATACATTCTTGAGTAGAGGACTCGCCTCCAGTTTCGCGTTGATGCCCTTCCGGATGGTTTCCCAGACTTGCGGGACGCCCATCATGATGGTAGGTCCCAGTTCCTTCATGTCTCCTGCACAGTTTCTGGTTGAGACATCGGACAATGTTCTGGGACTTCCATAACCGAGATTGCCGCCGATGAAAATTGCCAAGTTCTCGACGGTTAACTCGAAGATGTGGGCCAGTGGTAAGTAGCAGAGCAGGATGTCGCGATAGCTGACGACTTCATCCACGGCAGAATAGATTCCGGCAACTAAACTCAGAGTTAGCAAATTCCGTTTACTTACCCACGGAAAAAAAAAAATTGGAAAATCAGGTCGCGAGGGAGTAGCGTACCTCCTGCAACGAGGACCTCATGTGTGATACAGGCACCTTTCGGGGGCCCAGCAGAACCCGATGTGTACATGATGCAAAACAAATCAGTCGGCTTAGCCGGAACAGGATCAACCATATTATTCTCGCCTAGACTTCGCAGCTGCGAGACAGTCAAGACTTTGAACTCTGGGTTCGCGGCCGCAAAGTTCTCCATATCGTTTGGATGGCCAAAGATGCAGGCATCGTTGACAATGACGGTCTTGACGTTTGACTTTTTCAGAGGGTTCGTAGCGATTTTGAGAAGGTGAGGATCGATGAAGATGGCGTCGGATTGGGTTTGCACGAGCGTGTGTTGGAATCCCTCTTCTCCGAGGGTGTCGTAGGCCGTGACGATGGAGATGGATTGAGAAGCGCAAGCGTGCGACATGGCGAGCCAATTCATACTGTAGTTAAACGATCAGATACCAGTCATACCAAGGGCCTCATGCGCAAACAATAGCAGAAAGCAGATCAAAATGCTTACCTCGTCGCACCAAAGAAATGCAGCTTCTGGGCCGGCGACAAGCCCAGCTTGCGCAGCCCAGACCCCAATTGCAGCACAAGCGTCTCATACTCCTTGAAAGTAATGAACGAATATCCAGAAAGCTCGAAATACTGCCACTTCTTCTCAACCTCTTTAGTCTGCCCGTCCACCTTCTTCTGCTTCACCGTCTTGACCTCCTCATGAAGCTCAATCAGCTTCCTCGACCCGATACCTCCGCGGTCGGGGTACACGCGCGCGCTTCGCTGAACAATGTCAAAAACGGTATTGACACCCTCTGCAGGTCGCGCGATGAGGCCATCTTTCGCTTTTGGGCTTCGTCGGGGGATGGTCTCGCCGGGGACCTTCTCATATCCGGGCGACTCGATGGTGAAGGGCGGCTTGTGAACCTGGCGTAGAGGTAGCACACCCGTTGGGTATGGGACGTTGTGCGTATCCGTATCCATCGTGGAATGATATGATTGGATAGACTAGGCTATGTCAAGCGTCTGCAGATCGAGTGGTAGCGACAGCGGTTACAGTAGCCGGCACATGCAAAACGGCACGAAGCGACAGCCATCCCAGAGATATATCCTCTCGGGAAACAGCAACGTCATCTCTTTTTAACTTGTGCTTAACACGTGTGTGTCCCCATGGACCCTGGATGCCTCGGCTTCGCCACTACAGGGGGGGTCCCGGACAGAAAACGGTCCCTGTGGGTAACATCAGGCGCCAACAGGTGCAGAAGGCCCGTCTCCATTCTCACCTCAGCCCCGTTGTTTATCGTTTGCGCAGAGGCATTTCTAAGCGCTGTCACGGGCTTTGTACGGTTTCCGCGGGAAGTACGGAAGCACGGAGTACTTGGAACGGGATATGCAGCTACTCCGTGCAAGGGGGTTTGCGATCCAATCGCAAAAGGAGATCCCATCTGAGCCAAGAGCCTCAGCCTCAACTGAACGCAAGCAGCTGACCAACAACGCGTAGGTAGTGACGCCAAACGAAAGGTGCTGACATGCGGATGCGGAGTTTGCATCGGGAATCAGTTGAGATTCTGGGGATTTATTCCCTGCAAGTCCAATAGCATCCCGACGTGAGATCTGACAAGGCCGCCTTAAGCAGTTAACAAGCTGCTTCTGAGCACCGGGGAACCTTATATCAACGGTTAACGACGTCGTTGATATTCACATGCATTTTAAACGGCATTGAACGAAAAAATGTCACGAGCTTTTTGTTTCCGCGGCGCTCAGACGGGAAATTTCAGGAAATGACATAGAAACGCCAAGATTCTCCCCTGGACATGTCAGGCCAGCTAAGTGGATAGCGTCTCGAAGCCACTGCTGACATGCTGCGTCTGAAGGGCACTCTAAAAAGGTAAAAAGGAGTTCATTGCATCTGAAGAACAAGGCTTCATCTCCGACGGTGCATTCACTGCATTTACAGGGTAGCTTACGACTCTGGCCACGTACAGCACAACTTCAGAGCGAGAGCGAGAGGACACGAGACAACAACTCTCGACTTGCATGTGATACTGACAAGGAAAATCAAGACCCCACCAAACTAAAATAGCAAGAGTCGACATGGATCAAGAGGTCATTCCAACGATTGAGGCTCATGGTGTCTGTCACTGTTTGAAGGCCCCGGGGAGGTTTTGCTAAGCCCCATAATAACCCCAGTCAGCCAATCACAGATAGGCGCGCAAACCTGAGGCTCCAAACACGAATTGCCCATTTCCTTAGTAATTCGCAACCTCAGGCAGAACAATTTAATCCATCTCATCTCATCTCATCTCCTACAAAAAAACCACGGCATGAAGAAGTCGATAGCCTGCGGCGCATGTCGTTCCTCCAAGCGTAAAGTACCATGCGACAGCCCTCTCTCCAATCCCTCCCTTCCCATCACTCTTGGCTGATGGCGCCGTAGTGCATCCACTCGGGCGGGCCACCCTGCAGTCGATGCCGCGACCGCGGTGATGAGTGCATCTTCCCTCCCAAGGGCACCTCCTTCATCTTTCGACGGAGTCGTCTTGAGCGTCATGGACGTGAGCATGAGAGTGCTTCACAGTTGGCTGTTAGGGGTCAGGCTCGCTCGGAAGAGTGGCTGGCTGCTCGGTCAAAGACGTTGGCTGCAGTGGACGCCTTTGAGTTTCTCACCGACGAGGTCAAGAACAGCTATCTACGGTGTTCTTACAAGTGGTCTTTTCACCATATACCCAATCTTCTCATTGGAATACGTGAGAAGACGTTAGATCCTCTGCTTGTTTGGGCTATGCTGGCCATCACGGTGAGGTGCGCTCTCAATGCCCAAGTCAATTGTCCCTCACTCACCACATCAATACAGGTTTTCACAGGCCGCCCCTCCAGGCTACTCTAGCCAGGTCGAGGCCAGCAACACGTTTGCTACTCATGCCAGATCAATGGTATTGTCATTAGTGGACCAACCGACTGTCCACCGAGCTCAGGTCCTACTCATGCTGACCGGCCATTCCTGGGGCGCCGGTGAGGGCAGACGGGCGTGGGTGTACCTGGGCATGGCCGTCAGAATGGCTCAAGTATTAGGTCTCTTTGAAGAACCGACATCTGTAACGACCCGCGACGACTTCATCACCGCTGAGGAGAGACGGCGCACAGCATGGACCTGCTTCCTAATGGATAGCCTCCTCAGCGGAGGTAAAGGCCGAGATAGGATGCTCTCGGCCGACAAGATGCGGATACAACTTCCCTGCGAGTCCGACAGCTTCAACTTTGGAGAACTGGTCATCTGCGAGAAGTTAGACGGCTCTTTGCCCGAAGGACCCCGGTTGGGCGAGCAAGGGAACCTCGGCATCGTCGCATATAGCATGAGGGCCGCCGATATATGGGGTGCCGTTGCGAAATGGGCCTGTACACCACATGACAACAATCAACCACCCTGGCAGCCTCAATCCGACTTTCAGTACCTGCTCTCGCGGCTAAATGTGTGGAAGGACTCGTTGCCCAAGCGGTTACAATACGAGCTGTTTCTGCTAAGGGCACATAGCGTGTCCAACCAGGGTCAGGCGTACTGCTACATGCACTGCATCTACTTTATGAGCGTCATCTTCCTCTACCGGTCATATCTCCCCGAGGTGGAGATGCAAAAGGCGAGAGTAGGCGATCAAGAGTGGGATCAATGGTCAGCGTGGTCGAGCAAGGAGTTAGTCGAGGTGGCCGAACAGGTCTGTGAGATGCTCCAGGAGATGCGTGCTTTTGGCCTCTACTTTCTACGGGGTCTGGTTCCGTGGATTGGCTTTACCATCTACACAGCGGTAGGGACGATGTTGTACTTCTACCACTTCCCAAATCCTGGCGATACACCTCATCAGATTGAGCGGAGGCGTGAACACATCGTTGAGGGATTGCTGTTTCTCAAAGATATGCGACAAGCGTGGCCTATGGCAGATACCTGGGTGAGTCCTCCCTCTCATATTCATGCGAGCTTCACTAACACCAGTACCAGCGAGAAAAGATCAAGGCGATGCAGATATTCTACACCAACATCAAAGCCGAAGGAGACCAAGCAGTAACACCAAGTGAGAGGAGAGAAATGCGAAACGCAATCATCGACTACGGAGCCTTACAGCCCGATCCTGTCCGACAACCCGACTCCGAGAGCAACGACGAGCAGGTGGGTTCATCCTCCGAAGCCTTTACGCAGCTACCAACAAGACCCAAGAGCGCGACAGACGGCGAAAACGATGCCACGCCGACTGCCGTGGACTTTGCGCCAGATCAGCTCAACTTTATCGCGCCAGCCGACATTGACCTATTTGACACCAACTTTGAGTTTGGAAGCAACATGCATGCGACATTTGCGGATGCAACACAGGGTTTCTGGGAGAGCTTTCCCGGAAGCATGGACATGGGAGGTGAATAGAGAGGGTATTCTTCCCGAGCGGGTTCAAGCCCAACATGCCAAGCTGCGAATTTACGCATTTGGATAAAGAGAGGGCGGAATTGATGCTGGATAACCCGACGTGCAAGGCAAGGCAATGGAGTCAGTAGAAGCACGACATTGGTCAGTCAGAGGTCAAGATCTGCAACTCTGCTGGCGCTAATCGTAAGACGAATCCCCTCTCCCCCCGCGTTTCCTGGTAAAGGTGAATTCAGGCTAAATGCCGTGACACGAACGAGGTTCCGTCCTCGGGGAGGATAAGTACTGAGTGATGGAGGAATCATGAAGATGAACGTGGAGTGATATTGGCATTTGAACTCCTCCTCTCCCTCACTTCTGTCACTTCTCTTGTTCTCATCTCTTACCTTTCCTTCAGCTCTCAGTCCCTCGTCAACATGCCTCTCGTCAGAAACCCCATCCTTCCCGGGTTCAACCCCGACCCCTCAATCCTCAGAGTCGGCTCCGACTACTACGTAGCAACATCAACATTCGAGTGGTTCCCCGGAGTCCAGATCCACCACTCCAAAGATCTCGCAAACTGGACGTTGGCCGTCCGTCCTCTCACCCGCAAGAGTCAGCTCGACATGCGCGGCGATCCAGACAGCTGCGGTGTCTGGGCTCCCTGTCTAACTCATGATGGTGAAAAGTTCTGGCTTGTGTATACGGATGTGAAGCGAAAGGATGGGTCTTTCAAGGATACGCACAACTACATCGTCAGTGCCCCGGCTATTGAAGGACCGTGGTCTGATCCTGTTTATGCCAACTCGTCTGGCTTTGATCCTTCACTGTTTCACGATGAGGATGGTCGCAAGTGGTTCAGCAACATGACCTGGGACCACCGCGCCCGTCCACTCTTGTTCGCTGGTATCATGCTCCAAGAGTTTGACCCAAAAGCAGGCAAACTCGTTGGTCCACGGAAGAATGTCTACCAGGGAACAGACCTCAAGTTCGTCGAGGGACCTCACATGTACAAGCGCAACGGGTGGTATTACATGTTGACAGCCGAAGGAGGAACGGGGTACAACCACGCCGTCACGCTTGCACGGTCTCGAAACATTTGGGGACCTTACGAGGATCACCCTCAGAAGCACATTCTCACGTCCAAGGACACTCCGAACGTTGCGTTGCAGAGGGCTGGGCACGGCGACATCGTGGATACACCTGATGGCAAGACTTATATCGTGCACCTCACTGGACGGCCAATTGGTCAGAAGCGTCGGTGCGTGTTGGGACGAGAGACGGGGATCCAAGAAGCATACTGGGGTGATGACGACTGGCTCTATGTCAAGAATGGACCTGTCCCAAGCCTTTTCGTTGATCTCCCCGCTGCACGAGACGACACAGCATACTGGGCTGAACAGCGATACACGTTTGAGAATGGTCTTCACCAAGACTTTCAGTGGCTGCGAACACCCGAGCCAGATCGCATCTTCTCAATCGCCGACGGCAAGCTAACCTTGATCGGTCGCGAGTCAATTGGATCTTGGTTTGAACAGTCTCTGGTAGCAAGGCGACAGACACACTTCTCATGCGACGCCGAGACAGTCATCGATTTTTCACCAGAGGACGAGCGTCAATTTGCAGGTCTCACAGCCTATTACTCTCGCTACAACTTCTTCTACCTTACCGTCACAGCACACTCGGACGGCCAGAGAGAGCTTTCCATCATGAGCTCAGAAGACTCATCTCCCCTCGGAAAGCTGGAACCTCAAAAGGCAGAGCCGGTTAAGCTCCCCAACGAGGGCAAGGTGAAGCTGGCTCTGTCTATCCGCATGAGCAAGCTTCAGTTCTACTATGCCCTCGAGGGCGACGAACTGAAAGAGTACGGTCCCGTCCTGGATGCGTCGATCCTGTCGGATGAGTGCGGTGGACATGTAGGAGACGGGAGCTTCACGGGTTCGTTCCTAGGTGTGGCGTGCTCGGACTTGAATGGTCTTGGGATAAAGGCCAAGTTTGACTACTTTGTGTACCGACCTGTCCACCACGAGTTGGACCGCTACGAGATTTAAACACTTAAGACAGGGACATAACATGAAATCACTTAATGGCATTTGTCAAGGTATCTATGAGTACAGAATCGAAAACGGCTCCAGTGCATTCCCGCCACTTAATGGCATTCCTAGCACTTCTTGAGGCCAAAAGCCTCCTTGGCAAGGTTAATAGACTTGATGCGAGGCTCATCAATCGTGACACCCACGCAATCCATGTACTCCTTGAAACCCGCATCGATATCCTTTTGCAGAGACTTGCGCACGCTGGGCTCGCACTGAGTTGTCAAGAACCAAGGACCAGAGGCAAAGTTGTACTTGTCGTCGGTAACATCGTCGAGGAGGTCGCTGAGTGTGCTGTTGGAGGCGCCTTCGACGGTTTTGACGGCTCCCCACTTTTCCTTGAGCTCGGGGATGCTCTGGGCGTACAAGAGGTTGAACTTGGCCATCTGCATGTTGGCTGTTCCCTGCCCAGGTCGGCCGGGGAACGCGTTGCGCTTGTACTGAAAGTCGCCAGACTCGAAAGCCATGAGAGAAAGGACGGCGGCCATCTCCTTGACGTCATAGATGCCGTGGTCGTAGAAGCCCTGTGTGATGAAGGGGGCGGCCTGCTTGGCGGTGCGGCACTCGTCGTTCTTGGGATCGCACTTGACAGACTTGGGGGCTGCGTGCTCGATGATGGGAGCGGCGTAGAGAGGGCCGGCGAGGGAGAGGTTGGCGAAGCCGAGGAGGGCGGCGGCCGAGAGAGAAAGAAACTTCATCTTGTTCTTGTTGGTAGTGTATGTGTGTGTGTGGGTGTGGGTGTACGTTGATGTACGGGTATATGAACGCGTATGAGAGAGAAAAGACAGAATGGAAATGTACTGAAGACGTCGATCAACGGGTCGTCAGACAGTGTTTATAAGAAGGCTCTGAACAAAGAGAGTGATCAATGACAAACAGACACAGCCTGAACGTGGGGAAAGGTGAACAATGCAGGGCTCAGCCGCGAACAAGTAAAGGACAGGGAATGTAAGCGGGAACAGACAAGGAAGAGAGTGAATGGAGCCCGTTTGTAGGCTGTACCCAGTATGAGTCTGACAGAAAAAAAAAAGATGTCGATCAAAATCAGCCAGAGAAGAAGCCAAGCCTGACTCTTTATGCCACCCGAAAAAAACCCCTGAGTCAATTGATCATAAGGCAACGAAATGTTTCAAAACTCGCCTCTCTCAACGGCACAAACGGCACGGCAGAGGCTCTCGAGAGAAGCAGCTGAAGCGTCACCCACAACCAATGACGTCTCTCAATCGAGTGTCGAGAAACACATAGTGAAACGCACCCTGCTGCTGTAGCCCACGAAGGAGAACGAATCAGTCTTAGCGCTTACTGAGGGGGCAAGTGACCCCCTTGAAATCCTTCAAGCAGGCTCCCGATATTACAGGGGAATTTTTACAAGAGTCCGAGTTTCAAGCAAGTCCGAACATGTCAGCTTAACCTATTAATCGGCTCCAACACATAAAAATCAAGATCCCTGGGGTTGCAATCAAGCGCGCGTGGTCGCAGAAGAGGAAGCCCTCCCCAGCCCTGTTTGGGTACTGTACCCAGCCCACTCTAAGCGCGTGACAAGCCTCGGCTAAGAATGCATCCAGCCTTATTTTTTTTTACACCGCCACAAGTTAATCTTGCCCTGCGCCTCAGATTTGGGGTCAAAAGCCAAGCCGCAGATCTATACTTGGGACACATGCAACCTCGCGTAATCGTTGCCATTTTGAGATCTCACTGCCTTGACATCACAGCCTGACATTTTAAATCCACAGCCCTTACAGCAGACCAGGGCCTTACAGGGTTTCACATAAGCTGCCAAGATTGACCTAAGGAACCAAAGTCCAAATACAAATGGAATTCAATATTAGCGTCGGTGATATCACTAAGCAAAGCAATCTCAACCCCCATGGTATAATCCCAACCCCCCAAACATTCCATAAAAAACACACACAAGATCAAATTTACTCTCCATCCCACGTAACCTTCATAGAGGTAGGGAAAGGCCAAATGCTTCCCCAGTCCTCAGTCATGTATACGTAGAATCCACCAGGTCTGGGAACCTTCTTCAGCTCTCCTTGAGCACCTGGAACCCGACGGAGTCCCTTCTTCCGGAACAGGGCGCGGAAAAGCTCCGTGAGTGCCACCTGGCTGATGTTTCGGCCGAGGCACTCGTGGGGTCCGGTTCCGTAGTGGATGTACGACTCGAGAGGTCGGCGAGGGTCCACGACTTCTGGGTTGGGGAAGATCTTGGGGTCCTTGGCTGCTGACACGAAAGAGACAAAGACGCGGTCACCTGCCTTGACTTCGACTCTCTCTCCGTTGTCTTCCTCGATCACGTCGGCAGACTCAGCCTTGCGGTAGAGACCAAACGTGCCGGCCATTCTGATACCCTCCATGGCATAGCCCAGAAGGAGAGCGTCAGTCTCGTCACCTGTCTCAAGAGCGGCAATACGGTGCAGCTCAGGACGGTACTTTTCACCCGCAGGCGAAAGATACCAATCCAGAGTTTGAGCAAACTACCACAACGTTAGCAATCATCCCCTTGACACAACCAAAATCACTCACCACCTGAGCCTGGTTGGGAACCATGGCTCCAGCCGTAGGAAGAATCTGACTCCACACAATGTCCTCAGTGCTCAGCCCAGCCTTCTTGAGCCCCTTGGCCATGTTGACTCCATACGCAGCCAGAGGATCATCCTTGTTCGCCTTGCCAGTGAACAAACCCTTCATACCAATACCGTTGGAAAGCTTGACGTTCATCTCAACAACCTTGCCCAGCGCCTGCGCAACCTCTCGAGCACCCTGTCTCAACGGGAACGACTTGGCAGGATCAATATCGAAAAAGATGCAAACAAAGATAACAGCGAGGATCTTGTACAGCTCCTGCTCGGAAAAGAGACCCTTGGGGTTCTCCTTGGTCTTGAGTGGCAGGTTAAACATGCGCGACACGAAATGAGTGTGCGCGAGGTTACCCACGTCCCGCACAACGTCGACCTGCGTCTTGCCCGCGAGCTTGTACGACTTTTCCGCCAGGAGCTTCTCGGCAATCATCGAGTAGAATGACTTGATGGCGCTCTTCCACGTGTCGTTGTACAGAAGTGCGCCCATGCACCTGCGCTGCTGGGCAAAGAAGGCACCGTCTCCGGAGAGCATGAAGCGGCGTCCGCCCTCGCCCATGAGGTGTCCGAGACCTTCATCCCAGCACACCTTGTAGATCTCCTGGTTCTCCAGGATGTACTTGGCAGCGTTGTAGCCGACAATGTTGATACGGGCGGGGGTAAAGCTAGGTCGATCAAAGTCGAACCGATCCGCGCGCTTAAGATCCGTCAAGATCTTGCGGTTCTCAGAGGGAATCACCATTGGGTAGTGAGCATAGACAGAGTTACCCTTAAAGTGCTGAGGGAAAGCCCGGATAAAGAGCTTGTAAAAGACACAGCCGTGGTTGATGTTGAGATCATAGTCAACCTCCTTGTAACCCCAGTTGGTCAGGTTACGAGGGTGATAGTCAGTCGTGTAGTACCTATCACCACGAACAAGGGCGACAGCATCAGACAAGACGACACGAGAGATGGTGTACGTTGGAGCAATACCAACACCAGGAACCATAGGTGTCTTGGCTTCTTCGGCAACGATACCAGGATACAGCTCGACATAGTCGGGGTGCTGGTACAGGTTCCTCAGAGACTCGGCAATCTCAGGATCAGAGTTGATCTCCTCAAAGGTGTCGTAAGCCTTGAGACCAAAATGCTTACGGAACTCGTTGAGTCCAGCCAAGTTCCACTTGCGACCACGGATGATACCAAGCATCTCGACAGGCTTCATGATGCGAGGAACATTGCGACCACCAAATGCACCACCAGGCTGCTCGATAGCAGTAGCAAGAGCATCAACAAGTTCATTGTCGCTAAACTTGCCGTCCTTGCCACGCTTGAAGCCGCCAAAGGTGCGCTCAGCAGGGTCTTGAGGAACAGACATCTCAAACTTCTTGAGCGCCATCATCAAGGCACGCATGTCCATGGCTCCATAGTTGTCGCCAAGGAGCTGAACGTAGAAATCCTGGATCCACTTGTCGTCCATCTCGGAGATGCAAGAGTGCCAGCGGTAGCAGAGGTTGAACTCGGCAGACACGACGTTGCCAGTGCCAGACTCGGAACCCTCCTTGGTACCAACAGAGACACCCATCTCCTGACGAGGATCAAGAGTCCAAGTGGTATCAACACGGTTCAGGTTGATAATGTTGCGGACGTAGTCAATGAGGGTAATGTTGATGTACAAACCCGACGTAACAAGACGAGCAGTCTCAAACAGCTCCTCATCACGCTTCTTCCAAGCCGCAGCCGCAGCCTCAGGATCAAGGTTAGGTCCCGGCTTGGAGAAGCGACCGCCCTCGTTTATGTCAGCGAGGTTGGTCGCAACATGGTTGTGGAATCGGTTAAACATGATGAGGATGATGCAGACACCGGGAGGGTTTCCAATCAGACGCTTATCGGCAAACGTGTCGGGCTTGAGCAGACCATCCTCGAATGTTCGGATCGAGTCGCGAGCTTCAACGGTGCTACCGTAGAGGGGGGAGAGGTCGAGATACGACGACGAGTCGTTCTGGTTGGGGTCCTTGAGGTTGGTCCAGAACAGGTCTGTTTAGTTAGCAATTGTCAACTAGAGTTGAGTATCTAGTACATACCGTGGATGATGATGGTGGCCCAGTACCACAGGATGCTCGACACATTGTTGGGGTTCTTCTTGAAGCCATCACGAGCCATGACAGACTCAAACACAGCCTCAGGATCAGGTTGAGCACCAAGCGACATGCCCTTGGGACGAACAGATCGCGAGTAAGGAGTCTTGGCCGCACCAAGCTTGGGCATATAAGGGTTCTGTCACAGTCAGTCAAGTTCAATTGATGCCCAGAGGTGTGTATTCTCACGTTGAGAGATCCATCCGGCTGGCGGAAGCGGTACTGGTCACCCATGTACAGCATTGGCGGGTGATCGAGCGAGTTCCAAAGCTTGTCGATGAAGCTGTTGGTAAGAACTTCCTGAACCTTGGAGTGATCATTCAGACTAGCGACAATCTGAATGGTCCTCTCCATGATCATGGTCTTGTCATCTTGCTGAGTCTCACCCTTGGCCTTGGCCTTGACAATTTCAAGCAACGTCTTGAGATCTATAACACATCAGCACACCCCCTCAACCTCAAGCATACAAACTCACCCTTGATCTTGAGACGACGAAGATCCTCCTTGAGACGAGGTCGGTTCACCACAGTCCTGTAGCTACCATCACCCATCTCAGTAGGCAACGGCCTCTTGGAAAGAACCCTCAGCTTCTTGAAGCTCTTCAGAGCACCCTCCTTCTTCTGATTGGACTGGCCGGCAGCCTTGGGCTGCGGCTTAGGAGCGGGAGCCTTTTCCTGGCTATGGCCATTGGTGGCGTGGCCGTTCTTGACCTCTGCAGACGACATGATGGCGCAAGTTGTACCGAGAAGAGAGGAGAGAGGAGAGATGAAAGAGGGGGACACACTCTCTTATCAACCATCATCGCACATGCTTTTCAAGGGAACAAGAGCTTAGCTTAGCGTCAACGAGTGAGACACGGCATTCCGCTTCGCCGTGGTCCAACGACGGGGTACACCTGGTGCGGCCCGCAAGGGAGCCAGACAAGAAACTCGAGTGGTTGGACGAAAAGCAGTGGAACACATTGTTGCTTTTCAGGATCAACCTCGTAGCTTGGAGCCGGCGCATCTGAGTGTCTTGAATCGAGTGGAGGGGTGTGCGCCATGTATCGTGAACTTCTGATAGTCTGTGGACTTGCAGACGGCACAGACAGAAGCTTCCCCACAGATATTCAACACCACGATACATCCCCATCTCTGATTTGTTCACCACCCATGTCTCGGAAGCAGCCCAATCGGAGGGTCTACCCCCAGTAAGTCCACAGATTAGAGATGTCCTTGACGTGACTGGCTTTCTTTCTGTGGCGTCTAAACTGGGGAGCTGTCAATCGAACTAGCCAAGGTAAATGTCTAATCGAAATGAACACAAAGAGAGACTGGCGGTCAATCTTTTTCCTTCTTGCTTGGCGATTACCCTTGGGAGGATAACCCTTGCTTACAAAGTAGAACGAGACATGGTATGTATGCGTGGTGAGCAATGGCCCTGTCTTTCAGCTTTGCCTTTTTGACATCAAGACCCTGTGTCGGTTAACCGTTTCTTGCTGTCACTCACCAAATTGAGGCCTCTACCTCTGCAGTTCAGTTCTCTCCCTTCTCCTCACCACCACCATCAATACCAACACCAACAGTTCCGCCCCGGGAACCCTATGGATCGCGGTCCGAGCCGGCGCGCCCTTCTAGTCCATAAAGAGGAGCCACTAACCCTCAAAGAAGAATGTCCTCCTCCCCAATCGAGAAAAGACTAGAGTGGACACGGTGCAATTTAATCCTAGACCCCTCGACACCGGCAGTCGTACACACTTTGGAGGGCGGCAATTGGACAATCATCTCTAGCCTTGCAGATCACTCAACTGAGACATCCCCTCCCCATTGACAGACGAATGTCTCTTGTCTTGGTATAGATACATATGTACGGATACATAGGGCGCCAAAGAAAGAGGGGGGCGTCAGGAATTATACCCGTTGTCATTGGGTAACCTCCTCTTCTTGAGGCGAGCTGAAAAGCTTCTTTTGGACTATTCGACCCGCCCTGTGCCTCCCCAAGACAATGACGTGTAAGGAGATTTATCAGCGGCTTGCTTCCCCATGTCAGTCATTGCTTGGACGATCCTCATCCATACCTACCTACCTCGTCTTGGCCCTGCAGCCATCAACCAGATTCTTCCTCAAGAGTCCACTCTCCTCCTCAGCTCGCCTGTCCCTAGCAGATCCTTGCCCTATCAGTCCACGACCTACCTGGAGCTCGGATGGAACCACTGCCGACCAGAGCAGAGCAAATTCTCCTCATGCACGCACAACCCTGTGTGCATGGAATGAATGAGTGAATGATTGGTGTTGCAACACTCTTCTTGACTCTGGGAAGCACAGCATCATGTCGCAAGCTGAATCAGTTGCTCCTGGCAAAGTCCTATGACCTGTTTCTCAGTCCCCAAGGCCGTAGTGCTCATCTCTCGGGCGATCGACTTGAACCAGCCATCAAAATCTAAACATCCTAGACACTGACGCAGATCCCAGCCCAGCCCAGCACGAGGCCCAATCCAATCATCGACCACTCATTTGTATGAGACCATCCTTACCCGCCCGCTGCGCAGACCGACAAAGGACCGCGTCACCGGGTGCTACCGGAGAATGAACAAACACGCGACACAGACACAGACGCTGTGTAAGTAACAGAGCCCTCGTCAATTTGCTTGCTTGTTCGCTTGACATAATATATTTTATGCTCTTGTCCTGTCCGCCTACCAAACTCCAACGCTATGCAATCCTACTCCATTGTCTATTTCGTCCTCAGATCGTGAACGTAAAAGTCCAGCTTGTCGCTCTCGTATACATGGCCCTGTGGCTGCTCCGCCGCGCGATAGATCTTGTTTGGGTCTAGAGAATGCTCATGAAATGTCGGCTTCTGGTTACAGTTCAAGATGTGATCCAAGCCTGGAGGGTGAGTTAATCGGAAGATGCCATATCTAGCCATGTCAGTAATTGCTTTCGTCAAACGAGACGTGTACTTACGAGGGCGTGAATTTGGGTGCGCAAACAATGGCCACACTCTCAGGCATCATGACCTGATATCCAGCATGCGTGTGCAGGTCTCGAGAGCTCATGAAGCACGTCTGTGTCGGGTGCGTGTGGATCCATCCCAGCAGCAGTAGGTCTTCCTTCATACAGTAGTCAAACATGGACTCTTCGTTCTCCGTCTCGCAAGTATCCGAAGTGCATTTTTGGTCGGGGATCAAAAGACATCGAACAAAAAGGGCGTTATTGATGGGAGTTCCGCAGAGCATCCCACACATTTCGAGCCCTCGGCGCGTGTTCTCAGACGCGATATTGAGGAACTGCTGACGGAGTTGTCTGGGAATGAACAGTGAGCGTATAGGATCGCCATTCTCCAGATATGCGCCCGGCTTGAACGTCAGACGCTCCTTCTTAGGAAGCGTTGGCGGCGGGCTGATGGCCTCCTTTCGAGGCACTTGGGGTCGGTCGGCCGTTGTGGGTTGAGGAGATGGGAGGAGGGGGGCGTATTGAGAGAGGGGGACCTTTTGAGGCAGACTCGGTGGAAGAGTTCCAGATCCCGATGTAGGATACAACGGTTCCTTGGGTGGTAGAGATATGGGTTCCTTTGGCGGTCGACTCGGCTGGATCGAAGGTGTTGTCGGTGTTATTGACCTCTCATAATCCACCGGCCTCGACTTTGAGATGGACGGATAGTTGTACGACTGCGATACCGGCGCTGTCCGGAAATCCTCATCATTACGTCGCTCACGAGCCGAATCGAGTGCCTGCCTCGTCGCCTCCATTTGTTGTCGCAGATCATCGCCATCCCACTGATCCCATCTCCCTCCCATCCTTCGAGACATGATATCCTCATCCGAGATACCAGCCTTCCTTGTCGCTCGCCTTGCCGTGTCTCTTCGAATCAGCTCCTTCTGGGCCAGGTCAACAGCCAGGTCTTGGTTCTCAAAGGCATCTAGGATCTTGGCGTTTCCGGTTAAGCTTGGGTCTCGGGCCGCAAACTCTTCATATCTCGAAGGTTCCGACGTCTTATTCGCCGCCTGGGGCGGAGGCGCCATCCGCTCCCATTCCTTGACAGCATTCTCGATTTCGGGTTTCAGTTGTTCGAGGTCCTGAATCACACGTCCGATACGCTTCGACAAGGCAGAAAATGCCTTTTTATTCTCGGGATCCTTGATCTGCGGGTGCGAGGGAAGGTACTGGAGGACGAGGACCGAGTGTCGGTAGAGCATCATGTATGCTCGTCCATAATCGCCATCGGAGACTGCAAACCCGGCCTAACAGCGTCAGTATGGTCAGCGACGCAAGCACAAAACAAAGCATACCTCTTTATATAATGTCTCAGCGGCGCGCGTCCAGTGCTTGACAGGAATATTCGCGTTAAAGTTGAAGTTCTCAGCCTGAGCCACCAGCTCCTTGACCGTCTGGGGCCGAGCAGGCCGCATCGACTCCATTGTGGAAAAAGCGCTGTAAAGAGGAGTCTCTCAGGGTCGTAGAAGCCGTCGCTAATGTCTTTATAACCGGGGCATATTCCCCCAAGCCGCCGCGCCACGTGTTTCTGGTGAATAAAGGTTGGGAGCTGCCTGGAGTCGAGATGTAATTATTCAGTGACAACGCGCGCCCTGCTTCACGGTCAGCCGGTACCTTGTTGCCCCTCCATGGCCGATGGCGGGGCAGGGCATCAATGAAGTTAACGGGGTAAGTGACAAAAGAGATATATTCAATTACTGAGACGAATGCAAGAAAAGGGACCGCCGTTTTCCTGCTCTAGCCTCCAAATTGCGCTGCTTACTCATCGCCTCAGCCACACTCATCAAACCTCCTTGTTTTCTTGGATCATGGAGATATGGCGTGGTTTATAGATGCAAATCGTACAATTCCCACCCGCATTGTCCACGCCATCTATCCCATCCAGTCGGATTCTACCTGATGCTTCCCCCTCAGGCATCTCTTAGAGTCCAGAGTGCCCAATGCTGACAACTTCCGGTTCGTTCCATACGAGAACAATTGCCGGCTTCGCCTACGCTTGCCTTGCCTTGCCTTTCGGGGTCCGGGGTCCTTTCATCCCCGTATTATTCACTTTCGCTTATTCCCTGATATTGTTTCCAAATCAGGCAACTGGCCGACGCGGGGGTTGAAAGAGTCGGTCTGAAGCGATTCTGACCAGTCCGTTAATTGTTGCGACCAGATCTTGCTAATCGGAGCCACTAAAGAGACGACTCATGAAGCGAGTCGATGCTAAACCCAAAACATGTTTTCTTCTGATATCTGTATCATGTACTCCGCCTCAACGTCCTGACGCCACATCTACATGCCATGATGGCCATGATGATGATGCGCGGCGTAGGTGTCGAATCACCGCCTCCCGCCCTGTGTTGGCCAACCCCACGGTAATGGGGGCATCGTCCCATCGGCCCATCCATCCATGCCCATGATACCTGAAGGGAAGGAGCAGTGACCACCGTGTGGCCATGAGGCCTTGCTATGAGGCTGCCGGGATATCGTACGGGCTCCTTCATAACATCTCCTGAGCCGGGGGCCATGAAGGTCAAAAGCCGGTCTGTCCCCAGGTCTTGGGCTCGAATCTTGTAGACTATATCACCATCTCTGACCAGATCTCAATACATATATATAATCGAAACAACTCAACGACACCTAAACCACTTACATCCATCGAAATGCAATCCATCAAGGACCAGTCTGCCGTTTCCGTTGTCGAAATCTCCCCCGAGATCGATATCCACGCGACCAGCACTTGTAAGTATTGCGTCTGGACAGAGCTTCAACAGGCACTAACATGGAAAGCCGCTGTCAACGCTGCCATCGAGGTCTTTACCATCGAGGAGGGCCACGTTACCATCCCCAACGAACTCTGCCCCCTCGAGGTCCTCTTCAGCACCCTCCGCAAGGTCTCGGACGTCTTCAACCTTGACATCTGCGCCGAGGTCGACCTCAACTGCCGCAAGATTCTCCACCGTCTTCTCCAGTCCATCTTCGACACAAACACTCAGTCCTTCCTTGAGCAGGAGACGTCCGAGATCTTTGCTCACCTCAGCGCCAAGCAAAAGGCCCGCATCCTCGCTCAGGCCATCGCCACCTTTACCATCATCTTCCAACGTCTGGCCGAGGCTGGCGAAAAGGTCACCTATGGCGTCCTCAACCGTGAGGCTCAGCTGTTTGCCGAGAGCGAGCAGCGCACAATGATGCAAGATGCTATTGAGGGCAACCCCATCTTTGAGGACTGCAAGAGGAAGAGTGACATTGCCGATGCCATCCTCGAGGCCCTCGACGCTGACGAGTCGCCCGCTTCTCCTCAGCTCGTTGCCGCTGACGACAAGGTCGACTTTACTTTCTCGCCCGGTGCAGCGCTGGAGCACAAGAACATGGGTGTGCCCTGGGGATTCACCGTCATGGCTCTCAACTAGATATATCTGACGAACAAGTTTCACGACCGCGGAGTTTCAGGCGTTTCGGGGAACAATTGGAGGAATACGAAGGAAACTCCCACTGGCATTTGTTTTAGCGCGGCGCTCATAAAGTGCCAAGGCCTCTTTTTGATCTAGATGGCATCATCATCATTCAGATTCCATAGGATAAACAACTCAACTCATGATCTAATCGCTCCTTGTCCCATGTCCCCTTTTTTTTTCGTCAAGCTTTTTACTGGCCATCCTTGCCCTTGCCACCAGCGGCCTGAGCACCCGACTGGATCTGGATGATCTCGGTCTTTTTCTTCTCAAGCTTGTCCTGAGTTTCCTTGATTTGGTTCTCGAACCGAGAACTGCATCGGGTCGTCAGCCCGGAGGTCAACATGGATCGGAATGTCACTCACATCTCACTGCTGATGAAATCAAGGCGACCCTTGACCGTGCTCTCAGCCTCTACCTTGTCCTGCTTCAGCAGCACGGGGCCGGTGAGCTTGTAGATGGTCTCGCCGTCTTGTAGTCGGTCAAACTCCTGGTTGAGGCTTAGCAGGGGTTGATGGTCGCGTGTTCAGGGGTCACCGCCTACCTGTTGGACACCGAGATTTTCCTGCTTCTGGCCCTCGAGTTTTTGCCGCGAGGCGACTGCGCTCTGGAGTTCTAGACGTAGTTAGTATCAGTGTAGTCTACTCAGGTCGAGAACTTGCCTCCTTGAAGCTTCTGGAACTCTTCCGACAGCGCCTGAAGACGCGCCTGAGGGTCCGACATGGTGCTCGACTGAGAAGATGAAGAGATGAATGACGTGTCTCTTAAAGCTCAAACAGGCTGAAATATTCCTGCCTAGAATTATCTCTTATGTCGTCGCCTAAAGTGAGTCCTCGTAGGTAGATTGATCTCAAGTTGTGCTGGTGCTGCTGCTGCCCCGCTATCCATCCCACCAGCGGCCGCTGAACTCGCCCCGCTATAAGCATGTTTCCCCGCCAATCCAGGCTGCTCTGTCCCGCGATTGTTGCCTCATCCATCACCATCTCGAACGTCGGGTCTCCAACTTCTGCGGTGACGCCCACGTGCCTGTTGTATCGTCTTTTCTGCTGGGGAGCTTGTCAAGGCCTCGCTTTTGTCTTATTCATCTCTTCTCCCCTCCGACTGTCCTCCCTTCTCCCTCCTCGACCCCTCCCCCCTCATTATCCTAGACACCGTCACCATGTCGACCAACTTCCGCGACCGCGCCATCGCCGAGGTGCAAAAGGCAATCACTGCCGACCACAACAAGGAGTACCAAAAGGCGTTCGACCTCTATATGTCCTCCATGGAGCTCTGGGTCAAAGCCCTCAAGTGGGAGAAGAACAAGGCCCTCAAGGTCACCATGCAGGAGAAGATGGCCACCTACCTCGACCGCGCCGAGAAGCTGAAGCAGTTCCTCCAGAGCGAGGCCGATTCCAACTCGAACGGCAAGGCTGCCATGGGTGCTAACGGCACCACCACTGGGGGCAAGGCCAAGCCCTCGGCCGAAGACGACGAGAGCAAGAAGCTGCGCAATGCACTGTCGGGGGCAATCCTCCAGGAGCGGCCAAACGTGAGGTGGGAAGACATTGCTGGTCTTGAGGGCGCCAAGGAGACTCTAAAGGAGGCCGTTGTTCTGCCCATCAAATTCCCCAGTCTGTTCCAGGGAAAGCGACAGGCGTGGAAGGGTATCCTGCTCTATGGACCTCCTGGAACTGGTAAAAGTTACCTAGCCAAGGCTGTAGCTACAGAGGCAAACAGTACCTTTTTCAGTATCAGCAGTTCCGATCTGGTGAGCAAATGGATGGGTGAAAGTGAAAGGTGAGTGTCTTTGATATGACGACATGGCGTTTCTAATGCATCTGCAAGGTTGGTCAAGCTTCTGTTCTCCATGGCGCGAGAAAACAAGCCATCCGTCATCTTTATCGACGAGATTGATGCGCTGTGCGGTCCCCGAGGCGAGGGCGAATCCGAAGCATCACGCCGTATAAAGACCGAGATCCTGGTTCAGATGGACGGTGTGGGCAACGACAGCAAGGGCATTCTAGTTCTGGGCGCAACCAATATTCCCTGGCAACTGGATGCCGCCATTCGACGTCGTTTCCAACGACGAGTGCATATCGGTCTACCCGACTTGAACGGCCGCGCAAGGATGTTTAAGCTTGCCATTGGCGATACCGACACGGCTCTTCAGGCGAGCGACTTTAATGTGTTGGCTTCCAGGTCAGATGGCATGTCTGGTAGTGATATCAGCAACGTGGTTCAGCACGCCTTGATGCGACCAGTGCGCAAGATTCTGCAAGCCACCCACTTTAAGCCTGTAAGTCAACTCTCGTCGCATGTGTGCGCATCTCTAACAAGATACAGGTAATGAAGGACGGCAAGCGGATGCTTACACCCTGCTCACCCGGCGACCCAGAAAAGATTGAAATGACATACGACGACGTCACTTCGGACGAGCTGCTCGCCCCTGACGTACAGCTCAAGGACTTTGAGATGGCCTTGGAGGATTCGCATCCGACGGTATCCAAGGATGATATCGCGAAGCAGATTGATTGGACCAACGAGTTTGGTAGCGAAGGCGCATGATGCGAGGGGAACGTGCAGAGCGAGTTTCCAGAATTGTCCTTTCTTCTTCTTCCTCTTTTTAGCATGGCGGCGTCACGCGGAGTTTACTTGGGGCATCCACTGGTGAATGAATGTTGATATATAACGATTTGCAGGGAGTCGGGGAGGGAGGTATCTGTGTGCAAGCGTGAAACCCTCTTGTTGATACACGCGAGTATAAGTTAGATGTGTCGATTGACAAGAAACCGTGGTGTCTTGATTTGGTCTAGTGTGTGTGTTTGCTTTTTATTGAGGCTCTTTCATTCCATGTTGAGGGTCCACCGTGAGAAGACGACAGATGACTTGAGGCGGTTTTTAAGCAACTATGGGAAACCAAGGACATTTAATACCAACTCTTGAAAATTCAGATAGCACTTTTGCGAACTAGTACCGTTATTTTCATTACTCGTTATAGAATCCCGCGTCAATTGCTGCAAACAACTCTGCGAACTAATGTGACATTCCGCTGTAGGGTAAGTAAAAAGGAGGAGGTTGATGAGGACTGAAGTTTGAGCAACCATAGGACGCTGAGGACAATCAATGACAACTCTAATCCGCTTCGAAAGTAATTAGTAATTGATCTATTTCCTATTGTCTTTCGGGTACCCGTATACTTGCAGTGTGGGAAGTCTGTGTGAGTATGGGATGGAAAGTGTGAGGTCAAGTTAAAATCTGGGGAAGCAAAGCGACATCAGCCTAAGGGGCGAAACTAAACACAATGCCGTTAAAGGGGCGTATACTAAGTTTTGAAAAGCTCGAATTATGAATTGATATGTATATCTACCATATAGCTAAATGTTTAGAGTAACAAATCGCCATGCGAACAAACCGCACCGCACACATACAGGTATACCTAGGTAGCTTACCTGTGGAGTCCAAACCCTCCCATGACGTCGCTACGTTTAAAAAAACCACAAAAAAGTCGGTCTACAACGGCAGAATCTCTCATTTCTCACCCAATCCTCCAACCACAGCATAAACCAATAGCAACAACTCAAGTACCTATCCTTGTCACTCTTTTTTTATTTCTCCCTCATGTTGCTCATTCGACGGCACAATGCGAGAAAGATATGGCCGCTCCTACGCGCCAAGCCGACCGCCCGCAAGGGGAGCACCCGCGTGACAGAGGAGATGCTCGTCGCGGGGACTCCCGTCGCAGAGAAGCTCAAGGAGACTAAGCTCTGGAAGTGGGGGAGGGGGAAGAAGGCTGTAAAGGGTCCTGTTGGTGATAAGCATCGTGTGAATATTGTTAGCGAGAAGCTATGCGGTAAACACCAAATCCTCACACTTCTAAATTTACTTTTGGCTGACTGTTGTAGATGATATTGCTAATTACATCGGCCCCTCTCTCGATCGACACCGCGGCTGCGATCTCATCGATATAAACCCCGGCGCCGGCCTCTGGAGTCGAACCCTCCACGATCTTGTTCAACCCCGCAAGCACATCCTCATGGAACCCGACGTCAATATCTATGGACCCATGCTCTCCGACCTCATCGAGAGACCCGGCGTGCAGCTTCTCCCAAAAGCCGGCATCCTCTGGCGAGAAGTCAACGACATGCTCGCAACATGTATATCCCCAGAGAAAAAGGCCGACCCCAACGCAGAACCGCAGCGAAACGACACTCTTCTTGTAAATATCAACATGTCATTCGCACCTCCAAAGAAGTTTCAAATGTTTGAGTGCGTCAGCACAATGGTTCTATACCAACTCATGGCATCTATAAGGACAGCCTCGCTATTCCAACAATACGGTCTAGTCCGGATGCTAATCTGGGTCAACGACGATTCGAAGCGCAGACTCTTGCCGCACTCTGCCACGCGGCGCAAGAAGAGCAACTTTGAGGCTGAGCTCTCGTGTGAGTGGATCCGCGAGATCGCAGGCAAGGACATAGAGTTCGAGTCCAATGAGCTCCGTGACGAGTGGATCAACCTCGAGTCTGGGTATAATACTCTTGCCAGGATGAAAAAGGCCGGGTTGACTATGCCCTCGGATAGGGAGACTTTTCTCTACAAGATGGTGACGGCTGATGAGAGCCTCATGGGTCAGAAGCTCGCTGGAGAGAGAAGACCCGTTCTCAGCAGACCCTTCCGCACTGAGCTCGAAGATCTAGAATGCGAACTCGCCTCGTCCAACATGATAGAACCTTCAAAACGTCTTAAAGCCCTCCGATACCGAGACAAATACGACATTGAAGATTCAACTATATACCACGACCTCATCCAGCAAGGCGAGGCAGCATGCCAAATCTACAAGACGGACCCCGTCGCATTCGCCGCCGCCGACGCAGCATGGAGCGCCAAGATTGAGCGCCTAAAGAAGAACAGCCGCAAGGAGTACGCCATTATCCGAGACAACTATCAACTCTTCCGACAGGATCCCCCAATGCTCCATTGGGACCAACGTCTCTATGAGCCCCTCAACGTTCGCCCCGACGAATTCTACCCTCAAGTCCCCTGTGCGCTGCTCGACCTCCAACCAAAGACGATGCATAAGTACCTCCGACAGCACGGCCCCACAGCCCGCGCAGGAAGTCTAGCAGACGTAATCCTGCGATTCTGGTTCGGCTACTCCCTATACCCAGTATCCAAGGCCATGGACAGCCTGTGGCCTGGCTTCGGCCACATGTACCCCCAGATAAAAACCGTACGGGATCCAGCCAAGGGCGGTTCCCCTCTGACAGGCCACGGAGAGTTGCCGGCTCGATGCGTCAACGAGGAGCAGTGGACAGAGATTGTCGAGGCCTTTTTGAACTGGCCTTTTGTGCCCGAGTACCAAGAGTTGGTGGGACGCATGATGGACGAGGGTGAGGGTGAGGATGAGGATGATGCCAAGAGTGGAGCAAACGGAGCTGGAGGAGTTGGAGGGTCCATGAATCTGTAGGATCCTCAATGTATATGTACAGTATAGAATGCGCCATGACTGGACGAGTTCACGGCATTGCAACGGCGTTGTCATGGATATATCACATGTAGAATAGAATATAACGAATACTGCTCGACAGCAATATTCTGGTTAATACTGTACAACTCCTTTTCACATCACTTCTCATGACAGATCTCGGGTAAATGTTGTTGATACATTGAAACGAAGCTATCAAACCATCCATGTCAAGCATGTCCCTACTTGACACTGGATCCCATGCCGTTTTGAGTCTATATGTGCTCGAACCGAACCGTAGTTACCAAGATAGATGCCAATAACCCCCCAAGCCGGTCAATCATCGTTGCCAACCCGCAACGACATGCGTCAAGTCATGCCAGCCAGTTGATCTCTCGCGCCAAACGCCGTCGCCTCCAGCCAATTCGTAGGCCAACTCCGTACAGAATGAAACAAAAAAAAAAAAAAAAAGGGAAATCTTGTGCCCGAGCTGATGTCCGTGAACTCTTCACATGTTGAAGCTCTGCCATGTCTTCTCGATTGATGGGTCCTTCTTGGCATCTTCCACCCAACCCATCTTGTCTCGATCGTCGGCAATGACTCGTCCGTATTCGAGGAGTAATCGAAGGACGTAAATCTGCATGTCCTCCTTTCGGAGCACCTTCTCTGCCCAGTCCCTACCCTCGAGGGCAATCTTTTCCGCCACCTTGTCGTGTCCGCTGATATCCTTGTAACCTAGGAAATACTCCATGATGCCGTAAAAGTCCTGGAATCGGTTGTCCATGGGGACAAAGTGCACCCATGGCACAAGTCGGCTGTCGTGCCACTCTCGGAAGAGCGTGGCTTTGATAGGAAGCGAGGTCGAGTTGAGGAATCCGAGATACCGGCCTGAAAACGAGTTCCCGTCGATATCGGGAAGATACTTGTAGTCAAACTGATCGTGCATCTTCATCCCCTCGACCTTCTTGAAGTAGTGGTCAGTGTACCAGCATGTGCCCTCGTCATTGTTGGGATGGCACATGAGGTCCACGAAGCCGACTTCTGACCACTCTCCGATCCATTCACCCAGACGGCCCTGGGATTGGGCCTTCAAGTTGTATTTCTCCAAGGGTAGCACAAAGTTCTCGGGTACCGACAAACCAGCCTCGACGCTCGAGACCTTTGTCTCATTGTTCATCGACACGAATCGGTGGCGATGGAAACCTCGCCAGTTGTCGGCCTTGTTTCGCCCTCCAGTTGCGACACCTCGCCAGATGACCTTGCTGGTCTTGTCCTTCCAATCCACGTCGTCTTCGCCGCCGGTAAATCGTTCTTCGCCTTTCCAGTAGATCGGGGGAGGGAGGAGGATCTCGTTGTTGATAGCAAGCTTGGAACCGCCAAACATGGGGAACAAGACCTTGGTCGACGAGACTGAAATGGGGTTGATGAGGAGACCATTCAGGCCTTGGAGATCGGGTTGATGGCAGATATCGCTCGAGAGGGTAAAGTTGGAGACAAAGCCTTCGAAGGAGTGCTCTTGAGCGTTTGCGATATCGATCTCTGGAGGCATGTTAAATGTTTCCTTCATCTCGGCCGTGCGGGCAGGGCTTTCTGGTGGGCAGCCTCGTCGGGCAATGGGCCAATAGGGGCCTGCAAGTGTTAGCGAAGCGGACTATGTGAGAGCAAGAGTGTCATACTGGTCTTTTCCCAGCGCTTGAATGGGATTTTGGCGTGTCGATCATGACGGCCCGGCGGGGGAAGTGTCTGGAAATCAGAAATGACATCCTTGGTTGGTAGCAAAGCACGAGACTTGGCTCCAGCAGTCAAGTACCCATCAATATCCTCCCAGGGAACGACCAAGCGAGGCTCGTCCATTGCGTTGAGAGGCATGTCCAGGTCGGGGATCAAGTGCTCAATGGATCGAATCATGTCGAGCCAAATCTGAGTCCAGAACCAATCGCTGGTCGAGTTGGCCTTGCCATTTCGAATATGAATCGACATCTCGAAGCTGTATGCCTCCTTGCGAATAACAGGCTGGGGAACACCCCAGAAAGGCTCGAGATCATGATAAATCTGGTCCCAAAACTCCTCCACGACGATAGCATTGTTGGCTTTCGCAAACTCGAACCACTTGTCGAACCCAGGGGGAGGGTGACGGCCACGGCGCTGGCGGTAGGCTTGGGCAGCCTCTTCGAGGGTGTGAGATTCCTTCGCAACGAGTGCTTTGTATGATTTTCCGGCATCGTGGATGAGTTTATCTATGGGGTGGACGCCCCTCACGCCAGGGTCTGATACGGGCTTCTGGTCCTGGGGCAGTAGTTAGCACGTGGCAACAAGGTCGCGATGCGTTGTGACGTACAGAAGGCTTTGAATTGCCAAAAGGCTTTACGTTCACAGGTTGTCGAGTAGGAATATTAATAGAGGGTGTTCGTGAGTTTAATGTCCAGAAGGCAAAGAGAAACAGGCCAGCGACGACGGCGAAGCGTATAAAAGGGGTGGCGCGCCGTGACCTGAAGCCAGGCGCAAGCATCTTGACCATGTCGACAGAAGTATTCGATTTCGATTTCGATTCAATAACGGGAGCGTCGAGCGGCGACTGAGAGCCGAGCGACGCAGCTCAAGGGCGGCGCAAACGCAAAAGATATCTGACGCCAGCGACAGAAACGGGTTTGCGCAGCGAAGGAGGAAAAAAGTTCCAATCGAGGGCGGAACGTTCGAATGCGGTAGCGGGGGAGGACGATCGCGGGAGGATGCGTCGATGCACAACGGGCGGGAAAAGCTGAAGCAGACGTGCGAAACAAGGTACGACGAGACGAGGAGAAAATGGTGCTGGTCTCCTTTTACCACATTGTTTCCAACAAAGAGTCGCAGAGATAGCGGGTTCGTTCGCCGTTCGCGTGCGTGCGTGCTGCTGCAAGGTGATGCCAAGGAGGCTACACTATAACGTGGGGAGAGTGGGTGGGTTAAAGAATGGACAGACGAGGATGTCAAGTCAAATAAGGGGGGGGCAAATAAAGACCAGAGCAAGAGAATGAAGATTGCCCACGGTCAGGTAAGAGCAAGAGAGGAAGAAGAAGGACGAGGAAGATGAGGCTCGGTCGAGGGAAGATGTGTGAAGGAAGACGAATGGCCGGAATGAGGGAGAGGCAAGATTTGTTAGGTCGACTCAAGTCAAGTAAAGTTGGTTGGCTAGAATCAGCAATTCATGGGAGGAAGCTCCGTCCAGGCCACATGTGGGATCACCAATTTAGCTGCCGTGCCGAGAGGGGTACTTGACGATACAGCCAATCTCCTATGTGCAGCCAAGTACCGCTCTCAGGGGGCGCGAGCCTGGAGGTCCAGGGCCTTGCTCAGGGTCGCACGGTGGAGCCCAGTCTTCCGGGGGGCTTCCCTTTTGCAGGGGACAAAGCGGCTAACCACCAAGCAAACCCATGATGATGCATTCTGGAAACCCACCCGATCCCTCCAATCCATGGACAATCTTGCCGGGTTCAGTTCAGCAATTGAGGAGGGAGTTGATGAAGCTCAGGGGGAAGATCAGACGCTAACACGCGTCAGCTAGATTGTTGCGAGATGTGGATGTATATCGCACTGTACAACTCTTTTTAGGTGCTTATGTGCCGCTGCTGGTTAGACCTAGAGCCTGGTCAAACTTCCATTTGTTTGCGGAGGACAAGCCGGGACAAGAGTCTCACTGGTCGATCATACTGCCATGGGTGTCGTCAGACCTGCGTAGGTCAATACAGCAACAGCCTCGCAATGCCATCTTTACCCGCGGACCTGGTGAGAGATTTGCACAAAACTTTTGAATGTCTCGGCCTTGAGTCTTGCAAGTAACCAATCCAAATACTCGTGCATGTCTTCAATAGCTCAGTGGACAAAGTTCAAGGGAGCACCGCCGCCAGTTACAGTGCACAGTTCGGTACAGTATTCCGGAGGATTCGTTACACCCTGTTCAGTTTGCAAAGCAACCAAGCCTGAGACACGCAATCATCAAGGGGGACGCGTGTCAGAGCGGTTTCTGATTAGGAGGTGGGATCGTCGGAGCTTGGGGGCCCCTTGGAGAAACGGAGAGGGAGCATGGTCCAAGCTTAAGCTTCAAGCCATTATTTCCTCAGCATCAGATTCTATTTTGATGTTTCGAAACGAACGGGACGGGACACGTCTAAGCTGATGGCTGCGAGGCTGAGTTCAGCTGACACTCTGCCACTTTAAATAGCCGTCTTTATGTTAATTCAGTCTCTCAACACAACACTATTTGCAATATTCTGAATCCCTCAAACTATTGAACCTATGGTTCACGTCCATATTGCGTAACTGGGGCCGCTGCTCAGAATAGCGCAAGTTCACATGCCACCTCCTTAGCCACCGTTTTCATGCAGAGATTGACCCTGCGGTCCCTGCCTTAGCCACCGGCTGTGGACCTGGGTCCTGCAAGGTACAGGAAAGGAAAAGAGGAGCTCATAGCAAATTGAAGGTGTTTAAATGATCAAGTCAAAATCAGGGAGAGCATGTTACGCGTATTGGCACAGAAGCACAATTCTAGGGAAGATTTCGTAAACACAAAACACAACTACAATTGTCACAAGTCTTTAACTCCAAACTGTCGCGTGACAAAACCTCTAGCAGGAACTGATGAGGCTCCTACTCAGGAGCTGTTCATTGCCCCTGAGCCCTGAGCGGTGTGGCGCCAGGCCCGCCCGTGGCGCCAGATCTTGTTGATTTCTTGGACCTCCATTGAACAAGATCTTCGGTGACGGGCTGTACTCCGAAAGTGGGCACCGAAATTTACCACTGCCGCCGTTTGCGTTCCCTCGACCGCTGCAACATCCTTGGACCTTAAGGAGAAGGTTTACGGATCGTCGATTGAGATGGAGGCGGTGACATGTACCCGTCATGAATATTTGCTCACCAAAGATCGAATACCTCATGTCAGGTCAGAGCCCGAGAGACAGTGGCAGAGTTCCGGCTCTTCTAGACTTGCAAGGAGAGACATTCATCATCATTGACCTGTTGAGAACCGAGTTGGTGGAAGCACTGACAGGTTGGCATCCACGAGGTCGTAAATGCAACTTTGACAGCACCAAGGCATCGAGGCAGTGCTGACTTCTCACCTCCCATAATCGGACTCAAATCCGTTCGAACCCGGGCCTTCCGGAAACCTACCATCATGTTCGTTCGTTGCGTACGCGGAATTCGTAACATCTAATGCGGGTTTTAAGGTATTTGCTAAGCTTTTGTTGTGGAGAAGCTGTTTGAGACCGTCGCGTGGACTTCTCGAGATGGATAGGATTGACTGTCGCGGGCGATCAGTGTTCCAGGCACTTGTTGACCAGCCAGCCGGACGACCTGAAGCAACAAGAACTCCAGGAGCCAAGTTTTACCATGCCATTCCAAGACATGGAAAGTCTAGAGGCACAGTGTCAGCTCAGACGAGTATCAACGCCGGGCGCGCAGGTCAAGGGCGGGTGAAGATTGGCCACCTAACCCATGAGGCTTGCCTGGCTGTGCTGTTGCATAGACGACCCAAGTTTCATTTTCGCTCGTTCTCGAATGCTTGGTTCATGTTTCGGATCAGACAGAGACTGAGGCTTTCCGAGTTCCACGAGTTTGGTCTGGAGGCCGAGGTAAAGAAAGGTGTAGGTGGCTGTGCTTTGACACTTTGTGTGATTGCTGCGCTTGGAGGGGAATGTGTGCGCCCATGACGCTTTATCCGTATTGCCTGAAAGTCGATTGCTGCAGGATTACTGCAAGTGTTGACGAGCACAACCGTCCAGCGTAACAGCAGCGCAACAGCTTGTCAGTATTGTCTCGTTATCTGTCACTCGCTTACAAACCGTCACAGCCGATGAAAGCCACCGAGCGGTGGAGTGTCGCACAATCTCGTGAGAGTCTGTCCAACATGAAGTCATAGCAGGGCCATTGCGTTTCGGCAGCATCAATATGATACCCAACATACTTACCGACGTCGACAACGTTGCGGTCTACAGCCCAACCCAAGGATTCATGACGGAAGTCATCCGGGGAGCCAGGCGCATTTGTGAGAAAAAAACACTGCTTGTGGGGATGTGACTGCATCTCGTTGCGGCTCCGGATGTTCCCCAGGAAATAAAACGGCCGGCGGCGGGCAGGAAAACGTGTCGGACATGGAAGTTGAGCGTGGGGGGTTACGTATTCCGAAAAGCAATCGACATCATCACCAGGAATGCCATGCCTTGGCCCGAGAAGAAAAAAATCGGTGAAGCGAGTTATGTCCTGAGGCACGTTGTGTTCGGAAGCGCGGCGATAGGGTCATGGACGAATTGGAGGCGGCGATGGGATCAAAACTCGGCCAACTTGGGGGGGAGCCATGAGAACCGGCTATGACCGGTGATTTTCCATCCACTGAACAACATCCTTCCAAGGTTGAGCGTAGTTGTGCGGGCGTCGAGGCGCGTGGATGAGGCGATACAGGCATGGCGGATGGATCAGGTCGAGTCATGGTGGAAGAGGGCTAGTAACTTAGAGGAAATCGTCGCATGAGGACACAAGATAGCTAGTAACTTAGGGGAAGGCAGCGCATGATATTCAAAGACAGCTAGTAACTTAGGGGAAGGAAGACCCGCGATTCTTATGCTCGTTGGCTCCGAGCGCCTCCGAGGGCCCCAGCCGAGGACCCCAGCCAACTCCTCCACGAAGATACGGCTAGTAACTTAGGGGTAAGGAGTGCCGGGCATCACCTGGCAATGCGTGCAACTGTGATAGATGCCATTACCTAACATTACATAAACTGCCGACGGCTCCAGTGCGTGTGGTAGTGGCTACCTGCGGCTTTTGAAGCTGACATCCCACGTTTCCTCTGGCCGGCGGGCGCTCAGAAAGGTTGTCGCAGAGGGTTGCTCAGATGATGCTATCGCCAGAGCCATTCAGAGTCAACTTTTCTGGGCAACAACACCTAGCGAAAAACATAGGATGGTTGACGTCCGGCACTTGCGAGGGGGTTGCGCCAATTGGGGAATCGGGGATTTTGGGGAAACAGAAAAAAGAATGGAGAATCCGTGATCGAGAGCGTAACAGAAACCAGGCCCTTGTCCGTGTCGAGATCCAGCGGGGGGGCAACGCCAGTTCCAGAAGGGATGACACTTGTTGTTGGCCAACAAGAGGACAGAAGTCGAGTCGGGGGTCTCTTTTGCTAAGCCGGAATCAGTTTGGACTCGCTGGCAATTGGTGTCGGATGACCCGATGACGGGCAGTCAGCTCCCACCCTTCAGCTTGCAGGGATGGACTTAGTGGGTGTGCTGATTGTTTGGTAGATGGATTTTTGTGGATGACCTCCAGTCCAGAACACGAGTCTTCTCTCGCGTACAACGTTGACAAACGACAACTAGATCCGAGCATCCCATACCCATTGACAAGGTCTCAGATCGTAACCCCCGCGCCATCAACGGCTCCCGGGATCGACGCTATTACCTGATCTCTTTTCCTTCCGCTTCCAGCCCTGGGAGGGTCCCCTTGTGTCAGGTAGCTTGCCGCCGGCCGATTGCAGCCATCAACAAAAGTCGGCGAGATGGAGGGCAGTGCTCAACAGCTCCGAATACAAATGGAAGCTGTCTCGCTCTTTCATTGACAACTTCTCTTTTCCTTTTTCTTCTCATCACACACATTCACTCTTCTACAAACTTCTTTGTTCCTCAACAAAGCTGTCTTATCTCTCTTATCAGAGCCCACTACGTCATTTCTCCCCCCACATTCCGCCCTTCACTCATAAACCGCAATCATGAACACTGGTCTCATTGACAGCCGCTTCCTCTCCAAGCCTGAGGAGCTTGGTGTTGTTGCCGTTGGATTCTCTGGCGGTCAGGTAAGACACCCAATCCCTTGACTGTGAAAGTAGAATTTTCACATGTGTGTGGTTGCAATGTGTGCTGACTCGTATCCTCCTCTAGCCCAAGGCCGGTGTCGACGACGGCCCTTCCGCGCTTATCGAGGCTGGTCTCCTTTCTGAGATCCGAGAGGAGCTCGGCTACAAGATCTTTGGCGATGAGACCGTCCAGCAGTTCGACGACATTGTCCCCGAGTCGGACCCCGACTACCGTGGCATGAAGAAGGCCCGCCACGCCTCGGCCGTCACCCGCAAGATCGCCTCTCAGACCTATGAGCACTCCCGAGAGGGCCGCATGACTCTCACTCTCGGTGGTGACCACAGCATTGCCATTGGAACCATTGCCGGCACTGCCAAGGCCACCCGTGAGCGTCTCAACCGCGAGATCGCCGTCATTTGGGTCGATGCTCATTCCGACATCAACACCCCTGAGAGCAGCGACAGCGGCAACATCCACGGCATGCCCGTGGCCTTCCTCACTGGCCTTGCCAAGGATGACAACGAGGAGTACTTTGGATGGCTCGAGGATGACATGCGCCTGAGCGTCAAGAAGCTCGTCTACATTGGTCTTCGCTCTGTTGATGTTGGTGAGCGAAAGATCCTCCGTGAGCACGGCATCAAGGCCTATAGCATGCACGACGTCGACCGGTACGTTTAACTTTAAACTTTCCCTTGAGCCCTGACTAACTCGCAACTTTAGCCACGGCATTGGCCGCGTCGTCGAGATGGCCCTCGCCCACATCGGCAACGACACCCCCATCCACCTGTCCTTCGACGTCGACGCCCTCGACCCCATGTGGGCTCCCAGCACCGGAACTCCCGTCCGAGGCGGTCTCACCCTTCGCGAGGGTGACTACATCTGCGAGGCTGTTCACCAGACCGGCAACCTTGTGGCCGTCGACCTGGTCGAGGTGAACCCCAAGCTGGCCGACGGCAAGCAGGCTGAGCAGGACACTATCCGTGCCGGATGCTCCCTGGTGCGGTGCGCCCTTGGTGACACCCTCCTGTAAGCTGGAGAGATGTGTCTGAAAAAAGTGAACTTCTTTGTATGATGGATGGGAAATGCATTGGGATGGGAGTATTTATGATATCCTTGAGTTGAATGATGATTGGGCCGGCGCATATAGGACTACCGAGATCACTCTCGAAATAAAACGTCACAACTTCTTTCCTCGGGAACTGACTTGTCTTTGCTTTACTGTGACATGAGATTTGGTAATCAGCTTGTGTAAACTCTTAAGTAAACTGTCAAGGCGAAAAGGATCGTCAGGGCTTGCATGACATCCAGGGTCCTAGTCAGGAGTAACACAAAAAAACGTCACCTCGGAAGTCGGTGAGAAGCATGTCACCGCTTAGCGAATCCTCTCAAGCCTCACCCGAGGCTTACAAAAATAATTCCAGAAATCAAAATCCCAGGCGATCCGAAATAAAAGAATCCATCTCGAAGGCTGGGCTTAATACGTGTATCCATTCAGAAGCCGCCAAAGCGTCATCGTCGGCCCCGGAAATGCACGTTTGGCGTGCGTCCCAGCCATCGGGATTTACTAGGGGCAGCTCCCAGCCTCCTAAAAGTGAGAAAGCCTCACGCAAAATAAAGGGTGTCGGACAATTTTTAAATGATGGGCGCCGAGACTTAATGAACTGACACTGGACGAAAAAAAAATTGTGTGGCGCTCGGGTTTTAATTTCTTTTTGGGCATTTGTTGACTTGGAACCTCTTTTACTTCCATTGCCCCGTCGCGTTGATGATTTGGTAATTTGCGCCAACTTCCCATCAACAACCACATCAACAACCACATCAACACCATCGACGATTAATAACTCAGCTTCGAACGCGCCATCTCTCGAGCTTCAAATAACTGCTACTCAACCCGGCGACAAAGCGACATCAAGGCATCATTTACTGCCTGTTCGTTCCATCCCAAATCTCGCCTTGGCATCCATCTTGACGCCCGAGACTCCGACGTCACATCACGTACAGCGCATACCCGCCAATCTCCACCCCGCGAATCGACCCGACAAGGCGAACCAACACTCTCGCGTGAGGTATCACCGCTCTCGTCTCCTGTTTGAGGCCTCTACATCTTGAGCGGCCACAAACCCTCATTGGGATTGAGGACCCTGCTTTTGCTGCCAGGCACAAGGGAACCACTGGCTGATCAACGGCCGCGATCGGTGGGGGATTAGGCGCCGCGCGTTTGCGACGTGGCAGTCTATTGTGTTTTGGGCATTCAGAAGGAAAGCGACAGTGGACTTTCTTGCCTTGTCGAGGATTGGTTCGAGGAATAAGGGGGAAACGTTAAAAGGACGTGAGCGTCACGCCGAACTTCAACGACGAGTTGCGATTGATCTGGGACGACAAGGTTTCCAGACAAAACACGAGGTTACACGACCGAGTTGATGCAACGCTTGGTCTGTATTTGAACTGGTACTTTCCCGAGGATCTATCACGACACCAAGTTCCCTTCAACACCAACACTCGAGAGCTCGACAGCCATCACCATGGTCGCCAAGTCAACAACGACCGGCTTCACCGGCTCGACTGGATGGACGGGCACCAGCTTCACGAGGTCTGCCCTGTCCTCTAGTCGAGCACCCACCAGTCATGTGCGGACCTACAACTGGCCGCCCATCCAGCTCAACTTTTGGATCTTTGTTATTCTGCTCGCCTCGACGTCCATCATTGGCGTCTTTTCCAGCTTTATCCAGATCCAGGAGCAGCTCCTCCTCCCGATTCCTTGGTACGCACATCTCCAGGTCCACGTCGGCAATCACAGCTAACCTTTGCAGGTACTTTCCCTACTTTATCACCGTCGGCTCCCTCACCGTCATCTTCATCATCGGCATCTTCTGGCTCATCGCTCAACGACGTCTACTCCCTGCGATTGTCATGATCGGCGCCTTCATGTTCTTTGTGCTATGGCTCGTCGGACTCGTCATTGTCGGAATACAACTGTTTGGACCTAATGGGTCGATCCAGAGCGTTTGCGACGTGCAGGTCTTTGGGCGTAACCCAACAGGGCAGAGCGAACGAACCATGGCGTGGCTGCAACAGCGAAACATCTGTACGTGGACGCTCTCGAGGTTAACCTGGACTGGACTAACGAATCGCAGGTCAATGTTGGCAGTTGGTTTTCGCCATGTCGCTGACAGGTACCGTCTTTTTCATCTGGGTCATGATCATGGCCTACCAGGTGTTTGTCAACTCATAGGAAGAGTACAGCACGTTGAAAGAACGTCGAGGGTGAGACCATTTTGGTTAACGATAACGATGCATGGCCTACGAGGCACGGAGTCAATGATTTGAATGAATACACAAGTTTGAACGCATGCAAAAGAAGCGCAGCATGGGAAGGAGTTTTATGACGACCAAGAATAGGCCGCATTTGGATAATCTACATCATGATCTACAGTACTGAATTCATTCTGAGATAGATATTTTGAACAAGTAAATGGTAATAGTCAAGAGAGAATTCATTCTTCATTCGCAAACAGACTCGGCATCGTCAATTCCCTCGACTTGGCTCCCTCCCGTGCCCACACCTACCGGAAGCTATCTGACGCTAACAGCTTGCGAAGCTTCGAAGCACCTCGGCCCATGTCTTGTTCCTGTCTAGCTCGGCAGTAATGGAGCTCACAAACAGCTTCCAGACCAAAGCCCGCATTCAAGCAGCTTATCTTGAATGGCTGTATCACGGGTCGTCACACGCTAGCTCAGCCCAGACGGGCGCAGTTCAGCTCGGTAAGGGTATCAAGCCTTGCCCCACGGGATCTCACGGTGTTTCGGAGAGATTCAGCAATTGGGTTTCAAACGACCCTGATTCCTCAATGCCAGCTGCCTTGGAATTCGAAGCCGTAATTCCCGAGATCTGGGCTTCAACCCGTCTTCTGGAGCTCTTCTACTGGCTTGGCCTTGGATGATCGGCGTCGGCCGGATGCGGGATGATGATGAACTCGGCACATGCGAACAAGCTGAGTTGGCTCAGGGTCTAGAGTGACGTAGCGCGACAATCGTACCCCCCCTGCCCGCCTGAGTGAGGGGTTTGGATTCAGGTCTAACCATGAAGGCGATGACGAAAGAAGAGGGGTCGTGATAGCCTGGTTCGAGGTAGGAAACCAAGATGGATCTGCATGTCATTCCTCTTTCCGTTGATTGATCCCGAAGGGTTTCGGGGAGGTTGATCTAGGTATAAAAGGGACGGATGGTCTGGCTTGTTTGAGACTGATCTGTAAACCATCGCAACCTGTCTCTTGCCTTTGCATCACAAGCTTTTTTACCAATAACTCGCCATCATGGATTTCATCAAGGACGCCGTTTCTAACGCTACGAAGGGCTCGAAGGACGAGGGCAAGAAGGAAGAGAAGAAGGGCGAGAGCCAGGACTACCTCGACAAGGGTATGTCCAAGCAACCTCTTTACCAGAAGACGGCACACTGACAAGTTTAGGTGTCGCCTTTGCCTCCTCCAAGGCCGGCTTCAACATTTCTCCCGACCAGCAGGAGAAGGCCACCGATTTTGCGCGAGGAGCTTATGAGAAGCAGTCTGGGTGAGTGATGAATGTGGGTGGTGGGCTGAGTTGTGGCTGACATTTGATACAGCTCGAAGGTTGATCCCAAGATCTCCAACTAAGGAGACTACGATATGGATAATGTAATGGATGCTCAGAATGATATGAGCTTTATATGAATTAATACAAATATTCCCAACCAAATTCTCGTTGCACCCGCTCCTGTGATCTTCAATATGGCCAACAAGGTGTGGCTAGATGTGGCTACCTCTACGAACTATTGAGTTTCCTGCCAATTCCTACCCCAGCAGGGCTGTGATAGAAGCGAGAAATCCTGGTCGTAAATCCAATCTGCGGAATTCCTCCGCCTGATGTTAATGTTATGTCGTAATTGTATCTAGGCTTTTGCGCAAGTTGGCCGATACAAATGTTGACCAACATAGGGGGACCAAATCTACCGGAACTGCATAAATCTCCTATCGGGAATGCCGAACTGAACACCTAGACCAGATCAACAGAAAGCGCCAATGAAACATTACCAACACAACAGACAAGGCATTGAACTCTCGCCGCTCAACTCATTTAACGAGACCCGTCCGTGACAAAACACCACGAATCCCTTCAACAGGTGTCACGGTTGTCCCCGGCAACCAGCTGGGCTTCTGGGCACCAGGCGCATGGGTGACGGCCCACTGTCCTCCCCTCCCGCGCCGCTAAAGCTACAGGGCTCCAGGGCCTCACTGGCCACTCGGCGGCGCCCAAGCCAGCGCTACGGGGTTCTCTGGAGGGGCCGCCCGGATCCCGTTCAACGGCCCAGGCGCGCCCGACGGCGCAAGCAGCCAGCCCAGCACAGCACAGAGCACCTCAGTCAAGGTTTTGCCTCCAGTTAGAGAGCGACAGCGAGTGGTGACGCTCAGGCAAAACATCGAGAACCACCGCAGGAGTCAGCCGTTTCCTCCCTTTTCCTAGAACCTAGCCAACGACCAACAAATACCCACAGTCACTGCAAGAGACAGCTTGCACTTCCAGCCCAGCCCAGGGCTTTTCGCCTAGACAATCACGCCGCTGCGCTGCCGCAATGCATCATGGCCACCGATGAGCAAGACCATGGCCAAGGCCCCTCCGGCCAGCAGCCCTCCAGCTCGAGCCCCAGCAACGGGTCGCGTCCTCAGACGGCCCATCGCGTCGACGACGAATATGATATCGCCGAGACATCTACCACGACAGCAGACACAGTCGCAGCTACTTCCCCGGCGCAGGCCTCGACAAACCCGACCACCGCGACCTTTGACCTGATGGCTGATGCTACCAAGAGCAAATCCCCGACACCCACGAATCTCCAACCGAGAAGCGCCTCATCCTCAAGGGCAGCGATCCGCGACAACAATGCAATGCTGCGAGTCCCCGGGCATCTAGCCCCTGAAAGCAGCTACTTTGACCCCGTAACCGTCGATTTCACACGGGGGCCTGATGATTCCCTAACTGAGGAGGACGTCAGGCGCCACCTTGGAGACGTGGAGTCTAGCTTTTTGCCCGCCCTATCGCCTATTCCCACGGCATCGACAAACAACCAAGGCGGCGTTGATGACACGTACCAATTTGATTCGCCGACAAAGAAGATAGTACCCCGACTTGGACCAACGATACAGGAGCAGGACGAGCACGATGTGACCACCACGGCCACCAACACCACCTCTAGCTTCGAGAACTTCGACTCATCCCCTACCGCCGCCGCTGCCCGAAGGACCATCTCGCGAGCTGTTAGTATGGCTAGCCAGCCAGGAGATAACCAAGGTGCCGACGAGAGCGAGGACCGCGATACAGAGCACGAGAGTTCCATAATATCCAGTTCAGGAGAACACGACACTCAAGGACAGTCGCTTGCTGGTAGTACCCCTGGCCATTCTCTACGCAGCCGACGACCCAAATACTTGCGCAGTCGCTTCGGAAGCCAACGATCATCGACATCTTCTTTCGTGACAAACCCCGAGTCACACGAAGGCAGCGACATGACTGTTGGCCTCGGTACCGACTATGCCCTCCAGTCTGGCGGCGCTGTTCCCGCCATGGGAATGACACGACACACGAGCAACCCCATCTTGAGGTCCATCAGCATAGGAAGCATAGGATCAGCCTTTGGCGCAGAAGACTACACCGACACGTCATTACCGCAACTGGAGCCGCTCCCCGAAGTCGATAGTCCCGAACGACCGCGACGCTCTGGTTTGCTCAGTACACCCAAGCCCTCTAAGGAAGGGTTCAACACTGCACCAACAGACACGGTTATAGCACGACATGTTAGGAACGTCCAGGTACCCGAGTCTCTGGCCAAGGAGTACAAGTACAAGGGTGGACTTGAGACCCCCCGGAAACCTTCCTCGGTCACCATGGGTTCAGTCACCACGGCTCGGTCTGGGAGGAACTTGACCCTCAAAGAGCAGAGCAGCACCATCGAGAGGCTGTCCAAGGAGAACTTTGATCTGAAGCTCAAAGTTATGTTCTTGAGCGATCGTCTGGACAAGTTGTCAGAAGAGGGTATCAAGGAGATGATTTCCGAGAACGTTGAGCTCAAGACTGGTCTTGCGGTGCTACAGCGCGACAACAAGGTTCTGCGAAGAAGAGTCAAGGAGTTGGAGAAGCAGATTAAGGATGAGGGCGAACGACCAAGCACAGCACAGAGCGGTACATCTTCAACAGACCAAACGGCCCGAATGGGTGACGAGGAGGCTCAGGAGCGAGAGGAGGAACTAATCTTTTTGCGCGAGCGGGTCGAGGAGTATGCGACCGAGATCGAAAGACTTCGATCTGAAAGCCTTAACAAGGAATCAGAGAGACGAAAGTTTGCCGACATTGTGAGATCACTTGGCGAGAGGACAAGTGACAACTTGGGCAGACAGGAAGAAGCCGATGTTTGGAAGGACCTTCTTGAGCAAGAGACAGCCCGGAGAGAGCAGGCCGACGATGAGAACAGGAGGTTGCGAGACGAGGTCTTTAAGCTGAAGCAGGACATGTCTGGCTTGACCGGCGGACAGGGTGGTCTGCACCACACGACCAACATCTACAACATCACCAAGAAGGCGCGAGATGCCAACATGGAACAGAGTCGACCTGTTTCAGGCCTGTCAGGCGAAATCGAGGGCTCCAACGGCAACTTCAGCGCAGCTACTACACTCGTTGACGAACTGCGCCGAGAGAGTGAACAGCTGCGCCATGAAAATGCCGAGTTGCGACGAGAAGTTGGCGCTCAGACGTCAATGCTGACCTCAAGGAACCGCGAGAAAGAGCGCCTCTACCAAGAGATTGAGGACCTCAAGATGGCTCAGCGAAGAGGTCGCCCCGCGCCCTCCACCATTGACAGTCTACTTGAGCGATCTGCTTCACAAGTCGGCGGTCCCGAAAGGCCACAGTCGCGTGGCAGCATAAAGACACGGACGCAGATAGAGGAAGAAGCAGAGCGCGAAGAGATGGAAAACAAGATGGCTGAACTCCGCGACAAGATCAGCGAGGTTAAGCTGCAGAACCAGGAGCTGCAGCGCGAGCTCGAGACTTGTATGGAGGACTTTGAAACAGCCATCGATGGTAAACGCCAGGCCGAGGAGGCAGCACTGTCTCTACAGGAGGATCTCAACAATGCCATGAACGACTTGGTTGCCTTGCAGTCGGAGCGTGATGAGGCTCTGCGCGAGCAAAGTGACATGGAAAACGAATTCGAGTCGCTCAGGAAAGAAGCACAGGAGGAGATTGACGCTCTAGAGTCAGAGGCGGACCAGCATGCTGATGAGATGCAACGGCTACAAGCAGACCTTCAGGACCGCTCAGAGAATTTCGACGCCTTGCAGGAAGAGATGCGAAAGATGAGCGAGGCCCTCATTCGACTCGAAGACGACCAGGAGAGCAAGATGCGCCGGATCCAACAGCTCGAGCAAGAGTTGGATTCTTCCAACAAGGAGCTTGAGGAGCTGGAGCAGAAGCTCATGGAATCCAACGACAAGAACCAGCGACTGTCGGTGCAACAAGAGTCCTCTCAGGGAGAGATTGCCTTCCTTCGAGAAGAGCAAGAGGGTGACAAGATCCGCATTGGAGATCTAGAAGCGGCACTGGCCAACGCCGAACAGAGCCTGCGTGAAGAAAAGGACCGGGTTAAGGAGCTGGAGAACCGCTTGCAGCAGGAGAGACACCAACGAGAGATTGTCGCAGACCAAGAGAAGGAGGAGGTGCAACAGTTCGTCAACGAGCTCAACAGGGAGGCGTCTGCTGCCAAGGATGAGGCACGACGCCTGCGTAAGAACTTGACGTCGAGAGAAGTGGAAGCTACCGAGTGGAAGGAGAGGCTGATGGAACTCGAGAATAACTTGCGTGAGGCTCTGGGTGACCTCAACGGCACTCGTTCTTCCCTTCTCAAGGTATGTTTTACTCTAAGCATAGGAAGATTTGCGCTAATTCGGTGATAGTCTATTGCCAAGCTACAACGAGAGCTTGAGAATACGATTCGCGACCTCGATGCAAGCAAGGCTGCTTTGGTGGAGAAGGACCGCATCATCAAGATGCGTGATTCTCTACTCGAGTCACATGCCCTTGAGAGCCGCAAGCTCGCCGAGCTGCTCGAAAAGGAGCGTGTTGCTCACAGAAACACCAAGTCTCAGTACGAGACGCACCAGAAGACGCACCAGCATCTTACTCGTACCGCCAGCAGTCAGGATATCCGGATTGCGGAACTCGAGACGACACGGGGACAAGATCGCAGGCGGATCGCGATATTGGAGCAGACAGCTCGCGAGCAACTTCAAGAGCGCAACGAACTGCTCCTTCTGCTCTGGCAGAAGCTCAGTAAGCTGTGCGGCAGGGAGTGGGCTAATGGCAACGCTCTTATCGATCGACAAGTACTGCCATCTCTGGAGGTGGTTGCAAACCGTCTTCCCGGCTTTTCCAAGAACTTGCTGGCTGCCGTCAAAGCTATCGAGCTCATGGTTGGCTCATTCGAGTCAAGGATCAAGTCTGTGGAGCGAGATTTGTACCGCGAGTATCAGACTCTGGAGAACAACCTTGGCGTCCGCACCAAGAAGCTAGATCGACTAGAGACTATGGTGAGGAACTCGGTCGCGTCTGGGTCATTAAGCCACGATGCCCGTTACTCTCGCCTAGAAGAGGCATACCGTCAACTCAAGGTCGAAAATACCACTCTCCGCACGGCCAACGATGTCCGAGCCCGGGCGGCGTACTCATCCAGAGAGCCTTCTGATTCCTTGATTCCAGTCAGTACCGGCGGCTCACCATCACCATCAATACCTCGTGGACCGGGTGAACAGAATAGAGATCGATCCAGTCGGTCCAGGTCCAAAACGCGGACATCCACCATGACGAGATCATCTGCCACAGCCCTTCCTGGTTCTTCGGCCGGTGGACTGGGTCTTAGAGACATGGCAGCCCTCACCGACGAGGCAGGCAACAATAATGACAACCGATGGCTGTTCCGACTGCGAGACATGGAGTACAAGCTCAAGATGGAGCGAGAAGGACGCAATCAGGATCGACACGCAGCGAGGCAGAGGCTGGGAGGACTGGAGCTGGAGAACCGAGACCTAAAAGAACGGATGAAGAGGGCGCTAGGGGAGATCGACTAATCAAGCATACCATACGGCCAAAGACAGCATCAGGAGTTGGGGAGGGCTCATAGAGAAGACATACGGTGCTAGGGTGTTGATGTTTAGTTATCTTGTATAATACCAGTATCGTTAGGGACGGGGCAGCTGCACTGCATTACTACGAGGGACTTGATGGTGTTGATGAGGAAGGGATCGACATATTTGACATATTCTGGGTATTTATTACGACTTTAGTGGTTGGCTTTCTGTTTCTGATGAGTGATGCCACCTGAACCCTCCATCACAGCCACCAAGGCTGGCTAACGTCGGGACATATTCCACCGACACGCATATTGAGGCACACCGAGCCCACACCCGTCGTCAGCAAACTTGCTTTTGAGTGTCCCCATCAGAGTGTGGATTAACTTTCGGGTATTTGCGAAAAAAGTGTGGTAGTAGATCATGAGGAGTGCGGACTTCCAAAAGGGGTAGTCCCGCACTCCTCACGGAAGGATATAAGAATGGAAGACGGTTTGATGATGAGATGGTGGTCATCAGACACACAGGGTCTTACTCCTCTTTTGAAACAGTGATCATTATGTTGAGAACTTCTCTGGCTAAAACGCCCAAGGGCTTTTGTCGACGCATGACGACAGCAGCAGCACAAAAGTCAACAAAGAAGGAAGGCGACATTTCAGACGCATTTACATCCCTCTCAGGCGCAAAGAGGGAACCCCTCCCCGATCGATTCCGCGAACTAAAGTGCGACCTCGTTCGTGGTCGGGAAAAGGAGATTGTGGCAAGCTGGGGAAGACTCCTCCGACAGCTGAAAAGAGAAAACGAAATTGTTGCAAAAAAGGGTCCTTCTGTTATTCCTCAGGTCGAGTTTTCAGACTTTGAGAAGGATGTTGATGTTTTGAAGGAAGAGATTAGGAAGAGGGGTGCTGTTGTTATCAAGGGTGTTATTCCAGAGGCTGAGGCGAGGGCTTACAAGGATGAGATTGAGGAGTATGTCAAGAAGAATCCTTCAACGAGAGGTGAGTGTTTGTCTACACTTGTAGATGTTCTGCTAATACTCTGTAGGTTTTCCGGCTCATGATCCTCAGGTTTATGAGTTGTATTGGTCTGCTCCTCAGCTCAAGGCTCGCGCTCATCCCAATTTCTTGAAGGTCCAGCAACATCTCATGTCGTTCCTATGGCACTCTTCATCCCCTGATACGCCCATCTTTTTGGACCAGCCGTTTTCATACGCTGATCGCCTTCGTATTCGACAGCCCGGTGATGCCTCGTTTGCTCTGGGCCCTCATATTGATGGCGGCAGTGTTGAACGATGGGAGAAGGAAGGTTACGGCCGTGGAGGTGTGTACGACCGTATCCTAGAAGGCAACTGGGAAGAATACGATCCTTGGGATGCGAGTGGAAGAGTTGAAGCCGTCAACAACCTCTACGACGGTCTTGGACCTTGTTCCATGTTCAGAATGTGGCAAGGTTGGATGAGCATGAGCCACACAAAGCCAGCCGAAGGTACACTTCTAGTGAACCCCCTCATGAAGCTATCGACGGCATATGTCCTTTTGCGACCATTCTTCCAGAACAAGAGAGGTCGTGCGTCGGCAAACTACCTCGATGAGGAGAATTGGGAGTTTATGGGTGTTGATGGTATGACGAGTGAGCTTCAGGGAGCTACGCCGGGGACGGGTCAAGAGTGCACAGATGAGTTGCATCCGCATCTGGATCTTGAAAGGACCATGGTGCATGTTCCTGAGATTCGGCCTGGAGATTTTGTAGGCTGGCACTGCGACAGCAAGTTCCCTCTTCCTCTTGATCGTCATGGTAACTAATAGAGTCAGCCATCCACTCAGTCGACAAAGTCCACAACGGAAAAGCAGACTCGAGCGTCCTCTACATCCCCGTCTGCCCCGTAACCCAACAAAACGCAGAATACCTCGTCCGCCAACGCGAAGCCTTCCGAAGAGGCACCCCGGGACCTGATTTCCCCGGAGGAGCGGGCGAGTCGGGGCATGTGGACCGGTCCACGGAGGAGATGCTTCGGGGGTGGGCGGACGGTGTGGGGAGGAGAGCCATGGGGCTGGAGAGGTTGGTTATTGATGAAGGGGCCAGGCCGGGAGCTAGAGAAGCTGTGGAGGCTTCGAATGCGGCTCTTGGGTTTTGAGATGTTGGTGTTTGAACTGTATACGTATTGATGTCTGAAGAGGAGGATTTGTACGCTGAGGAGGTTGGCCTGAATTGTACACGTATCGTTGATTCCAAACTGACCACATTTGATCACACGTATTCTCATAATTCCCTGTTGCCTGAAAATGAGCATGTTTGTTTGTTTGTAAGCAACACCGGATATAGCATGTTTATCCTTTCATGCACGACCAATATGAGGCTTGCTCGCATTTGTAAGCCATTAAATGAGATGAAGCCTCAAACATTGGAATTCGGACAGATTATCGTCCGGCTGTAATGCACTCCGTGTCCTGATTACGGCAAGTTCTCCACTTCCAATGGTGATATTCAACCAGGCTGATGGTGAGAATGGTGTGAGTTGGTGATCAGTAAACAATGTTCCTGGCAAGCATCAGCCCTATCCGTGATCTTCAAAAAACTCACGATGGTTTGCTTCCCCCCTCCTTCGGGTCTCGGCGCCGATGGGCCGTCCCACTCCACTTAGAACAGGCGACGGCGTTTCAGCTCCATGGAAAAGTACATTAGTAATACACGGTTGAGGAATCATCTGGAGTTACGTAGTAACACGGGAAAGGGCATTAGTAAAGCGCATGAGCGGTGAAGCAAGGGGTGAAAGGGCCAGAGTATGTGGGGGGGACGTCAGGGTTGCTTGGAGGGAGAATAGACAGATATATATATTTGAGAGATTCGCCTCTCGGAGAGTTGATCAAACCCGACACTCATCACGCAATCCTCTTACACACACGCACCATACACCCTCTTATCAATCATCATGAGCTACGCACTCTACGACTCTGCCATCCTCCTGGCCAAGGACGCCCTCAACTCCCTCTCGGCCATCCTCAAGAAAGCCGAAGCCCACCCCAACGCCTCCAGCTTCCCCCAAGCCAAACTCGCCGAGGACATGCTCCCCCTGAGCTTCCAAGTCCACTGCGTCTCCGACGTGGCCCAAAAGATTGTCGCCCGCACCACAGGCGTCGAGCCCTTGTCTCTAAACCGGGAGAACTTTGACAACTTTGAGGCTTTCCACGCACGTATCGCTCAGGTGCTCGAACTTGTGGAAAAGGCGGATAGAGAGACTGTTAACAAGCGCGAGGGAGAGATTGTCACGCTTGGTCTTGGACCTGGAAAGTCGGCGCAGTTGGCTAGCAGGGATTATGTCAATGGGTATGCTCTGCCCAACTTGTTTTTCCACTTGACTACTACGTATGCTATTCTGCGCAAGGAGGGTGTTCCCCTGGGAAAGCAGGATTATCAGACTTCTTTCCTGGGCAAGTATATTCAGGCTTAGGTGGAGGGTAAAAATGGTGGAGAAGATATTGAGGGGGAATAAAAGCAAGATTTTACTCAATTGTGTTGGCCATTGAAGTTGCGAAACTTGTGTGAATGTATTCCTGGTTTGGCACTAACCCAACAGTAGTCTTTCCCATAGTAGAGTGAATGTTTATGTATGTATAAGATCTCTACGCAATATATGCGAGTGAGACGGCTTATCCACACGACCAGATCGATTTCATCATGGATGGCGACGGGGTACAAGTGAGATAGCCGATGCTTGGCGGAGCGCAACACGATTTCTTTCGCTCTAACGACATAAATCAATAAATAAGATTAAATAATATCATCCAATGTTTATTTTTATTTCGAAGAGCCCTTTAAACAAGAGTTGCCTACACAGAGGTGGGTACAATTGGCTCACTCATCTCCGAAACAATGAACACATGGAAAAGTCTAGGGTAGCCAACTTTGACTTTGTCTTTGTCATCCTCCAATCGCCACCCCGCCAAACATCAATTACACTCGCATCCGTAAGCTTCAACTTCCATCCTCAACCACATACATCGCATACTCCCAAAATGTCCGTCTACTGGTGGGCGCTCCGTATGATCCAGTCCTTCGAGGTACCTCACTCACCCATACCCTCAATGCCATGGCTAACAGTTCTTAGGACCACATCGTCGCATCGGTACGAAAACGCATCCCGACACTCCGAAAGCAATGCTAACGACCTTCAGATCCTTCGACGTCCAGGTTTCCATCGCGCAGTGGGAAAGATACACAAGACGATAAATGAGAAGCAATACGGTCGAAATCCTCACGAGCCGCTAGCACCCGGTGAAGCGACAGGTTCGCGCTCCCTCTTGTTCACACCAAGAGAACTCATGATGGGCTAATGGAAGGATGTAGCGGATCCAAATTCGAGCGATCGACATCAGAGGTTTACAAAGCATTTCATCGACGAGTTGAAGAATCAGTTTAGGGGGAAACCTACAGATTTGCCGAGTGAACGACCAAAAAAGTGAACAGTCACGGCTACTTTTTACTTTCTTTTTTACGATGATATGATACCCAATTATACTCTGCTCTTGGAATGCGATGGAGAAGGCTTGCTGGATTTGTCGAAGGTCGACAATAGGAAGAGAAGGGTCAAAGATGGAGGGATAACTGCGAATGAGCAGTCAGGCAAAGGCCGACATGGCGTTGGGTAACAAAAAACAGACTTTATACTGTCAAGACACGAATTGAAACTGGCTAAACCCTACTCTACAAGCGCTGAATACAACTACAACCCACCCGTGGCAATACTGACAACCCCATCGATAACATCCGCGATAAGCTCATCATCGTCTTCATCACCAGAGCCTCCCTTTCCAACCCTCATCATGGCAACCTGCCCACTAGCAGCATGTTTACACTGCTTTTTCGTCTTCCCCCAACACTTTTGACAAAGATCTTTATCCCAGCATTTATTGCAGTGCCATACCATCTTGCCCTTTTTGATGTCCTTCCAGCATCCGCTGCAGCCCATTGATGAACGTTTGCGTTGTGGGAGGTCTTTGCCTGCTGCGAGGAGGACTTGGGTTGCTGTGGGGGGACGGTGGCAGGTTGGGCAGAAGTAGTCGATGGTGTGGTGTGTTGTAGAGCGGTAGACTGTGTCGGAGGGGGCGAGGCCTTTGCCGCAGGTTTTGCAGCGGATCGCGACGAGGATTTCGACGGTCTGGATGCCTTGGGGTTGGTTGGGTTGGACGTATGAGGGTTGCTGTACTGGGGGGAGTGGTTGAAATGGTGCAGCTGGAGGATAGTTGTAAGCCGGAGCTGCAGGAGGAGGCTGATATTGCTGCGCCGGCACAGGAGCTTGTCCATTCCACGGCCTAGGTGGCAATGGAGGTGAAACCCTTCCAGTCTGTAATTCAATCCTCCACATGGCCTGCACAAACTCTTCCTTGTCAAACTGTCCATTCCGATCTCGGTCTGCTTCATCCCAGATACCAGCAAGATCCGTCCTGGATAGCCCGCTCGTCATGAATATCCCCGCGGCTTCCATCCCGTTGAGGTAGGGTTTGCCAAGAGCTTCGTTGGCAAAGATTGTTTCGTAGCGTTGTCGCGCTGTTGGAGGAATCTCTTGAGATGCTTGGGGATAAGTGACTTGTGGTACGACGTTCCAGTCTGGAGGCGCGGCGTAAGATATGGAATGTCGATGATTCGAACGACCATTAACCACCGGAGTAGAAGGTCCAGAAAAAGAACTCGGCCGATGTTGCGCCTGAGTCGAGCTCGAAACAGACAACCTGTTTTTGAATGGCCCGTGAATGAACGAGTTGAGCACATCATCAGACGGCGACTGCTTCTCCATAGCCATGACGACCAACTGATCCGGAAGTTTAGTAGCCAACATCTGATACAAATGCTTCGACCGTGATCCCGAAACCGCTTCGAGAAAATATTGATCAGGATCACAAGGACAGAGAACAGTATTCCTCCCCAAAACAAACCCATCACTCTTCAACTCCCCAGTCGTCAAAGCCTGCAAACTCGACTGCAAAGACTGCGACAACATGGCAGATAACAACTCCCTATCAGTTCGTACAATGACAACTTCTTGCGCTCCAAAGAAGACATTGCGAATTGGTGAATACTGTCGTGTTTGACAGCTTAGGTCGAGATATTGAAGGACGAGACGGTGGAATGCGGTGGAGAAGCCACTTGAGTGAGAGACCTGGACTGTTCCGTCGTTGAAGCGGATGAACCAGCCGCCTAGAGGAGAAAAGGTGATGTGTTCGACTGAGGTGGGAGGTTGAGCTGCTGCGAGTACATCCTGACGATTTGATAGAACTATTCGTGTAAGCTTGGCCCATGTACCTAGTGGTTTCACTCACGTTCGCCTCCCTTGGTCATGATGGCATACGTCCCATCAGGAGCTGTAGACATCCACGATATCAAGGTGCCGACCTTGTTAGCATGTCCGCATGCATTCCCTAGACGATCCCATATCTGCTGAAGAGGACCAGGCAAGTTCTTGCTATAAACCGTTAGCAATCAGCATCAATCAACGAATACTTCAACTCACGCCACAGAAAAGTAATCATTCCCAACAACCCAAGAATCCTCAATAGTTCCCAAGTAAACAAACATTCTGAATCTAGCAAGATAAAAAGGCAATGCATATCTACTCAAACGCCAAGGGCACCATCACGAATTATAAGTCTTCCACGCACAACCGTAATCTCCAACCCGTAACCGCTAAGAATCCTCAATTGGGCAAAATCCAACCATCAATTCAACTCTTTCATGTCGGGTAAATCCATGTCCCGCTGAAATCGTCGCAAGGCGTCTTTGGTGGATGTTCATTTCCCGAATAGGCAAAATCTTGGAAGGTTGAGGCGCAGTCCATGAAGCGTGATTTGCTGGGGGTCAGCACCACGCGATTATTCCTCCGTCCCAGGCGTATTTTACATTGCAAAACGAACTACGAGGGGACCAGTAGATCAATGGCACGTAAGACAGGCTGTTGAAACGCTTGTGGCTGCTGGAAATGCGGTCATGATGCTGGACCACGTGAAGGAATAGACTGAAATAAACAAACTGACGAATAGTACAGACCAGCCTCGTCACTGAGACTCAGCTTCTACTCATCAAATGTGGTACTTGGTTCCACCAAAAACAGGTGCCATCTGGCCCGGCATTTCCTTCTCAATGAGTCCCTTGAACCTCCATCCCGTACAGTGACCCGGCATGAGTACCGTGGGTTTGAGTGCCTTGAGATCCTCGATACTCTTCTTCATCTTTTCCGGGGCAGCGTCTGCGAGATGGTAGCCGCCAACAATCGCATGAATTGGACTGTTGTCGAGCTCTTTGGCGTGTCTGGCAACATTGATGAGACCGGCGTGGCTGCAGCCGGTAAAGACTACAAGGCCCTTGTCTATGACCTATTAGCATTTCCATTTCACATGCAACATGCTGCATACCTTTGATCTTGCACATGACAAACCGCTCGTCCATGATGAGTTCGTCCTTTTCCCAAGTATTGGTCTCAGGCTCATAGCGGATGCCGCCCCGAACGCCAAGCTCATAGTCCGTCTGTCGAGGAATTTCGCTCGAGATCAAAAACATGTCGTCCAGCACCGTCTGCGGCTGAGTATTTGTCTCGACCTTTCCGCCTGCGTTCTCAAGTTCCTCCAGAGTAGGGTCTGCTTCAAGCGACAAGATGTGCGGTCCCCCATTGTTGCCTCGATGCGCGGGACGATTGGGAGGGACGATAACCGTTACTCTATCGCCATCCACTTTTCCTTCGTTGACGAGTTTGATGGCCGAGACCATGCCGCCAGAATGATCGCGATGCCAATGAGACAGAGTCATGACTTCAACCTTGCTCATGTCGAGTCGAAGTCGCTTGGCATTTCTCTCAAAAATATCGCCTTCCGGTCCACTGTCGAAAAGCAAGCTGTGACTTTTCCCATCCTTCGTGACAGTCTAGAAAGTCAGCTATAAGCTGAGAAACTTCACTTGGTATTCTCACAATGAGCAGCGAAAGGCCAAGTGCGCCACAACAGAGGTTCCTCATCGGAAACTCCACTTTCGCACCACCTCTAGCCGCTGGATCTGGAAGCACATCGACAGGCGCGCCACGGAACGACTGAGTGTGCTTGACATGGTCATTCGGACTGGGTGAGATGTAGTCGATCTCATCGTTCACAAGAACGACGATTTCGATATTGTCGACTTCGACCAGAGAAGGGTACGCCATGATTGTATCTGATGTAAGATAAATGAAGATGGAGAAGATAAAGTTTCAGAGTCCATGCAAGCCTCTTTATACAGATGCTCACTGTCCGTCGCTGCCCGCGGACACGGAGTGCCAATGCTGACGGTCTCACCTCCATCAAGTGTCAACCTGCGCTTGTGGTTCGACTCGTAACCTGACCCTCATGAAAATATATCGGTTTTTGCGAGGTGCGGAAAAGCGGAATTCCGTTCGTCCATCTGCCGTGCTCGGTCGCCGAGGTGGCTTTGTACCATGGCCTCATGTATGTTCCCGAAATGTTGCCGACTGGGTCTAAACGCAGAGGCTTTCAGTATGGCGTCGCAAAAATGTTTCGAATGCGCAATAATTGCGGCCATAGTTCGAGATGGGTTAATGATATATATGTCATGTGTGGATCGTCGAGACACTGATCAGGTAGCATATTGTCCCCAATCTCCCCAGTTGAATGGAAGAGCAATGTCCAGGTTGGCTTCCAGCGCATCTTCGACAGCGTTGAGGTTGAAGTTGGGATCGATATGACCAAAAACATCCTGGCCCGAGATGGCGTCGATGAGCGAAAAGTCGACTGGCTGCTCGACACTCGGCACGGAGTTGATCATGGTCGGATTAGCCACCGGGACCGTGGATTCAGGTTGTCGAGGAACAGAGTTTGGCTGAGAATTCGAAGACGGAGCCGAGCTTGGTGTTTCTCCTGGAGGAGGAGGTGGTGTCGTATCCTTGGTGAGAGTTGTCGCGGCACGCTCCATCTCTTTCAGCACTCTCTCGCCAAGACCGGCAACGACATTAGCGCTCCAGAAGTAGTCTCCGAATTTTCTCAACATTTCACAGTTTCGTCGGAACGAATGCATCGCTCGAGCTCGGAACATTGGTAGGCGGCTATGTCTCATCTTGCGATACTCAACACTAAGTGCTAGACAAACAGCATAGGGAACGAATGGCATAGGGCTGAGATGATCACGTAACACGGCACATGCTATCCGCTCAGCTGCGAGGGAGCGACGCGCATTGGCTGATGGCGGAGGAAGAGTTGAAGCTGCTGTGAGAGTGCCTGGACGGGGTAGTCGACACGATAGGATAATAACCGCGTGGTAGAAAGTCTCGATGGTGGCTGTACAAGTTAGCAGATGCCCAGTCAGAACGGAAGTCATGACTGACCAATCAGTGAGCCCGGAACCTTCAGAGCGTCGGCATTCACAATCATAGCCTCGAGCACCGGAAGATCAATGTAGGCGACCTTGTCGAGACCAGACGCCTCAGCACTTGGTCCCGGGCGGTACAGCTCAATGACCTGGTCAAGCCACTGAACCACAGCGAGGAGAAGTCGAAAGCATGGTGGACGCTTCTTAATGCATCCATCGAGATTCGCACCAATGTCTCTCTCATGCATCAAACATGGCCTCCCGTAAGCCGCCGCGTTGATCCTGTCGACAGCCCAGACTGCGCAAAACAACGTCTCGAGCTCTTCGCAGTTTGGAGCATCGTACCTGAGAAGGTGTAGTCCAAGGGTCTGGATATGGTGAATGGCTCGCCCGCCAAGTTGTGCCGGGAGATCTGCTTCCTCGGAGCTGCTTGGTTGCGTGTAGAGGGATAGTATGACGAGAGCTCTGATGTGAAGAACACGGTCGGTGATGATGCTGGTCTCAAGAATAGCCCGCACTGCCGAAGAGATGGACTGCGAAAAGTCTTGGCACGTTAGAACCTCATCACCCCGATTCCTGAGTCGAAGATAGCGAGACATGGCGGGATCGGTGGACGCAGCCAGACAGACCAGTTGCCGTAGAACGATGATAGTGGGCTCATCAGAGGGACCCTCCAACGCGTTCTCCGGAATGATGGGAAAGATGGGATGAATCTTTTGAAGAAATAACCGCTTCAGCTTGCGATACTCCTTCTCCGGAGGGAGACATGACAGACAGTGTTCTCGAACAAAGGGAAGCAAGAACTGGTCCATGATCGGTGGAGGCCGTGACGTGATGAACTGTGATGCTTGGCCTGGTCCACCGCCCGTGGACGAGAGCCAGATACCGACATCGCCCTTTTGCGAAGTCTCACGAATTGATGCTGAACCTGTCGCCTCCACAAACATGCCCTCTGGGTTCAGATCACCAACGAAACGCGAAGATGACTGAGGCTTTGGCGTCATGCTGGCCGACTCGCGCCTTGAAGGTGTCGCGACGGGCCCCGTCGAATCGCCATACTGAAACGAGGCTCTGTTGTTGCTGGTACCATTTTGCTCGGGTAGAGCACTAGAGTGAGTCTGCGTTGATCCTGTCAAGGCCAACGGAACGGATCTATAAGGTGATCAGCATGGAGAGACACATCAAGCATAGGCCCACTCACGATGACCGGGATGGAGATGTCTCGTCCTGGTCTTCTGGTCCGGCGACAGCCGTCGCAGCCACAGGAGAATCGTCGCGTGAATCCTCAGCGTGAATGCATCGCCTCTACATAAAAACAGTCAGAAAAGTGTCGTCGAGTCATCAAGGTGTCACAAGCTGACCTTTTTTCGTCGACACGCGGCACAGGCGTGCTGGACCTGCTTGCGCTTGACGGGGAGTCCCCCGCGGTTGGGATCCGAGGCCACAAACTTGACCTGCTTCGAAGACGGTTGGGGCATCGCAGGTGTTCACCATGGGAAACTTTGAGCCTCACTTGGGGGGTGGTCGCAAGGGTCAGTTGCAGATGGTGGAGTGGAGATGTTTGGCGAAACGGTGAGTGATGAGTCGTGGAATTTCCCAAGGTGAAGGCGGGACGGAGACCCTCGTCGGTGAGGGAAGCTTGGTTCAAGTGGCTTAGTCATCTCGGTGAGGGTTTATTTGAAGTGGTCCAACATGCCGCAGTTACCGGACAGCCGAGGAACCGAAGGTGATGTTTGATCATGCGACTGCATATCGTATCATGGAGCCGATTTATTTTGTGATAAGCATGTGCAGAGGTCAATATCATGACTGCGGGTTTGGATGTTGGTATTGCTTCATTTGAGGTCTCCACTCAGTAGGTGCCTACCAAGCTCCGCTGGAACTGCCTAGAGATCGCTAAAGAATCCCTGGCTGCTCATGGTCATGTGGATCTGGATTTATTGACTTGAGTTCTTGGCCGTGAATGTTTGGATTGCCGAGAAAATGATGTTGCATGCTGTGCTTTGTTCCGTGGGTGCTAATCTGGTGGAGTGAGATCAAAATACCTTCATCATGAGCATCTCGAAAACACCCAACCGCTTAACACAAAAGAAAATGATAAGAAACCGCCACAGCATCAACAACATCATGACACCATCCACCATCCCTCCCGGTTGCCCCTTCAATATCCCGTCTAAAAACGCAGTGGGACCAAGCACAACAAACAGCACAACACCATCCCCCGGCCGTGAATCCGACCCGTCCTCTCAACGCGAGCTTCGCACCAAAAACAACAATCCAAATTCACGCTCCCTTCTCGTGCGACTCTCTGCCCCACTACCACCGTCCATTCCCACTGGGAGGCTCGAGCTTCAAGGGCGGCCGTTTTGAGAGACCCTTGAACTCGCAGATTCGGTTGGCTGTGGTGAATCGCGGGGTGGTGGGGCCGGCCGCCTCCCGGACGGACGCTAGCCGTGATTGGCAACAACATAAACATTGGGCCGAGGGGTCGGGTCTGCCTGGACGTGCAAGACACGCTGTGTTTACGTCTGGTTTGTTGTGAATGTTTGTTTAAATACAATAATCCTGCCTGGTTCCTTTGTTGCCCAGGCTCATCTGCCTTCTTTGTGGACCAACTGTTATCCTCTTTGTTGCAGGCGGCCTGTATCCATTCTGGTGGGCTTTAATTGTCTACCATATCCTGGTCAGCTATGGAAGACCTCAATCTCCCTATTGCCGTGAGGCGCTCACGGCGCAGCAGCATCAAGCCTGAGCCAATGGCCGATGTACCCTCCTCTCCAAGAACCTCTGCCAAAACCCCTCGGAGAAGCAGCAAGAGGCGGGTCCGCTTCTCGGACCCGGGACTCTCAGCATCCAGCGGGTTAACCCCAATGGTCGGTCGTGTATCTGTTTCTACACCAAAACGTCGTCGTCACTCATCTGCACCCGTGCAAAGCACACCGAGCAGACTTGAACCAAAGAGTCCTGGTCTTCCTCAGAGCGGAGAGGTGACTTTTCTGTCTCTTCGCCAAGTCCTCGATGGCCGTGTTCAACGCCGCATCCGCCGCAATGGCTTGAGTGAGGAGATGAACACGATACAACAAGAGAAGCGACGAAGAGCCAAAGAATCCAAGGCTGAGATCGAAAAGCTCAAGAATGAGCTCAAGGCACGAGACCGAGAGATCTACGAGCTGCAGAACGCCACCATCGTCCTCGACACCGATCGGATATGGGATCTGGAGAAGCAGATTCAAGATCTTCAGAGCGAGCTGAGGAAGCGATCTAGCAACGCGAACCAGAACCGTGGATACAACTGGACCCTCGCGGCGAGGGATCAGTTCCCCGGAGATTGCATGGACATGGCGCTCGACGATGACGACTTTGGTGAGGAGACGATGGCACAGTTTGTCTGTAGCACTCCGCAGACACAGAGGGCAAGAGATTCATTCATGACGCCCCCTGCGACAAGTCCTACAGTTCCTGGATCACCGCTTTTCCCAACACTGCCTGTTTTGAACACCAATACTGGCGTTCAAACTGGCGTCGAAGCTGGCGTTCAAGCGACACTGCCCGATCCCAACCAGGAACGGCTCGAAGGAGAGATGTCTACCCTCCAACTTGAGATGGCCAAGTTGACAGAGACCCTCGATTCATACAAGGCCCTTGGTAGTCGACTGAGCGATAAGCTCTCCGAATTCTGCCCTCACACAGAAACCGACAGCACAACACCCGCAATTGAAGGCCTTGAAGCCCAGATTGAGATGATGCTCCAGACAATGTCCGATAGGGCATTCGCCTTGTCCCAGCTCACAGCCTCAATCACCAAACTTGGATTCTCTGGAGATGACGCCAGCGACATGATGACGTCCCTCGCATCAGGTTTCCGAGCTGCTCGTCTGGAGTTGGAGTACCTCACACCGGGAGAGATCACATTACCACTCTCATCCCACGGAGCAGAGGTTCTTGACCTCCTCCTCACCCGTCTCCGCGAAATGGCAAAGAAAGCCAAAGAAGACGAAGACGCCATCGACGAGTACCACGAGATAGAGACATCGCTGCGGAAACAGCTCGACGCTCGTGTAACCGTCATGGACGGCCTCAGGGCAGAGATGGGCAAGGCGGAGAAACTCATGAGCGACAAGATTGCGCGGATACGCGAGCTCGAAGTCGCTAACCAGAGGCTCAAGGGCGCTGTGGATGGGTACATCCGGGATATCTCTGAACTTGAGGATCTTGTTCAAAGGATGGAGCGAGAGGCTCACGATGCTGAGGATGAGCATAATGTTCAGCTTGAAGTGAAGCGCAAGGTCCTCACTAAGAAAGAGGACAACATCGCTGAGCTGGAGGCTAAGCTGACGGACGCTTTGCAACGGTCTGCGGATCTGCAAAAGCAAATGGTTGAGCTCCAAGAGTCCAAGATGAAGGACATCTCAGAGTTGAACAGGAGACACGGCGCTGCCCTTGCGGCTGGCGATGCAAACGTGATGAAGTACCGCGGCGAGATTGACAAGGTCAACGAAGCCCTGCGCACAGCACACGCAACAATCTGCAGCCTGCGCGTGGAAAACAGCACCCTAAAGACGCAAATGGAACAAGATCGAGAAAAGGCCAGCGCAGTAATCGATTCCATGAAGGAGGAGCTGCAACGGGTGGTCCAGATGAGCCAAGAGTTCCTCAAGACGCCCAGCAAGACGCAGGCGGAGACAACACAGGGCTCCGCTAGTTCGTCAAGGACGGTTGTGAATCGGGGTTCGTACTTTTCTGGTGGTCTGGCTCGAAGGACGAGTAAGAAGAAGATGAGTAGGGGACAGGATAGTGGGATGGGGCTTTTGGATGAGGATGAGGAGTTGTTGTTTTAAGACACGACATGGGCATTTTGGCATGGATGGGGCGTTTGGGGACCTTCATTCGACATTAGCTTTTCTTTGTACTATGATATTAATGTCATTAATTCTGAAGCATCTGGGCATCTTTACCTGTGATTGAGGTCTCATGATGAGTAAAACCTCCATTGCGCCTTGTAATCTGGCGTCAGATCCAGTCCAAGCAGTAATGCCCTCAGCAACTCGATAGGCATCGTATTCGCCCTCAAAACGCAATCATGGAACTCCTTTTCGCTGTAATTTCTCGAGCTCAACACCTCTTTCCTCAATTCCATCATCTGCAGCGCACCAATCATGTATCCCACTTGATACAGCGGCGAATAGTCCCCGTTGAAAGACCGTCTCACCTCAGCTTCAGCATTGGACGGCTCATGACCAACCCAATCGACCAAAAGATCGATGCATTCTTGAGGCGTCATCTCACCCAGGTGAGACTTGAGAGAGAAGATTATACGGGCACAGCGATGCATGCGCCAGAATAATGTACCGATGCGGTCCTCGGGTGAGATGAAGAAGTTGCCCATCTCCCAAAACACCATCTCCCAGTACATGGCCCAGCCTTCAACAAAGAAGGAGGTAGTAAACATCTGGCGGTGACTATGATGTCGTTCGCCCATGAATAACTGCAGCCTATGTCCAGGTATGAGTTCGTGAAAAGCCGTAGCACGAGAAAAGTGCCTATTATTTCCTCTCATGACCATCTTCTTGAGCTCATGCGACATGTCTGCCGTCGGGGAAGCGACGAGTATCGAAGGACCACCAAGAAAGAAGGGCGATTCCTTTTGACGTTCTGGAGACATCATAAACATTCGATATGTCTCGTCGGCGATTTCAGGCACGGTGACAAGGTTGTGCTCTCGAACGAAAGATGTGCCTTCGCGAGCGAGCTGGAGGACGAGTTGGGTTTGTTCGCCGGGAGGAACAGACTTTGTTTTGACGTGTTCGAGGGCCTTCTTCCAGTCATCACCAAAGTTGAGTTCTTTTGAGGCCTTCTTCATTTGCGCCTCGCACCATTTGTACTGTTCTTTTGCGATATCGATCAGTGCTTCAGGTGCGTAGGGAATCATCTCAGCTTCCAATTCCACGAGTAGTCCGTCTCTACCGATCGGTTGCCCAAAGATCTCATCATGGCCATCGTGGCGTACTCCGGCCAGTCTGCTTTGTACCACAGACTGATAGTGCTGTAAAGCGGCGTTTGCTTCTCTCCATGGTGTGGTTGCCCACCAGTCAAACATGGGATCGTACGTAGTGTAGAAGCTCAGAAACTCGTGCAGATGTTTTCGCAGTTCGGCCACAATCTGAACAGCTTTGTGCGCACTGTGCTTGCTGACTTTTACTTTGCCTTCTTCCACTTGGTGTTGGACATTTGATGTTTCAACTGCGACTTTGTTCAATAACTCGGCAGTCTTCTCTGCTTCCATTGGCTTGACATCTTGTCTCGACTCGCACAGTGATACGATGATTGACGCGAAAGGCAACAGAGGCATCGCTGCTTCTTGTGCTTTTTGATCGAGATTGAGCTGTCGCTGCCCTCGCTTGAGGTAGTTTCGCAGAAGTAAAAAGTCGGCTCTGCCTTGCTGGCCAAGATCCTGGAAGGGCACCTGGAAGAGAGCGTCCAATTCATCTTTATAGAATTGGCTCAACCGTTTGTGACGTCTTTCAGAGATCTTGATGTTGTAGTAATTCCGAAGATCTCTCGAGTCGGACCGTACTCGTCTCACGCGATCAGCCATGGATTCAACATCCTCGTTCATCTTTGTCCTTGTAGGCAGATTGACCCAAGTACTGCCCATTTCCGATGATGAAGTCGACGCATCGCGCTGTGGCATGTTGAATTGCCGTCACGGTTTCGCAGCAATTGAGATCGTTCAACGAGACATGAGGAGAAGTTCAGCTGAGGGGATGTCTAGTTTATGAGGGCACATGGACATTTTCCCAAATGCGCCATGCCAGACATGGGAGTTGCCGTGATCATCAGCTTCCACATTAAGCCAGGGACAAGGGAGGTGAGCCGTGTGGCTGCGATTGACGAATGGGTGAGCTTGAAAGCAGCCATCATGAGCCACGGTTCTTTGTTGGTTCTTGTTGAATGAGAACCCCTTGCTCAAAGGCCAGCCAGTTGAGGCTCGCATGCATACATCCGAATGATATGTAATATGCTTGTATTTGTGCTTGAACACATATGAGGTCACACGAGCATGCAGCTCTCTTGACGAATTTCCTCCACTATGACGTGCCACAGGCAGATTGATGCTCTGGGAGTAGTTTTCATCGAACTTCAGCCACATCCGATTCAAAGCGGATAATCACGATAGCTCCAAGTTTATCACAGCTTCTCTCCCAAGCTATCCACGATAGTCACAGCTATCAACTCAATTGTTCGGCAAGGCCTTCCCTTTTGACTCATTAAAAAATCTCCCTCGGGCCCCTGACTCCGACTCGATAGCCGATGAATCCCGCCCCCGACATCTCCACTTCGTCTCGGTCAACCAATCTGAAGCCGACCCACGTATTCTCTAGATCCGATGGCGCAAGCGGATCAGCACCGACGCCAGCTTTCGGAATTATCTCCCACGCCCGAGTTCGGCATCAAATCTAACGCTCAAAGACCGGGGGGTGTCTCTCATTAAGGGTCCTCTTTCTCCCTCCGACTTCTTACAATGCTATACACTCAGTAACATTTACTCGTTATGGCGACGCCCCTGCTTCGCGCCGCTCTCCGGAGGCATTTCGTGTCAGGTCGATTCCCCCGGATCCAGCGCCGACTCCAGTCGTCGTCGCCCAAGCCGTCCTCTGAGGCCAAGTCCGAAGAGTCCATCCCCGTGCCGAGCACCGTTGCGCCTCTTCCTCTATGGCAGCGTCTCGGTCCTCTGACGGCTGCGGCGCGGGGATATGCTAGGTCGCAGACAAAGAGGCCGCTCACGACGCAGGTCATCACGGCGGTGGTCATCTACATTGCTGCGGATTTGAGCGCTCAGTATGTCAGTGGGAATGAGTATGATCCTGCTAGAACAGCGAGGAATGCCGTCATTGGTGCTACTGCTGCGATACCCAACTACAAATGGTATGCCTTGCGTCTTGTTTGTGTTGATCCTGTACTGACAATGCCCAGGTTCATCTTTCTCTCACACAACTTTAATTACTCATCGCGTATCCTCTCAATCGGCACCAAGGTTGCAGTGAGCCAAGTATGCTTTACACCAATCTTCAACACCTTCTTCTTCGGTTCTCAAGCCATCCTCTCCGGCGAGAACCTCGAGGGTACTGTCGAGCGCGTCAAGGACACGGTGCCCACTAGCATCGTCAACTCGTGCAAGCTATGGCCCGTCGTCACAGCCTTTAGCTTCACCTTCCTCCCACTGGACTACCGACCACTGTTCCACGGTGTCGTCGCTGTGGGTTGGCAGACGTATCTGAGCTTCCTGAACAGGCAGGCTGAGATGAAGGAGGCTATTCGACACGAGGCAGCAGGTCATGTGGATGAGAAGCAACAAGTTGCCTACGCTGTGCCACAAGCAGCCTAAAAGTTTTACACTTTCCTTTGTTATTTCGGATACAGCATGATAGACATAGACTTTTATTTAACACAGGAGAGGGAGTTACGGTTAATGGATATCGTTATTTACTACCTACATAAGAACTATAAAAACCCAACGTGATATCTCAGTACATACTCCCGCTTAATAATGTCATCTTTTTATTCCATGCCATCAAAACGTAAAATGGAAGCTGCCCAGTTTATTTCTACCACTGAATGAACTAGCCTCTGTAGAAAGGGGATAGCCAGCGGCAAATAGCTGACAGCGCGACCGTGAGAAAGACTCCAGCCAACCACGAGCCGATCATTGAAGGGAATTAATATAAAAAATCTCAAAAATACACAGCCGTTGCTTTGTTATGGACCCCAAGTACTGTTCTTAGGCCAACTCGTATCTTGGTTGTGTCGTCGGCGTGCCCTGCATCTCCTGGGGAGGTCTCTCATGGGGCAGCTCGCTCGGTGGCCACTTCGCGGCGTTCACAGAGTAGGCCGTTTCTGAGGCAGGTGTGTATGCAACCTGTGATGTCTCAGGAGGGGGAGTCTGTTGTCGGCGACGACGCCAGAAGAAGAAGCCAAGTCCCGCCATGGCCAGAACACCTGCGGCAATGCCAACACCGATGCCGGCCTTTGCGCCTGTCGACAGGCCCTCGTCTTCGGGGGTCGTGTTGGCGGGTTCTTTTGTAGAGGTAGGTTTAGGTGTAGGTGTATTGGCGGGTACTCCTTCGTCGTCCCATACGCCGCTCCAGGATGCCTTCCAGTCGTTGCCTCCCTTGCTGATGGTCTTGTCCTTTTCTTCGATCGAGATGATGTTGTTGGTGGCCTGGATAGTTCGACCTGGAGCTTGGGCAAGCCACCATGTGTTGGAGTCCTTGTGCCAGTTGGCTCCAATAAAGGCATCCTGGAGGAATGCTCGACCCAGGACATACTGTCCCTTGCCGTTGACATGACAGGGAAAGTAAGGTGTAGGAGTATCGACGAGCGGCGCGGTGAGGGTGAGGTTGAGGTGCATAAAGGGAACATTGATCTTGACGGCGTCGGTGTTGGAGCCAGAGATGAAGGAAAACACCAGGGCCGATGCTGAGGAGACAATCTCTTCATACTTGTCCGACTTTGTGTCCCAGAGGTACAAACCGAGGCTCTCGTCATAATTGACGGGGAGTTCGGCGGCAATGTTATCGCAGGTCGACTTGGGGAGGGAGAGGTACGGCGAACAGCCGTCGACGAGGACCTTGAGTCCACTTCCGATGGATGAGTTTCCCTTGGCGAGAAGGTCGTCTTTGGACTTGAAGTCGAAGGGTGACTTGTTGCCGATCACCTCGATGCCGACATCCCAGAGTGTAATGCCGTCTCTGGGACCGCCGCTCATGCTGAGAATCTCGCCGACGATGCGGTTCTGATCGTAACCGCCGAACCAGAGGGAGCCGGACATGGAGGGTTGAACTGATCCGATGTGCATACCGAAAGAGTTGGATGGCGTCCACGCGTTCTCATACATCCAGCCAGGAGGGAGACTGGCGTTGATGGCAGGCCCTTCCATTGGGGTGAAAGACTGGTTGATGGCCTTGTTGCCGCCCATGCTCAGGCAGCCGGCGAAGAAGGGCACCTTCTGACCGCCGGGATACTTGATCCTCTGGTCCTTCAAGAGAGCGAGACTGACGTTTGTCTCTCTGATACCGCCCAGAACCATGTCGTCCAAGTACCGTATTGAAGGCTCGCCTTCGAGTTGCAGACCGAGCATGTAGGCGTCGAGACCGCCGTCCAGTTGGATACCGCCCGAGGTTCCCTCAGCTTCATCGTAGGTGCCTGCCTTGGAGGCGTAGCAGGTTCCCTCGTCGCAGTAGTCATCCTCAATCATCCAAGTCTCCCAGTTACCACCAGGGAAGAGGCCAATGTTGTTTGTGTCTCCGTCCATCTGAACCGACACGGCCCTCCATGGACCGTCAGGTCCAATAGTCCCATCGGCCCATTTGATCTCCCGGGGGACTCGCTCGGCCGAGGCGGCGAGGATGAATGCCACCAGGGCTGTTGAGAATGTCCAGGCCATGGCCTTACAAACCTGCCCGTATAAACTCCAGAATAAAAAAACGAGTGAAGGTAACGATGGAACGTTGTAGTTTCAGAAACTGGATTACACCAGCAGAGACAAAAGAACTGCGCAGCAGAAGGTCAAAGGAGAAACAGAAAGAGGGCCAAAGCGACGGGAGGAGAGAGGAAGGAGATCATTACCGCGTGCGTGCAAAAAGGATGCTCAACCAACAAGTCCTAGGATGGGCAGTGGTGTGTCCCAGGTTGTCGAGGTTGCTCAGCCTATAGTCGAGGCGCAAGCTGGGCTCAGCCCACTTAGAGTGTACCAGAACAACCAACATGCATGGAAAGGAATCCCTCGTACTTCAGTCTGGCAGCCCTGGTAGCTGTACCTGCCAGGGTATGGGAGATCATGGGTCAGTGGGCGATGAGAATCATTGCCAAATAGGTACATGTACAACTTGATCAGGCCGCATTCCCCATCTGCTGCGGGTTAACTCTGCCTTGCCAGAGGAGGATCCGAGTGTTGTATTTTGGGAACGGGTCGAAAGATGAGTCTCGCCTACAGCCCTTGTCCAGTCTCGCCAGCGCGATTGGAAGCGTACGCGCTGCGGATGTAACTTGGCATTGTGGAAATTAGATGCAAGTACCACTGCATGAACTAGACTGGGCCTGATTGTTGAGAGACTGAACCAACACCGTCACACTGAGCAACAAGAATCAATCTCACGAAGACCTTGGTGTAGCATCTTGAAGCAGTGGCAATAAGCTGACCACCCCATGAACAGAGTGGAAGAGGATGGATAGCCACGTATGTAAACCCTCTTGCTCCTCCCAACATCCAGCTCCTTCATGTTTCATGCAAAGTGCGGTGCAAGAAGACATCATCTGAGCGAGTGAGCGCATCCATCCTCGGCGGAAGCGGCTGGGGACCTGGTCTGAAACGCGATAAATAAACTTGCCGACAAGGATGTCTGTTCCTCCAGTTCCCATTGGCCTCGTGTCTCTCGAAGCCGGGTTTAGCGCCCGAGGCGTGTGTCCCGCAAGCGCTTGGCGACATGTCTCTCCCTTCAGCCAATCATGAATTCCATCAGAGGGCATTCCAGGGTCCCCCTGAAGAAGCGGATCCGCGACCCGTCTTGGATGGTACCCTCCACCCTGTCACGAATCGATAGACGGCCGCCCCATCCTGAGCCAGGCTGTCATTTCCAGGCTGAGGCTCAGGTCACCCTTTTCCCTCTCTCTCTTTTTCGCAAAACCCAAGAGATGTAGATTCGAAACCTCTCCCCGCAGTCTCGTCAAAGACATTCTCCATCCCCCCTCCCCCTGGGTCCCGAAACATCTCGACAATCTTGACGAGTTTCCCTCTTCAGCCCTACAAGAGGAGCAAACACAAGTCTCTGAATGGGCTGGCAGCTGTCCTTTCCTGCGCAGCTGTCGCACTACCTGAGCCAAGCTGTCGCCATGTCGGCCGAGACGACGGCGCCTCTATCGCCATCACGCTTCATGGCGTCAAAGCGCTACCGATGGACAGCCCTCGCCGCCCTCCTCACCATCTTCTTCGTCTTCTTCCTCGTCAAGAACCATGACGCTCTCCCTCAGAGGCTCCCGCAGGGCATCCCGTCCACCTACACATATACCGGCGGCGATGTCGATTGGTCGCGCTTCGCATATACGCAATACGTCACCAACAGCGAGTACCTCTGCAATTCGGTCATGTTCTTCGAGTCACTGCATCGCCTGTCCAGCAAGGCCGACCGGGTTATGATGTTCCCTTCGCGGATGCTCAAGTCCGAAGACGATGAATCGAGCGACGCTCGCCTCCTCATCAAGGCTCGCGACAGCTACAATGTCAAACTGGTTCCAATTACCATCCAGCATAGAGATAATGCGGATTGTATGTGTGTTGCTGACCATCACTTGCAGCAATTGCTAACAGCCTCTAGCGACCTGGGCCGATTCCTTTACCAAGCTCCTCGCTTTCAACCAGACTCAATACAGCCGCGTACTCTCGATCGACTCCGACTCTATGCTCCTTCAACCAATGGATGAACTATTCCTTCTACCTTCAGTCCCAGTAGCCATGCCCCGAGCTTACTGGCTGTGGCCCGACAAGGAGATCCTTTCATCCCAAGTCGTCCTCATTGAGCCCTCCGACGTCGAGTTTAAGCGCATCCAAGACAAGATCGAAGCTGCCTCGGGCGACGACTACGACATGGAGATTGTCAACTACCTCTACCGCGACAGCGCCCTCGTTCTACCCCACCGCCGCTATGATCTGCTCACGGGAGAATTCCGCGGCGACAACCACTCAAAGTACCTCGGCTCCGACGTCGAGGTTTGGGATCCAGCTGCTGCCTATAGTGAGGCCAAGCTCGTCCACTTTTCCGACTGGCCATTGCCAAAGCCTTGGCTTCCCACGCCGGAAGACATTCGCATCAAGATACAACCCGACTGCAAGAACACGACAGAGGGCCTTGAGGACTGTACGGCGAGGATAATATGGAATTCCTTCTACACTGACTTTAAAACGAAGCGAGAGGTAACGTTCTCTGATAATTACAGTCTGTCTCGAGTCTAACACAGGCACAGGAAGTATGCGGTGATGGTGATGCTAAGCCGAGCCAGGCAGCAAGATAAAGGCTATCACACCCATGAAGCGCATTTTTGTTTTTCTGGTTTATGTGGCATTTGATCATATATATCATGAAGTGTACGAACACACACGTATAGAATGGATATGAAGGGCACTCGTTCATCTTACTCATGTTACAACTCAGGGATTTGGGGTTTTAATGAATTTCAGCGATTACATCATAGCGGGCACAAGAGGCTCGACAAGGGATAGGATCAGAGCAGCTCAAGATAGAAAAGACTGCAAAAGCGATTACATCATTATTATGAGGCTCCGTTTATACCAAGCTGCCGTGAATTGACAGTCGCGAAAGCAAACAGGACGCCACACAGCCGCCATGCGGCACCGCCCGTCACCCGCGCTTGTTTTTACAATGTGTGCACGCGCCTGTAAGCTTGTCAAAGCGTTGAACTTCCTATCTGGTCCAGTCCCGCTCTGACATTGGTCAGCTTTCTGACAGCCACTTCTGACCACTATTGTTGCTGTAACTATAACGCCACGGTTTTCTGACAGGACAGTCTGACAGTTGAGTGGGCTTTCTGACAAGACCTGTTGATGGACTTGTCACTCTATGCCCCAAGGTCGAGAATTATGGCATTCGGTTGACGAATCTACCAGATGGTCGTTTCTCCCTCTAGAGTATATAAGCAGCTAGATCAGCTTCAATTTCTAGCAACACAATCCTCTTCACAAATAAAACAACAAAGAGTTTCAAATAATCAACAATGGCTTTTAGCAAAGGGTACCGCGCTACCGTCTTTGCCAAGAGAAAGGAGGGCGTGAGCCAGGAAGAGTTCTCTCGTCGCTTCGCTCGTCATGGAACGTTGGCCGGCCCAGTAATCAAGAAGCACAACGGAATAGCCTATATTCAGGTATTTCCAGTGTCCTTCAGACAACTTGTCTTTTTTCTGACTTTTCACCGCAGCACCACGTGTTTGACGCCTATGCCGAGGAATTCAAAGAAAAAATTGGACCGGAGATGGCTCCGTTCTTCAATTTTGCCCAGGCCGATGGGATCAACACCCTCATCTTCCCGACTATGGATGATCTCGTCGGCTTCTTCAAGGACCCGGCACATGAAGAAACTCTGAATGCTGATGTCGCCGAGTTTGCTGATCCAACAACTGTCACCTTCGCGGTTGGAGATGAGAATGTGGTTATCGAGGATGGAAAGTTGCTTGTCTAGATCATTGACCCGCGACTCTTGAGGCTGCGAGAATGGCCTTAATAGCCAAATATTATCGTACTTGGAGGGAAACAATAACAATCACGGACTTCGACTTGTAAAAGTGCCTTGAGCCTACCTATGAACGAGCTTTGCTTTAACGTGATCGCATCAGCACTAACAATAGCATAGGGAGATTTGTCAGCGCCCTTACAGCATCATGCTACAAACGTTAAGTTACCTCGACTCTCTTCAAACACGATGAAAACAGCCTCCACCTCATCCAAGGATGGTTAAAGATGACTGAAAAGTGGCAGCCATATATCCTGGGGGCTGAAGATGACTGGTCCGATGTCAGAGACAGCGACCAACGTAAGAGGATCCAGAACAGACTTGCGCAGAGGGCTCGCAGTAAGTCAGCCTTTGACTCGTGCTGGTTGTCTAAGCAGATACTAAATAGTTCCTGACACTAGGAGCCAACCTAAAAGCAAGACGAAACAAGACCAGTTCGATATTAGGCGAAGCTGCCCGGGTTGAAACACAAACTGAGACGCCCGAGGCGCGTGATGGCGTAGTGGCGGCGGACAACGACGTTGAAGATCTTTTTGAAATGCCTGGATTGGAAAGTCAGGAAATCGAATCACTTGCCGTTGCATTGGATCCCCCAACATCAATTCCCGATACGCAGCGCGACAACATACAGCCTAGCCTTGACGCTCAGTTCCTCCTCCTTACGTCACTCACTACCGTCGCAGCATTGTCCTCAAATGCCACTCTTCTTCAGATCCCATGCGAAGTGCCAAGCACTGATACCTTCAACCCATCACAAACATCTCTTCCTTCCACTCTAATGCCCACTGAACTACAAAAAACCATCCCTCATCTCCCTTTTGTCGATGTCATCCCCTTTCCAGGAGTCCGAGACCGCCTTCTCCGTTCTCTGGCCGTAATAGATTTGGAAAAACTGACCATCGATCTCACGAGTGGAGCTTTCAAGGTCTGGGGCTCTGTATCATGGGATGGGACGAGTTGGGAGGTTTCTGAGGAGTTCGCCAAGAAGTGGTGGTTCTTGATTGACGGGGAACTGCTTCGGGCAACAAACTTTTGGCGTCGGCAGAGGCTGGAGCCAAGCATCTCAGCCAGCGATATTCTGCTTGAGGTATAATCTGGCGGAATCAATGGGGATTCTGTTGGTCATGATTATCAAACATGACTCTTGCATAGAGCGTTGTGTGCATTGTGGTTACGTGATAATTAGAACAAAGCATCGAAATGATTTCAACAAAGGTGGGCTTTCTGCTGCCTAAGAAAACCTTTACGTCGATCACAACTCGCAGGCCTATACTATACGAGCTGATATATGCTGGCTGAAAACTGAAAGGCTCTTTCTCATTAATATTGAAGTCCTAGAGCTCCTCAGCAGGATCCTTTCAGCTGAAAGCCACGCATGTTCTAGATCTCAGGGAGATTCTTCCTCCTTCAAGTGCAGTGAAGCCCGTCTACAACCCTGTGGGTGCCTCCCAACGCCGAAATTGGACCGTTGAAGATTTTTCAAAGGATCATAACCGCTCTGCGACGGTTCCTTTGACAGTGAAACGCGAGAATCTCCGATGGTCGTTACACTGACAATGCCACTCTTATACCCCATATACTCCATCCCTACCATGGACAACAAATTCCCATTGGATATTTCTCGACTTTCGAAGAGGCTGGAGAGCTTGATACGAGCGGCGATTCATGTGCCCCTGGAGGTGAGACGGAGAAGGAAACTTTGAACGGAGATGACGGCTGGAGGTTGTCAGGGATGGGTTGCAATGTGTGGGGGAGAATGGAAAGATCAGCGGCCCAACGGTTGGCCTTGGCAAGGCAGTAGCAATTCCGGTTTGATCGGCCCCAAACAAGGGAAACTCGACGAGAAATTGAGGCGAATACTTGTCGGCCGTCACAAAGGGGGTTGAGGGTTTCAATTAACTGTCAAATCCATCACGTGGCGGCTGTGTGTTTGAGGAAAACGCGGCCATCATCCCGCAGCCTACCGAACTTTAATATCCAAGATTGAAATCCGACGAGGTTGGTTTTTGCCGTCTTGGTGTGTTGGGATTCATATGGACAAGCCATCTTGTCAAGACTCACCTTTAAGGTTCAACTTATTGCTAATATTTCATCACATTCAGCCATTAGACACAAGGATTCCCTTGCTCCTGGAGACTTTACTCCTTACCGGGTCACAGCAAGTAATATACTTTTACCCATGGGGAACCCCGATCCTTCAGACCCCTGAGTCTAGACTCGGAAGTTCGGACTGCTGACGTGCCTTTGCTATGTGTCAAGACTTTGTCACGTTAATAGCTCGTGCCTGGTTTTTTCATCGATCCTGTTTGAGACGCATGGCGACACTAGCTCGGTAGCGCTTTGACTTTCAGGGCCGCCACGGGACGGCAAGGCTTTAGTTAATGGAGTCGTTAACAAGCCACCAACACATCCTTCAGGCTGTTTGGTCTAGAACTCAGCTGGGCGGCGGGCAGAGGTCCGCAAATAAACACGGGAAGCCCGAGACATTTTCAGAATATTTCGAGTACCTATTCTCTGTTGCAGAACGGTACTCGGCAAAGTACCCCGCGAATAGCTCCGTTTCGACTTGGACGATCTTGCTACTCTCTGTTGGGACATTGTCGTCGGCAGTTGCTAAGGGTATCAGTCGGTTAGCCAAGTGTTGAAGTCTAAAAAGAGGAGCGTAGGGAAGTGGAAATCGGGCCATTTCGGTTTGCTCATGACTCGAGTCAAGACACTTCGGGCAATGCATCCGCTGTACCCGGACCTATGTCATCTGCGGGATCTATCCGTACCCACAACGGTGATCTAGATTGCGATCGTGGAGGCCCTGACTTGTCATCGGGGAGCGCGTCTTCAGCGGTATCGATCCTTGGCCGTGGTTTGAGGCTAGTGGTAGTTTGCATAGGGCATGGTGCTCAAGCTCTGGTTCGCCGTGTCGGGTTTGTGTTGTGTCCAGGGGTTGATGCAGACGTACATTAAAAAAGAAAGGGTCTTGGCTGTTCGATCTGGGGAACCGGTTTTCTTTGTTTCTTTTTTTTTTTTTTTTGTGCCAAAGTTATTGTTCCTTTGTTCGTCGACAATCATGCCTGTCTTTGAAGATAGACCGTCGGTATATCACCCGCTCTTCCGCTCTGATAAACTTTGACTAATCAATTTAGTTCCTCTACGAGATTTGGGCTCTTTATGGTGTTGGGACGGCCATTCTCCTTACTCGATTCGCCGTGCGGTTCAAGACGGTCGGATGGCGTGGGTTCCAGGGCGATGACTTCTTTTCAGTGCTAGTTTTGATATTTTTTGCAATGGATGGATTCACCGTCCATCTGATATGTACTCTTCAGTCACTTCCTTTGATGTTGGTGCGGCATTGACTGATCTTTGGCTCAGATTACCTGGGAACAAACCTCGAAGCGAGCTTCTACGCAAAAACCCACAGTCAGTTTTTCATGACCACTCTCATACACGACGACGGCTCACATCTCGAAAGCATTAACCGATTCCATCATAAAAGATTGTGTCAAGGGTTCAAAGCTGGAATTTGTCGCCTGGTATTCCTACACTGCTCTCATCTGGTCGCTCAAGGGAACCATGCTCTTCTTCTTTTCTCGAATCACCATCGGAACTTGGCATAGTATTCTTGTCAAGACGGCATCCGTCTGTTGCGCCGTCTCCTACTTGGCCGTTTTCTTTACGGTATGAGGCCTGTCATGTGTTGTTAGACATGACTGACTGAATTCCAGGTCACGTTTGGATGCTTTCCAACACGCAAGAACTGGCAGTAAGTTTGGTGGTTCTAATGTCCCGAATTAGTCAACTAACCTTGCTTCGTAGGGTTGTTCCTGACCCCGGAGGTTTGTTGAGCCCTAGCCAGACAGTTACAGCATATTGACCATGAGAATTAGAGAAGTGCACATTCCGGAGGCAGAACCTTGTGGTGACTACAGTACTCAATGTCTTGTTCGTCTCTTCTTTGTTAATTATACCCAGAACAGAATCTAACTATGGTCAGGACCGACTCTATGATTCTGGGTATCCCACTGCCACTGCTGTGGAAGCTTCAAATCCCCCTTCGCAGGCAAGCCAGACACTGCCATGAACTCACAGTCATACTTACCAATATCTTTCCAGAAAACTCGTCATTGGTCTCCTTCTATCCTCCGGTCTCTTCGTCATCTCCGCCGCCATCATCCGTGCAACCCTGACACTCTCAGCCCACCCATCCGCACTGGCTGTGAACGAATGGGGCGTCCGCGAAACACTCGTCGGCATCATCACTGTCAACATTCCCATCCTACGACCCATGTTCAAGCGCTCATTCTGGTCTTGGCAAAACAACACAAACATCAGTTCCTCCTTCCGAACAACGACAGGAGCTGGCAAGTCGACAGACATCACAGGGCCGTACGAACTCACGCCGAGTATCGCCGAGGGATCTAAGCCAAGCGACCGCGGAAGTCAAGAATCCATCTTCAAAAAGGATAGTGTTAGAATGGCGGCGGTTGTGGTCAAGACGACCTACGATGTCACTCATGGAACAGCCATTGATGAGGATGAATCGTGGTATGGCGAACGAAGAGGGCAAACACAGGCATCAGTACAGGTGGAATCGCGCGTTTGATGACCGCATAGGGTATAACTAATTGTTCTTTTTGGGTATGTTCTGTTCTGTTCACTGTTTAAGGCCCGTTTGGACGTTTGAAGGCGTTTACACATTGTTCCCCATTAATGCTCGTATTGAATAAAACAATATAAGAGTACCCGACGTATAAATTCAGTCGCCGTTCAGCAGCCATTTTCATCCTTCACGCATCCAGCAGGATTGAGAACCTGAACCTTGCTTCCTACATCTTGACCCTCACTAACCTCACAGCACCCCGACCCCATCCTTTCTACCAATCGGTAGGCTGAAGCTAATCATGCCCATTCTTAGGTCTGGTTGTGCGTACGACAACGGTTGGGATTACGGCGTCTATTCTACTGACGCCGGTACCACCGGTGACGGCCCCCCAGCGAAGCCCAAAGACCCCAAAGCTCCCGTGCAAGAATACTTCTGGCCTGTCCTCCGAAAGCACGGCCTTGGCCAAGCCGAACCCGGTGAACGTCCCGTCAAGTGCGCCTGTCCCATCTGCTACGACCACATCAGCATGGCCGGCCTCTCGACCCCGGAAGAAGGAGGCAAGCAAGGCCTCATCGCTCCCTGTGGCCATGTGATGTGTCCCGACTGTTGGCCCAAGCGGGAATAGGATCCCGAGACCTACGAGTTCACTGAACGCAAGTGCCCGGTGTGTCGTCTTCTGCTCCAGTGCTACTCGTGCACCCACACGGTTATGAAGGAGCCCATCCCCGACGCCACCTGTGATGTCGAAGAGCTCGAATGCGTCCCCAACTCCATGACGGAGACTTCTGTGCCGTACCAGGCCATCTGTGTCGAGTGCTGCTTCACTTTTGACGAAATCTTGAAGTACTATGAGCCTGGTGAATCCATCGGCTGGTGGTTCAAGCCCCGCGCCCCCGGTGAAGAACGAGCTTGATGTGTCCGACGTTCTTGTGACAGATGTAAGTGACGACTAGATGTTTATGTGATTGCGTTTTACTGATTGGTGACAGTGGGTGTTAATTACACGACCATAGACCCAGAGACAGAAAGAATTCGATTCCATAGGTATGTAGTGATGTTTTCGCTTGGAGTGATGGAACTGACCAGGATAGGTAGATGGACTAGAGGAACAAGGTTTTATTGGCAGACACAGAGTGGCGAAAGTAATGAAATAGAGTAACGCAAGAGATACTCGATTCACTTCTTATGCACATCATCTATCAATATCGCTCAAGAACGGGTTTGTTGGTGATAGCGTCCCCATATGCGTCCATTAAGCCGAATCACCCACGATGCAGGTACCCAGGGCCACAACCAACAACTCCATCGGGCCCTTGTCCAGCCAATCACGGCACTACTGTGTTCCACCTCCCCGTCCACCGACCACTCAGCGTCTAATTGCTGCTTTAAATAACCTTAGAACCAACAGAGGCAATGCAGAGAGGACCAACAGATGGAACATAAGTACGTCTCATAAAGAGGCAATTCCCCGTGCGTTGCAGCCGGAACGTTCGATTTCGGGGAACTTTTTCTTTGTTGGTTCTTGTCGTTATCTACCCCGAATCAGTTCCACTCAGGTATAAGACGCTCCAGCTCTGCTTCCTTTTTTTTTCTCCGATCCAACCATGTTTCCTTTGTACAGCGGTTCATCCAAAATGTCGCCTTTGTTAACAAAGAGATTGTTTTTGTACGCTCTGCTGGCAGGCGTCGCCACAATCCTCATGTTGGTTGGCCACTACGCCTACAACAACTCACTACACTGTAAGTCCCAGACGTTCTCGCCAAGCGAACTCGGAGCTAACCTGTAATTTAGCAAATACCTCTTCCCGGTCAATCTTGACGTCCCAGTCCGAGCAGAAAGAACAGCCATTCCCCAACAAGATCTGGCAGAGCTGGAAGGACGACTCCGAAGACCCTACAGAGCGGACCGTTGGCTTCCCCCATCAATGGCGTGCCGTCAACCCAGATTGGCGATACGAACGAGTCATCGACGCCAACAGCGACACATACGTCCGAGATAACTTTGACGAGCCCATCTCGGAGGTGTTCACACGTCTTGAGGACCCAATCCTGAAGGCCGACTTCCTGCGGTACTTGATCCTCTTGCGTGAAGGTGGCGTCTGGGCCGATATAGACGTCCTTCCCCTTCAACCCGTCTCGAAATGGGTTCCAGAAGAGTACCAGGGCAAGGTGAATCTGGTCATTGGCATTGAGAATGATCACCACAAAAAGCCCATTTGGCCTGGCTCTCCATACTCCGTTCAGCTCTGCCAGTACACAGTATTGGCTAAGCCAAATCATCCAGCCCTCAGAAACATTGTCAAACAAGTGACTCAAGACCTTGACGAACTTCTTACCTCCAAGAACCCAGGGGAGTCAGTCACCTTTGAGGAAGTCATGTCCACCACCGGACCTTTCGCATTCACCAAGGCCATGATGGACTACTTCAACGAGATGACAGGCGAGGAGCACACTGGCAATGAGCTTGACAGGCTTAAAGAGCCACGATTAATTGGTGATGTGTTGGTTCTGCCCAAGGATAGCTTTGGGTGGCTGTCGCATGAGAATACTCATGAGGAGGGAGACCCCAGTATTCTTGTACAGCATCTATTTATGGGATCGTGGCGAGGTAGCCACCCTGGCTGAGGGGGCAGGGCTTTCAATTGCATGGAACATGGCGTTAGAGTAAACTCATCGGTCTTAGAGGGTTAATACAATGCGATCTAATTATTCACTTGCTTGTTGGTCGTCATCGCACTCTGAAATACCGCGTGAAATGGTGAGTGATAGCTCGAACAGCCACCAGCACCAGCTTCAATGAATGCGTAATTATGGGCTCATTATTCATTAATAAATACAAACTCTTCTCAATCGCTTTTCCCTATATCATTCCGCCTTCGACAGTGTGAACTACAGAGTGCTTATTCGCCCCACCATATGAGATGTCGCTATCAGACCTCATGTTCTCATACTTGACCGTGGGCGACGTCAACCCCTCCACCGCGAGCGCATATCTCCCAGTTCCAGTCTCCCCATACCTTACATGGATTTTTCCAAGCTTCTCACTATCCGTAGTGAAGCCGACTCTTCCAAGAGTTCCACCACCCTCTGACGCGGCAATCATGACGTGGCGGATGTCTGAAGGATCAAACTCGGGGAGATCCTTCCAGCCTCTTGTTCGGAGAGCTTCCAGGAGAAACAAGCAGGCAACAACCATGTTCAGGGCAAAGGCCGCGATCGTGAATCTCTTTTCTCCGATGGCGACTGCGGTGACGCGGACTGTTCCTTTCACGTCGTCTTTGAAGTTTCCAACCATGAGCTGGGCGGAAGCGTAGGCAGCCAGCATGTCATCCACCATGGATATGATTGCGTTTTCGATGCCCCGGAGGTTAATTTCGTCGTCTGATACTGACTTGGTGCCGTTCATCTCAAGACTTAGGAGATGGCCTGTAATCGAATTGTTGAACGCCGAACCAACGGTAGAAACGTATAGGTTCGTTTCGTCGTTGGCAATTAGTTCAAACTGCCGTAGTAAGACTCCTTTGAGCCAGCGAGATGGGTCAATGTCAGGAACATCAGTGTCGTTGGTCCGCTCGACGGTGATGTTCTTGCCCAGGTTGTTGACCGTCACGTTGAACCTCGTCGGTTCAAAGTCAACCTCGCACTGCGCCTGGTCGAGGAACTTGTACCAGAATCCGCCAGCAAAGGAGATGTACCTCCTCAAAGGCGCAACCGTGGCATTGTGGTCTTTAAAGTGCGCGACGCCGATGGCCAGGACGTTGTTGCCATCTCCATAGCCGATGTAGTTGGAGTACTCCGGGCCGTCGTCGCTATCCGGCATTTCCCCTTCCGCCGCAAAGAGGAGGTTGGCTTTTGAGTTGAGCACAAAGTCTGCCGATTTGTTGTAGATGCAGTTGACTTTGGCAGCGTAGCCCAACTCTTGATACTTCCACCCGAGCAGGTCGCGCCCTTCTTTGAAGTTGACCTTGCCCAGGCCTACAGAGGAGCCAATCCCGTAGGATCGTCCGATGTAGGTGTAACCGGTGCTATCGAGCTTTTCGTGGATGCGAGAAGAGTTGTGGATTGGAGAAGCAGTTGCTGCACCGGCGAGCAGACTGCCCAGCAGCTGCATTCCCACAGAGTAGGAGAACTTTCCAAGAGCTGTATGCTTGGTCGGTCCTGCAGATCCAACTTGTGACGGGTATTCTTTTACAAAGGTCATGTTGCTCCAACTGGGAATCTGGATGCTGCCGCTGATACTCTCGTCGGTCTCGACTGGTGTCATTGCAGCAGCCCAGATGGCACTGAAGACCATTGAGACGGACACAAAGAGACCAAGTAGTGCGATGTAGCCGATAGGCAGATCCCAATTGATGCGCGGAATCATGGCGTCCTTCCATGCTCGCAGCTGATCAAGACTCATGCTATGCGTCTTGAGTCGTCTCCGAACGCTGAGGTTGATGATCCGGCAGATGACGATAACTTGAAGGACGGATAGCATATTGGCGAGAATCTGGACCGCAAACTGAACAGACGGGCGGTTCACCGTCACGAAGTCGAGGAACGACCCCGAAAAGAGGGTATCGTTAAGAGAGAGACATAGCAGCGCCGTGCACACCGGAGTAGTAACAATAAGTGCAATAAAGGTGTTGTAATCAGATGCGAAAAAGGCAACCAAGCCGTTTGGCTTCCGCTCAGCGTTGGCCATGGTGAATGAATGGCTACCAAGCTAAGCCCGGCGCAGGAGTTGATCGCAGAAGGATGCAGTTGAAGAGGATCGATCGGACAGGAATCAACGAACGGGTGGGAAGGCAGGAAGATCGGCGTTAAAGAAAGGGTAAAATCCTCCCGTTCCGCACACCCTCTTGAAGAGAGGACTGTTGGTTGAGAACAACACTTTCTGCCTTGATAGAGAGACTGAAACGTGCTTGGTGGGAGTGGTTGTGGATTCCATCGTGGCAGCACCTCTAACCGCCGAGCCACAGTGGGAACCTGCAACACCAAATCGGATCGCTTCAATGATCTGCATCTGGACGGCGCAGACGCCAAGAGCAGGGTTCCCCGGCGCTTAGTGAAACTGGGTCCATCGAAGCAGATCATCACGACAGAGCTGAGCTGAGCTGTTTACGGAGGCAGCTTTCGAAAGTTTGATCCTGGAGCCATTTGCGCCATGGCCATTCATCCCTATCAGTGCCTAAAAAGAAAAAGAAAAGAAAAAAACCTATCTCCTGGAACGAGGCGGGCGAACCCTAGGGGTAATACAGAGGCTTCAGAAGCAAGGAAAGATGACCAGAAGCATCAAAGTGCCGTGCCTTTTCTCGCCTCTTCTTTCTTATTGGCTGATCTCGTAAGGTGGCTGATTGGCCAAAGCAAAGCTTTTAAAGGTTGCCTTATCTTGACAGGGTATACCATGATACGGGATTTTGAGAATACGGTAGTTGTTCCAGGTCGAGCAAACTGGTCAACAAGCCTAAGTCCCTGACTTCACCAATACAGATAACACATCTTCTTGGCTTGGCTGTCAATTCTGCCTTTCACATGCACGGAAACACTGTCGGAGTTTGCTTGTAGCCCGGGCAGTGCCATGCGAATGGGCCATGATCCCAGAGTGTCAGCCGTCAAGATGCTTGCTCCTCCTTCAATCTACCGATAGCATCGGCAGCACTTATTAATTGATGGTGTTACAAGTGTCTGAGTACGTCTTTCTCCCCTGTTCTCTGGTTGGGCTCGTTTTCTCGAAGCACTATCGCTCCCACACCTCTGTGGCGTCATTTCCCTTGTTCAATTTCAGTTTCAAGAGTTGTCTCGTTCCCCTGTCGACACAAAGATGCTCTACGGGCCTCTCAATTGTAACCATCGGCTCGAGAAACTCCGTATTAATTTTGTGTGTGCTCAAAAGAGACAGCAGAGAGCTGTGCTGCGGGGTGAGCTGAAACATTCCCTGGCATGATGGCCGTGCTGTGCGACTATCGTGTCAGTTTAACTAAACCTTCGGTTGTTTTGTATTAAGCTTAAGTTTCTGTTCAAGTCCCTTGAATCTAATTGTCTGCCCTATCAAAAGCGTGTAAAAACGCTGAACCTTATTCGAACAGGTGCTCGTTGTCCAAGAGCTAAGTTGCAACGCCCATATCGCATACAAACTACATATGGCAATTCTTTTCGCTCGGAACTCTTTACGGAGAGGAAGCGACGTGTGCAAGATTTACTCCCATGCTGCTATCCAAATTCGCTTGTCTCGAGGCATCAATGTTGAATCGAGCCACGTTAGTGACCCTCTCACGAGGCGTCCATGTGAGAAGGTGTCGCTACAAGGCGTTGGACATAGCTCCAATACTATCTATGTAGAATTGGATAAATACGAAAAGTCTCCAAAGTCTCGCTTTGAAGTCTTGGTCGAGTTCCGTTGTCTAACGACGACCTCGTGGTCACAAGAAGCGCAGAGGGTGCTACCCTACAGACATGGTCGTCGACGCTTCTGGGTCATAAAGTAGAGGAATTTGGCCCCTTTTTTTGTAGTAAATGAACGGTACTTAGATCCTGGATGTGTTTTAAAAGAGCCACTCCCATTTGTACTTGTTGAAGGTTATAATGAATTTGCCCACTCCTTGAGTGTTCTGTTCAACGGAACACCTACTTATGCTGCGACACTGTTTTAAAAGCGTTCAACAGCAGTGCCATGCTCCCACAAGAGTATGACTACTGAGAGCTCTATAGAGTATTGGGTTGCCTCGCGTATTTTCACAGAGATGAAGCGCAGTGACAAGCCGACGAGCCCTTAACGTCAGCCGGAAGCCCTCTGTGACGGAATTCGCAAGAAATGTAGACTCTGAGTCACCTCGACACAGAGGTGATGCTGCAAAGCGATCATCGCAAGGGATACTCTTTTCGGAGTAGAATTGCCAAGGATTACAGTAAATAAAGATGTTGGGGGCCGTTGGAGCCTAATCTGTCGTTTTATCCAGGAATATGAGAGGAGCTCCGATGGAGACATGAGCCAACGCAATGGTTGTCCCCATTCAACCCACGCAAATGGCCTCACATTTCTCGGGTTTAGAGACGAGAAACTCGGCTAGTCCCACAAAATCCCAGCTGGACGGCCGAGATGCAGGCCTCCCTACCTCCGTCCTTGCAGCTTGATGGGTCTAGATTCTGACCCCGGCTATTCCTGGGGCCGCTGATGCTGATCACTTGGAAGAACATGAGAACCGAGCGCGGCCATGGCAAGTCAGCGATTCCGGTGGAATTTTACTCTAGAAGGAGGTTTTGTGTTGCCATGTTGGGGAGTTTCGTTTGGGAAACTCGTTGATGAAGGTGAAGCGGTGTAAGTGGTAATGAGGTAGAACCAGGCGTTCATACTAAGAGACACGAAGGCATCCAAGCCGGTACGCCTTCGTCTGTTACTTCTCACTTAGAAGAGTATTATCAATCTACTGTCCCCATGTGCTTGACAACAGACAAGTGTGGACGCGCAAGCCCCCAGCAGCAGAGCCGGCGTTAAGATGCCATCCCGCGCCAAGCGCCGAAACTCGCGCCCCGAAGCCCATGTCAACTATTACTCCAGTTCTTCTCATATGAATCTTTGACAAATGCCGGTCAAAGAAGCGGCGAATGTGTGGTTGCCGCGCCCATGTTATCGGGCCACTCGTAGCCGCCGACGATTTAAGCGCGCAAAAAAACGCGATGCCATCTTTCGCCTGCATTAGCTTGCATTTTGAGCAAAAAGAAAGAGAGTGGCTGGAAGATCCCGTGGCAAGGGCTTCGGGGCGCTTGATGAAACTTGGGACGGACCGGGGGAGAGAGCTTAGAAGTCGGGGCCGACGGTCGGCGGAGATGGCAAGGCAGATTGTTTCTCACGATAACATCACAAGTGACCCTATTCATAACTTCAGAGAATCGCCAAGAGTCAATTATGAAGACGGATTCCGGTGGCCTTTTTATTCTTGCTTTATTAGGATGAGAAAAGTTGTAGTGTTTGAGTTGGAGTTTGACAATGTCAACAAAGGGCGACAGTTACAGGCCTTGAATCCTTTGTTGGCTCTATCAACAGGTGCATGCATGCCCTCTTAACACGTCATTAATCCCAGGGACCGTGCAATATGTGGGTGGGAACAGAATCCTTCAGCCCTAGTAGGCTTCCATAGGAACGGTCTATTCGTGTGTCCCTCTGCAGACTCCATTTGCGAGGCGATGCCGTCGTTGCCTGCCATGGGGAGAGCCTCTGCCCGCCATCGTGTAGTTATACTCGAGTATTTACCCTTTATCTGTCGCCTTTAATCTCGTTTGTCTTTCTCTTTTGGTATAGATTTCCTACATTCGCCAATTTTGCTTCATTCGTTTTGTTTACTTGATGCTAGTCATCAAGGCGTTAACAGACGCCATGTTTTCTTCGCTTATTTCTTTCCCTTCCCTTCTCCTTTTTACAATACTCATTTTTGCCTCTGTTTCCTCCACGCAAGATGCCTGTCTTCTTCACCCCATATCTCTGCCGATCGAGAATGTTACCTTGGCCTCTGGCTATATCCGGCGTGGCGTTAATCTCAAGGTTGGCGAGCCAGGACAATCACTTTCCTTCATACCTAGATGGTGAAGATGTTTCCAGTGTTGAGTTTAAACCACAATGCCACTAACTCTGTGCAAGGGCCAACAATAACACCTTCGTATACGGGCCTTCGTGTTTAAAGACCGATTTCTTAGACGCAGAATGTGTCACATACCGCGGAGGGCTATACCTACCCAAGAACTCGACTGTTGACAGAACCACGAGTAAGGAATACACACCTGTGGCGGAGTCTTGGGACAGAAGCACATACAACATGTTCAACAGTACCCTGTATTTGGGTGATGAGCTCACCCTGAAGAGTTTCCCCATGGCACAACCAGTTGCCTCTGAGGACACTTGGGGCTTGTACGGCGCCAGCCCGCAGCACATCCTCGGGGTGGGAACAGAGTCTACAGTCTTGAGCGCCTTACACAACGCCGGCCGCATTGCCTCGAGATCTGTTGGTTATTACTGGGGCATGGACTCAGTCGGCTCCAAGGATGACACTCCGGGATCCTTGGTGTTTGGGGGTTACGACAGAGCCAAGACTTATGGAGATGGCGATGAGATGGACTTTACACTTGGGAAGGACAGTTGTCGGAGTAAGATGATGGTTTCAATCAGCGGCCTCTCCCTAAACCTCCGCAACGGCACCGACGTGTCGCTATTCGCTTCGAGCAACCAGCAAAAGCCGCTACGGGCATGCATAGTCCCTCAGAACCCATACATCATGAGCCTCAAACGGGAACCATACTTTGACAAACTTCTGGATGCCATCGGAAGCAAGTTTGTGAATGCTAGTAAGATGCAAGGGGTTGACTATCAGAGCGCTCTGCTCGATCCTGAAATGCCATGGTGAGTGATCCTGATGGTGAGGGGCAACATGAGCAACACTGACTTGTCAATTTAGGTATGATGGAGACTTCACGATCAAGTTGAACACGGGTCTATCCATTACCATCCCAAACAACCAGCTAATTGTCCCGGAACGAAGGATCAACGAGAACGGAGAGATCTACCGGAATGACTCGCAGCCCCTTCTTAGAATCAACGGGATGCAGGATGGACTCCTCTCCATCGGCCGATTCTTCTTCACTGCTGCTTATCTCGCCACCAATCAAGATGCCGGCAAGTTTACGATCTGGAAGGCCAACCCGAGCACCGATCAAGATCTGGTGGCGCTGGACCCGAACAACAAGCCCATCGACAGTCGGGTTACCTGCACGGCGACCCCCATCAGCACGGTCTTGGCCAAGCCAGACCAAGGCGATGGCAACGATAATAACAACGAAGATGAGGAGAATGACCGGAACGAAACGGACAAGGTCAGCGAAACGACAACGACTCCGGCGACAACTTCGACAGCAGCTTCGACAGCAACTTCGACACCCAAGCCAGACACAGGTCTTCCGATAGAGGCCCAAGCCGGCATCGCCGCTGGCGCTGGAGCTGCGGGACTCATATGCATCGGTCTCTTGGCCTGGCTGATCATACGAAGAAAGCGAAGAGCGATGGGAGAATCAGATGCCATGAGCTTGGCGTCGATACAGACAGGCTGGTCTAGATCTGGCGACATGAAGATGGCCTATCCAAGCCAAGGATATCCTCACTTTATCCCACAAGAGATGGGAACATTCAATGAACGCCGACCCCCGGTCGAGATGCCGTGATGAAAGAGAATGAATTGCATAGCTATGGAGTTGTTTGCTTTTATTTATGTTTGATGAGATCATGTGAACTGGCGAGCGTATTTGTTTTAAGGCAGGAGAAAAGCGCTTTCATTAATATGGTTCTATTTTCTGAGCAGATTTTCGATAAATTGAGCGAATTTATTTGTTTTGCATCCATCTACAGCTTCGACTTGGGCTTGGTGACAACTCCGACACACTTGATCTCAATGTTCGCGTTGAGGGGCAGAGTCTTCACGGCAACACATCTGTCGAGAGTCAGCATTTATGAGAGACATTTGTCGGTGGACAACTCACGTTCGGGCAGGCTTAATATCGCCCCAGTAGTTCTGGTACACCTCGTTCATCTTGGCGTAGTACTTGAGGTCCGACAGGAAGATGTTGACTTCGACAACATCGTTGATGCTAGAGCCGGCCTCCTCCAGAATAGCGCCGAGGTTGCGGATGATTTGATGCTATAAAGTCATGAGCCTATCATTCATACTACGGTTGATGAGTGGCCTTACTGTGTGCGCCTCAATATCGCCGTCAATGATCTTGCCAGTCTGAGGATCCATGGCGAGAGCGCCCGAAGTGAAGACGAAGCCATTGGCGATGATGGCCTGGTTCATGAGATTGGCCGCCGCTGCCGGGGCCTTCTTGGAGGAAACAGGAGTTCGAGACATATTGAAAACGATGTTTGGCTGTCAATTGATGCGTGAGAGTTGACAGAAATGGATTACCAACATGGAGGTGAAGCCGGGCGCGATGCGGGGAGCCAGATCTAAACACCGAAAGTCCCACGGGTACCCGATTGGAACCGACCGAGTATCTCAACCACCAGCGGAAATAGGCTTCTTAATTCCAATTTCGGGTCTAATTATTATATCGCTGAGTAATTGAGATTAAGCCACGGATTAGAGTGTCTACTACCAAATTCATGGGACAATGGCCTTGGATCTCATCTTCCTAATTGGGTATTAACGGTGGCCGAGGCCCATGGTAGGCCGAGATCGGGGCACTTCAAGATAAGGCAAACATGCCTTCTTAAAGGAAGAAGCCCGTGTTTCATCAATATAAAAGCACAAAGGTTTGATATTCACGAGATATTTGGTTTAAAATGGCGTTATCTGTGTGATCGTTCCAGGTCACTCAGGATCCTGGCGGCGCGACGTACACCCACCAACACATCCATCTTTCCCAACCCCTGACAAAAGGCACAGGAAAGAAAAGTCACGTTTCTCATCTAACCGCCGTGCTCGACCCGAATATCTGGTAAAAGTAAACACGCTCACAGCGAGACCCAGCCCTACTCTCGGTCCTCGCTTCCATGGCAAGATCCCATTGGTCAGGTATTGGCACGTTGGTTGTCATTCTTGAGCCGTGACAGGTTTTTAGTTTCATCCAGACTTTCGGAAACCACTTAGAATCCGTTGGCAGGGCGGTTTGACCCAAGGCCCGCAAATACTGGGCGTCAAGCATCGGGATTGATCAGCCCTGCGACGCGGTCAGCTTCGTCTAGAGGCAACACCATGAATATCATCGCCAGCCCGACGTGGCAGCCCAGAGCATGAGTTGATTGGGCTCTATTTGCGTCCTTGAGTGTTTCGCTTCTGAATTATTGGCACTAAGGGGTCTGCGACTGACCCAACACCGGTGGTTGTTGTTGTAGGCGCCCATCTGTATAAGAAGCGGTGACCAGTATGCCATTTCTTGAGATGCCAGACATTCTCTTCATTCAAGAAGTCAAGCCTTTTATCTGCATCGAAAAAGCCCAAGACTGATCGAGATGCTGTCAACTTTCCTCCTCCTGCTCCTGGCCACCACAAGCCTGGCTATGCCTCAGCCAACTGCTCAGCCAACTCCTCAACCAACGCCTGAGCTGTTGAAGCGGGTAAGTTGCATGGCCACTCGTGCCATGCTCCTCTAACTAACGACACTGTTGTAGAACGCGACTACCAACTCCACAAGACATGATTGCTTGCGAAATTGCACATCGCAGTGCGGCCATGGTGGTGTTTGTGATTTGGTGTGCTCCATCCTCAAATGCCCCCCGAACATGAAACGAGCGGACCTTTCGGGCGAATTCGAGGAGGTGGCCAGAAGGTCAGAAGAGGAGAAGGAAGAGGAAGAGGAGGATGGATTTGAAGACGTTGAAGTGGTCGAGACAGGTCATGTAAACTGATGCCGTGTGGAGGCAGAATTCTTATACCCCCGGTGCAAACATTTCGAAATGCCATTAGGAACGAGGCAAACGAAGCAATGATATGTAAATAATGGATCTCAAATTTTCTGTAATAACCGTTAGCCGGCCAAAGGGGGCGACGCAGCTAACCCAAATCAACGCCGACGCTATGCCCAACCATCTCCCAACTTTCGAGAGAATCCAAAGAAACAAAAGAGCTGGAATCCGAGGCAGCAGAACGACTCTACTCTGCATGTCCACTGATTCCTCCCTTGATGCCTTCAAGAATGCCAGACCAGTGTCCGCCTTGTCGAATCTTAGACACGTCAGAGAACTGATCACAGGCGATCTTTCGAATGAGAAGAGTATCCTTGGCCTTCTTATGTGTCTTTCCATCACCCCTGAGCAGATACTCTTCGAACCATGCCTCTTCGGCGGTGTCGAAGGGGAGGAACGCAAGCTCGGCGGCCCGGTCTGCGTAGTCTTCGCCCTGGTAGTCCAAAACAGCGCCAACAAGCTTTCGGAACAGAAGCTCACGGGTGTGAGGAGGATGTGTTCGAGAGTAGAAGAGCGCTTCAGAAACGTTTGTTTGCGCCATGGCATCAAAGAGCAACTCGAGAGCGGCCGAGGTCTTCAGGATAGGCTGCACCGCGTAGAAGTAAGAGAGTGCGATACCGAAGTCGCTATCGGAGGCGCGGCGGACGAGGACGGTGATGATGTCGTCGGCAAAGTCTGGGATGAGCGAAGGATGCGAGATGTATTCAAGGGCTCGCTAATGACAGGTCAGTGGATTGTAAGCATGACTGTGTAAGGGGACCTACCGAGAACTCGTGTCTGTCAAGATACCACAGGCCCTTCATGAAGATTTCATATTTCTTGGGCATTCCAGATGCTTCTACAAAGGCCTCCGAGACGCTCTCATGTTCCGAAGTTTGGTCAAAGTCGAGGAGGATGTAGTAGAAGATGGAGTATTTGTGATGCATAGACATGTTGGCTTCGCAGATTTGTTGGTGCAATTGCTTCAGCGCATTGTCGGTTTTGGGAGGGTAGATCTTAGCTGTGAAGAAGAAATCAGCTAATGCGACGGTATTGCATCCATGTTAGAGCCTACCCTTGGTGATCCCCACGGCCCTCAAAACACGGTCGATGAAGAGTGCGCTATCGAAGCTTTTGCGGCAAGCCTCGATGTCGGATTGGGCCTTGCGATCGTATGGGTTCGTCGCCTCAGAGGAGAAAACATGGTGGATATTAGCGTAGTCGAACATTTTGTTGGATTTGAGAGTAACTCTGGAAACCTTGAGGAGCTTGAAGAGCTTGAAGATCCATCGCGAAACGGTCAAAGCAGAGCTCAGAGCTGTCGCGCTTTCACGTGACCTAACTGACGCCAGGGCACCCCGCGCCGGCAAGCGCCTTCAGGGGATTGTTTACAAACTGCGGGACTGATTGGGACATTTCCAAACAAACGCGGGGCGCAACCACTTTATTATCATCTCAACCCAACACCCTTGAGCACCGCCCTGCCATTTGCGCTGCATGAGCAATACATCGTTTTTCGACTAGATACCCCTACTAACACTCACAATGTCGGGCGCATCCCCGACAAGACCGACCCGGCGGGCCACCAGACGCACCGCAATCATCGACTCTGACGATGAGGATGACCTCGTCTCCAACCGCTCCAAGATTCAAGAGGAGGAAGAGGACTATGAGCCAGAGCCGCAAAAAAGTCCTCGACGACAAACACGAGGTGGACGCAAGTCGTCAACTCCTGCTGCCGCACCCAAAGCACGAGGCCGTCCCCGCAAGAGTGCCGCCTCCACCGCCTCGATCGAGCCCAGCGAGGTGTTTGATGCCGACTCGACGATCAAGCCTGAACCAGAGTCTGCGAAGAAGCCTGCGCCCCGGAAGCGCAAGAGCGCATCCACGAGAAGCTCGATCGGATCCATCCCCGACCTTCCTCCTCCCACACCGCAAGCCGGCTCCCCAGAGACCTCGAGGATAGAAGCGTCCCAGGCGGACACTTCAACATCCAGTGTGAATACTACGACCGTCGATGATACCCAGGCTACCATCAAGCCTATCAAGCCCATGGACACCATTATGGAAAAGCCCATGGACATTGTACTCAAGTCACGGACTGTGACTATACCCATGGTGGAGGACACAACACCCAAGGCCCGGATTGTTTTGACGCACCTCATCTTGAACAACTTCAAGAGTTATGCCGGTAGACAAGAAGTCGGTCCCTTCCATGCGTCCTTCTCTTCCGTCGTTGGCCCCAACGGTTCTGGCAAGTCCAACGTTATCGACTCGCTTCTCTTCGTCTTTGGTTTCCGAGCCAGCAAGATGCGACAAGGCAAGATTTCAGCCCTTATTCACAACTCTGCTCAGCACCCCAACTTGGAGTACTGCGAGGTTGCCGTTCACTTCCAGGAGGTCATGGATCAGGTATGTAGTATTGCTTCCAAGTGTCTTGCCATCACTAACGTGATCAGCCTGGTGGTGGCCACGAGATTATTCCTGATTCCGAACTCATTATCTCACGAAAAGCGTTCCGAAACAACTCGAGCAAATACTACATCAACGGCAAGGAATCCAACTTTACCACAGTCACCACTCTTCTCAAAGACCGAGGCGTCGATCTAGACCACAAGCGATTCCTAATTCTTCAGGGTGAAGTCGAGTCGATTGCTCAGATGAAGCCCAAGGCTGCAAACGAGCATGATGACGGCCTCCTCGAGTACCTCGAAGACATTATCGGAACCTCCAAGTACAAGACACCAATCGAAGAATCCGCTGCCGAAGTCGAGACCCTAAACGACGTTTGCATGGAGAAGAGTGGTCGAGTTCAGCACGTCGAGAAGGAAAAGAACAGCCTCGAGGACAAGAAGGATAAGGCAATTGCCTACATCCGGGATGAAAACGACCTGGCCATGAAGCAGTCTGCGCTTTACCAGCTCTTCCTTCACAAGTGCAGCGAAAATGTTGCCGTGACTCAGGAAGCCATCAGCCAGATGCAAGCTCAGCTCGACGCCGAGCTTGAGAAGCACCACGGCAGTGAGCAGATCATCAAGAGCCTCGAAAGTGCGCACACCAAGGGTGCTAAGGAGTTTGAGGCCCAAGAGAAGCAAACCCAGGCTCTCGTCAAAGAGATGTCCAAGTTTGAGCAAGAGCGCGTCAAGTTCGACGAAAAGCGAAAGTTCTTGGAGGACAAGCGCAAGAAGCTTGAGAAGACCCTCGCCAACGCTGAAACAACATCTGCTGAAGCCGACGAGACCATTGAGTCATGCGGAGAGGAAATTGAAATCCGAACTCAGGCGATCGGCGAGCTTGAGGAACAAATTCAAACCGCTGAAGCTGAACTCGCCAAGATCCGTGACAGCTTGAAGGGCAAGACTCAAGCTTTCTCTGACCAAATCGCCGCCCTCCAAAAGTCTCTGGAGCCTTGGATGGAAAAGATCAACCAGAAGCAGTCGGGAATTGCTGTCGCAGAGAGTGAGCTCAGCATTCTCCAGGAGAAGGCCAATGCTGGTGCTGTCGCTTTGGAAGAGCTTGAGGCCAAGATTGTCTCGATTGAGGAGAACAAGGCCGCCAAGAAGAAGGAGCTTAAGTCTTGCCAAGCGGAAAAGGCCGAGCTTATGAAGGAGGCCGCCAAGATGGAGTCTGAGTTGCAGGTCCTTTCCCAACAGGAGCCCAAGATTCGCTCCAAGATCTCCAACGCGCGCCAAAAGGCCGACGAAGCTCGTTCAAGCTTGTCTAACACGCAGGCTCGAGGCAACGTCCTCTCTGCGCTAATGCGTATGAAGGAGTCTGGCCGTATTGACGGCTTCCATGGACGCCTAGGTAACCTTGGTACCATTGATCAAAAGTATGATGTCGCCATCTCAACAGCCTGTGGTGCCCTTGACAACTTTGTCACCGAGACTGTCGAGGCTGGTCAGCAGTGTATCGAGTATCTCCGAAAGAACAACGTTGGACGGGGCAACTTCATCTGCTTGGACAAGCTGAGAGTTCGAGACCTGTCACCTATTCAAACCCCTGAGAACGCCCCTCGTCTGTTTGATCTTGTCCAAGCCAAGGAGGACAAGTTCCGGCCCGCCTTCTACCACGCCATGCAAGACACCCTCGTCGCTACAGACCTCGCCCAGGCGAACAGAATCGCATATGGCGCAAAGCGATGGCGTGTCGTCACTCTTGACGGAGAACTCATCGACAAGTCTGGTACTATGTCGGGTGGTGGTACAACTGTCAAGAGAGGCCTCATGTCTTCTAAGCTCGTCTCAGATGTGAGCAATGACCAGGTCGCCAAGCTTGAGAGTGATCGCGATGGATGGGAGGCCAAGTTCCAGGAGTTCCAAGAATACCAGCGAGAATGTGAGACTCGCCTCCGAGAGCTGAACGAGCAGATCCCTCAGCTCGACACCAAGATGCAGAAGCTCAACCTTGAAATCGAGAGCGCCGAAAGGAACATCGCCGACCTTCAGCGACGCATCAAGGAGGTCAGCAAGGAGCACCAGCCCTCGGCCACTGACAACAGCCGCATTGCGGCTCTGCAGAAGGAGATCGCCAAGCTCAACAAGGAGGTCGAGAGACTTCACGATGAGACCTCCAGCGTGGAAGAGGAGATCAAGGCTCTGCAGGACAAGATCATGGAGGTGGGAGGTGAGAAGCTTCGCGCGCAGCGAACCAAGGTTGATGCCATCAAGGAGGAGATTTCATCCAACAATGAGGAAATTTCCAACGCCGAGGTTCGCAAGGTTAAGGCTGAGAAGCAAAAGATCAAGCTCGAAAAGGACCAAGCAAAGTCCACCAAAGAACTCGAGGCAGCCGCCCGTGACCTGGAGAAGCTTGAGAACGACATCAACAACCAGGGCGAGATTGCTGAGCAGCTTCAGGCCCAAGTTGAGGAGTCTGAGCAGGGCCTAGCCGCCAAGAAGAAGGAGCTCAAGTCACTTAAGAAAGAGTTGGATGAGAAGACGGATGAACTCAATGAGACAAGGGCGGTTGAGATTGAGATGCGCAACAAGCTAGAGGAGAACCAGAAGGTTCTTATTGAGAACCAAAGACGACTCCGCCATTGGGACGACAAGCTGTCCAAGCTTGTCCTTCAGAACATCGACGACCTCATTGGCGGTTCTTCAAGCCAGTCCAGGTCTCGGCCGAAGGTCAAGCCGCAACCGAGCGACGATGAAGACGTGGATATGGATGACGCTCCTCAGGAAGACGAGGAAGGCGAAGAGGAAGAGGAGGAAGATGAGGAGGAGCACAACGGCCAACCTAGCGAGCTTCCCCGGTATACTCCCGACGAGCTTGCTGACATGCGGGAGGAGACACTCAAGGGCGAGATTGCTGCTCTAGAAGAAAAGACACAGAACGTCAATGTCGACCTAAGCGTCCTTTCGGAATACCGAAGACGTGTGGAAGAGCATGCGGCTCGTTCTTCGGACCTGCAGTCTGCCATTGCACAGCGGGATGTGGCCAAGAAGCGGTGCGACGATCTTCGGCGCCTGCGGCTGGAAGGTTTCATGGAAGGTTTCAGTGCCATCTCCCTCAGGCTGAAGGAGATGTATCAGATGATTACAATGGGAGGAAACGCGGAGCTGGAGCTGGTGGACAGCCTGGACCCCTTCAGCGAGGGCATCTTGTTCAGTGTGATGCCGCCCAAGAAGAGCTGGAAGAACATCAGCAACCTTTCCGGTGGAGAGAAGACGCTGAGCAGTTTGGCGTTGGTGTTTGCCCTGCACCACTACAAGCCAACACCACTGTATGTCATGGACGAGATCGATGCTGCGTTGGATTTCAGAAACGTGAGTGCCACCCTGCCCCTGAGACACTCGGCTGCGAATCGGCCATTGAAGCTTACGCTCGCGTGGGCATGCCATATCGCTTCCATACTCTCTCGTATTTCAATAACCGCTAACACAATCTCCAGGTCTCGATCGTTGCCAATTACATCAAGGAGCGTACCAAGAACGCCCAGTTCATTGTCATTTCGCTGCGCAACAACATGTTTGAGCTTGCGGCGCGGCTGGTCGGAGTGTACAAGGTCAATCATATGACCAAGAGTGTGACGATTGAGAACAAGGACTTTATCGTGAGACCCCAAGGACAACAGCAACGAGCCCAGGGGATTAATCCGACAACGACATTACCGTTCAGGTGATGAGTTGTCTGATGGTGTTTGGTAGGGAGTTGTGTCATGATGATAATGTGGGTAATGAATGACTACAGGATGGGGGCTAGATTATGATATTTGACGATATTTGCTTTGACAGACCAACGAGCGTTATGACGATGGTGATACCGTGTTCTCATGTCGAGTACAATGATACTCATTTCTTCTCAATTGGGATTTAATTATGTTCAGCTTATCTAGGGCCTTGGCCTCGACTTGTCAGTGTCCTCGAGTTGCCTCGTCTCATCAACTCGTACCACGCTCGCGTCCCACGATCCAGGAACCGGCTTTTGTGCCACCAACTCTCGCCATGGACCAAGACTCGACTGAGCTCTGCAACCTGGGACATTAAGGACTCAAGCCACTCGCCGAGTCCCAAGCGACCCTTCCCGTGCCTCGTGGTCACGACGCAGATAGCCGTTCACGTCTGCCGCGAACCGTCGATCTGGCAGGCGCACACGCAGTGGCACGCGGGTGACAGCTGCAGGAGATGGCCAATCTGCGGAGGGGGACACCTACAAGTGCCGAGGTCGAGACCAGCTGCGAGATGTCGTGGTGTCTCGGCAGATTCTCTTCCATGTCTCGCAGGTCAAGTCGAGTTCGGCGTCTTGAAAAGGATGGCTGCGTTATCAGGGGGGCGAAAATGACGGGCGGCCTCGTACTGAAGATTCAGGAGGTGTTCGTGATGGTTAGGTACGTTCTATAAGTAACCTCGAATCAGTCTTGGAAGAGCAACACCACACTCTTCACACACGACCATCTCCCAACACGCTCGTTTCTCCTCACTGTTCATCATGTGGAGGCTACTTCCCATCACCTTCCTCCGCTTGGCTTCCGCATTTCCTACCAACTGGAACGGCACGACTACATGTCCTCAAGATGCCCTCTACACGTCGCTCATTGGCGATGGCGGCGAGTTTTGCTCAAGTGTTCTTGAAGGGAGTCATTGCGGGACGGGGTATAGCACGCCTCCGGAGTATATGAGATATAACCAGACGCAGATATCATCCTATGTGAGTGTTCTTGTTGTTGATGTCGGGAGATGTGTTAATGTGAAGTAGTGCGAGTGTATCCTGACGGACTCGGGTGCTGTCACGACATCGGCAAACTCTTCTAGGGAGACGACGGGAGATATCACGGTTACAACCGCGGACTCGGCTTCTCAGACTGGAAGTCAGAGTGTTTCAGAGACACAGTCTGAGATTGGAAGGCCAGGAGGGCCATCGGATTCGACGTTGATGACAACGACGGAAGGGCCAATGTCGACGCCTACGGGCTCTTCGAATGGGACTGATTCAGCTTCGTCATCTCTTGGGGAAGCGACCGGAAACGGGACCTCAGCTGCAACATCCAACGAGTCGCAATCAGTGGCAACTGGTTCCCGGAACGCGACGACTGGATCTGCCTTGTCCTCTTCTGGTGGCAATCCCTCGGGTTCAACCTGGACGACAACGACGGGAACACCAACTCCTGGTTCCTGGAACCAGACTCGATCTGCTGTGTCCTCCGAAGAAGCTTCAGGCCAAGTCGCCTCAAACTCGACCTCAATGACGACGACTGGTACACCAGGGCCGATGACATCTGGCTCTTGGAACAATACTCTATTGCCTTGGTCATCGTCTGGGGAACCAGCAAGCCAAAGCCCATCTAACACTAAACCTGATAACTCAAGGCCAACCACGAGTGTTTCTTGGAACTCAACTTGGCCCGCGTTGCCATCTTCTGGGGAGACGGCAGGAGGGAGTCCCTGGAATACTCCAACCGGCGGATTGACTCCAACGGCGAGTGGCACTTGGAACGAAACACGATCAGCTTCGTCGTCAATCAACCGTCCTTGGACAAGGCCAGCACCAAGTAACAGCACTCGTAGCTCTGCTACCAGAGCCACCGCCACAGGAGGTTCGTGGAATACCACCGACTCTGGAACTCCAATGCCGACGACCCAAGGAACCATCTCGTCAGTCTCACAGGCTGTGAACAAGACATGGAGCACCTGGCCACTCTCACCAACCACGGATGTCACGTCAGATCTCAACGAGCCTGGAATGACGCGTTCCTGGTCAACCCGGTCAACCTGGAACACCACCACCAGCGGCTCGCTACCTTGGCCCGTTCCTGGAACGCCAACTTCGGGGAGCGGAGGAGGAGGTGTGTCACTTCCTACCGTTGCACCCACTTCGACGTTTATGGGCTGGAACTCGAGCGTGAGCTTGCCGACTATTAGCTGGAACGCAAGTATAAGCCTGCCAACCATCAACTCGAGTATAAGCCTTCCGACTGTCAGCTGGCCGTCAGGAACTCTCCCATTCCCGAGTCTCCCGTTTCCTACCCCTCCATTCCCCATTCCTCCTCTGCCTACACTCTCCAACTTCATACCAAGCCAGACTCCAAGCAGCAGTGTTGCACCTAGTGGAGATACCACGTCCTCTCCCTCGGGGACCATCGACTCTGTCACAGCTCCCACAAGTCCCACGCCTACATCAGCCCCATCCGGCAGCTTTAACGAGACTGTATCTCGCTGGGGCAACGCCACGACGACTGGCGTGTCCGAGTTTCCAGCTGTTCACTATACGCACGTCACACGTACCGCGGCTCTCTCGCAGGAGACGTGCCATACTCTGGGGCCGGATCCCGAGGGCGATGCGACGAGACGTGCGTTGCTCTATAACTCGAGACTTCGGGAGGAGAATGTCTCTATTCCGATACCGTATATCGAGTCTGTCGAGTTTGAGAGTGAAGGACTGAATCCGCTGTACCTCACTGTTCGCGATGAGCAGGGAGGAACATACTTGGTCGATATCTCCCGTCGAGGGCAGCTCTCTGTCTTTGATCCTTCCGGGAACTCGATGTCGCTGGATGCCGTGGGTATTCACTTCTCGGGGCCTAACTGCACGTACCATATCACGATCGAGATCAAGGGCATGTACGAGCAGATTGCCGACCTTGCCGGCGTACAGTGCGCTGCCATCAAGCGAAAGAGGCTCATGGAAGACATGGACTTTAAACAGGTTCTGTATCTGGAGGATCAGTGCGGTAATCCAGTCGACAAGTCTCTCAAACAGTATCCCCAGCTTCTCGTTGGGGGTACCGTCTGTGCAGACATTGATGTCGACGAAGAAATTGGAAGATGGGAGTTTGACTGCGCATTCCCTGGTTCCGAATCTGGGTTCTTGAGGTGTCAGCAAGCAATCAAGGAAGATGTCCTCGACGTTATCACGGTAGATCCTTTTGGAGGTTCATGCCAAGATCTCTCAACGGTAGTCACCACGCTTGACGCAACCGCCCAGGATATTCTCGACCCAGATGTCCTCCGCAAAGACCTGGGGAACGAGGGCCTCACCGACAGGCAAGTCCAAGAAGCAGACGGCGCCGTCGTGGCGTACACCAAGCTCTGGACTGCTCTGCGCGCCTTTTTCTCCAAACAGTTGACATTCTCCTCGTACGGAGCACTGGAGACGTATGTCAACGTGTACAACACCTACCGCAGCTTCGAGACAGACATTTGCCAGTCTCTCCACGTAGACGAGATCCCCTTTGACCTCAGCCTCATCGCCGGCGCGACACGAATCCCATCGATAACAAGCCTCAGCTGGGCACCCACAAGAACGCGCCCCTACAACATCACAATCCAAGACCCCTCCCGAATAGCCTGCTGCCCCGGAGGCAGAGTCGCCGAAACAAAAGACGACACATGCGCATACCCAAGAGAAGCCATCATCGAAGGAACAGGCTGCATCTGCGGCAAGAACTCTGAAGGTCTTGGCGTCGCGTTTGAATGGACAGAGTGTGGAAACTTTGTAGCAAGCTGTGAAGCAGATGGAGATTGCGATGACGGGTTCATGTGTTTGACGGGGAGCTGCTGTGGAGGTGGTGTTTGTGTTGATTCGTTTGCTTGTTCGCAGAATGGGACTGAGTTGGTCAAGTTTGATGGTGTGATTTAGGGTAGATGAAGGTTTCTTGAGATTTATGGATATACGACGTTGTCGGATAGTTGGGAGTGTAATTGAATGAATTGATCCTTTTACTTTTCAAAGACAATGTTCTTGAAATTAGCTATGATTGAAAATTTGCGCTGGTTTGCGTGGATTGGCATGTTGTGGTTGATATTTGAGGGCATCACGGGTTTCCAATTCAATATTCTACACAAGAACAAGACCCAAAAATGCAACACCACATACACCCTGAAGCATCCCCTTGTTTAATCACATTGACGAGTAATGGCATTTTGACCTGGAATAAAATTCTACAGCACCTCACATATCACTGCTTGTTTCTACGAGGCGCCTCTCTCGACATCCATCGTACGGATAACATAAACAGTTCGAGCAGAGAAGTGTGATGAATGGATACACACTACCTAAGGTTACAACAGCGGTGCAATTGCGTCTTCATCCGACGCGTATCAAACATTGTCACAATTCATCACAAATACAGTCACAGCAAATTCCAGCGAACAAAAAATGTTGTCAAGTGGACATGATTTGGCGTCCGATTGTATTTTGGAATCCGTTCAAAGATTCATAATCCCAAGTCATCATCCCATGCGTTTTGAATGCATTTTTGTCATAAAACCAGACACACCGGTGAAGAGTCCCAACCCGTTTCAACACATTTAAACCTTAGGGGTAGTAGGGACGATCTTCTTGCCGTCCTTGTTGTAGCGGACACGAGGGGGAGGGGCACGGTTGCGGCGGCCGACGCGAGATCGGACACTGTGAATTTTGTCAGCATTTCGACTGAACATACCTAGGGGGGAACTGTTTCTTTCGAAAACAGTGGGAGGGAGTGTTCCAAAAGTACGACCAAGGCTCATCTGAAGCACATACGCAACCAAGGCGCAGTTGTCACACTCCCGGGAAGGACAACGTACCGGACAATCTTGCCGTGGATGGCGCAAGAGACGCAGTACTGCAGCTTCAGGTACATCTTGGGTACGGTGTACTCCGCGAAGACGGAGGCATCCGAGATGTCACCTATTGTAATTGTAAGCGCTTGTCAAAAGCTGATCGAGAGGAGAGAAACGTACGAATAGCAGCAGACTCAACCATGTTGCGGATGGTGAACCGCTTGATGGCCTTGTCCTTGGGGGTGCATCGCGAGCAGTTGCTGCATCGGATGGGCTTGACGTGGCCGCGGCCCTTCTTGTTTCGGCCGCTGGAGGGTTGTTAGCGATCGTGTTCAGTATGTGAGGGAGCCGAAGCTGTCAATCGTCGTCGTCGCGAGCGTGCTCAAGAATCTCGTCGAGAGGCATCGTCGGCGGCGGTGGTGATTGTGACTGGCAGACGGTGGAAGGAGTCGTACTTGTTCTTTCTCTTCTTGACCATTTTGACGGTTGCTGCTGGGGGTTAATACTCAGGTCCACGCGAGGAAAGGAAAGAAAAGAAGAAGAAGGACTCACTGAAATGTGCGTTATCAAAAGGCGTTGGAGTTCTGTGGTAGAGTCCACTTTTGGGTTGGCTCGTAGGGCAAAGGGGAATTTTGTCGTGGTGGAGGGGGGGCCCACTTCACACACACACACACACGCGCGAGGGGCAATATTTTGCGGGCAAGGGCTACGCTCAGGCGGAAACCCTAGATCATGTGACCCCACTTCTCCTCCACCCCCGTCTCCCATGAATTTCTGAGCCGGCGCCGCCACCACCACGAGAGAGATCTTCTTCAACCCATCCCGCACCATCTGAGGATTGCTTAGGAAGGCAATAATTCTTATTGTCGAGGTACGTCTGAAAGATGCTGCAAACACCCTTTTCCATGATGAGGGCTTCATTACCTCTCACATGAGAATCTTCATTCTCGTCGTTGTTCAATTTTTCCCCTCCTCGCGAACCGATCGCATATTTCTCGTGTGCCCTCGAGTCCGCGGGAGGAACGAACATTGTCGCGACTCGCCATCACCACAACACCTTCAACACCAAGACCTGAATTCTAACAGTCTTAGCTAGGCAAGATGCAGATCTTCGTCAAGACCCTTACGGGGAAGACCATCACCCTTGAGGTGGAGTCTTCCGACACCATCGACAACGTCAAGTCCAAGATCCAGGACAAGGAGGGCATTCCCCCCGACCAGCAGCGACTTATCTTTGCTGGCAAGCAGCTCGAGGATGGCCGCACCCTGAGCGACTACAACATCCAGAAGGAGAGCACCCTCCACCTGGTCCTCCGCCTGCGTGGTGGTGCCAAGAAGCGCAAGAAGAAGGTCTACACCACCCCCAAGAAGATCAAGCACAAGCGCAAGAAGACCAAGTTGGCTGTGCTCAAGTACTACAAGGTCGACTCTGATGGCAAGATCGAGCGACTTCGACGCGAGTGCCCCAGCGACACTGTGAGTCCTCTCCTCTCTCCATCTGACGGACATCTACTGACAGTAAGAAGTGCGGCGCTGGTGTCTTCATGGCTGCCATGCAGGACCGTCAGTACTGTGGTCGTTGCCACCTGACCTACGTCTTCGACAAGCAATAAATGCATGACCAAGGGATTTGAATTGGGATTGATGACGGAACGGATTGGGTGCCAAAAATGGGCGTTGAAGGCTGTAGCATAGAGCACATCCAGTTTCTGAGATAATGCATGCTTGATTGAGACGACAACAACACATGATGATTCCCCCTACTTGAGTTGCCGTGCTCCGTGAAGATGCTGCCATCAAGATACGATACTACTGGAGGTGATGAGGTACTACCATCAAGATCTGGAACGACTGCGACTGGAACGAGATGCATCCGCCGCTTGCAGTCCATCCTTCGTGTGACAGCATTTGGATATCGACATGCACGAAATACTGCAGGTCCCATCAAGGCCAAGCCCAATCCGTCGTGTGAATCGCAAATAATTTCGTAGCCTCGCGTAAAATAATTGTGCTCAGCCTCGAAAAATTTCATTTCGCCAGAGCCTTGCTTGCCCTGGTGGGGGGCTCCTTCACCACACCTTGAGTTTGCCTCACCGTGGTCCACCTCAAGGTCAGCTGAAGTCACGGGTCAGTCGATGGATGATGGATGCCATGCAGTTCACACATGCACAGAAGCATCACGATATACTGCATCTTCAGTGAACTGCGTGTTTTTGAAACAAAGGGTATGAGTTCTCCCTCGTAGTGAAAAACAGGTTTACATCAAGCCAAATGCCCTCAAAACGCCCAAAAGCCATATAAGCCAGATCCTACAAACTCCTCTCAAGAAAGTGCACAAGAACCCTGGGAGGCCGACCTCTCTCACGCTCGCCGCTTCTTTAATCCCTCGGGTCCGTCCGGGGTGTTGGCAATGTACAACTCTGGCGGGATTGAGGTGTCGAGGCCGGCAGCCATGACCACCTTCTTCGCCGAGCTTCGCAAAGATGAGCGTGTCGGCAGATGTTGGTTGACACCCTCCAGCACGTCTGTCGTGACTGAGGGCTCTCCATGACATCGTCTCCCATTGTCCTCGTTTTCAAAACGTTCGGCGGCCCCTGGAGCATGCTCATCCCTTGTGGAGGCGATGGCTTGCCCAGGGGGCTGTCAAGCGATCCGAGGAGCTTTACTCGTCATCGGCAACCTCCGACTTTCTCTTCTTCTTCTTCTTCTTCTTCTTCTCGCCGTCGACTTCCTTGGCGGCGGGGGCTTCCTCCTCATCTCTCTTGCGCTTCTTCTCCTTCTTCTCTTTCTTGTCCTTCTTTTCCTTCTTCTCCTTCTTGGACTTCTTAGCGGACTCGGGCTCAGGGACATCGGCCATCTCCTCGTCCTCAGCGGCATCGTCACCGTCGTCAATGAGGTCCATGACGGACTTCTGTTGATATAGTTAGCACTGTTCAATGTCGCAGACTACAATTCCACATACCATGACGTCGGAGTTCTTGGCGGGCTTCTTGCCAGTGGCATAGAACTCTAACCGATCCTCAACCTGCTGCTTAAGAGCCTCACCGAAGCGAGTGGAGGGCTCCTCAGAGAAGTTGTCGATACGGCTGGCCATACTGCACTTGTTGGCGAGGTATCGCGAAATGCGACCCTTGTTGCGCACACCGGCCTTGCCAATGAAGCTGCTGTGGTAGATGAGACCGTACTTGGGCGTGTTGCTCTTGCTCTTGAGGGCACGGAACAGGGCCTTCTCGGCACCGAGAATCTGCAGAGTAGAGGCAGGGTACTTGGAGAGGTTGGTCAGGGATCCGGCGTGCGAGATCAGGCGGGCGGCGACGGGAGTGCCAATCAGGGTCTGGAGGTTGGGGGCGACGTTGGACATCTTCTTCTCGAGGTACAGCGCAGTCGACTTGCGGTTCTCGGCCTGCTTGACGACAGCCTCGGCGAAGCCGTGGACAATCTCGAGGTCAGCGGGAGAGATGTCGAGACCCATGGACACCTTGGCGGCATCAATGATGGCCTGAGCCTTCTCACCATCCTCGCCAAGGAGCAGAGCAAGGTCGTGGAGCTTGTCGTCGTTGAGACTCTTCTTGTCACCAATGGCAAGGACAAGCTTGGCGTAGGTCAGGTTGTCAGAGACAATCTTGATGAGCTCGGGGAAGTGCCATCCGTACCACTCGCGGACGCGCATGAAGAACTGGTTGACACCCTTGTCCTGGAAGTCGATGGTCGCGCTAGCTTGGATGATGTGGTTGTCGTTGCGGGTGACGCTGAACTTGACCTTGGCGCGAGAGTAGGCGTGGCCCATACCCAGACCGGCCTTCTCAACATCGCCAGACTTGAGGCCACCGAGGAGCTTGTCGGCGTGCAGTCGGATACCGCGAATCACGTCTCCGACAATGTCAGAGGTGTCGGCAGTCTCGCACTCGATTCCGGGGAAGACGCCCTTGATCGCACCAGCGAGGTTCTTCTCGGAGACGCCCAGGACGACCTTGGTCTTCTTGCCGCTCGTTTGGGGGAGGTTGAGCTCGAGGACGGACTTGAGGTAGTCCGACACGATACCCTCGGAGACGAGGTTGATGTTCTCAAGAGCCTCGACGTGACCCCTGGGTCTATAGTTAGCATCGCGAGTCACGCTACACCACGGGCGCAAGGTGTAAATACCGGAAAGGGCTGAAATTGGCCAGCTTGACCATCTTGCCAAACTTGGCGAGGTCGTTGGCAGCAGCCTGGGTCTCCTTCAACTTCAACCCCACAGCATCCTGCTGATGCACCACCTTGAAGAGGGCATAGCCCACAGGGGATTCGTAGAGAGCGTAATCGATATGCGACATCTTGTCTTGGTCCCAGCCGGTGCCGCAATTGGAGGGGGGTTCCGCGTCTCGAAGGGTGTTGGTGATGGCTGGAGACTGAGTTTTCGCACTTTTTTCCCGTAGAAAATTTCTGGCAGCTCCAAGCTACGAGCACGGGCCACCGAGGCTGAATGTGGCTGGTGTGAGATCACGTGGCTACAGTGATCCACATGTGGCTCATCCTCCAGCCTGTTCGGCTCAGGTCGCTGCCAGTTGCGCTTCAGACATCGACTTAAATCCTGGGAGACTTTGGAATCTGATTTTCCTTGATTATGCTCAAGATTCAAGAATGGCCGATGACAAGATATTGCTGTATCGAATCTCTCATGTGGTATCATTTAATGTGCTACTCTGCCTTCCGCTTTGACTCCCCACTGAGTGCCTGTTGGCCAATCCCTCAGCTGAGTGCTCACAGCAATCGCAACGCCAAAATATGTATTTGGAACAGGTATCTCACTAAAACACAAGAAAAAAGGCCGTCAAGCTCGCCGAGAGCACAACCAATGCCGAAACACGCTCACCAAACCTCGGTGCAGCTCCCAGGAACGCCCACTCTTCACAACCCCCATGTCCGATGTTGTACGCTAAAGACTGATGGATCGCAAAGCTCTTGATGGAGTATGGAACCGTCCGACACTCACCGCCAATCTCAGTCTGGCAGCTGTTCTCGAACCAAGGCCACTTCTCATAAGGGTCATCACTTCCGGCCAGCATCTGCTCACAGTCTTCAAACGCGTAGATGTAAAACACCCATGGAGCGTCCTCGCCGGCTTTAATCTCTCCTGTCTGGTTGACCTGCTCGTACCAGACTCGGGAGTAGTTGGCTTTGGAGTCAAAGTTGTCTTGGTTGCGGAGGAGCCAGTGCACGCCATTGGGTTCGCGAAGATCATAGTCCGAGTCGTAGACTTTCCAGGTGGCATTCATGAAACCAGTGTTGTTGGATTGTGAGAAGATATCTGAGAGGTTGAAACATGTGTATGCGCTTGGTAGGTCGGATGTCGTAAGGACGAGACCCGTTGTCGTCTTGTTGGCATTGTCGGCTTGGCATGCGTCTTCTTCATTGTCAGCAAAGAATGCGACTGTGATGTTTCCGTTGCTTGGACATTGTTAGTATTAGAAAGCTAGCGGGATAGCTGTTCATACCCTATCACTTCCTGTGCAGAGACAGATAGTGAAAGAAGCGCAAGTAATGAGAGCGCTTGGAACTTCATGATGCTTGACAGGGTTCAGGTTGTATTTGAGCAGTTCAGAGTGTCTTTAGAGATAAAATGGACGAGCTGCGACAAATCAATGCCCAAAGGGTATGGGAATTGAGACAAAATCGCTTCATAAATACAGCTGCCTCCAAGGCGTATTGTGGTCTCCTAAGGCGAGACGGCTGTGGTTGTCGCGACGTCATGATCAGCAGCATGGCGATCCTACGATCAACCATCAGCCCGGCTTTGACAACGAAGGCATTCCTTCTCCGGAAGTGTGCCGCTGGGGACTCTTGACTTAAGCTTATTCGCTAGTTCCTGGCAAAAGCACATGTGCCGAGGAGGCGGCCGCCCGCGCTCCATTTCTCTTGATTTTGGTGTTGGTGGTGTTGATGGTGTTGGCACATGGATGAAGAAATAACGGCAGTCTGCAGAGCGCCTTCAACTCCCCTCAAGGTTATGGCTAGTACAATGAATAGAGATTAAAAACGATGGGAAAAATGTCCAAAGATTCTAAATCTTATTCATACTCCTTAGAGCAAGACATCACTTTTTCCCTCGCCCTTGTTTGGCTCTGTTCCTGGATCGTGGTATTACAACAGCTTTCTCTGTGAAACCGCCCGAAAGTTAGAAACCCTTGGTCATAAAATCAGATACTGATCAAGGGCTGTTCCAGCTGTCGACTCGGGGCCTCTTGTTGCCTGGAAATCGGGTGGATGATCATTCCATCCTGGGAGCTGTTGGTTCATCTTTGTAAGGATTGGAAACCTGATAGACATCCCGGGACTTTTGCGTCGGCCGCCTGGATCATACCCAATATCCATGCGCGCTTCGTTACGCCTAACCTAGCTTAAAGCGAGGTCTTGTGACGCCGATCAAGACTGTTTGCTGGTGAGCGGAATGCCTTGTCGGCCGCCAGTGTTAACGGTACTATTACGTAGGTATAAAGATGTGTTCTCGGATCGGTTTAAATTCATTGATGAGTACTTCATATGCTCATGTCCATTTGTGCTTCAATTTGGGTGCCCTATCCAGCTCTTCCACTCCGTCATTCCAAGCCAGTTTTCCCTTAGTTGTTCGGGAACCCGTTACGCAGGTTATCATACTTGGTAGCCGGATACTCGATGCAATTCTCCTGCCTCATCAACGCCTGCGGTCCTCCAAACGTATTAACCACAGTCTTGATCAAGCTCTGATCGCCCTCCTTGTCGCCGCTGCTCTCCCACCACATGGCACCTCCCAGCCGCCACTTCTTGATGTACTCGGCCTTTGCCCACGCCATCTGCGGTGTGTCGTACGTGACCATGATGCGGCGCTGAGGGTCGTAGCAGTAGCTCGCACCGGAGGCGTTGTCGTTGTGCTCTTGGGCGCCCGCGAGGGGTAGGTTCTTGTAGTCGTAGACTCCGCGCTCCCAGTTGCCCTCTCCGATGCCTTGGTAAGGGCGGCCGGGACCATCAGTGTTCTCGAAAGAGCGACCGTAGAGGGGCATGCCGATGACAATCTTTTGGGGGTTGACGCCGCTGCGGACGTAAAAGTCGAGGGCGGCTGAGGTCGAGAAGGGAGTGGATTGGGGATTGTCGCGCGACGGATACAGGTTGGCTTGGTGGCCGGCCGACGAGTCCCAGGAACCAGCATAGTCGTAGGCCATGAGGTTCCAGAAATCCAGGTATCGGTCCATGCCGCGGATGTCCAGCTTCTGGAAGTTCTGCGCGCCTGCGGGGCAAGCCACGGTGAGCTCAAAGTGGTGAGGTCGGCTCAAGGTCTGGGCATAGGCGTCCATGGCCTGGCGAACGGCAGCCAGCAGCTCGACATAATTTCTTGCCTCGTTTGCATCTTGGGGGTACTCCCAATCAATGTCGATACCGTCAAACCCAAGGGTCTTGAGCAAGTCGACACAGCTTCTGGCAAACGTGTCACGACCCTGCGGGGTGCTAGCGGGAGCCTTGAAGTTGCTGCTGTAGGTCCATCCACCGACTGAGAGGAGGATCTTGAGATTACGGTTGCGCCTCTTGAGGAGGTTGAGCTGCTTCATGCAACCATAAAGGTTGGTGCCGGAATCATTCCAAGAGTCGCCCTCCCAGTGAATGTCGGTGTCCGCCCAAGCGTCGGTGAGATGGCTGGAGCATCATCCAATGGTGAGCAAAGCGGATCTGGCGGGTAGGTATGGGGTTCAAGCTTACACCTCGCCCGTGTCGCTGCGGACATTGGCAAACGAGTAGAGAACGTGGGTGAGGTTCTCTACGGGAAGATCTTGGGGACGATGCTTCCGGGCGTAGATGGCCCTGGGATGACGTTAGTTGATGGGCATCTACGATCAAGGGTGGGTTCGTACCAGTTGACGTAGTAAGCTACGGTGCGGAAGCCTTCAGGACCGCCGCCCATTTTGGATGGAGTAAAGATGTCTAGGAAGGATGTATTGTGAAGAATCAATGCAGCAATGAGCGCAAAGACGGCGCTTATAAGTACGAACCAAGACCAGCTGCAAGTCTTGGGTCGTGAGCTGGGCTGCCTCTGCTGGGTATTCGTGGTGATGGTGGAGCGAAGCGGCACTTGAGGGGCACAATGTGGGGAATCACTTGAGATGAGTTGGTTGAAAGGGAGCGTCAATTGCTAGCAAGCAAGCAACCTCTTAGATATAAAGAAGGCGCCGAGGCATCCTTGCCTCTTACTCAGCTCAGCCGCCATGACCTTGATTGACCCAATGTTTGCATCCCGTCCAAGAAAGAGAGAAAAAAGGCGTCGTCATCTGGGGCGGTGATTGGGCTTGGGCTTTCTTGATGCCAGCAAGTGTGGCGGTGCCGACGTGGCGATGCAACTAACCTGGAGCCACACAGTCGTCTAACGCAAAATGGTCCTTAAATATCATGAATAAAATATGAGAAAAATACGAGAGGTGATTGAATAGAATATTCAAAGATTAATGATATTATTTCCCATTTTTATCTCCCATTTAGCTCCTGGTTAGGTTATAAAGTGAACCCGTGATTGGCTAAACAATGTGAACCGGCTTGCCGACCGTCGCGGGTTGGTTATCCTGTTTGACTATCTCGTCGAAAATCCTGAGCTCATGGGGACTAAGCGCCCAGCTGTTGCTCTCGAACCGGTCATTCTCCTTGTCGTGCCAATGGCTTACAGCTGTGCATCTGTGAGCCTCTGTAAATCCTGTTGTCAAGTGTTTTCACCCACGCATCTTCGGGTGTGGCTGTACTTTCCGTCCAAGATCGAACATCAAACCCAGGAGGACATCGTCAGACTTTCCAATGTGTGGGAAACCGTTCCAGAGACCATAGACGGCTCTTTTGTGGACGGTCTTGGAGATAGGCGCCGTTTTGTCGGTTTTGGGCAGGGGAAGAGCTTGCGCGGCGCTTATGAGCAGCAGGCCGAGTGCTGCGAAGGGGACCTTCATGGTGGTGATGGGAGGATGTGGACAGGAGGGGAAAGCAAGCTGCGACAGCCAAGGGCGTCAATAGGCCATTATAACACCATGTCGACAGTAGACCTGAGCTGTCTTCCCCTCTTTAACAAACTGAAAAGGACAGCTTGCTGGAGGCTCACTAGAGAAGCGCCGATGAAGATTACAGTTAAGTAGATTGGCGTTTCCCCTCCTGTACAGGATAACAATGCTTGAGAGTGGATCAAAACCACAACTCTAAGCTTAAACAATGAGAAGTCCCTGGACAACAGATCCATCCGCGGAGGGATGGTTTATCGGACAATGGGCGGAATACAGTACAACCGTTATTGGACGCTTGAACTTCTACTTCATGGGCATGAATGAACTGCTAGAGAGAGTCATGATGCATTGAACATTAAGAGGCGCATTAAGAAATACTGTGCATAAAGGACCGGAGATAAATAACTGGGTGATGAGAAAAAGGCCGAGATCCATCCATTGGGTGAGATACTGGCACATCTTGTGTGAGCATGTACTAAAGTCTTCTAGCTCCCTCCATTCACCCTGGTCTATGTGCTTGGAAGTACTGATACCTAATCCCTACAATAGTTCATCCTGCTTTACTCCTCGGGATATATACTCTCGATACAAATGCCGATGCTGCTCTAGAATCAACAGTGTCGCAGCTGTATGCGGTCCTAGCCGCGCAAAACTGGGTAACCACCCCCTGAAAGCCCATCTCAACCCCTCAGATCTCGTTAATTCTGTCATCATTCCGACTATGGAGCTTGAACCGCCCTGACTCATGGTGCGTGTCTTGATCACGTCGATGGGACTGCATATTGTTGTAGCGATGAGACCCGCGAGAACTGATGCAAGCAGTTGTGTCGGTGTACCATCCTTGAGGCTAAAGTTGTCCACTAGGGACTGCTTGATGCCATCATAGGAGGCAAGCTGGCAACTTGTCATGGCACCGGCCCGAATAGCGTTGGGAAAGACACCGCGGAGGTAGCCTTGGATGCCATCTGTCTTTGCGACGCGAACAAGGACGTCAAATACCGAGCGGTAGTTTTGTCGAAGAGACGGCGCAAGGGAGCGGTCGTTTTGCATGCGCACGTTGGCAAGATCGGCCGGATTTCCTACGAGGGCACCACATGCGCCGGATAGAAAGGCGCCTGGGAGGAGGATGGTCATGGGGGCTGGACCGCCGCCTTGTTTCGAAGACTGCTCCTTGATGGACTCGTAGATGGCGAATCTTGTGGATCCATAAGTCACTACATTCTGATATCAGCACGAGCGATGGTAATGATCAAGGGAAGACTGACATTGACGAAGCAAGCCTGCTGATAGCTATGCCTCGGGTTAGTAACTAGCATCTAATTGATCTTTGAAGCTACTTACACCGCGGTATAGACCAGAGACACCCTCATTGCGAAGGATATGGACTATCGTTTCCAGAACATTCTTTCTTTCAGACAACGGTGTAGCCTGTAGCCTGACCTTGACTAGAAATCATGACAAGTTAGTAACTCGGTATCCTGGAAGGCGAGTAAGGAAATCACCTACCTAAGTCGAGGGGATGTGAGCATATGACAGCCAGACATGATGCTGATCCGCCAAACCATTTCGGATATTGTATATTTTGCTTTGGTACCAAGATTTTGTGTTTATGGTGTTCTGTAAGAGCTGGAAGAGACTGAACGGCTACTTGGGTATCTTGCGCCATGATTGCGGAGTGCTCCAAGAATGGAGAGAAGCCGGATATGAAGTGGAACGAATGACTAGATCAACTGCCCTATTTGAAGTACTTTCAAGACAAACAACACTTCTCTATACATCAATCATAGCCCGAATACTCCTGACAAGTCGGCGTTTTCTATACCATGTCGGACCCGTGATGCCCCGGAACCGAGGGCGTTGCGCCACCGGAGCCGGCAAGGCCATCGGGGTCGGCGCTCAAGATGCCGTTGATATTATGGAAAAGGCGCCTGAATCGCCGAATCTTTATCCCTACCGGATTTGGAACGCCATTGAAAGATAATTGGGCGTTTGAAGTAGCCAATTCGGCTACTCAAGATGGAGGTCATTCTGGACACCCCCACACTTTGTCCGTTGAGTCGGCTATATGCCATGTTACTCCACAACTTGTCGCCGTCAACTACCTTGCGATTGAACTGGTGATTCGGCAACTAGAGTTCTTGTAAGTGCAGAAAGAATATCGTGCTGATGGATAAATGAAGCTCACATCTCCAGATATTCAGACTCAGTATCATCTCATCCTCAGATATCTTTCAACATGTCACGATCAGTAGCGAATCAACTCTGGCGCTTGAGTCGCCCTACCCTCTCATCCTCCCGGACTCAGGCTGGGCGGAGCCATGCCTTTTCAACAACAAGTCCACGGAGACTCATGGGGATGGCTGGCTTCACTGAGAACCAACTCATGGTTAGGGAAGCGGTGAGCCAGGTCTGCTCCGAGTTTCCCAACACCTACTGGCAGGAGCATGATCAGGAGGAGAAGGATCCCAAGGAGTTCCACGCTGCGCTGGCGAAGGATGGATGGCTGGGAATCGCACTTCCTGAATCCCTGGGAGGCTCGGGTTTGGGCATCTCTGAGGCGACTATGATGATGCAGACTATCACCGAGTCTGGAGCTGGAATGGCTGGCGCACAGTCAATCCACGCCAACGTCTATGCGACACAGCCCCTGGCCAAGTTTGGTTCTCAAGAACAGCTCGAAACAACAGTCCCCAACATTGTGTCTGGAAAGTGGCGAGTCTGCTTTGGTGTTACGGAGCCGAACGCCGGCCTCGACACACTCCGACTGGGTACCACAGCAAAGAAGAACTCGGACGGATCCTACAGTGTGACTGGTCAGAAGATCTGGATTACTTGCGCTCAAGTTGCCTCCAAGATGATTCTTCTTGCACGAACAACACCACTTGAGGAAGTTAAGAAGCCTAGTGAAGGCCTCTCCCTGTTCTCTATCGACCTGAACAGGGACCAGCCTGGTCTTGATCTGCGCAAGATTAAGAAGATGGGTGGTCGCGCTGTGGATGCTAATGAGGTGTTCTTCGACAACTACCAGATCCCTGCCAATTCTCTGATTGGTGAAGAGGGCAAGGGTTTCAAGATGATCCTTCATGGTATGAACGCTGAGCGATGTCTCCTTGCTGGCGAGGCTCTTGGCCTGGGTTATGCGGCCCTCAAGAAGGCCAGCGAATACGCCCGTGAGCGCGTCGTCTTCAAGCGCCAGATTGGAATGAACCAGGCCATCGCACACCCCCTTGCCGACGCATACATGAAGCTCGAGGGCGCCAAGCTGGCAACCTACCACGCAGCACGACTCTACGACCAGAGCAAGACAGACTCATCCATCCGACAAGACGAGGTGGGCGTCGCAGCCAACAGCGCCAAGTACATGGCTGCCGAGGCTGCATTTACAGCTTGCGAGAGAGCGGTTCTTACACACGGAGGTATGGGATATGCCATGGAGTATGATGTTGAGAGGTGGTTCCGCGAGTGTCTTGTGCCGAGGATTGCACCTATTAGCAGGGAGATGATTTTGAACTTTATCAGCGAGAGGGTGCTTCAACTTCCCAGGAGTTACTAGACAGGAGATAATTGTTTTAAAAAGTACATAGAATAGAAAACTTCTTGAGTAAAGTGGAAGTCTTTACACCATGGCTGGCAGATGGACTGCCACTTACACACTGAGTGAGGGGTATGTACACCCTAGCTATTCACACCGACGAGGCCTGTATGTTGATAAGGAGAATAAACTAGGTTAACCATGTCATGGAAACGATAAGGACAGCCAATAACTCCATATGGAATCCACCGACCCCATATCTCTTCCCCAAGAGCATCGATTGATCTCATCTTTCCTCGGTTACTTGACTCTTAGAAAAGTGGACCCATGACAATGTCATCGCCGGATGTCCCTCCCGAAGCATGGGACTTGCCTCTGACCAATTCTCGATCCATATAACAAGACATTCTCCCCCGGCTACTCTACCAAATAAGCCGAATGGCCAGTGTCATTGTTTGTTGATCCAAGCCAAGACACCGATCCATGCAACATGTTCTCATCTGCGGCTACCGATGACGCCTCGACGGCTACCGGCACTGTCAAGCGTGCCCGCGCGAAGCATGCATGCCGTGAGTGCAACTCTCGGCGGGTGAGGTGTAATGTCACAGAGTGCCATCCCTGCTCCAATTGTGCTTCTTCAGGGGTAAACTGTGAGGTGTTGCCGTCTCGTCGGGGGAGGTGAGTTGACTTGATAGTCCTTGTATTGGATATTTGTTTAACAATTAGTCCAGATATCCACGGAAGAACAAACGTCAGAAGCAGGTTGAGCAACAAAGACCTTCTGCCTTGAGCCCAAGTGTACAAGGCAGCGATGGGGGATTCCTCTCTCATCGACCGACATCGTCTGTTCATACAGTGGCTTCAGGCGCAACTCCTCATACTGAGAGAGATGCTGCTGATACCAGAATACCAGCCAGGAGCCCTTCACCTTCAACAGATTCAGCAGCACCTGGGACTCTTTTCTTTGGCGAATCTAACTTTCTCACCCTGGTACCTGGAATGCCCCGTATAGGAGAACAGCCTGACGAACAAGATGACCAAAATGGCAGCAAGCAAAAGGCCCGACTTCTCTTTCCCATCAACAGCACACCTCAGTCCATGCCCGAAGGTGCATCTCCAGCCAGTATCGATCGCCTCAGTGTAGGAACATCACGGTATCTCCGTGATGAGGGTGCCCTCACGTTGCCCGACCTACACGCCTGCACGCCCGCCTTACAAGCCTACTTCACCTGGTTTCATCCATGCTTCCCAATCCTGGATAGGGCAGAGTTCACTCGCCAACTGGCTGCGTCCGAGGTCTCATTCCTTTTAATGCAGTCCATGCTCTTCATCGGGGCAACGTACTGTGACAATGCGACCATCACCTCTATGGGGTTTACCGACAGAACAGAGGCCAAGTCGCTACTATACACACGAGCGAGGCTTCTGTTTCATGCCGACTGGGAAAAGGATGAGATTACCCTGATTCAATCACTGTTTCTTATGAGCTTCTGGCGCGGCGGCCCTTCTGATGTCAGAGATGTGCGGTATTGGTTGGGAGTAGTCATTGGCGTGGCAGAGTCATATGGACTCCATAGATCGTGAGTTGACACCTCTGACAAGTTTCAGGATGAGGAAACAGTGACTGACATCTTCCAGACCGAAGTTCACGACTAGAGATCCCCAAAAGGCTCGTCTTAGGAGGCGGATCTGGTGGTCTATCTACGTGAGTCACCTGCGCATATAATGAGATAACCCTCTAACCCATGCAGGTTCGAGAGCGACAAGCAGCTGCTTCGTTGGGACTTCCCAGCAGGATCAGAGATGACGACTGCGATATCGAGCCGCTGAGCCCGTCAGATCTGGAGTCTGAAACTGAACACCCGGACTTTTCACCCTTTGGCTGTTGTAAGCCGGAGCACATAACATATGCCATCAAGATGGTAGATATTGCACGAATACGTGAGTTACCATAGAGAGCTAAATTGGTGTGAAGCACTGACTCATCTGGAACAGTTGGCCGAGTAGTCGACGTGCACTTTTCGCCTGGCAGGCAACCGTCGACTCCTGAGCAGATCCAAGATGTCGGTGATGCACTCGAAGACTGGAGGGTAAACCTCCCAGAAGACATGAACCGCGGTGTCGAGGATGGTACCGCCTCAGTGTGGGCGCATCTGTTACACCTTGCCTATAAGTATGCAATCTCTGCCAATAGCCGAAGCCGTTGCTAACAGCATTTGCGCAGCCATCTTCGGATCCTCATCTATCGACACAAGTTTCTTAGATACGGCCAAGACGAACAGAGCGGGCAGATTGCTGTTGCGGCTGCATCTAAGATTAGCAGAATCGCCGAGGACATGCTCGCACAAGGAACGCTTCGCTATGGACAGATGCACTTGTAAGCTGGATAAGTAACTGAAAAGAAGTACCCATGCTGACCGGCTATTAGAATCACGAGTCTATTTGCCGCCCTCTGCATCCATGCCATCAGCATACGACGAGGCGTGGATGTATCTCGCCGCATCGCTGAGCATCGTGCGCAGATGTGCCTCCTTGGCCTGCAAGAGATCCAGAAATACTGGAGGATCAACAACAACGTGCTGGACTTGTTTCTCCAATACCTCGACGTATCAATTGCCCAGCGACTACACGGCGCAACACGGAGCGACGCACCCATTCACAGCATCGCCGACCTTGAATCAGGAGCGACTTCGGATGACCAGCAAGGAAGTGCAGATGCAGCCAGCCCAGCAGAGCAGACACATGACTTTCCCACCCCGCAGACGCAGGCCCAGACAAGAGTCTTTGAAGACCAATACTTTAATCTTTTATACGGACCCTGGGAGGGCGATGACGGCATGGCGGATCTCGGTCTTGTGTTGCAGGCGAATGATCCAATGCAGATGGAGAGTCTCAATATCCTGGGCCGTTCGCGGTGAATCAAACTCCGGAGATGATATCCGAATCTTTGGTGAAGACCGGCTACTTCGGTTACTTGGAGGGGAGCTCAAGTAGCCGAGACCGCGGCCGGGAGCCCCGGTTCCACCTCCGTTCTCCACCCGGACCATGACCGAAATGACTCCGTCGTCTTGTTGGTTGGTTACCGATTCAGTATTATACATACATGAATTCCCGCTTGACCAGGGCCTTTAACTGAACCTATTCATCTATTGTCAGCCATTGAGAAGCGGGATCATGATGACGAAATCGATTCACCTCCGTCAAGCCGGGCGCATTGTTCAGGCAGCTTCATGCCAGCGACGAGGCTTCACAGTCTCCTCACGTTTGCAGAAGGCCACAGCTGCAGATGCTGCATCTTATCTTCTTGAGAACTTTGCCGACAAATCTGTTGTCCGCCGTCAACTCATTGACGCCAACCAATTACAAAAGCTCGCCCTGACACTTGGTCGCCCCAACCTCAACGGAACAGACGTCTCTGAGAATGCGCCAGTAGCTGGAACTCCTGTACCTCCGGGGTATCATCTAGCGTATTTCACGCCAAATGGCACCGAGGGGGATCTGGGTGCGGACGGGACGGACAGGACTTTTAATGCGTCTGCCCCATTCACGAGGAGAATGTGGGCCGGTGGAAAGATGCAGTGGGCAGAGCCGTCAAGTGGTGCTTTCCTCCGAGTTGGAGATGAGGTTGAAGAGCGGACGAGGTTATTGAGTGCTGTTCCTAAGAAGAGTCGCTCAGCGGGAGAAATGGTTCTGGTTGAGGTTGAGAAGGAGTTCTGGGGACCAAAAGGCTTGGCGTTGACTGATCGCCGATCATGGGTCTTTCGACCTGAGATCGACCTCAATGCCGTCAAAGAGCCGCCAAAACGGCTTGAGAACGTCGGTCGTGGTCCGTCCTCTGTGAAGGATCTGGCAACCAAGAGCGAGGGTATATCCTCTGAACCATCTATACACAATCATTTACTGACAATAGCAGGCGCTCCCATCCGAGAACTTCGATGGTCACCAGTTGGCCTATTCAGATTCTCTGCTCTCACATTCAACGGCCACATGATTCACTACAACGAAGACTGGACTCGTAACGTGGAAGATCACCCCGGCCTGGTGGTTCATGGACCTCTGAACCTAATCAACCTCCTGAACTATTGGCGCGACATCCATGGAAATGGAGAGGGTCCTAAAGATATCAAGTATCGGGCCATGTCGCCTTTGTATGCAGGTGAGACGTACAACATCCGGACGGATGGTGTGCAAGATGCCGAGGGTGGCAAGGTTTGGGATGTGCTGGTGGAAAAGAATGGGACTGTTTGCATGAAGAGCGAGATATCAGCTTAAAATGAGCCCTCGGACTCTACGTATAATTGAAGAATCTGTCTAGTCTCAAGTACGACTCTTTGCATCGTATCGTGTCATGGCAGTTGTCGGCGTTTCTGAGATGCATGCCACAACCAGCTTGCGTTACGGCGATATGTGACATCTTGCTAAGAAAGATTCTATTTGCTATGTACTATGTAGAGAGCTCACTGTGTCTAGGAATAGAAAGATAAAGATATAAACAGTGAGAAAGGAAAGGCTGAGGAATGACAAACTGAGTGCCCAAATGTACAGTGCTATAATTGAGATGGGTTCAGTCTACCGAAGACTATCCTGCTCAACAAACTATAAAATTATTCTTGAACGCTGAAAGCATCCTCAAGCAGCTGCTTCTCCTCCGCCTCATGCCTCTTTTTCAATCCAGTAGCTGGGCTAGCACTAACAGCCCTTCCAGCATACAACACCCTCCTTGCCGACAGACTATCCGACTCGCGGAGAACAGCCTCCAAACGATCTCGAATATAATGCCAGGCTCCACCATTGTAATACTCTTCTTGCGCCCAGACGATGTTCTGTGCGTTGGGGTACTTTTCCAAATTGGCCTTGACTTCACGCCAGGGGAAAGGATGCAGTTCCTCGATACGTGTGATGGCTGTGTCGCGGAGGCCGTTGGAGGCTCTGTGCTTGACCAAAGAGGCGTAGACTTGGCCGGAACAGAAGATAACACGGGAGATCTTGTCCTCACTGTCTATTCCGCCGGCTTCGTGTTCTGGGTCAGCAAGAACTGGCTGGAAGGTGGCAGAGGGATCAGTGAAGAGGGAGATGTCGGATCTGGCGATGGGATGGCGGAGCAGAGACTTTGAGAAGAAGATGACCAATGCTAGATATTGCTGTTAGTTGGCGTACTCAAATGGTAGGATATTGTAGACTTACGCTTGCGATATTCTCGCTTCAGTTGACGACGCAGCACATGGAAGTAGTTTGCCGGCGACGTCATGCAAACAATTTCCACGTTGGAATCCTGATGTGCTCGATCAATGGCGTCTTCACTCGGCCATGATCTGCCCTCCTCATTGCACATCAACAAGAATCTCTCCAACCGAGCAGACGAATGCTCTGCACCCTGGCCATCATACCCGTGAGGCAGGGAGAGAACGATGCCTGACCGATCCAGCCACTTGGATTCTCCGGCAACGATAAAGTTGTCCAGCATCACCTGGGCATTGTTGGCAAAGTCACCGAATTGGGCTTCCCACATAACGAGGGGGTTTGGGTCTGCGAGGGTCACGCCGTATTCAAAACCGAGGGCACCAAACTCGCTAAGAGGTGAGTTGATGGCTTCGTAGGGGGCTTGCTCCTCAGAAAGAGTGTTCAAAGGCGTCCATGTCTCGCCAGTGGCTTGGTTGTGTAGGACAGAGTGACGCTGTGAGAACGTTCCGCGCTGGACATCCTGACCTGTGAGACGAATAGAGTGGCCTTCGAGACAGAGGGTTCCGAAAGCCAATGCCTCGGCAGTAGACCAATCAACAGAACCTTCGTCAAAGCTGCTCAATCGTCCGGCAAGAATGCGCTGCAAGCTTTGATGGAGCTCAAAGCCTTCAGGCACGCTGTTGACTTTGTCTGCGATAGACTTGAGCGTGGAATGCTCAACGGCTGTTTGAGTGACAGGATACTTCTCAACCGCTAATGAAGCCGGCGAAGGAAGAGAATCCCAACCAGGCGGAAAGTTCTTTCTCTCCGAGACGTAAGTCTTGCTGTCCTCAAAGTTCTCATTGAGTCTATCCCACACCCACTTCCTCTGCTCCTCGATCTCAGCAGCGGTGAAAGTACCCTCTTGCACAAGCTTGTTGATGTACAGCTCCAATGTCGGAGTTTGATCAGCGACCTGCTTGTACATCATAGGTTGCGTAAAGTTGGGCTGGTCGAATTCATTGTGGCCGAACTTGCGGTAGCAGACGAGATCGATGACAATGTCCTCTTGGAAGCGAGCTCTCCAGTCGGCGGCGAGTTGGCAAACAAAAGTGACGGCTTCGACGTCGTCGGCATTAACGTGAATAATCGGCGAGTCGGTGTATTTCGCCAGATCCGAGGCGTAGGGAGTGGATCGCGAGCACTCGGCATCAGTTGTAAATCCAATCTGGTTGTTGACGATGATGCGAATGGTGCCGCCGACATCATATCCGTCAAGTCTTGAGAGACCAAGAGTTTCGTAGACGACTCCCTGACCAGCAAAAGCAGCATCACCGTGCAGGGCAAGGCACATGGCACGAGTGCGGTCCTTGTCACCGCGAAGCTTCTGAGTGGCATAGGCAGAACCAGTTGCGACAGGATCGACGGCTTCGAGATGCGATGGGTTGGCGAGGAGGGATAGAGATACGCGATGGCCTTCAGGAGTGATGCGATGACCATCATGTCCCAGGTGGTACTTGACATCACCAGCCATTCCAGGAAGATCAGCTGTTACTCGCCCCGAAAACTCGGCGAGGATGGCTTCACGCGGCTTGCCATAGACGGTACCCAACATAGTCAACCTTCCTCGATGACAGCTCCCAATCACAATATCCTCAATACCGTGAACATCGACACTCTGGTCAATAAGAGAAGTAACACCAGGAGCAAGACCCTCAGCGCCATCAAGACCGAACCGCTTCTCGGTGGGAAATTTGGTAGCAATGAAGCGCTCAAAGCCAGTGCTCCAGATGAGACTATCCAGGATGCGCTTCTTCTCATCCGGGGAGAACTTGAAAGGAGTAGGCACTTCGAGTCTTTCACGAAGCCATTCGCGTTTCTCCGCGCTTGGGATGTGTGAATATTCGATGCCGTAGTTGCCGCAGTACACCGACTCATACGCGGACACAATCTCCCTGAGAGTCATCGACTTGCGGCCTTGAGCTGCGAAATGAGGCATAAGGTCTGGGCCAAGAGCGAATTCCCGGTTCATGTCAGCGGCGGTGAAGCCGTGATAGGCGGGGTTCAACTCTTCCGGATGCTCGGCGTGAGGTGCTTGGCCATTCTTGCGAAGCCCAAGGGGGTCGATGTTGGCGACATGATGTCCATGTGATTGATACGCAGTAACAAGTTTGCTCAACTTTAGCTGATCCGTCACTTGGTTACCTTGTGACGGATGAACTTGAGACTGCAGAGCTGGATCCCGAGGCGATAGATAGCCAGGAGGAAGTTGGACAGCCTGGGCGGGTGACCGTGATCTATCCTCCATGTTGCGGAAGTAGGTCCTCCATGAAACATGGACAGACTCTGGTGACTCTCTCCAAGACTGATACATCTCGTCAATGTATGAAGCAGCACCTCCCTGGAGGAAGGACTCCGCCTGTGTCTAAACAGTGTAAGTCACACGTAAAAGACCTTGCTAACAAGTGCAGTGTACTGACTGGAGGCTCCGAAGGAGCTATCGCCTCTGCATGCGCAGTAGCATAATTCCTACCTCCATCTTTTCTGATGGTCTGGGTAGTTTTGAGCGTCGTGAGGCCTCGTGTGAGTTGGTGCTGGCAACAGACTCCACGAACAAGCCTCCTACCGCCGACAGAAGCAGAACGAGCTGACCGCAGCATAATGATGGAGATTAATGATGCTCAAAGTGTGAAACGACCTTGTAAAAATCCCATTGGGGTACAAGATGGATCAAAGATCGGATCGAAGCAAGTCATTCATGGAGGTCGGGACTTGTATCCAGGCCAAGATCCATGCAGCCCGCGGCAATGCCGTGACAACATCCACGGCAATCTCATGGCTATAGATAAGTGACCCGAAGGCTAGGCTAGTTGGCAAAGGCGTTTAGAGGCGGATAGCTGGATGAAGCCCAGAATGGGCGAATCATGGGAGACAGAAGGAAGCTTTTCGGGTGCGACATCCGAGGGTGAGTGAGCGAGAGGCGGAGATTCGAGGAGCTCGCTTTGTCGGTCTTTTAGTGACCGAGTAGCCGACTCACCATAGCGAATGGCGGAACCTTGGGAATGGCCTCCTGTTATGCAACTTGTAAACAACATGCATTGAGCATGGTATTCTTGCGGTCCTAGATATGCCATGGGGCCTGGAAGAGGAAAATTGAACAAGTTTTTCACTTGTGAAGTATCATGATTTGGTAGATATTGACAGTCGACGCCTGTATTAAGTCCAAGTCTACAAAAAGCGCCAATCCATGCAGCCCTTCACAGACAAGTTACGCCTGAGCCCGTAAAATCCTCATTTTTACTACAATACAAATACTATGGGGTGGCTTCCATTAAGCGAGAAGCATCCGAGAAGGATCCTCGATATACTGCTTTACAATGTTGAGGAAGCTGACAGCCTCCCGACCATCAATGAGACGGTGATCATACGTCAAGCTAATGTACATCATCTGTGAAACGCGGCATTAGCTTGTGAAACGGAGGAAAAATTGTGTAGACTTACAGGTCGAATTTCGGCCTGGCCGTTGATGGCCATGACACGCTGTTGGATACCGTTCATGTTGAAGACGGCAGACTGGGGGTAGTTGATGACGGGGGTACCAAACATGGAACCAAAGATACCGGGGTTGCTGATGGAGTAGTTGCCGCCTTCGAGATCGTCCATGGTGAGCTTTGCATCGCGGGCCTTTATACAGTTAGCGCATTCATCACTCTTGTGCTTCTGTATGCTCACCTTCTTGGCCAGAGCAGCAACCTCTCGCTCCAGCTCAACAATGCTCAGAGTATGTGTGTTCCTCAACACAGGTGTCACAAGACCCTTGGGCGCTGAAACAGCGATACTGATATCGACATAGTCTCGCCATGTAGTAACCTCCTTGTCTGTGTCAATGGCAGCGTTGATCTGAGGAATCTCCAAAGCAGCTAGAGTAGTGGCCTTGGTAAAGGCACCCATGTAACCAAGGCGCACACCGTACTTCTCGGCAACTTCTTCCTTGTACTTGGCTCGCCATGCCATGAGGTTGGTCATGTCGACTTCTTGGATGGTGGTGAGGGAGGCGCATGTGTTTTGGGACTGCTTGAGGCGGCTTGCGATGGTCCGTCGCATACGGCTCATTTTCTCCTGCGAAACAAGTCCCATTAGCTATGGACATGGCGATTGTGATATTTCAAACACTTACAACTCGTTCAGTTCTTGCGGGACCTTCGGTGAATGCGCTCGCGGGAGCGGCAGGTTCGGGCTTGGGTGCAGGCTTCGACTCGGCAGGCTTCTTCGTGGCTCTGGGAGGCTCATGAGGAGGCGTCTGCTCCTTGGTATGGTTCTCTTCGGCCTTTTCAGGCTCGGATGGCTTCGCCTCTTGCTTGGGCTCCTCCTTGGGTGGCTGTTGAGCCTCTCCCTCGCTCTTAGGAACGCTGGCCTCGCCGCCCGTCACGATGCGCGCAAGGTCTTGACCAACAACAACAGTATCTCCCTCGGCAGCAAAGTATTCGGCTATGACGGCAGTCTCGGGGGCAGGAACGGAAATGTCGATCTTGTCGGTCTCGATGCTGGCAAGTTCCTCGTCGGCCTCAATGGTCTCGCCGACTTTCTTGGGCAAGCTGGCCAGTGTGCCCTCGTTAAGGGACTCAGCCATCGGGGGCACCTTGACGATGAGCTCGCCATTGAGGACTCTCGAGAAGCCAAACAGGCGACGCTGGGTGTCGATTGCGCCGCGATGGCAGATGAAGGCATTCGCATGGGTTCGAGGGATTGCGCGCGAGAGGCCGGCGAGGCCAGCGACGGCCTTGAATCGTATAGCAGAAGCCATCTTGACTCTGGTCCGTAGATTGATGGTGATAAGAAAGAACAGAGACACAGCTTGCGGGGAAGATCAAGTCGGGATTAATCTAACCGAGCTTCTTCGAGCATCGCACGGACTTTCTCTCTTGGTGTTGCGATTGAGCGGGCAAAGGGAGAAAGGTAATGGTTCGACATGAGTAAAAGAACCTTGGTTAAGAGTCAGAGGCTTTACAAGTCCGAGGAAAGTCAAGTCGACGTCAGGATGCTAAAGCTACGTACCCTCGGCGAATGGTGAGTCTACAATTCCAAACGGCTAAACGATAATATTCGGACGCCGGACATTGAAACCCGGCGTTTGTGAAGCCGTGAGAAAGGATTACATTGCCGAGCTCGGCTATTACGTGCTTTTTGCCCAGCATTTATTGCCTTTAAATACCTCTGAGCTGAAGACTAGGTCGGTTCAAGATCCTCTCTGCCGAAGATTCAGATCGAAACGAGATGGCTCCTGTCACCATGTCAAGGACTGCCGCAGCTTGGCTTCGAGGCTAGCGCAGCCTTGGCCTATCACCTCGGTGAGTCAAGGTGGGCGCCGTTACAACACTGTTTGCTCAGTGATACCTCAAGCACCGTGTCTTTCGGTCCTGAATGGAACCAGACACTGTACGAGTCTGCAGGTCGGAGGCACACCTCGGAACGCCACCTGCATCGATCGGTACCGACCTGCTGGTTCATCAACCCAGTCACCTGGAATGGGGCACTAGGATATGTCTTGTCTACAACAAGCATTGCTGATCAACTCTCTCGGCAAGTTCCATGCGCATATTCAACGGTATTGCATTTGGTATCTCTGTATCAAATCATGCTCTAATAGCAGACAAAACGCCTAGGGTCGCCCCTTGTCCCAGCTCATAGTCGTCATATCCGTTCGACATTTACTGCCGTCTCATTATGTACGTGGATACCACCGCCCTGCTCCAGATCCTGAAAGTCCCGGGATGACGTGTACTTTCGCCAAGGGCTCGATATCACCGTCTGCGCGCTGTGCGGCCAGTCGGGCGCGTCAAAGTCTGACGGTCCAGGATCGATTCCCGGTGTGAGCTCGTGTGTTGAGCTCGAGCCGTCGCCGTCGCGCTCTTTGGTCTTGGTGATGCCTGTGAGCTTGATGCCGTTGCTGAAAGGCGCGCTGGCTTTGGTTGATTGGCCGCCACCGCTGTTGGAACTGAGGAATGATCCCGGGAGGATCTTTCGGGCGATCGGTCGGAGCATCGGTAGGGAAGCTGTTACATTGATCAGTGACCCGTCAACCATGTCAAGACATGACAGCATACCAGCTATTACGGCCAGGTTGCATTCCGCGATGGACCAAGCGTAGTGAGGACCGAATTGCAGCGTCGGCTCTGGCGAGTCCGATTTGTACCTGAACGATTCGATGAGGACGAAGATTGAGGCGAGGCAGGTCCTAGATACCAGTCAGCGAGACTCTAGTAAGCCTCAAGCTGCACACTTACACAGCGCCAAACGCGAACAAGGCGATGACGGCCACCTTTTGACCCTTCGGTAGATGAAGCCTGCCGACTTCGATGGCGGGCAGCGCGAGGATGGCGCAGTCGATCAGGACGTGAGTCAGGACGGTCGAGAAGAAGAAGGCGGATTCGCGAACGTGACACTTTTGAGTCTTTGTCTCCAGGGGCTCTTCCCAAAAGGCTGAAGTGGGAATGCATTGGAGCGTCACCATGAAGAGTCGAAGGAAGAACCAGCTGACGGTAACGGCCGAGAGGACCTGAATCGGGACGCGAATGTCGGAATATTGAAAGAGTCGCCAGTAAAAGGTGAGAATCGCAAACTTGGAAAAGGCGATGGCAAAGGTGTAGGTCATGCTTGTGCACCAGATCTGCAACCAAGCAGTCCGCTGCTTGTCGGCGTACGTATAGTCCTTGGAGAGGTTGTAGTCCATCGGTCGGCCGAGTCCATTGCGAATCCCTACACGATGTTAGAAGAGCTATGATCGAGGAGCGAGCAGCGCATACAAATCATGCCATTGATCAAGAGCGCCAATGAACCGATCTAAAAAATGAGGTTATTCAGAATATTCGCGCATCCATAGTCGAGTCGCGACATACCCAGCCCACAATAGCAAACACATCGTCCCAGCCATATCCAGTCTTTGTGATTCGACGCGAGAGGAGTCGTAGGAGGAGGGCAGCAGTAGCCAGAGGGAGCGTCACGGCGGCTGCGGCGATGATATTGGGGGTATCATCCCTCATGGTGATGCATGATTGTGGGTATCGAGACGGTCCCGCATGAGCGTGTAGTCGATGGACGACAAGCAGAAGCAAGTATTGACGAAATGGAGACAAGAAGAGGGTCGACAGGGCACTTGACAGCTATGTAAACTTCTAGAATGACTCGAGGTGTGTCAAAGGTTTTCCTGCTTTCTCCAGACCCCCGTCAGGCTCCAAGGACACAACAGGTCACATCATTAGGGGACCCCCATGGGGAGAGGATTGATGCTGTGGAGGGACGGATCGCTCCCCGGCCTGGGAATCCCCTCCAAGTGTGGTTTCTAGCCCCTCGCGGCAAACATGGTGATAGGTCAGACTCCTGCGAGGATGCAGATCATGGTGGCGACGGATCCTGGCACTCGGAACCGCTCACGCGCGGCGAAATTGCAACAGCCTTCGCCTCGGCCTGTCCGCCGCCTTCTTGTTCTTGTCTAGCGGGTGTTTGTTCAGCTGCAAGGATGGTGATTGTAATGATTGTCGAGGATGCTCATGTAACAAACCATGTGCCTGCATAATCGCAGCCTTCATGCATATCCCTTGCTGTCTCGGGGCTCAATACCACGTCTTCCGACCGATCCGAATTTTGTTCTTCACAAGGATTTTTTTCGTAAGGGGTTTTTGTCAGCCAACATCGTGGGGCGGCATGCAATATCGGCTTTTGCAGCATCAAATGAAAAAGGCGCATGAACCGGTGGGATGACCGTTGAGAATTTGGATTCGCGACAGCTTCTCTTCTAGAAACTTTACATGAGTAAACTAACCAAATCAGAGTCTAGGCAAGCTCGAAAGAAACAGATCAAACTTAAAAAAGACACTGGAAAACCCAAAATCATTCTTCGAATCCCCTCCCCCGCAAGGAAGCCCCCCATCGGCGTTTAGCTCCCGGGTGACCGTCACGGCGGCTCAGGCCACGAGCTAGACAAGGCCCCCGGCCGTTGAAATAACCGCGAAATTCCCAAACCCTTGCTTGATGATAAGGGTTGAGGCTTTTAATGCTTCCCCTCCCATGTGGCAGCAAGGTTTCACTGTACACCGTCAGTCTGACCAAACTTGTCGACGCCGCTTGTTGAAACCTCAACGATTTTGTTCAATGAGGGAGCTTATGGTGACATGGCTTCAGATACTCCTCGGACATAGCGATCAACTATCTCTGAGGGCTTAAGCCTCAACTGTACGACCTTGCTGGAATGTTGCAGTCGGCTCAGCCCTCTCGTAGACGTATAGGCACCTCACGCCATTCAGCCCGACCTACCTATTTCGACCACCTGAGGCCGGATGGTACAGTGGTGAGACAAAACGGTCGCTTACACGCTACCTCAGGGTGCAATAAGCATATTTCCAGTTTAGCCTCTCCATGTCAAAGGCCCTTGTTAGATAGAGCACTCACAAGGGAGTATGTGTACCAGATTCTCATATCCATGTTGTTTGTTATAGCATCGATGGCGGCCCCTTGGTCGTCGAATATCTTGAGCGATTGATCAAGTGAGCGTAGGCATCAAGCGACACCCCCATCCTTCCACTATGGCAACGAAGATGGCCTCTTCTCCCTTTGCAAGTCAGCATTGTGATAGTTTCTCAGGGTATTCTGTAACCATGTTTAGGTAGTTGACCATTGTCTCGTACAACTGCATCTTGGCCTGCTGAGCCCCCGTGAGGTATCATACGTACTTGCACAACCTCAAGATGATTGTCACACTGAGGTTCAACCGTCTCCTCCTTGAGCAAGAAAAGGACCGCCGAGGAAGGGCCTGGTGATGGTGTCTTGTCAAGACTTTTTGCCACTGCTTTCCCAGACATCGAGCCCGTTCATCAAATGGCCGTTTCAACCCCCTTTCGACGAGATTCTGCAGGCCCATGCGCCTTCCAAGGCGAGCCAGATATCTACGGATTCGGCATCCGACTCGGCATATACCTCCAATGGACCTCCGTCCTCATCGTGAGAACCTTCAAGCTGCGAGGTCGAGCCAGTTTGGCCAAGTCCTATGTCATCTTCATTTTTGCCTTCTTCGTCGCCCTCCTTTTCATGACCACGAACACTGCCACGTCCACCGAGGATGCGCCTAAGGGTCCCTACGTCGTCGAGGTTATGATCCTCGCATACATCATCTTTGGCGGGGTCTACATCGTGCTCTTGACCGGTAACGACCCGATACCAATCCAAAGCTTTGATGTAGACACTGTCACGCGTCTCTGTCGGCAATTCGTTTTCTGGTGTGTATTAACAGCCGCTTCTGTCTACTACATCTGGTTCTGGCTCGACGGGATACAAGAAAGTGGCTTCCTGGAGACACCGGGAGGATGCGGCACATACGGGTTCCTCTTTGCAAAAGTATCGCTATACAACCAGTTAGTCAAGACCTTCTTTGCTTTCTGTTCAATATTAGTCACGATAGGATGGATCTGGGGGTTTGCCGTGTATTGTCTGGCGGTAGCCCCCTGCAACTACCCCATACGTAACGAGTCCCGGCTGGCTAGAGCTATTCGATACCTTCGAAAGTTCAACAGGAACCCTTCTCAGTCAAAAGACTTGGAGAGAAATGCGAGGAGAGAAAAGGTACAGAGGTATGTGATGGTATGCCGTATCTCGAACTGGGCCATCTGACCGGAAGCAAGGATTGTGAAAGTCTTGGTACCGTACCTGAGAGTCTTTTCACTAGTCTATTCCATCACGGGGATAGAGTTGACTCTACTGGAACGGCGTCGGGGGTGTGTATGATGTGAATTCGATAGGCCAGCTGATCCCTCTCACTATCGGACTCTGCGGGCTGGTTCAGACACTCTACGTGCCTACCCTCGAGGTCAGTTTTTTACACTATCATGGAGGATCACACAACTTGCTAACTGTTGAAGTGGCTCATGAAAAAGTTTGGCAATGGCTGGGCCCGTGCAGAGCAGATTGATCTCGAGACTGGCTCAGCATGAGATCCTATTCGGTGTGCCCTATCACTGCCGCTTGCTCGCGCCCCTCCCTATCCCCTTTTAGCCTACACCAACATCTGCTAAGAGGCCTTCTGTCTGCGAACTTTGCCCAGACAAGCTACTCGACATCTATCATTAAGGGGGACCAGGCCCCTGATGAGCCGGCGTCACTTTGTGACATCCCGAAGACAGAGGCATCGAGATATGTGGCCCAGATGCACTCTTCCATACCAGCATTTCCAACCTCTAGCGAAATTTGATAGACGAGGTGGAAGGCTAGATGTCGGCCATGAATATTCAAGGCAGACAACAAGTGCCTAGGTAGAAGATGATTGGAAGTTCAACCGACTGCAACCACTCGTGTCTAGAAGCCCTCATAAGTGGAGTCGCAAAAGAGGCCTGGTCGATACTGCGGCTCAGGGACGCAAATCTCCCTCCTTACTTGGTTACAATACTAACAGTCAGGGTAGAAACTCCCAAAGAGCAGGATAAGCATAATCAAGCATTTACCTTTTATCTTTATACATTCGAGCTTAGTTTTAGCAATTAGGGTAAACATTGTTCTTGGTGCTAGAGAGTATTGTCCTCTAGACGGTTAGTCTCCAAGTACCTAAAGAACAAAAGCAGTTTGCTAATAACGCCAAGATGAATGCATATAGCCTCTTCCACTTCTAGTTATGGGGGCAAAGAATGCAGTAATATGTCCAAGATTGGGATATTCATGGGCTACTAAGTTACAAGCATACATATGTATTGAAGTTGCATTCGTCCATGTCCAACTGTATACTCCCCCAATTGCTTCTGCTTTCTCCGAATGGCATGCTTAGGGTGTGACGCCTCGTGCTGTAAATGATGACTGGCACCCCCGTGATGGGGGCTGTGCAAAACAATTGTCCACATGCTAGGAGCGGCTCAAAGTTGGGAGCGTAATCGAGGAGCCGGAAATTCTGTCTTCTATCTTTTTGTGGAGGAACTGACAGACATCCTCAGACGTGGCACGTTTGTCGCTGCGGGTCTCCAGCATCCTATTGCGGATAAAGTCTAGAAATTGGGTCAAGTAGTTGCATTCACGATCAGGCCCCAAGATCGCTTCCTTGTTCTTTTCAATGCACTGCCCAAACTGTTAGCATCGGTCGAAGTAGGAGGAAATCGGTAATGACCTACATCGGTCACGGCCTTCTTTAGGAAGAAACCCTCAGGAATCAATGGGTGCCCATCTTCTGTGTGCTGTGTCCCGTAAAAAGTGTCCAGATACCAGTTTCCCCTTCGACCTGGGTCTTTCTCATCATGGCGAGCTTTGCCATACGCCTCGAGCGCCTTCGGGCCTCGAATGGCCCAGGTCAAGAGCATAGAGAAGACACACCCGAGAGCCCAAACATCTGACCTTCTAGAAACTAAAAAGCAGTCATGCCTCTGCTCAGGTGAAGCATATGTTGGAGACATGGGCCCATCCCCAGGCTGGTTAGACCTCGAGGCCTTGCTGTGGAACTTGGTCAAGCCAAAGTCGGACAGCTTTAGGTTGCCGAGGCCATCATCTAGAAAGCGCAAGATGTTCTCAGGTTTGAGGTCGCCGTGAATCCCGTATTTCTTTGCCCACTCCTCCTTGTCGAAGTCATCACCATCTCGAACCTTGGGCTCGACCTCGTGTATTCCACGGAGGCCTCTGGCGATGCCGAAACACTCCTCAAAGAGCCACCGAGCGAGGACATCAGAGGGATTGGGTGTAGAGAGAGGGAGCAAGTTGGAGGGGGCTTCCTTCATGAGGTCGGCCAAGTTACCCCCTGCAGCCCACGGGAAGAGGAACGAGAGCTCAGATCCGCGCTTGAAGGTAGCAAGCAGCTCAATCACATGAGACCCAGTCGTAATCTTTCTTATGGCATAGAGCTCCCGTTTGAGATCCTCCGGGTCAGTAGAGTGAAGAATCTTGAGAGCAAATGTGCCATCTCCGCCCTAGAACTGGCATTAGACTACCCCTGTCTACCCTGGGCAAAAGCCGAACCAAGAGGGACTCACAAAGGAATGGTGGGCAGGGTGAATCTTGATCATGGATACGTTAGAGTATCCGCTTTGCTGCCCGACCCCTTCGACGAACGTCCACGGCATTATGGTGTGGTGATGAAGCTCATACTCGACCACTTGGTTGTTCTTGGTCCTGGAGATAAAGGGGATGTGGACCTGCCACTGTTCACGATAAAAGTTATCCATGAATCTGTCCTCGCCCTCCTTGAAGCAAGCTTCGTGTTCAATGTGTTGGGCTCTGGAAAACGGTTGGTTCCGGGGACAGAGTATCCTCCTGTTCGCACCCCAAGTGTGCCAGGTGAAAGGGAGGTCGTTGTCGCAGTAGCCATGATCGACGAAGCGCTTCAGTTCTTTGAGTTCGTTGATCAAGAGGAGTACTACAAATATCTTGACAGCTGGACGCTCCGCCTGGGCATCATCAAGAGGATGCCCGCATATATAGTGAAAGAACCTCATCGCTTCCTTGTGGTCAAAGGTTGCCGTCAACTCACCCAAGATGTTATCGGGTTGGCAGAGTCGCAAAAGCTCGCTCTCAGGTAGCCATCTCTTTGATTGCCCCTCAAGCATGGCGCGGGAGAGAAGATCGCCCAGTTTGGATCGCTGGTGGAGGGTGTTGCCAGCTCCGCCTATCCCAACAAGATCGGTGTCCTGGGCCGTCAATGGCAATGTTGCCGTCCGATCACTCTGAAGCGAACGACCATAATCGAAGACGTGGCTGGAGTCTCCGGAGCTCCTGGAGAATACGTCACGTCTCCTGTTCATGTCGGCGTCGTTGGGTAGTGGGTCGAAGGCAGGAAGGTGGGATGGCTGCCCCCTCCTGGAGTCTTGGAACTTTCGGATGAATTCATCGGTGGAATCTTCGGAGGACATTTTTGTCAGGAATGGAGTTATCCGTTGGTGTTGAATCTCAGAGGGGTCGAGGTTGTTGGAGCGGAATGTGTCTCAAGAGCCGCAACTGACAGAGAGATCCAAGGTCAGGGTATGTATGGCATGGGGCGTAATCTGGGCCATCAACCCAGCCTGCCTCAATACCCCACTGCACTGCAAGTCAACGGTGTCATATTGTAGAGTATGCCTTGGCCGGATTGTGATGAAAGCCACCCAGCCTTGTTGGTTGCCAGGCTGTGCCGTGGGAAAAACATGACCAACCAGCAGGCTCGGAGCCTGTGTTACCATGATAGATTGCTTTTCAACACGTCCACCCCTGTTGTGGCTTTCACAGCGCATACATATGCACCCGTTACCCATGGACATCTTTCCTGCAATACTACCCTCTTGCAACTCACTCCAAGAATTGTATTTGGGAGAGCAACAGCCGGCTCTACTTCTTGCCGCCTAGCATTCTGTATCCCCATCTTCCGGATCATATTTGCGTCATTCAAGCTTTCGATAACCTTTAGAAGTCTTCACTTCGACATTTCTCACGTCCATCCATCCTGAAAAAACAACAGTCACCCCCCTACCACGTCAGCTTTGTTGGCAGCCAGCACTGGACTCTTTTGACGAAGTCATTCTCCCGATCGCAAAATGTCATCATTCTCACAGCTGGGACAATATCCCAACGACAAGGACACTTCTCTCCCGGGGCGCTGGGTTGACCAAACAAGACTGGAGGACGTCCTCAACAAGGCCTTTGATGATCAATATGCTGTCTCGGTGCGTTGGTCCTGTCCAAGTCTAGTCCTTTTCGCAGCCACTAACTGACATCCAACAGATGCGAAACAACTCCTACGTGGTGTGGGCCTCGCGACCGCTTTACGACCATGAGAAGAAGATGTGTCTCAGACCAGCATCGCAAGCATTTATAAGGCGCTGATCACGCTGACCTGGGTCCGGATATAAACCTCTGCACCCTCGAGTCTTAGGAGGACTTGGTATTTTCACTTCGTTTGATGGGCTTCTATTTTTGCATGGGATCAGTCACAGTCTTTACGATTCTTTCTGTTTGGAAGACCTCTTCTCCATTTCTCATCTTTGCTTGGGTTACACAGGGCCGACGCCATAACGAAACAATAACAAGGAGCTTTGGGTGTCATACGGGGTACAGATTGTTATGGAATCACGGAGGATATGGTCACCTACGAGGAGAAGAAACCATCCCAGTTTAACATTGAAAGCAATTTCTGACAACTAAATCAACAGATTCCATCTCGGCCGTGATCACGAGCCCAACTTGTGAAAGGCTTAAAGAAACAAATAGCAGTATCTGCTATCTCCCATAGTAGTGGACTCTCATCTGCTGATCCACCTCGTCGATTTCAGCCTAGATCTCAACCATGAGCTATGCCGCAGACAGACCTAAAGAGTGCCTTCCACTTACCTGGGACAAGCGGAAAGGGACTGTAATGGTCCAGTTGTTGTTCCGTAACTTGGACAGTGTTAGTATTTTTGCAGGTAACGGTAGCAAAGGGTGACTTGCAGACATGGTGTACGGTTTGCCATTAAACTTCTTGTCGAGATAAGCCTTCAGAACATCCCCGTTGGTGTATTGAATGGGAAGAACTTGTGTGTATTGTGGAACGACCTGGTTCGATGCCATCTCGTACCTCGGTGGAATAGCTCAAAGCAAAGAACTTGTTATAAGGCGCTCTAGGGGGCAAGACGAGAATTGAAGGCTATGGCGAGTTTCAAAATCATGGTTCCAGAAATACCAGAGCCAATACTATATACAACAGGCCATTTAACCCAATGCTTAGGACTTGCTCTTTGCAAATGCTTCTTGTTGTGTACATTTGGTCGTCTTGATCTCACCGCTCGAGAGCCTGCCTTGAGGCCTTACAATTTGCATTTTGGGGTTTCCATAAACCTCAAACCTCAGAGCCTGATTTCTGAGGACGCCCAATAAGTCTCTTGTATATTGAGGCCCACCACACCTTAGGTGGCGACAGGGCGAGCCTCTGTCATGTCGCTGATGCCCGAGTGATCTGATGTCAAGAGGTCGGCTGTGAATGTGTACCTTTCCCAAGCCACGTCCTGCGCCCTGTTATGGTGTCCTTTCAGAGTAATTCCCGCATCACACAGCTGAAAACACCGCCCCGTGACGCTTTTACGTATGCAGTTGTGAGGCGACTGTTGAGTGATTGGCTGATACCTCGGGGCCCGAATCACACACATATGGCCTATAACAACGTCGATTGGTCTCTTCGGCGACTGATGAGGAGGACTGATGTAACTTGACCTGTGTCGAAGCCATCCTTAGCTAGCCGGATGGTATGAACTGGCTAAACCATGACTGCGAGATCTCCCGAGGAGATTTGAAGACCTTCTTCTTTCAGAATGAGGGAACAAGCCACATACTCAGCCTTTCTAAGCGATCTGGTGTAAGGATTCCGGCTATTCCCTGCAGCAAAGATCTGACCAGATTAGTTCTCTACAAGGCAAAGACTCTGGAAACTATCGAGTGAATCTGAGTGGCAGCGTTGGCTCAATGCGGTTTGAACTTCCTTGTCTATTTTGCCAAAACACCTATTAACTAATGGATGGCTAAGGGTCATCTCAAAGAAGGCCATGGCGCTGAGAGTTCTCTCAATATCCTGTAAGTACCCAAGACCATGAGGAATCCAAGATACTAAATCACCAAGATTCTTTGGGCGGGTAGAGAAGCCCTACCCTCACCCCTTGATAGTGGCCCATCTGCCGGTTTCAGAACCCATTTTTGATCAAATTCGGGGCGAGTTCCGTGTACACGGTTCCATTGCCCGAGTGATCAACAGAAACACTAGATGTACATTTATGGACATGCCGTTTCAATACACTGAGGACTGTGGCGAGATTTCCATCGGTACTTGTTCCTTTTAGGAGGTCGAGAGTATGCAGTGCTAACATGGCTAGCAGTTTACAACTGTAGGACAGCTGGAACATGGCCTCGCGACATGGCCTTATCGGTGTCCTTCTCACCGAGAAGCCTTACTACCTACGCCGTCGTGTACGGTTGTGACGAGGAAGCTGCAGACTTTCTGACGGCGAAACTGACTGGGACTGATCACCCTGTCTTTCACCCTATGCTGTTACCAACTCTCTTTGCCGATATGGAAAGAGAGCGCCAAGTGAAGTTGCTACGCAAGAATTCCGCAAAGATGAGCCAACTAACCGTCGACCTGACCATCAACAAGGGCCTGGAGGGTCCTGACTGGGGCCCCCAAGTGGACCACAGCGGGGAACCCATCGAGCTGTGGCAAGACATGAGTTATCTACAGAACGGTCTCCAGAACTGGCAGAGACAGATGCAGAGAATGGTGATCCACCTTGAACAGTCATCCAATACCACGGTACCAGACACGAACCGCTACGACATCAAGGCTCAAAAGAATTTGGAGAAGCTAACAGTGCCCGGGATCCGGATCCAGAAGAGACTGGAGGAGCTGATTGACGAGTACGACGAGCACATTCGCGACTGTGCTACTGTAACTGAGGGGTTGAAGTTGGCAATGTCAATGGTGGGTGAATAACGTGGTGCGACGGAAACTACTGACCGAGTCTAATAGGACACCCGCAAAACCAACCAAGAGATCGCCCACAGCAGCCTACAAGTCTCCAAGCTGGCCCAGAAAGATGGCAACCTGATGAAGTTGATAGCCTTTGTGACTATGTTCTTTCTCCCAGCCGCATTCACCTCGGTACGTGCGAGTTCTACAAGCTCTCTTCTTTTGTATCTCGACCCTGGCTAACAGAGGCAAAGACTTTCTTTTCAATGGACTTTTTTGACTGGCCGAAGACTGCTGACGCTATTGTTACTGGGTACATATGGGTATACTTTGTTGTTGCAGCTGTTCTCACGCTAATTACTGTCGGGTTGTTTAGCCCCTTGATGTTTAGAGGGGAGAAGGGTGGTGAGGGTTTGAGAGGAAGCATGGCTTAGAATTGTGTATTTGTGGTGAACTGGTGGAGTGGTCTGGACAACCAAACAGACCTATTATAGGAAGTAAGGATATGACGTTTTACAGTGCCAGGTTGTCATACCGTGGTTATGTTTATTCCAATGAGTTGTCAAAGCCAGCACCTTGCCCTTCAGTCCATGCGCGCCTGAGAGCCTACCCTTGAGTCTTATCACGTCGCCGTTAACAAAACTAGAGGCAAGTAGACTTCTAGAAAACTCGTTCACCTCAATTTTCATTCATTTACAGGTCGTCTATCTTGATTCTACCCTATCTAGCCGATTCCAGTTGAACCACTTCCGGCGCTGAGGCTTGCCTACTGGCTCACAAATCCTCTGTGATACAATGTCAGTAAACCACGAAACAAAAAGACACCAAGACCATTCTGCTTACCTTTCGATTCTCTGCAAAATCAGTATAGAGCCTGTTCCAGATTTCTCTTTCCACGCAGGTCTCCTGGGTACCCTGGCCATCAGCCGTCGGACACTGTGGTTGTTTTTGTAGTCGCATCGCGGAATCCTGCACCCAGGGTTTCGGGACGGGCCAGTCAGAAAAGTGCACATATTTGGCTTCAGCCAAGACCCCAATAGCATCCCATTCTTCTTTCTTAGAGCCAAGATACTGGGAATGGTCCTTCATTCGAAATTCTGCTGAGAGTAGGCCGTACGGTCGGTGAGGAATGATCATTGCGCTGTCGAGGTATAGGCTGTTGATAACTTCCATATCGTACTCGGTATTCTCAATGGTCTCGATCTTCTTAAAAATGCGCTCCATTTCGATCTTGTCGGGTTCCACAACCATGACATGTGATGCAAGCATCGTCTTTGGGGGGTCGTCCTTCATGAACCAGTAGGCTCGGGGCATCGCAACACGACAGGGTGGAAGCTGGAAGAGCTCGTCCATGTGTTGGAGGACAACGCCGTCTGAGTCGAGGGAAATAACACGATCGTATTGGGTCTGATTGAAGGCAAGAAGCTTGGTGAATGATTCGGCCCAGGTAACTAGAACGGAGTTAGAAGGCCAAATTCTACCACAAATCCCAATCCCAATGACTAATATCTTACCGTCATTACCGTTACGTCGCTGGATCTCAACCGGCCGTAATTTGACCTTGTACTGGTCGCGAGCCTTGATCAAAAGTTGTCCCGCATGAGTGCCCGACTCTTGAGCATCGGGCGCAAGCATATGGCCGGGATACATCATCAGTCGTTCAGCGTTGCTGCCAAATCGCTGTAGTGCCTCGAAGATCATGAGAGAATTGCAGAGGTAGACGTCGTTGGTAACATATTGGACGTAGGCGAATCGGGACCAGTCGATGATGTCGCTGTCGGCACTTTCAGTGACATTCTCCTCCTCTTCGATCTCGTCGTTCTCGTCGACTGAGTCGTCATGGAATTCGCTGTCGTCGATATCGACCTCGCTAACGGCTCTCTCCTCGCCTTCGCTAGGCTTCCCATTGCCCACAAATGCGTTCCCATGACCATCGTTATCCTGCGCCTCAAGGTTCTCTCCGCCCATGAAAGAAGGACTCCCCGGATACCCGCCCGAGCGCCCAGCGCTCTCCGGGATTTCGACACGATGATCCCTCCATGTATCCGGTATAGGCACGTCCGGGTAGTCGTACTCGAAAAGGTTGAGCAGAAAGCAAAAGAAGATGGAAAGGAAAATGAGGCTCGGCAGGAACCTCAGCAGACGCGACATCGTGGACGGCAGCATGTGGTTCAAGGCTGCGCTGCGAAGAGGCCAGCGGAGCCGGGTTTTTGGAGATGAACGAGGGAGGCTCAAAAGAACATGGCCTCAGGGAACGAAGGAGAAAGACATGGCTTGAGACATGGAGAATGAGGTTTGGAGATGCAAGGGAAGGTGCGATGGGGTGCACCTTCACTGCGCCCGCTGCTCTGACAGTGATAGCGAGTTTCGTAGAAAGATTGTTACAAACGGGTCTTGATGTTCGGGGTTTACAAACACATTCAAGTCGGTACCGAAATTGAGAGTTCCTTAATAGACCGGTATCATAAGTACCTATACCTGCAAAAGGGAGCTGGGAGTGAGGACAGAGGGATGCCAGGGGGTGCCTAGCCTATGATTCCATTCCAAGGGATAACACCCTCCACATATCAGCACATCTGGTTGATCCAGTTGCAGTTTGGTTCTTCAAGTTGAACTTGATCTAGGAATTCAATACAATTCGCCGAGTAGCCAGTAAAATCACCCTAGACACATACGCTCGCTCGGTTTTGGTGTAGGTGATCAATTCATGTTCATGCGCAAAATGGTATCAACACGCTAATCATCATGACTGTTGCAGTATCCCACACTGCAGCCCCTTTAGTCTGTCATATTCCTCATAAAGCCCAGACCACATCATTCGATCCGCACACCTTGGCTTATCCTCTGTCGCGCGGTCGTCAGCCGGGCAATCTGGCAGCGCATCCTCCCACTGCTTCTTGGTCCGTCTCCTCCAGGGCTTGGGAAGCGGCCAGTCGCTAAAGTGCACGAGGAATGACCGCGAAACCTCGCCCATGGCGTTCCACTCCTCATCCTCATCGGGGGCCAGGTACTTGGAGTGGTCCTTGGAGCGGAACTCTCCCGTCAGGAGGGCGATGCGTCGGTGGGGGAGGATCATGGCAGAGTCTTTAAACATGTGGTTGATAACCTCCATGTCAAAGTCTCCCGACTGTAATGCCTCGTTGATAATCTTTTTGTAACGCGCCATGTTGGGCTCGATGAGCATCACGTGGGATCCAAGAACCTGCTTGGCGATCTCGGTGCTCTTCTCGTTGAGCCAGTACGCGCGAGGCACGGCGACGGGGGCCAGAGGGCTCAGGAAGTAGTGGTCCATGTTGTTCAGCACCAGAGAGTCAGAGTCAAAGGCGAGGACGCGGGTCCATTCGGTGAGGGCAAAGGCCTGGAACTTGGTTAGGCTATCGCGCCAGGTCGAGTCGCCCTTTTGAGTCGAGATGACCTCCATGGGGCGGAGGTGAATGTGAGGGTGCTTGATGCGAATGTTGGCGATGGCCTTGGCCCCCTTGGAGTTCTAGGGCATGTTAGAACCGGTACATGAAGCGACATGAATCTGTCGCATATAGGAGTCATCTTACTCCTTCCTCCCAGGCCTTTGGATGGATCAAGACGAAATCCTCTCGTGCTCCAAATCGTCGCAGCTGATAAAAGTTGATGATCTATGAACGTCAGTCCAATGCGCAAGCCTCGAGCTCAGCCAGAGCCCAATCATCGGTTGCGCTCACAGCATTGCACAGATAGTCCAGATCGGTGGCATACTGCACATAGGCAAACTTGGGCACAAGCTGCTCAGTCGTCCAGTGAGGCTTCTGCTCCGTCAGAGCAGGCAGAGTCCTGTTCTCCGAATACGCGGGCAAATCCAACGAACCCGCGCTGCGGTCATCGCGCTTCTGCATCAAGACCGACAGGGTCAGCACCAGGACGAGGGTCCCCGCGGCGCATCCCGCAATGACCCGAAGGAGTCTCGGGGGGATGTTGAGCTGCATCTTGAACGTTGAGGTGGGTAGGTTGGAGAGTTGAGGATGGCTCGTCACTTGGTTGACGCGACTGGCTGGCTGCGCATCAGCCAAGCATTTCGCGAAAGACGAGGGGGAAAATCGGGCTCGTTCTTGTCCGTGCTGTTTCACTGTCTTATCTGTTTCTCAGAGTCGTCTTTAGGGGTCCTGTTCTTCTCGAAAACTCGTATTCCGGCGGATCTAATATTGGGCCCGAATTCCCGCCATTCACAGACCCTGAATGGCGACGCGTGGCACGGGTCAAGGCCGTTTTTAGAGATGCCAAGACCGGCGAACCACGAGCAGAGTTGGCCGACTCTGATCTAGTGATTCATGCGTCGTTTATTGAGTCATGATTGGGTGCTTCGTTCAGGAACGGCAAAATGTGTCAAACGATCTTGAAACCTTATCGTGATCGGAGTTTTATCTATAACTCTAGTTTTCCGTGTTTCCCTTAACATGAGACTCACTCCTCCTGACACCATCAACACTCCCACATCACCTCTTCCCTCACGTTTTGCCCATTCTTCGCCTTCCTTCACTCGTACTCCCTTTCAAGTTTAGTTTCTCAAGCCTTCTTCTTGGCCTTCTCAGCAGCCTGGACCTTGGCAAAAGCCCCGACAGTCTCCCAGATGCTCTGGATGAGCAGAGGCACGGGGATCATGATCCAGATAAAGTTGCAGAAGAAGTAGTACCACCAGAAGTAGAAGCTCTCGGGGCGGCAGTAGATGATCTCTAGGACGCGCTCGCTAAAGAAGCAGGTGCCGTAGTAGAGGAGGTTGCCGTAGATCTGGCCAAGGCTGATGATGAGCTGCAGAGGGAATCGGATCGGGTGGTCCTTGACGATGGCCCAGGCGCAGAGGAACGAGAGGGGACCCCAAGCAAAGGCAGTTATTCCCTCCATGCACACGAGGAACGAGTCTTGGGTGAGGTAGCGAGAGTCGGAGAGGGAGTACTCCTTCCAGAGCTGGGCAAAGATGTGGTCCAGGCCAGCGAGCTCGACAAAGTTGACGGCAAAGTAGCCTGCCGAGGTCAATATTTTTTTTTGTCAGCAGGAGGAATTGAGCTGCATACCCTCAAAGAATAGGTGAATACACCCGCAGAGCGTGAACCAGAGGGTGGTGCCCGTCGCAACCTTGGAGACGGTCCGGCCAGACTGCTGGATAAGCAGCAGCGTCACGGCAAAGATGGCAATCGACCCAGCGACAAATGAGGCCACGAGAACTGGCGAAGACAGCGAGTTGGCGGCATAGTGCGCAAGGGGAGCGTTCAATGGATAGTAGGGATGCGAGGCCTTGCCGCTCGCGTTGACGGCGTCGATGATGAATGCGGGGTCTTCCATTGCGGCAGGATGTCAATTGCAGTGGTCAATTGAAGAGGTGAGTTGACTGGTGTGCTTGGATTGTCTTCTGGCCGGCCGTTGATTATTTATTGTATCCTCAACATTGGCTTGTCTTGTTGATCTTTAACAATCGTACCTGCGCATCATCGTAGCGAGGTTCTTGGCGCTTTCGGAAAGTCGAGATCCGGACTCGTACCATGACCTCTTTCCCCCCCGCAGATCCGGCACCCGGATTGTCAAGGACAACCCTCCGATTGGAAGATCAACAACCGTTAGCCAGGGGAGATTGACATTCTTACAGCGGATAAGGCCGTTAGCTCTCGGGCTCCGCGGATTACGCCCGCCCCCAAATGTCATCCTTTCGCATATTTTTTGAGGCTCTGTTGTAAGCGTGGTCAATACGGATACGATAACGATTAAAAGCGGTCAATTAGAATGTTACTGTTTCTGCTCGGACTTCGCCAAGTGTACCTAAAAGATCTTCTCCCGGGGACATTATCAACGACAGGTGAACCCGCTTCTGCTCAGCTTCCACCATGACCAGAGTATCCCGCACTCTTCCCTTCTCTGGTACTCTCGGTATACCGGCCCAACTCGTCTTTGCAGGCAATTGTCCATCCCCGGTTGCCCATTCTTCCCAGGACATTTCCTCGATTTGCATCGGGGATGGGGAATTCTCTCTTGAGAGGTCGCTGGTGTAATACATCTGTCCTTCAACCTCCATGATCTTCTCGGCCACTACCGCAGCTCCGTCGCTCGACCACATTCCCTCCTGTCTCTTGATCTTGTGCAAGAATGCAATGCACCTTCTTCTGAGCCATGGATGTCGACACCGCTGACACGTCATGAACACTGGTACGATCAGGCCTGGTTCAAGAGATAGAGGCGATTGCACGTGGGTGCTTGGCGTGTTGGACCACAACAGCTCTGCGAGTGTGATGATGCGCTCAAAGTATCCAAGCAACCTGTCCCATCGCGCCTCAGGCCCGTAGCCTCCCGCAGTGATGCACATGCGAAGCAGCGTATGATACAGTCTGATGGATATGGCCCCTATGGCGTTGTGTGGATCGCGATTCCTTTCAAAGTCGGCCATCTTGTACTCCCACGATGCAATATCCTGTATCAGATTTTGTATGATGGCCTCTTCACCCTGTTCGCCGTCGTCGGCCACCAATGTCTCACCCAACAGCATGAACCTCCTCATCAGGCCAAACAGCGCCGTGCCCGCCTGCGCATAGCTCTCCAACCGTTCTACCTGGCGCATCAGAGTATCAATGTACACTGACCGCGGAGTGTTGTCGTAAGAATATGGAGCGCTGGAGTCGGAAAAGGTCATGGCTTGTAGATCGAGTCGTGTCAAGATCTCAGCTGCACTCATTGTTGCTTCACCGGTACCAGCCTGCTTCAATAACCGGTGTCCAGCAGTAATGTGAACCTGACTCTCAGACCAACGCCCCATCATGTTGGTGATGGACAAGAGTGCAAGACTTAGTGACAAAAGTCTCGTTGGGTCTTTGAGATCCTGGGCATAAGATACTGCGCGTGCATAGCTCTGATGCGCCTGGTCCATGAGCCCTTGGCTATTCTGGTGTCCATGCCCCTGCCAGAAAAGCTCATGCCGTTGATGAAGAGCCCCCAATGCAAGCGTAGCATGCCAAACAGCAGGTTCACTATGCGCCAACTGCAGCAACTCCCTCGTCCAGAACCTCGAAGGGATAAACGAAGCTGTCGACGGTGCCGTAAGGTTCCGAAACACGTCAAACAACGACGTGCTAGTAGGCGTGGGCGAATGGCTCCTGTGTCGGGGATACTGAGAAAGAGCCTGAGAAATAGGCCCGACGACGGAGAGTTGACGCGCAGCTTCCGCAAGTTGACGACGTGTAACGGTTGAATCGTCAGGGAGATATCCATCGCACCGACGCTTGGAACTGAGACAGCGTTGACACGAGGGCTTTACCTCGTCGCACTTGACGCGACGAATGCGACAAGTGATGCATCCCGTTCCCGATTTGCGAGGCATATTGAAGCCTTTTTTTCAAAGTAAATTACTAGATAAGAGAAGAGAAGCATCAAGTTTGATGGCTGAGATTGCAGTAATAACATGAAACTCCAAGTTTGGAATGGGAGCACTGCCACTCGTTTCGCGCTTAGCGGATGTATCCATGGGTGGCTAGGCAATCATCACGACGAGCACAGCCGCAAACCGCGTATACTGAGCACACTGCGAACCAGAAGGATCCACGCGATGCTACGCTATTCCATTTTCTGAACATGTTAAGCGAGGCTTTGACCGCCTGTCAAATGTCGAATTGTGGTTTAAAGACCCACGGTATGCGTCATGTTGGCTGTTGGTTTGGACTAGACCTTATTGGTTCTTGTTTGAACGGGTGCTCAGCCCTACCCGCAGCAGGGGCTGATGAAGAACTTCACCGTGGAGCCTGTAAGAGCAGAATGATCATCAACCCAGGTAATAGAACTTGGTCATTTCTCTTTAGGTTTCGGCCCTTTCGGCCAACGCTCTTTATTAACACTCAAGTTGCATTCACACAACGGTGGAAAGCGACAACAGAACGGCAAAGAAGACTTATCCAACTGGTATTAAACATAGTTAAGTAATAAGAAAAAAAGGGTTTAATTAAAAGTAATGCTTTTGTTCTCTTGTACCTACTCTTATGATCCTTTCTTAGCTACCCTGGGGTGAAACATCTTGTCTTGTGCCCCGTTGGTAACTTTAGCCACCGAATAACTGCCAGTACCTCTGGACAGATCAAAGGAAGCCCCAACAAAGTGAATCAGAAACCTAGTCGAGGTCGTGAATATAAAAGACCACTTGTATCTAACCCAAGAAGGAAAATCATCAAAGCATCACCCTCAACTTCAACCTCAACCACCAAATCTCATCACAGAACCCGTGCGCCATGTCGTTCAACCACCTTCCCTACGAGCTCCGGCAAGAGATTTGGAACCTCTGCTTGACAGTCAACGAGGACCGATACCTCATCCTCGGAGTCTCCCTCGGAATCGCCATGTCGCACCATCCTCGAAGCCCACTCGTCGAACAGATCGTCGTCGGAGGTAGCTTCGTCCCCGCCTGGCCAGACCACACCCTCCCCGTCCACCCAGTCGAATCTCAACTCATGATCCAGAAGCTCGGGGCTCTCTGTTACGAGTCGAGAGCTGTGGTTCTGGGGCGCTATCCCGATCTCGTCCGCCTCGAGAAGAATACTGGGGTTCTTGGGAACTGTTGGCGACTCGCGCACGGCTATGAGGCTTGGGAGAGGGCGGGCTGCAGACCGCAGTGGTTCTACTTGCGGTGTAACTTGCAGAAGGATATCCTCTGGGCGCACTCTGCTGCACCTGCTCAAAGATTTCACAGTCACCGCCTTGTGGATTATGCACTCGGGGTGTATGAGTTGATAAAGGGCGTCCGATGGGGTCCTGTCAACGCTGATATCTTCAGGGACACCCTGAAACGGTTCAGGCATTTGGTCGTCTCGATCCCCGTGGGCCTGCCACACAATGCCCCTGTGGCCCATATACCTCGAGTTCAAGAGTTGCTTGCGGGGATGCCCATCCTCGATACCCTTGCCGTACAGATCGGCCGATTCCCCGAACCGTTCAACAGGATCAAAACCCCGGGCCCGGATCTGAATCAGGGCCCAAATTCAATCCCCGACATCACGTTGCTATACCGTCCTCTGAGCTATCGTGTCGTCAGCTCCAGATATATCAACACACCGTCAGCACGGTTTTATACCGCTGTCCGAGAGTTCAAGAGAAGAGGTTTAGCTGAGCACAGTCGAGAGTTTTATCAAAGCTTCGACAGGAGCATGAGAGATGGAGATGGGGGATTATGCTTTGAAGATGTCCGGCCGCCATTGACCATCCTAAAGCTACGAAAAAAGCCGACTGAGCAGGCCAAGGTTGAGAAATGGCAACGGGGGAAGGAACATTATGACAAGTGGATGCTTGGGGGTTGGTTTGACTTGCGGGAATGCGACGGCAAGAGTCTGTATCTGCCGGATCAATTTACCATGGTTGCAACGAGTGACGAGGAAATAGAGGCAGGCAGCCGAGGGGAGAACGCGGGAACGTGGATAGTTCATTAGTCGTTAGATTTGGGTATCGTGTCAGTCTATAATGCTTCGCTCTCCTTCTTCTTCCTTGCCCGTAAAACCGCCGCGTGTTGCTTTGTGTGGTATTTGACGTCGTCTGGGTAGAGGGGGTTCCAGACTGTGTTGCAGATCTTGCACTCGGAGAAGGGTGCTTGAGAGGATATGTTGAGTGTTGTTTGAACGGTTTGCGGTTTTGGCTTCTTCGGTTTTGTGGTGGTTGTGTTTGTTGTGTGCTGCTCCTTCAATGGTGACCTCGCAGGCCCCTTGCCATCTTCTCGATTCTCCCCTGCCTCTCCATCGTCCTGAGCATCGCTTTCTGTCTCTTCGTTGCTGATTGTGGGGAATGATGAGCCCCCGAACCGCAATATTCGTGGCTTTCTCCTGGGTTCTATCCGGGGTGGTTGAGGGGGTGATGACGGTGGTGTTGATTCGGGTTGTGGCTCGTCACTCTTTGGACTGGGAGCGACTGTGGAAGATGATGAAGAAACAGGTTTAAAGAAGTTCAATATTGAGCCCTTCTTGACGACATCCTTGGGCGATTTACTATCACTCGCTGTGTGTTTCGTCGAATCCTTGCCCCCTGCTGCTGTAATGTTGGGCAGCGATAGTGATTCTTCGTCATCGTCCTTGGTGTTCTGCTTCTTCAAAGATGTTTCCTCTGTCGAAATGCGTCGTTTCTTCGGACTGGGTTCCCTGGGCGAGTTCTCTCGGGTGGTACTCCGTTTCCCGTATGTTCGGAGTGGCTTGGCGCGCATTCGCAGTGCAGAAGGCGCTGAGGTGTTGGTCCTGAAGAAGGTCAGATTCGAAGTCATCCATGAGGAATAGGAGTAATCGGCGTACATTGTGTCAGTCTTGTTTGTTGACGAGCTGCCATGCTTCATCCAATGAAATGAAGTCGAGAACCTCGCGTCGCACAAGATCGGTGAGTGTTTGGATGAAAGAAGGCAAAGACGAAACCTGTGCGAAATAATCGAGGCATATAATTAAAAACAGAAAATGAGTGTTTGAAGAGAAAATGACCCAACTGATCCTCCCCGCGTACAAGTTCTTGGAAAGGTTGTTGACCTTGGGCAATGATGTGGATGTTGAAGGCCCCACCACTCGACGCGTCGAGTCGCGTCCCGCGCGTAGTCACATGGTGCGATGCCACCTTTGTCAAGCCATGATATCACCCTGGTCTGTGGAACTCGGAATACATGATTTGTCCATGTTTAGATGTTATGATGCAGGCTCGTCATGGGTAAATATGAACCAATTGGGTCAGTCACAGGTTCTGCAGCCCGATGGCTTGCTGATTATTTGCTGTCAACCTCAAAATGTACGGTGGAATGAGGAACAAGCAGCTTCAACTGCTCGAAACATGCTTCTTGCTAGAAATGTGTTGAATCCCCCATCATATATCGACCTTTTGTTCAGGCCTTCTTTTCCTAACAGTATCATTCTCATCAGCTTCCTTCTCCTTAATCAACACCGTCTTCTCGTCTTGTGCATCATCCTTGCTCACCACCCAACTCTCCACAACCTCCTTTACCTCCCTCACCTTGCGATCCTGCTTCTTCCCCTCATCCATCCTCCATTGATACGCTGAATACACAACAACCTCTGCTATAGCAACAAGTATACTCCCCCCCAACGTGAGGAACAGTCTTGAAGGTAGACTCCACCACCGTGCCGCGATCCACAACGTGCCCGCCACACCTGCTATGCTGATGAGGAAGTTGATTATGAGCGTCACCTGTCGGTGCACCTCGTTCATCGTTGCATCATCATCGTCGCCGGTGTCTCTGGCAGATGTGGGCTTGTTGACTTCGGCAAATGCGGAGGCGGCGTGGGGGAAGCGGTTGTGGAAGGTTTCGAGGTGTGGGACGGGGTTGATCATTCGTTCGTAGGCGCGGGCTTCTTCTTCGCGGCGTAGACGAGCCATGAGGGCTTTGTATTCAGGGGACTAGAGCTGTTAGTATATGCGCTTGTATGAAGCAAGTCAAACTTACGGGTTCTGGCTTGGGAGGTGGAGGTGGGATGTAGATGGATGCGCCGCGGAGGAGCTGTTCGAGGGTGTAGGACGAGTTGCCCTGCGCTTTGAGGTTCTTCCAGAGATTGACAATCTGACCATGGGATATGGGCTTTCCAACTTCAGCCTCGTCTAATGATGGTTCTTGCTCGTTCTGCGAGGGAGTGTTGGTTTCGTTGTCGTCATGATGAGCTTCGACAGCTTCTGATTTCGGAGATTCTTGGATCGCCAGAGCCTCCACGATGGAGGGCGTTATCGTAAGTAACACCATCCTTCTTCTTTAAATAAGCGCACAATATGGAACGTGTAGTACAGCCTGAATGAGAGCGCAAGCCGTTTGAATGGAAGTTGTCAAGTCGATGCCTACGTCGCAACAAACATGTGTCTAACAGGCGTCCCTCCAACTGCAGCACCTCCATCGCTAAAACCCCCGTGCGTCAGCGTGTTTATCCGCTGACGGCCTAGCTCAACGGCCCCGTAGCAAAGTCTCGATCTGTCCAATCACGACTCCTCATTCAGTCAATCCCCGTCGGGTGCTTCGCCGGACGGATCCGCAAACACCCCGGGCTTAGCAAGAGCAGAAGCTGAGGTGGGCGGGCTCTCGCTCACTCACTCGATTGGAAAAAGTTTAGAGGTCCCGCCGGGTCGAACAGAAATAACCAAGTCCAAAAAAACCACCAACCGACGAGAGAAAAAAAATATCCCTCGCGGTTCCTCGATTGCCGAGCGACTCGACCGACGACCTACTTCTTTAGGAAACGAATTGCTCCTGACGAATGCGGTGATACACATAATTCGAAGCTTCACCGTTTCCCCTCCACATCTTCCGATATTAATAAACTGCCCGATTTTGCGCACACGGCCCGCGATGCAGCTCCGTCCGGGGGCCTCGGTGGTGCGCGATGCCTTGGCTAGACAATCCATGATGACGAGGACGGGCTTGACTGCCTCTCCCCTCGCCAGGGCGCCCGCTTGCGTGCTGTGCAGACAATTGACCGTCGGTCGAGGTCCCACGAGGATACACAGAGCCGCCCTTCACACCAGTCCACGAAGAGACTCTGCCTGGGCCGCTGCCGTCCAGGTCGCCTCCAATGTCGTGGGCAATGTCGTCAAGAAGGCCACACAGGATAGGATGCATGTCGACCCCCTCCGGACTGTGGCCAAGGAGATGAAGTTTCTCACGGGCAATATCCGCAAGCTTCTGGGCTCTGGTCACCCCTCACTCGACCGCGCCGCAAAGTACTACACCCAGGCCGAGGGCAAGCACGTCAGGCCCTTGATTGTCCTCCTCATGAGCAGAGCCACCTACCTCTGCCCCAAGGCACCTCCTACTGCTCCCACGCCCACCAGTCGAGGCATTGACACCTCGATATCTCCCGTCCAGATCCTCGCCGATGTAAACCCTTCAGCCCAGCCGATCTCGGCCGTCGAGACAGAGGTTCTCGATGCCAATTCAGATATTCTCCCCAGCCAGCGGCGGTTGGCAGAGATCACGGAGCTGATCCACACGGCCTCGCTGCTTCACGACGACGTTATCGACCATTCCATCTCGAGACGAGGTTCGCCGTCGGCCAACTTGGAGTTTGGCAACAAGATGGCTGTTTTGGCTGGTGACTTTTTGCTCGGCCGGGCATCTGTTGCGCTCGCTCGTCTCCGCAACCCCGAGGTCGTCGAGCTGTTGGCTACTGTCATCGCCAACCTCGTCGAGGGCGAGTTTATGCAGCTCAAGAACACGGAACGTGACGAGCGGAACCCCAAGTGGTCCGAGGAGACGGTCAGCTACTACCTCCAAAAGACATACCTCAAGACGGCTTCCCTCATCTCCAAGTCATGTCGGGCGGCGGCTCTGCTGGGCAACTCGGACCCCGTGACGGTGGACGCGGCTTATTCGTACGGACGCAACTTGGGACTGGCGTTCCAGCTGGTGGACGACCTTTTGGACTACACGCAAAGCGGGACGGACCTGGGAAAGCCTGCGGGGGCGGATCTTGAGCTGGGCTTGGCAACAGCACCGCTGCTGTTTGCGTGGAAGCAGATGCCGGAGCTCGGAGCTCTCGTTGGCCGCAAGTTTGAGAAGGAGGGTGACGTAGAGAGGGTAAGCTTGGTTGATTTCCATTGTTTGACGAATCAGGTCGCTTTGCATATCTGCACATCCCCCTTCACGAGGGTGCTATTGGAGAAACGATGCTAACCGGTGGGTGTGTCTAGGCACGTGAGCTGGTGCTCCAGAGCGACGGTATCGAGCAGACACGAGCTCTTGCGCAAGAGTACGTGGACAAGGCGATCGCGTCGATTGCGGAATTCCCCGAGAGCGAGGCCAAGGACGGCTTGATCGAGATGGCACACAAGTCACTGAAGCGTCAGAAGTGAGGAAGTCATGAAGAAGAGGCGGATGGACAGCATCCGCCGTGTATAAATAACGACATCACTATTTATTTTCTGCGACGAGACACGGCAAAAAAGAGAGATGAGACGGGTTGTTAAACTGGTGGGCTGGGATGAGCAACGGTGTATGGTTTGTCCTTTGCCTTTGGTGTCTTTTGACAAGGACGATTCTACAAGTCAAAGAGAAAGACGAAGGACGCGAGTGATGCATGCATGAACTGAAACTGTACCTGTACTTGTACGACTTGCCGATATAAAACCGCATATAACTGACCACCTATCTTATACCGAGGAGTTGAAAAGGGCTCGGTGGGAAGGGAAGGGGGGGTTGATGATGATGGATGTGGTTAGATCCTACTCTGTACGAGAAGAAAACAAAAAGACGTGTTCAACTCTTAGGTTTCGATCGAGTAATTCTGAGGTGTTTCAAAGTGATGTTTTCCGAGATGGTGGTCATGAGGAATAGAGAACGCGCAACTCCGCGGAGGAGCTTATTAGTTGAAGAGAGACTAGAACGAAAGGGATCACACTGATCCGAGCATATTACTCGATAGAAACCTCTTTCGAATGCAAGTAATGAGCTAGACGTCTTTGGATGATGCCCTGCTGACTCCGTGAGCATTCCTCATGCGATGTCTTCCGATCCAACAACCGCATTCCTGGCCCTGACCGCTCCGTAGACCCCGAATAGCCTCAATAGCGTCGCAGCAAAAGCCATGCCCCGTCCGAGCACTCATTCCCAACCCTTTTCTGCAACGTATCCGGTTCGTAGACGACCATCTCATTACTCGATGGTTACTCGATTGAATCACCACGCCTCCGGCGGTGATGGCCGCTGATTGGTTGGTTATCAACGGTACCCGGCCGAGTCCGATGGATTGGACCCTGGGCTTTTTTTTTGTAAGTGGGCCGGCCCGGTTATCGCTGATAAGCAAAAGGGCATTCCGGGAATTCGGTGTCTTCTGGACGAAGCCATTCAGAACCATTCAGAACGTAAGAGGGAAGAATGATTGGGAGAAGGACATTTTGATCGAATAATAGAAACGCTAGGGCCTCCTTTTATGTTTCCTTGTTCAAACCCCGCAAAATACCGATGGAGGGGTCCTTGCAAGATAAGAAGGGGAAGCCATCGCTGGATTCTGGGGGTGGCTTTCTTGAAGGCGTCAACACTCGTTGCTCTGCCTTGTATCTCTTGCCTCGGTACTTCTTGATCTGATCTTGTTGGGTTACTGATAAGAGAAAACTCTCTGAAAGAACCAGTCGTTGATCCTGGATATCACCGCCGCCGTTGTTATCTTATCCACCCCACCATCCCGCCGGGCCCCAAGCTTCCCGGAGAGAGAGATAAGGGAAAAAGTCCCGACGAATCGATTCCACACTCGGGAGGTAGAACTGCTACCTTGCCTGTTTTCCCCGGATTGTTGAAGTGACAGGGGGTTTCTGACTTTCCCTGACTGTATTTTCTTCTCTTCTTCTTTCTTTCTTTCTTTCTTCTTTATCTTATCCCCCATTCTTGGCTTTGATTTCGACTCTCATTCACTCATCATGATGGCCGCCAACACTCTTCAGTCGATCGAGGGACCTGTCTCTGTCCTCGTCTCTTCTCGGGTCGTCGTCACTCTACCTGATGACTCTCTCGTTGTCACACCTGCTACTGTTGTCGTCAGCCCTGTTACCGGCAAGATCATCTCAGTCATCCCCGAGATTCTCCCTTCCTCTAGCTTCCCAGCTGGCACTGAGTATGTCGACCACAGCCCCAAGCTCCTTCTGCCTGGTCTTGTCGACGCCCATGTTCACTTGAACGAGCCTGGCCGTACCGAGTGGGAGGGCTTCTGGACTGGCACTCGCGCAGCTGCCAGCGGCGGTGTCACCACCGTGATTGACATGCCGTTGAATGCGATTCCCCCGACGACGACGCTGAACGGTTTTGAGGAGAAGCTCAGGGCCAGCCAAGGACAGTGCTGGGTTGACGTTGGCTTCTACGGTGGTGTCATCCCTGGAAATGCGGATGAGCTGAAGCCTCTGGTGGATGCTGGTGTTCGAGGTTTCAAGGGTTTCTTGATCGAGTCAGGTGTACGTAGGGCCGAAAATGTGTGACGATAACAACTGACTCGCATAGGTTGACGAATTTCCGGCCATCTCCGCCAAAGACGTCGCCCTCGCCATGGAGACCCTCAAGGACACACCAACGACGCTCATGTTCCACGCCGAGATGATCCCTCCCATCGCAGAATCCGTCGGCGACGCGGTCCAGTCCTCGGAAGCACCTCTGGCGCCAACTGGAGCACTCAACGCATACAAGACCTTCCTCGAGTCTCGGCCTCCTGCGTTTGAGACGTATGCCATCGAGGAGATCTTGAGTCAGGCACACATCGCCCCTTCGCTTCATCTCCACATCGTTCATCTCTCGGCGACCCAGTGTATTCCTCTTCTCAAGGCGGCTCGCGCATCTGGAATCAGCATTACTGCTGAGACGTGCTTTCATTACCTTGGTCTGACAGCAGAGGAGATTGAGAAGGGTGATACTCGACACAAGTGTTGCCCGCCAATTCGGGAGGGCAAGAACCGAGATGGACTCTGGGAGGAGCTTGTGGCAGAGGATTCGTGCATCAGAACCGTCGTGTCGGATCACTCACCTTGCACGCCTCAGCTGAAGCTACTTCCCCAGCACCTCGAGAGCGAGCGACCTGCCATGCCACACAAGGATTCCGGTGTTGTCATGGAACAGGAGGATGAGGTCAAGGAACAGAGCCGCGGTGACTTCTTTGCTGCATGGGGAGGTATCTCTTCTGTAGGACTCGGACTTCCGATCCTTCACACGGCAGCCAAGAAGCGCGCCGAGTTCTCACAAACTCCCAGCATCACCGACATTGTGCGCCTCTGTTGCCAGGCAACGGCCGCACAGGTTGGTCTTTCACACCGTAAGGGTGCTTTGAAGGCCGGTATGGATGCCGATATTTGCGTGTTTGACGACGCGGACGAATGGACGTTTACGCAGGGCGACATGCGGTGGAAGAACCGTTGCTCGCCATGGGAGGGCCACGAGTTTACCGGACGCGTCAAAGAGACGTGGCTGCGCGGAAGGAAGGTGTTTGAGCTGGGCGCTGGAAACAACGGTTTTATCGCTGGAAAGCCATCGGGCGAGTCGATCACGGAGAAGCGGACGGTTTAATATCCATGGTGGATGCGATGGATGGAGGCAAAACTAATGAATGCACAAGACGGCGTATTGGAGTAAGGACCAAGCAACAAACGAAACGGATAGAAACAGGTTGGTTATGATCTTTTTCAGCAGGTTCATAGACGTTTTAATGAAGAACAAGATTGATGAGATGATGTCGTCATTTGGAGTTGTACGAGTCAAGTTGAGTGTTCACGTGGTGAAGAAAGTCGCGATCGAGGGTTGGAGAAATTGTGGGGTTTGCAAGATGCCGTCGGCAGTTGAATATGTGTTACAGAATTCTAGACGGAGTAATTATTTAAGACATGCATTTCGTTATTGATGGGGCATTAATTTAGCTTGTGGTGCGGAAGGATGTTTATTTAGCCAGCCGAGCAATACTGGTGATAGCTTCACATGGGTGCAAGTATCGTGTTTAAGACGCAACTAAATACACTGTACTCAACCTCAAGATGCTGATAACCAGCAGTCACTCGTTTACACACCGCCAAGGTTTTATGCACATTTAACACACTTGGCAAGATACTTCATAGGCAGTCAAACATGTTACGAAGCAAGTACCTCCAACAGTCACATCAGATCTGATCCCCTACATACTGCGCCCGAGATCTCAAAGCCACCGCCATTCTAGAAATGGTTCAAGTCGCGAAAATGTACGGTATACGACATTATCCTTGGCGTCGCAAATGAGCCCAGGCCTCGCTTATGACCCCTCAAGTGCCGAATTGAGCAAAACCGGGCGTCCATCGTCCGGGATACTCCAATATATTCGGACATTGAAAAGTGATTGTCGGCCGAACTTGCATGATCGCGTGTCTAAGCGAGCTGCAAGCCGTTACATGGCGCATGCTTCGTTTCGCAGCCGACGTGGAGCGAGAAACTTTATTGGGATGTGAAGGGAAAGAATGTTGCAAGGGATCGACGGTTGGGCTTGATTAGCGAGGGGTTTTTGCTGTGTTGGACGAAACTCATCTGAACTCGACAGAGTATCGTGCCATTTTGCCGCCCTGCAGGACCCTGAGGGGGGGAGCTTCAAGGTGTTGAGACTATCGACATCGTCAACGGACGCTTGTTTAGCTCGAAGAATATCATGGATCTCAAGGAAGAGGGCATCATAGTCATATCAATATCGAATAGGTAAAAACTACTACGTTACCGTCTCCATCATGCATCCATCATCTTTGACACCTCCCTCTTTGTCCCTAGACCGTCCAAGCTTCCTCTCGGGAAAGCCCCATTCCGAGCTCATCTCTCATCCACGTCAGCCAGAGCTTCCCACCACCACCAACAGCAAAAGACCACCAATGACAGAAGCCCCCCAATCTCGGCCCTTTGACAGCGGTGCCCCCCGATGCTTCTGGATCTTTTCTTGGCGGCCGACTCTCTTTATTCCCCCGCCCTCGGTTCGGCGGCTAGATCTCCACCGTAACTTTTAGTGGCCGTCACCTCACTTTTCGACACCTCGCCTAGAATGGATGGAGCTTCTTTGCGGCAAATAAGATCCCGGCGGCGGGTATTTACCATGGACCTCGTTTACATTTTCTTGTTCATGGTCTAAAAAGTGTCATGGGTCGGTTTATATGAAATGTTTGCCTTGTCCATGTGAAGTCTAGACTTGGCATCCATCCCAACTCTTCCTCTCTGCACTGATCATGTGCTGCGGCGTCATAGACTGATTTACAACCAACACTGCAACCTCTCGAATAACCAAAGCTTTCAATCTATCAAGGTTTATTTTGCTTCGACTTGAGCTGCCATAATGTCCCGAGCTTGGACCAACAGATAATACCGTTGTTGACCCAAGATGCCTCATCATGATCCGTCCAACGCCGTCGACATCGAAAAGATGGACAGGGCGAGTTCATTGGACACATCGATAGAACCTAGCAATCAGCAACGCGACAGTCGACGTTTCTCTCTATCCGGCGCGGGAAACATTTCTCTCGACGATGTACAGGCCGTTCGGGTTCAGCTCCGCGACCTCGCCGTGTCGGTTGATACGGCACCATCATGGGTCGAGCCAGCGACGTACCCGCAGCTGTTTGCGAACAAGTTCAACACCAGCCCCAAGATGAAGTCGCTGCTTCACTCTGTGAATGCAGATATCCAGCCAGGGACATTGACTGCCATCATCGGAGGGAGTGGCTCAGGAAAGACGACTCTTCTCAACACTGTCGCCGAACGAGTCATGAGTCCCAGGCTCAGCCAGGACGGAGTCGCTACTTTCAACGATCAGGTTGGGGTACATAGCGTGCGCCATGCCTATGTTATGCAGCAGGATATTCTGTTGCCGACCCTCACCGTTAGGGAGACGTTGAAGTATTCAGCCGATTTGAGACTTCCCCCGTCGACCACTGCCGAACAGCGGACCAGAGTTGTGGAGGAAGTTATTCTTGAGCTTGGTCTGAAGGAGTGTGCCAATACTCGTATCGGAAACTCCCAGCATCATGGATGTTCTGGCGGTGAAAAGCGACGCACTAGCATCGGTGTTCAACTTCTAGCCAACCCGTCCGTCCTCTTCCTCGACGAGCCGACCACTGGCCTCGACGCTACAAGCGCCTATCAACTCGTCCGAACGTTGAAGAAGCTTGCTCAAAAGGGCCGAACCATCATCACGACCATTCACCAACCTCGATCCGAGATCTGGGACCTCTTTGACGACTTGATCGTCTTGACTAAGGGCAGCCCTGTGTACTCGGGACCCGTCAAGGACTCTGTTCCTTGGTTTGGAGATCTAGGCTATCAGCTTCCGCCATTCGTGAACCCGGCCGAGTTCATTATCGACATTGCCGCTGTCGATAACCGCACTCCCGAGTTGGAACAAGAGACGACTGCTAGAGTTGAGCAGTTAAAGACAGCATGGAACCAAGAAAGTGCAAAGCAATTCACACCGCTTGACACGTCCATCGATGTTCGACACCGAAAACGAAACAAGCGAGCAGAGAAACATGCTGGTTTCGCGAGACAGTTGACTGTTCTTACCGATCGTACCCTCAAGGTTACATATCGCGACCCCTTGGGAATGATGGCTTCCATCATGGAGTCCATCTTCATGGGTCTCGTCACAGGCTATCTCTTTTATGACCTCGGTCGCGATCAACCCGGTATTCGATCTCGACAAGGTGGACTGTACACTGCTGCCGGTCTTCAAGGCTATCTGATCCTCATCTTTGAGGTGTACCGCATGACGATCGACATTCCGACCTTTGACCGTGAATCATCAGAAGACTGTGTCGACGCCCTGCCCTACATTCTCTCTCGCAGATTGGCCCGAATGCCGACAGAGGATGTCCCCGTGCCGTTCTTCTTCTCCGTGATTCTGTACTTTATGGCAGGTTTCGACCGCGATGTGGAAAAGTTCTTTATCTTCTTCACCATTAGTCTCTTGACGCAGTACATCGCTGTGACATGTGCCATGACCTGTGTGGCAGCAGTTAGACACTTTCCTGGAGCGAGTTTGATCGCGAATATGGTGTTTACTCTGCAGAGTATGGCTTGTGGCATGTTTATTCAAGCCAACAGCATTCCGGTTTATGTGCGATGGTTGAAGTGGATTACTTACACGGTATGCCCTTGGGTTCTCCTACGCCGTTGACTCCTTTATGCTAACAGGACTAGTTCTACGCCTTCGGAGCGTACGCTGGAAATGAGTTTGAAGGCAATTTCTACGACTGTCCCTATTCTGGTGGAGAATCCGACCCGAGGTGCAAGCAGTACACCGGCAAATACGTGATGGAGTCACTTGGCTTTCCCAGCAACTGGGTTGCTCGCCCCATCATCGTCATGGTGGCCTTCGTCGTCTTCTTTCTAATACTCTCAACAATCGGGCTGCACTTTTTCAAGGTCGAAATGACGATCGCTCGTCCTCGTGTCTCAGATACCGATTTGTCTGCCGGAAAGGAAAAGATGACTGCGATGTCTATCGCCGATGTTCGCGCTATTGACCTAGGACTTGATAAGTTTGCCTTGAAGATTGACAAGAGGAGCCCGCTTGGAAAGAAGCTGCCCACCAAGACAATCCTCAACCCTGTCAATGCGACATTTGATGCTGGGGTTTTGAACGTTATCATGGGTCCGTCGGGAAGTGGCAAGACATCACTCCTCAACGCCATGGCGCTGCGACTACGAAACTCGATGGGCACCAAGTATCGTCCAGCTGGAAAACTCACATTCAACGGCGCTGTTCCCTCAGATTCGGTCATCCGGTCCGTTTGTTCCTACGTCTGCCAAGATGACGATGCTCTTCTGCCGTCACTTACAGTCCGCGAAACACTTCGGTTTGCGGCCGGACTGCGTCTTCCGTCTTTTATGAGCAAGGAAGAGAAGAATCGTCGAGCCGAAGAAGTACTGCTCAAGATGGGATTGAAAGACTGTGCTGATAACTTGATTGGTGGCGAGTTGGTCAAGGGTATCTCTGGAGGAGAGAAGCGCCGTGTCTCCATCGCTGTCCAGGTGTTGACTGACCCTCGCATTTTGCTGCTCGACGAACCGACATCAGGTCTTGATGCATTTACGGCAAATTCCATCATGGAAGTGCTTCAAGGACTCGCCAACGAAGGACGAACTCTAATTCTCACGATCCACCAAGCTCGGTCCGACCTGTTCAGGGAGTTTGGCAACGTGCTTCTTCTAGCACGAGGTGGCTCGCAGGTTTACTCTGGCCCTGGAAAGGACATGCTTGGATATCTGGCACGCCATGGCTATGACTGTCCTCAGCATACAAATCCGGCAGACTTTGCGTTGGATATGATTACTGTTGACCTGCAGCAGGAAGAGAGGGAGGCTGAGTCTCGTGAGCGAGTGCAAAGGTTGATCCAAAATTGGAAAGAAGATGGTGTTTCGAGTGGCCGACTGCCTGATATTCGAGAACGAGATGAAGGGAACGAAAAGACAGAGAATATCGAGGAAACAGAGAAACAAGGTCTGCCCGCTTCGCCACCATCAGCTTCACTGCAACCAAAGCAACAAACTCCACGACGATCCTTCAACAAAGCCAACCTCTCAACTCCTGCCGAACTTGGAGCCCTCATCCGCAAACGAGCCTCAATCACAACTTCACTCCCCCTTCTTCTCCACCGCGCCATAATCAACACCCGTCGCCAACCAGAACTCATCATGGCCCGCCTCATGCAAGTCATTGGCCTAGCCATCGTTCTCGCCCTCTTCTTCGCCCCCCTCCACAACGACTACTACTCAGTCCAGAACAGAATGGGTTTCGTACAGGAGATTGGTGCTTTTTACTTTGTCGGCATGCTGCAGAATGTAGCTGTGTATCCCAACGAACGAGACGTGTTTTACAGGGAGGATGACGACGGGGTTTACAGTGTCGAGGCGTTTCTAGCGTCCTACACCATTCTCGAGGTACCCTTTGAGATTGTCAGTTGTCTGGTCTTTGGTGTCCTCGGTGCTATTGCGGTTGGTCTACCTCGGACGGTGACAATGTACTTTGTCTGCGTCTTTTCGTGCTTTGGTATCGTCTCTTGCGGTGAGAGCTTGGGTATCATGTTCAACACTCTCTTTGGACATACTGGCTTCGCCGTCAACGTCATGGGTATCTTTCTCTCCGTCGCAAACAGTATGGCCGGCGTCCTCTCCATCGACATGCCCGAGCTATTCAAGGGGTTCAACTACCTCTCACCCATCCGCTACGCCACACGTGCCGTCGCGCCGTATTCTCTCCGTGGGGTCGAGTTTACATGCAATGATGCGCAGCGACTGCCTGATGGAAGGTGTCCGATCGAGACTGGGCAGGATGTACTAGAGCTGTACAAGTTTGATGTCGATCCGGTTGTGAATGTGGGCATCTTGGCGGTTTGTGTGGTGGTTTATCGGGTTTTGGCTTGGGGGTTGTTGAAGGCTATGAGGAAGCACTGGAAGGGGAGGAAGGGGGAGAAGCAGTAGATTCATTTTTAATTGGATGGAACAAGCTTTATAGAGCATAGATGCTACGATGTGTTGAATCGAACGTGTGTTCAGTCGTGTGTTGTAAGCAACGGTGTTGGAAGGCTTCCCTATAGATACCATCCATTCAGCTAATGCAATTTCGCAAGTTTCCATGGTTTTCGGAACAGCGAGAATAGCCATGGTCTCTATGATGTTTTATCCACAGATTCGGCAGAAGATAATCTGATACCATAATATTGTGCTCCGCATGTTGGTATGATGATCACACGGCATCAATTGTTTCAATAGACAGGGTAGATAAAAGTTACGGAAGCAGCAGTATAGGTTTCATGTGAATAAGCCATTTACGCTATCACTATGCAGAGTAGATATGCCTAAGATATGTAGTTCTCTCAATGCAAGTCCCATCTCCGGCTTGCTATCAAAACACCGCCAAATGCAACCAAAACTTCAAAACAATCTTAACGAGTGGGTATCAGTCATATCCTCATCCCACTTAACATCTTACATCTTTCCACCAGGAGTCTCAATGTCAGAGTTGCTGGCATTGGCAATGCTCTCAAACTGGTACAGGGGCTCCTTCTTGGCAGTGCGGTCAAAGAGAATCCAGCGCTTGAACCAGTGAGGGAGAGCGACGCGGAGCTGGTAGCTGGCAAACTTGCGGACGGGGACGGCAAAGACCCAGTCGAGCTCCTCGAGGGTGCGCTGCTTTGTCTCAGGGACCCAGAAGAAGATCATGACAAAGGCGACAGCGTTGAAACCAGCGTACAGACCAAAGGCGCCCACGGTTTGCAGACGGTCGAGGATGAAGGGGAATGAGGTTCCTAGGACGGCGGCCCAGAAGAGACATGTGGCGACGGCAAAGCCCATACCTGTCTCACGGTGGGACAGGGGAAAGACCTCGGCAGAGTAGGTGAAGGGCACGGGGCCTTCACCGGGGGAGTAGAAGGCACCGAACATGAAGACGAAGAGACACACCAGGGCAGTTCGGAGGGTGCCAGTGTCGGGGGAGATGAGGGTGCAGAGACCAGCAGCGAGAAGGGTCCATGTCATCTGGGGGAAGGTGAAGAGGAGGAGGCTTCGTCGGCCGAACTGGGGGTTATTAGCTGAGGTGTTTCTGAGAGCTGCGAGTGACTTACAGTGTCGATGGTCCAGAAGGCTGGGAAAGCAAAGAGCCAGTTAACGAGACCAAAGCCGAAAGAACCAAGCATGGCTTGAAACTCGGTCATGGAGGCCTCCTTGAAGACAGTAGTAGAGTAGAAAGCAATAATGTTGATACCGCACATCTGCTGGGCAATCATGACGGTGAAAGCAGCCAACGAAGCACGACGCACACGGGGGATTGTGAAGAGCTGAGTGAAGCGGCTGACATAGTTGGTCTGTCCAACAAGCTGGTCCTCAATCTCGAGCTGGGCGCTGATGTAGTAAATATCGCGGGCAACCTGGATGGGGTCGTGGCGCAGCTGCATCAGAGACTCCCAAGCTTCGGGGTATCTGTTCTTCTTCATATACCAACGGGGAGACTCGGGGCAGAGGTAGATCAGACACACGAGCGGCACTGCAGGGATAAAGGGGGCTCCGAGCATGAGACGCCAGTTGATGGAACGGTCAACGTGGAAGACTGCGAGGTTGAAAGCTGTGCCTAGAAAGATTCCAAAGGCTGTCCACATCTGCCACGACATGACTAGGGCGCCTCGTACGGAAGCGGGAGCGTTCTCGGCGGCGTAGATGGGCACGGTTGAAGCCTTGACACCCATGCCGATACCCATAAGGATACGGCAGGCTAGTTGCTGCTCCCAGGTGTGGCAGAAGGCAGAACCGATGACGGGCCAGATGCAGAAGTGAGCCGAGAAGAAGATGACACCGCGACGGCCCCAGAGGTTGTTGATAGGGTCGGAGAGCCAGCAGCCGATGAAACTATTCTTGTAAGTGGTGAGTTTGTCGAGTGGATGAGAAACACTTACGCAGAACCGATGTAAGGACCAGCATTTACAATACCAACCAGAAGCTTGTCCCTTGTAGTCTTACCACCAATGCCATAAACCTCGGGGAAAAAGATGTTTGCACCATTGGAACCAGTCTGATCCCATCCCTGCACCGCAGCACCGATGGAGCACGTAGCGATGGTGAGGATGAGCTTCCAGGGCATGTCCCAGCGGTGCGTGACCTCTCGCTCAAGGACCTCGACCTCGCGGGCTGTGAGCTTGTGCTCGCCGTCAATATGGCGGATAGACTTTGGGTTCTGGGCTACGAGAGCGCCCTTTTTGAGGACGGGGATGTGGTCGGTGAGACCTTTGCGCTCGGCCCAGGTTTCGACGTCGGCCATTAGTTGGGCCTTGGGGATTCCCTCGAGGGGGTTCTTGATTCTGGTTCACTGTTAGAGGGGAAGATGTGGTGAGGATTGAGGAGGGCGTACTTGGCCTCGAGGTTGGTGGTGAGGTCGGCTGCTTGCTCAGCCATGGTAGCTGAGGGCTTCTCATCGTCATGGGACATTTTCATGGGTCGGTCATCAGTAATGACATCGGGCTGAGTGCCCTTTGGTCTGCGATTGTTAACAATTGCTCTCTACAGATGAGAGCTTGACATACTGGTAATCAGCCATTGTGGGCGTCGATCAAGAAGCAGCGCTTCAAACTCTGTAAAAAGAACAAGACTGAACTCAGGGAAGAGGCCTAAGAGAGTCTGTACGCTTCTTATGTGAGACAATGGAGAAGATGAAGTGGATGATCTGGGGAAATGAGGAGCGACACGACGGGTATTTGTGTCTCTTGCTCTTTCCCCGTCGATCCCCCAGATGGAGAAAGCCCGTCTGTTCTCCATGGAGAAGAGTAGTAACCCCAGGTCCTTCCCCCCGTCCCACAGTCATTTCCAAGTTCAAGCAGCTTCCGGGGATAGGAGATCACCGGGGGCGTGTGTGTCATGAGTTGGTGTACCATGGCCATGATGGGACAAGGAATCGTCTCCGCGAGGACGCTAGTATCCCGCATACTATACGAAAAACGGATAACCGTAAAGAGTATTTACACTCCACAATGTCATCTTCTCCACTGAACACACTCACTGAGAGTCGAGTTTCGACGTCGTGGTTCGAGGTTCAATTCTCCACAACCTCCTCCAACAAACCCCCAGCTTAGAAGTGGAGTCTTTTGCAGATCCTTGGCATCCCCTGCTTGACTATCGGCACATGGGTCCCTGTTCGGGCCGATAGCCAAGAGCGTGTGGCGGTTCCTATCTTCTTAACCGCTTTACGCAGTGAGAACCAGCCTTGATTATTAGTCAATTATGTATCTATTTTCTCTTATCTTCTTGGCAAAAGCTTGCTCGATGCGAAAAACACGTTCTGCCAAGTTGCGTCACAACTGAAAGAAAGTGAAAAGATCTACACGACTTTGAGGAAAAACGAGCAAGCCACGATCCACAATAAAGAGAAGATCTTTTCCCACGCCACGATCGTAGCTGAGAACGGACCAAAAACGGTCTCCATCAGACGAGAAAGAGAGACATTGGAAGCCAGGCAGCAGAATTCCGAGACTCTTGAATGGATGGGCGGTTCCCGTTGACAAGGGGTGTGTGGGACGGCAACTAACAACACTCTCTACCTCTGACATCAGATTAACCAGGGGCGTCTCTATTTTCTCTGTGATTTCTGACAACGAGTCTGGCGGCATGCGTCTCCTGTGTAGTGTAGCACTGCATCCGTTTCCCGGCTGGGCATCGAGATAAACGACCACATGTCTCGCCCTTCTACTGCTGATCACGACCGTATACGAAAACAGCCTCGACGCCCGGCTCTTTCCCTGAAACAAGCAACATGGGAGACAAGCGTTTATTCCCGTTAGTAACGAAAGCGGCTGGAGAGTCCGTGTCAAACAAGCGCAAGGCAGCAGAATAAAAAAAAAAAGACTCCACGAGTCATTTTTCGCATCTTGCAAGCGAGGTAATATCATTGGTAAATCTTTGCCAGCCGGATAACCTGATGCGGTTGTTCCCATTGAATAAGCTCACATGGTTTTGTTGCTATCCTAGTGCCCTCCAGTGGTTGTAGAGGGTGTGTTGAAGGTATTCGCTCTTTGAATCCTTCACCAGCCACTGATATCATGACATGGAGATCCCTTTATTGATGTGAGGCTCGAGAATATCATTTTGAGCTCACGTGGACTTGTTTACGCCATTGATCGTACTCAATTATGTTTAAACCTTTGATCTTGATGCAATGACGTTCATAAAAACATCGTGACCGTTGATCAGATCCCACCAACATGTCCAATTGACATTGCCTCAACCCCGGAACAAACTTCCCGTCCCCAGTCCAACCTCTTTAAGCCATGGAGACATTAGTGGCGTGCTCTCACAACCCAGATCTCGGGGTTAGATGTCGGGGTCTCCAGACAAAGAACGCCTCACGCTAGCTATCCAACCACTCACGATGAGAGAAATGCTTCAGCCTGAAAAGTGAGGGGATTTAATCGGGGATGAATGCTAGCGCGGGCGTTGACATTGAGGTTAATCGGGCGTTGGAGGCGGGTTGAATATCAAACGCCTCCCGGGCGAACGCCATGTCGATTTTGGCAGCTCGAATTGGGTTTGACTTTAAGGTGCTGTCAGATCCTTTGAGGTTGAGTGAGAGAACGGTGAGACATGGCTGATTCGAGTTTCCTTCTTTGATTGTTTATTCTAAGCGAGGTCGGGCATCAAGGTGTTCTTACAACGTAGTAGTCACTCCCAGATAATCTCACGATGGCTTCGCCCTCCCCCTGTGTTGGAGTAACTCTCCCCTGGTCCATTAATTGGAGTATCATGACTACTCAGGGGGACATCACCCACAAGAGCAAAGTCCCCTGATCATCTCTCGGTTCTCGGCACGTCAACCGAATCCCTCGCCCGTCTCTCGAACTAAAGACATCAAAAACTGAACAAGAACAACATCCCACTGGTCCAACTGAAGCACCCGCACATGGACCTGGTTCTAGATCCTCCCAAGAGCCGCACTACGTTGCATCCCCTGCCCCTGCAACCTCCAGGCAACCGAATTAATTCTTCTTCTCCCCAACTTCTTCTCTTTTTATTCTGCTGCCTAGAATCTCTCTCCATACCGCTTCTCATCTTGCGGGGTCTCCGTGCGGAGTTGAAGTTGGGGAAGTGAGGTTCTTCTTGGGCTAGACTCTTTTTCTCCTTCCTTGTTTGACTTGGTTCAAGTCCATCAGGTCATTAAGAAACAAGCTATGACATCATTGCCACTCCGGCCAAGTGCCGAGTTCCTCGTCTCCGCTGCGGCTCACCCTTGTTCGTCCATGTGGGGAGTCCTTGGCGCATCCCGTGATAACATGATCTTTCTCAAACGACATGAAAAAGGGCGACAAGGTGAATTTTCTTACAAAACCTCGTCTGACTAGTCTACCCCCTGGCGGGGATTTCATATTGGGCTTGATATCAGCTAAGACCATCGTGACATTTCGGACTTGACCGCTGCAAGGAGGGAGTAAAGTGTGAGCATGGATTCCTACTCAAGCAACCTCCTTGTGTCGTTTCCTCTTTTTTACTATTATCCTTCAAAAATCCTTCTTCTAGCCCTTGTTCCCTCAAGTTTTGTTTCAGCTTAGAGGGCAATTTAGTGTGAGCGTTAGAAAACCAAAGGGGAGATTCAGCAAGGTCACTAGGGCTGGTACACGTGTATTAATGGATAATAATCCAAGGCAGTGAAGTCAATGAATTATTATTCAATGCTTCCCTTGCAATTCCCTTGTTATCTTTATTAAGTCATATAAAGAAAGAAGAACCAGTGCGAAGTTCACATCATACCCGCTTCTTACGAAATAACCACTCTGCTGCCGCACATTCTAATCCTACTTTTTCAATGACATAGTTGTCAGGCATATGATCAAATAACACACTGAAAGACACACAGCAACATCAAAACCCAATGCTACAAAACACCATAAACCTAGATAAAGTTAAGCTTCTATAGCCATAGAGGCCTAGTAGCAGAAAGATAAGCCTCGCAGTGTAAGATGCCACCTTTCCTTTTTCTACGAGATGTTATATTTCCTAGCTTACTCCTCTGGCTTGCCATCGACATTTCCATCATTTCAATTGTCCTTATTCATCAAAATGACCTCTACAACGCATAGAGTCCTGATCAGGATCTGCTGACGGGACGACAATTCGGACTGGGATGGGTGGCGGAGGCCGGACGATTGTTTGGTATGGTGACAGTGACAGAGATAGGTTTATCAGGAAAAGCTCGATCTATACACTGTTACTGGGGTTATTCGCGGAGGGGGCTTAGAAAAGTTATTAAACACGGCTGCAGGAAGAGATGACTTTGACACACAATAAATCCGAACACACGGCTGCTGCGGCACATGTCGCACAAAATCCACGTTAGAAGCAGTTGAGTCCATCAATGAGAACTCGGGCTATTTTCAAAGAATGAACACTCAGACGTCTTTTGATTTCTGCCTGCTCCAAGCTAGTCCGCCTCGAATCCAGGAAATCTCATGTTCCACCTCTCGGGCAATGACTCCAAGCCGAATGTAAAGTTCCTGGCTCAGCTACCCTAGCACCACACGTTCGCAGAAAAACATGACATACTGCGTCAACCTCTGTTTTCTGAGGCAAAAAAGGTCCCTAAATATACATAAAAATACTCAAAGATTTATGATATTATTCCTTATTTTTATCTCTTATTTAGCGTATAATTCGCTTATTATGTGAGGACTCTTTGCTAAGTATAGACATTCTGGTGTCTCAATTTTTTTTACGTCCGGGTGCCTGGATGGACTCAGGTTCGGAGGAGTAGACCAGGTGTGCTTGAAAGGTGGGAAGACACCAGAGGTCATGGCGAATGATAGTTGAGGGGAAAGATAAATGAGAGAGTAGAATCTGTGAGTAAAGAACTGTCTGAAAGGGCGATGCTGTGAGAGTTCGCGGGTGAATGAGCTTGGAGGTTCGAGGTAGGTTGAAGAGTATGCCTATTCATGCATTTTTTGTGCCAGCTCATCGCAAACGACATCAGGCACGAATCCGAATGTTTCCTGAAGACTCGCGTCTGGGAGGCCCCCCGTTCCAGCCGCATCCCGTACACGATCCATGACTTCGTCAAGTTGGCCAGGACTTACTACAACATTGGTTTTGATGCGCTGAAGAGGGTGAAGGCCCTCTCTCCAAGCGTGCTGCAACAAAAATCATGGTTGTGCAGTCCGTTTCGCGGGCCGAAGCCCCCGACCTTGCAGACTCTCTTGGACGACGCGTGGGGACATCTTGGAGCGATCTCAGACGCCATTCCATCAACTGCGTGCGGAAATCCACTGCCGAGAGGCCTGATCCAGGGATGACGTTGTACTCAATGTCGGCAAGCCCCTGGAAGAAATCGTTCCATTTTGTGGCGGCATCACCCATGTGGCAACGCCGAGCATCTTGACGGAGTTGACTGAGGCCGTTCCACATGAATATCTTCTCCTGGGTCGCTCCAACATGAACCAGGTCATGGACCGCCTTGCCACCATCGCCGACACCAAAGCAGAGAGTGGTGACCATGGGGCTCGTTGACTCGGGTACATGTTTCGTCCTCTCCTCGCCAGCGTCGGGGGGGGTGCGTTTCAAGTTGGAAAAGGTTGGTATGGGATTGCGCTGGTCGTAGATCTCAGGCAGGGACTCTAATGTCAAGTGAACGACATCAGTCAAAGCTCTCATGAAAGTGTGTCTGGGATGTGTGTCTGGGATGCAACTTACCAGCAAAAGACTTCAGCGACTGTTGGGATAATGTTGCTTGCCGAAGGCGGTTATGGAAAGCGTCTGTATTCAGCATGACCCAAAAGCGAATCTCCCGAAGCGAGACAGCCGGCACCGCATGGCGATTTGAGTCAGTGACCTCATCAAGCTCATCCAACTGAAGTTCGCTATAGTCGATGGCATTGGTGAGTTTGGTCTCCTCCAGCTGCATACCGATCAAGCCCACCCGAAGGCACCACCCCAGGGCACTTCACCAAAACGATCCCAGGCCTTTACTTTTGTAGCGATAAGTGAAAGAATAATTGTTCGCCAAGATCCGTGCAATATCATGATTTCTTCATTTTCGCATCTGGAAGGTGCGATCTTTGGTGATGGGCCGACTCTTCAGTGCTTGGCAACACCACACGGACCAACAAGGGGAATAATGCGTTCATCGATTCGGTTCGCGTTCCTGAGACAACAAGGTCGAAACAAGCTTCGATCCCGCCAACATTTGTTTCCGGAGCTAATGTCGATCTCGGCAAGCTCCCCTCCAATGGAGCTATTTTTCTATGACGCGGTGATGGTCAGGGGAGCTGTCATGACGACACCGAAAACAGCCATGTAAGAAGTCTTTAAAACTCTGTGATGGCTTGCTCAAATTGAGCTGGGACAAATCGATCAATTGGTCTATGCAACTCGACTTCAACCACCTCAATTAGAGACAATATTCAACCGCCAAAATGAAGGGCAAAGACCAAGTCATCCAAGAGTTCAATGAGCTCGTCAACATGTCGGCCTCTGAGCTGGAAAAGTGGCTCAAGTCGGATGACTCCAACAGCGCGGGCTGGCCAAAGGAGGACGAGAACGGCGAGACGGTCGGACACGATAGCGGACGCAAGATTGTCGAGATTCTCAAGGAGAATCCCGAGAAGGATGATGAGAAGTACACGGACGAGCAGGTTGAGCATATGCGCAAGGTTGTTTCTTACTGGTAGGGTTATCATTGCAGTCTGATGGGGGCAATGCTAACTGTGGTATAGCAAGCGTCATCTTGCTCAGGAGACCAAGAGCAACAGCGAAAAATCGGCCGAAGAGGTTAAAAAGACAAAGTCATACGCGTCGCTGAAGAATTGGGGCCATGATTTCCTCAAGGCTCGGGGAAAGGAGGATGATGAGAAGGAAGAGGAGGAAGAAGAAGACGACAAGCAGACTGGCGACAAGCGAAAGACGACTCAAAATCAGTCTGGGCCAAACAAGAAGAGGGAGACTGCAAAGGTAGAGTCAGAGGCCAAGGACGAGGAAGAGGAAGAGGAAGAGGAAGAGGAAGAGGAAATAAGCGAAGAGGATGCGGACGAGCCAAAGGAATCCAAGACATCCAACGGCAAGTCAAAGAACGACAAGACATCCAAGGAGGAAGACGACTCTGCTCCAAGGAAGGGTCCCAAGAAGGGCGAGACTGTGAGCTGGAAGTGGGGACAAGGGGAGCCAGAAGGAAAGGTGCTCGACGTCAAGGCAGAAGAGTAAGATGGCCCAAATTTGTGTCATGGTACGTGATACTAACCAAGACCAGGACTTCAATCAAGACAAAAAAGGGTAATGAGGTTACGAGGAAGGGAGATGAGGAGGATCCGGCTGTTGTGATTGATACGGGGAAGAACAAGGCGATTAAGAAGAGTCATGAATTGACAGAGAAGTAGACAGAGTATTAAAGGCGAGAGTGCAGTTTAATAGTAGCTCAATAACAATCAAGAAACGCCAAACTCAGAGACCGACGGTTAATAACCGTCGAATACCACTTGCAATAGAAATATTCATCAAAAATCATCGAATGATGCAAAAAAGAATTATAGGAAAAGCCCGATGCGGGGGTCGAACCCGCAACCTTGAGATCGTGTACTCTGAGTAAGAGTCTCACGCTCTACCGATTGAGCTAACCGGGCGTCTTCGCCCGGGCATCAAGCCCGTCGTGAGATGGTGTTGGAGGAAAGAGCGAGTAAGCTGTCTTATACCTGGATGCTTTCTTCCAATTGTAATGTTGTCACTCAGCGCAGATTGTCCGCCAGGGCACGACATCGTCTTCAAGTACACCAGATTTGAAGCTTGGGTTGAGTAACAGTTCAGTTGCTTTGGGCAACCAATACTTGGCAATCCTCAATTACACAGAAATCTGTATCTGCATGTAGACCGCAGGTTTACTCAAATACAGGCTACCTATCCAATCACTTTGACTCCAATGCCTCCTCTGTAGGGTAACTTTGCAAGCTTACCGTCAGCGGGGTTGCGACGCGTCCATCCACTGTGGACCACTGAAGCGCGGGACAGCGCCCGCTGAGGGTGTGGGGGATTGCCCGCCCATTGTTTCATGATGTCGCTTCGCTTTGGTTGGAGACGAGAGCCGAGAGCGGGCGGCGCAGCTGAAGGAAGCTTTGCTATCGTCAGTCAACACAAACTCTCCTCTTCTCCTCTTTGCCAGAGACGCTTCTCCTCCCCCGGTCGTCTCTCTCTTTTCTTCTTTCTTTAGGTCTTCTATCATTCTTTGACAATTTGTTTCTCATCAGTATATCGCGCCTTTCGTTCCCCCCCGCTTGCGTCACTCGCGATATGCTCTCTGCGCTGCCTTCTCGACCGCCATGACAAGTCGTCCTCCATCATGTGAGAAGCTCAAGATGCGATAGACATACAAACAATCAACTAAACTTGCTCCAGGATTGAGCCGTCGATCCGTATCCGCCGCGCAATCCATGCCAACGATGCCACCCTCCTCCGTCGAATCCTCAAGAACCATCCCTCTCTGCTCCTCAACCCAGACTCGTCACCCTCGGGCCTCTCCAATTCCAACATGCATCTGGCCGCTCAGCTGGGCCATCGCGAGATATGCGAAGTACTCCTAGAGCTTGGCCATGAAGATCCATGCCCTGCCCTCAATGAGAGCCATCAGACGGCGCTGATGCTCGCTGCGGCTGCTGGACACACCGAGGTGGTGCACCTCCTCTGCGAGCACGACAAGACGTGTATCCTCCGTCGCGATATTCGAGGTCGCGATGCTGTCATGGAGGCTAGCCTAGGCGGTCACGACACCATCCTCCAGCTGCTCCTCACGTACGTCCCAGGCGGACCCTACGATGCCGTCCGGCGCTCCGACGTCGAGGGAAACACGGCGCTGCACTTTGCGAGCGGGAACGGGAACCTGCTGGTGCTGCGGACGCTGCTGGCGGCGGGCGCAGACATGCACAAGCGCAACATCTGGAACTGGACTCCGGCCGCCTACAGCGCGACGGTCCAGGCCGAAGTCTACCTCAAGGGTTTGGTCAACGAAGTCGGGAAGCGGCAGCAGCAGAAGAGAGAGATTGAGACGGCCAAGAAGGGCGCTGGACTTAGAGTCGTTGACCCCATGAGTGACGATGAATGAGGCATTTGGAGTGGGTTACTCGGTGATGATTTGTTTTTTTTGCCAAGATGCAATGTCATGGTTTCACCGGCTGGGCTGAATTGCACACATGCATTCTTGATTCACGTTTCTACTAGCAAGCTGCGATTCGCCATGTTTTTTTCTGTGTTACTATATCACGACCTCTTTTTTCACTCAGCAGGCACGGAGTTAGTCTGAATTGATGCTTTTACCACTGATTCTTCAACTTTACTCGCTATCAGCTGGTTGAACTTGTGACGCTTACGGCCCTGAATCAGGCTCTCAACCAGTCAATTCACAACAGTGCCATCCCCAGTAAGACCCCCGCCGATCTCATGCATAATTACAGATGCAGGCTCCTTGTTTCAAGGAACCAACCTTTCACAGGCTCTGACAGGCTGACGGGTCCCTCTTTGAGCCTCACCCATCCAGAGTCCTTTGCCCGGTCAAGTGATGGTGTAGAGAAAAGGGCTGCGTGCCATGCTCATGTGTGACGCACCATGGCACCGGTCCGGCCGCGTATCACGGCAGACATGACATGGGCCCAGTGCCACGCGCCCGGCTCTACTTCTCTTGAGACTCTTGTTAGCCTTCGTCCAGACAAGCCCCCTCCTTGGATGTCCTCCCTCTTGACGTAATGATTGGTGAATCACTTGTAGTTTATGGGTTGTCTCGTCTCCAAAAGACACACACTCACCATCTCGACTCTTTTCTGACTTGAATCATGGTTCAACACTCGTTACTTGATCATGTCCATTCCTCTGCCTCAGCCAACTATATATTGGACAGCCTCGTCTTACTGGTCTCCTGCCTTTCCTCGTGAGAACTCATCAGCCTTCTCAGCTCTTCGCCTCAGCCTCTCTTTACCTCAGACGATCCTCCTCCATGTCCAGCGACGCTTCCGCACCTCTCCGCTGCAGGACCATCGACGACGTCAGCCTCCCCGCGCCCGCGACAAAGCTCATCATCACCCAGCACCTCGAAGCCTCCCGGGACTCTCCGTACTGGGCCTGGATCATCGTGGGCGCCTTTTACGACAGTGACAACAACATCGTCTGGAGCACCGAGATCTTTGCGGGTCACCTGGACGTTGAGATCGACTCTGACGAGGAGAGTGGTGACGGTGAGAGCGTGAGTGCTTCGTCTGAGGTTGGGCTGAGTGACTCTGAGGACACGAATTCAGCATCAGGTACGTCTTGCTTCTTGCATGGGATGTAGACCATTCACTTCCAGAATTGGTCTATATAAACCCCCAGTACCCCCCTCGAGCTCCCCTTTTTCTGATGGCTGTCCAGACATCTACTCTTCCGGCTCAGAAGACGATCTCAACATTGGCCTCCCTCATCGATACCGAGACGAAGCTCCTCCTGCCCCCGAAGTTCGACAAGTCTACCCTTACTGGTACGAGAGTACGCCATACGTCGAACCCTCTGTCGATTCCTACGCCGCGACCTACGCTCCCCTCCCCGAGACCTACGCTGCTCCCCCCGAGACCTGGGACCCTACGCGTCAAGGGCCAGTACCTGGATACTGGCAAGCCTCGTTCGACCCTGAGATCCGCCGTTGGGTTCACACCTGGCAGCCTTTGTGTTGACGACCTCCTCCTCTCTCGACACACCTCGTCACCATGTCCGGCGGCTGGAACCCCGTTTCTGGACGCGATGCGTCTGGTGCTCGTCCTGCCTTTGCCCCCGTTGGTGCCCCCATGCCGACGCCAGGGGAGCCATACATCCCTCACTACGGGGGTCCCGCGCCTCAATACCACGGTTACGTGACTTACACCGGTGGTATTCCCTACAGCCACCTCGCCCCGCCCGCCTACCCCATGCAGCCTCCCATGGGTGGGTTGTACGCTCAGAAGACGTTCGCCTACCAGCCCAACGGGACAGGCAATGTCCCTCGACAGCCTCAACCTCACCCCGCCATCGACACCAACATGCCAGCCGCCCAGATGACCAACTCCTCCGGTGGAGTGGGATGTGAGCCTGGCTACAACTACTTCTTCCCCGCCGAGCATGCCAAGATGCATGTCTTCAAGAGCAAGACACCTCCCTGGCAGCTCCCCGAGAATACTCGGATCCCCTTCATCGCCTCTCACGTCCCCTGCGGGACCAAGCTGGGCGACCTGCTCAAGGGATTCGGCTGCACCAACCCGGTGCCCAAGAAGAACCTCTGCTTCGAGGTCTACGCTGGTGGGAATGGGAAGTGGTACAAGGGATTCTGCTTCGCTGGTGATGAGAAGGAGCAGCTGAAGAAGACGATCAAGGATGTTGGTTGGGGGCCGGACAGGACTGGAGAGCCGGGCGCGAAGCCCATTGTTTGTCTTTGGTTCTGCAAGGGTTGATGAGTTTGAGAGATACCCCTGGGATTTTTTCTGTTCTTTGTGGTTTAGCATTGGGAGTTTGAGGCGCTTAGAGGCGTAGTCGGGTGCACTGGTCTGTTTTTCATAGTGAGCTTTGTTGCTGATGTAAATTGATTGCTCATCTTTTGTACTTCTGATGCCACTTTGATCCCCTCTCGAGGATATGCCAGTGTCTTTGCTTCGGTATCTCGTCTTTGACTCACTCAGTATGGCTAAGGATACGGCAGGTATCAGGATTGAATTTTCATGATGAATTACCTCTATCGTATTCATGAGTATCACCCGCTGTAAACTTGGCAAACCTGGTATCCCTTAAGCGCCAACAGCAAATAACAACGCCCCTTTAATACATCATCAACAAGCCATTAAATCATCATACGAACTCCTTCAGTCCATGTACTTAATCTGAACATTCTGCACCTCTGTATTGGTCCCCACCCGCAGATGCCACTTTGGCTGACCCCCCTCAAATGTCATGGCTAGTGCAAGGTCGTCGTACTTCCTCCACCCTTCAGAGGGATTTCCTACTCGCTTCCATTGATCGATGGGTTTATCCCAGTCGCACTCGATCTGGCAGAGGATCTTTGTGCCTTCGCGTCTTGTGGGCGGTTCGGACGCGCGGCTGTATCTGATGGAAAAGATGCATTTGGGTGGGAGCTCGTCTTGGACGTATTTTGTGTAGGGGACCTTGACTGGTGAATGGCGTAGTACTTCCTCACCCTATTGAGATGTCAGATACCTCGTGATGGTTAGTTTATATCACATACCTTGACTAGATACCACTTCATCCGATACGTGACGTTCCTCCCCTCTGCATCAATCTCGACTTCGTCCTTATCCTTGTCAAAATCGTCGAGGAATTCGACGCTGCATCTTACTGCGATGCCATAGCTATATCGTGACTTGCGAGAGGTGACCTCGGGGAGAGACCTTAGAATTCTCTCCTTTTCTTGACTGGACGATGCATGGGTGACGATGCCGTCTCGTAGCAGCCGCATAACACCACCAGACGCTACGGCTGACCACCTGAGTACTGTCAGTTATGAGCCCTTTTCTGAAAGAAGTGACGAGTACGAACCGGGAATGGGGCCGGAGTACTGTGATGTTTTCATATAGAGCTTTGAGCTTATTGTAAATATAAGGAGAGTCGCCCAATCCGCCTACAAGGAAGATGTGCTGTCCAGTGTTAGTCTCAACATGATCACGGCACACAAGATTCTACTCACATTCGGTCTTTGGCCCGTCGCCTGTTTTACTCGTCTGAGTTGCTCGCTAATCAACATTCGGATACCAGTATACGACTTGTCAAAGAAGAATCTCATCTCCTCGCTGTTACACGTCAGCCAGGCTCAACCGCAGCTTCTAGGTTAAACTTACCTGGTTAATCGAAACTCGGTCTTTTTCCTCACCCGATTCCATGCCCTGACTGCCTTGATGGGTGCATCAAACACGAAATCGGGCTGCTCGGGTTGGCCGTTGAATAGTCTCTTCGGGTTCATCTCCCATCGCGCCATGAAGGATTGGTATTCGTCACGCCCGAGGTCGTTGATCTTGAGGCTCGTCTTGGTGTAGAGATGGTTCACGAATGCTTCATCGATCAATGTCGCCCCTGCCAGCTTGCCTGTCAATTGTTAGTGTATGACGACTGAGGTTTTGCGCGAACCCAGCTTACCGTCTCCGGTTACGCATTCTTTGACCTGATAAGGACTCGTAGAGTTGATCATATAGCTGATAACATCCTAGCTTGGAATTAGACAGGATTGTGTGAATTGAGGCGGGCATCACATACAACTGTGCCACCTCCTGCGTCGCAAACGACAAATGAGTTTCCAGCCTGTCAAAACAATTAGACATAAACCTGTAATCTGCATCGTTCAGACTTGCCGCAATCTCCGGTAGACTCCTCCGCTCAAGTAATATTGAAAGCGCCGCAGCTTCAGGTTCCTGGATAAGCTCCAGAGTCGTATCGCCAGCATGTCGGTATTCGAGAATGCCCGCTGCTTGCGCCGCTCGTCTCATGGCCTCTTCGGCGTATGGTGGCCAAATGGCGGGCACAGTAATGGCAACCTTGAATGGCAGACCGTCGAGCATCTTCGTTCCAAGCTGGGCCAAAGTATGCTCCCAGAGTTTGGATAGGAATATCGCAACCACGTTCTCGGCTGATCTTCCTCGCTCTCGGAGCTGTTGTCTCGCTTCTCTCACGTATACTGCGTCCTGTATAGTATCCTTTCCCATGTCTTCTTCCCTGAGGAGTAACATCTTGAACCACCTCATGGGCTTCATGCTCGGCGCCACCTCGTAACCCCATTTTCCCGTCTCGAGATCGAGGACGCTTGGAACCTGGACGGGATCATTGTATCCGACTTCACTGCCTGGATATCCAGTAATCGGGACTATCGAATCGGAATATGTCGAGAGTGCGTACGAAACACCCGAGTACCTGTTACAGTAATGGTTAGTCCATCGCTGTCACAAACAAGAGGTAGTACTAACGTCGTTCCAAAGTCAATTGCGATTGCCAAGAACGGCCCCGCAGAGGCCCGAGGTTGGTGATAAACCATTATCGCAACGGCATCAACGGTAAAAGATGACGATGATGGGAGAGATTGCGTCGCGAGAGGAGAAGTAGGCCGAGACTTGAATGCAGCTACGCAATAATTGGGTAGTAGCCTGTTGTCTCCCTTGCCGCAATCCTCATAGCCTTACCGGAAGCCCCTCAGCGCTGATGGATGCATGAGTGTGCAGGCGGAGCTGAAAAGGCAGACTCCCACAACTGTGCGCAAGCGCTGCTGTCAGCGAACGATTGTCTCCGGCTTCTAAACGGACCTTGGTGGCGCTGCAGGTTGGTCTCAGCCCCTCGGTGTTGGCTGCGCCTAGAGACATCCTGGGCGCCTGTTGCCCGGGGGGAAACGTTACAGTGTCTCCCTCTTTAGTAGGCGGTTGCACGCTCCTACAGCGATCACGCTTCTTGGATCAGAAATCATTGCTCACTATCATCATGAGCCGAACGAGAAAAGAGAGTGAGGGGGTCATCCTCGTGATGGGCCCAACGGGTGCCGGGAAGAGCTACTTTATCAACAAGCTGAAGAGAGGCGGGGCACAAGTAGGACATTCACTCCGATCCGGTTGGTGTACTTTGCATCTCGTTCTGTCCTGAACCTTGCTAATCAAGACGCAGAGACGGCGGGATGCCAGGGCGTCAATATCGAGTTTGGCTCAGCGGAAAACGCCAGAGTCATCACCGTGGTTGATACACCAGGCTTTGACGACACGCATCGTTCGTCTGCAGAGGTTCTGTCTGAGATCACAGAGTATCTGGCGACTCAGCACGCAATGGGTATTCCCACCAAAGGGGTTCTCTATCTTCACAGGATCTTGGACAATCGGATGAGTGGCTCTGCGATGACGTCTCTGAACTTGTTTCAAGACATCGTGGGCGACTCTGCTCTGAAGAATGTCATCCTGGTTACTACTATGTGGAACAAGTTGCGAGCCGAAGACATAGCAGAAGCCGACAGACGAGAGCAGGAACTGCTCGACGACTTCTGGCGACCCATGATCGACAACGGCTCCTTCGCAACTCAGTTCCGTGGCACCAGCGACAAGGCTGCAGCGCTCGTCTACCACCTCGCTGAGAAGCAGAGCGTGGTTCTCAAAGTCCAGGAGGAAGCCTACGATCAGGAGAAGGCGGTTGTCGACACGTCAGCCGGGGCGAACCTGAACCACAGCCTGCAGGAGGATGAGGAAAAGTACAAGAAGCGACTGCGGGAGCTGGAGCGAAGACTGCACAGGCAGATCGAGCTAGGCGACAAGGAACGGCAGCGAATCGTTCGGAGGGAGATTGCCGCTGTCGAGGCTGTACTCAAGAGGCTGAGCATGTCCCTAGACCATCTAGCGGACCGTCAAGGATCTAGGGCGCGCATCAGACGGTGGTACAGGGAGACATCGGTAAAGATACAGGAAAACGGAGTGGGCATGGCCTTTATGGCGCTGGCTGCCGTCTTCAACATCACCGTGTCCATTGTGAGACTCGCGGGTGGTGTTTGAAGGTGACGAATGCGACGGTTTGCCGCGACCCTTGCGCGTGTCTCGGTCTTGATTCGTTCAACGGCAGCCACAGCTGACCAGGTGCATATCATCCACGGCTAGGTGCATCCAAATCCAGCAATAAGATAACGAGAATTGGCAGCCTGCTGTTGATTAGGCCGATGTGTGACTGCCGACTGAGCTGCCACATTGATCCAGCTCAGCCTCCGCCAAGATGTACCCTCGTCCGCCCTGCCGAGAGCCTTAGGCTGCTTTGGCGGACCATGGCGACCCATCTCAACCTAGTTCGCATCGACTTTCGAGAGTCATGGCGCGGAAGCCTTCGGGGCTGAACTCTTGATGAGAACGACTCTAGGGCCCTCAGTTGCCCTCGCAGTATGGACAAGATCAACATGAAGACCACCAGCAGAGATGAGATGAAGAGGCAGGTTCTCGGGCCTGAGTCTCCTCGTACCTCACCCCCAATGAGCCTTGGGGCGTCGCAACCTCAACAGCCTCAACAACACGATAGACCAGGAAGAGAACGCATCCCCAAAGCATCGACAAATGGAGTACGATCACAGTCTGCTGAACCCAGCCGCATGCCATCGATCTTTAGATCTATGGCCAGAAATGCATCAAATGTCGCGAGGTGGTATAACGACAAAGCCAATGCCAAATACAACCATCAAGGGCAGATTGATCCCCCAATAAATGGGGTCAGAGGTCCGAACAAGCTGAATAGAGGTGGCCGCCCAACGCGGAGCAACTCGTTCGCGCATCCACCATCCAAAGGTCGACACTGGCAGGGTGAACCCATCTCAGGACCCGTCGAGAGGATTCCCCCGAAAACAGCTAGGAAGACCGACCAGACCGACGAGGACATTGATGACGAGACTACCGCAAGAATTCTCGCATCTCCGAACCACAGCGATCCTGTCATCAGCCAGATCAACGCGACGATGGAAGATGACGATGTCCGAGTATCTCCCCCAAAGTTGGGGCCTGTTGAGTCTGGCACATTCGACGTCCAGATCAATGATGGGGACACAGACAAGAAACTGAGCGAGCTCCAACAACAGCTCGATGACAAGGATGAGCTGATACAAGACTTAAAGAACAAGCTCCAGAAAAAGGAAGAGAGCTTGGAGTTCATGCGAAAGAAGGCGGCAGACGCAGCGGCCAAAGCGGCAAATATGCCACCTGCTCTAGTGCTTCTACGATCAGATGAAGAGCTAATCAACGGCTGGAACGACCTAGCTCACGAGATCAGCAACTTTGTCAGGGGCTACCTCAAGAACGTAGATCGGAAGAATAGAGAAAAGTGGGTGACGACGAACAAGAAGAAACTCAAGGAGATCTCCCCCAGCTACAAGAAGATTGCAGCCGACTCGAAGCATCTGCACTGGTTGATAGAAGCCCTGATATGGAGGTTGCTATGCCAGCAGATCTTTGGAAGCTCTACCAACGAAGCGCCCGTCGCCTGGGGAGGCCGACACGGGGATATTCTCGCCCAGTTAGGTATGCACAGTGTGTCTTTCGTCAAACCTCATACTTACAATTGTTCATAGGCAACGCTCTTATGGAGAGGCTTGAACCGGAGGATGAACGATTTCAACGTCTCTACCACCACTGGAAGGCTCTGAGCACGAATCTCTTCGACATGGCGGGCTTGCAAGAAATGGCAGAGGCAAGAGTGAACAAGATCATGGAAGTACTGGGTGGTGGATTGGGAGATCTTCTCTCGCCGTCGGCCGCCAAAGACACGCTCTATCTCAAGTGTCTACTGAGCATCGTCCGTAACGCCACGTCTCTTGACCGGTTGTTCTCGGGTCAGATGAAGTGGTATCTAGCGTACTACCCGCCTGAGAGGCATGCTAACGAGCCAAGGCCAAGTCGGATCAGGTTTGCGACGAGTAATGGGTCTGCTGCGAGTGACAGGTTCACTATGCGGCCGGCTCTTTGTCGCGCTGGAGGCGGTGACGGGGAGATATACAATGGCTTCAGGCAGATTGTGGCTCATGTGGTGAAGCCATAGCGAGGAGTTTAGGTCTCTGGGGAGTATTGGGAACATTAGAAGGAGTTGAATTGAGTTGGATATTGATTGTATCTTGAGAACAAGCAAATCGGAAAGATGATGCACAGAGTACAGAATCTAGATTAATTGATGCACTCCACTAAACCAAAAGAGGAAGCACCCCCACCGCGGGGTTCTAGGCCAGGGGAGCGGGAGCGGGGCCATTTTTCGCCGCTGCTTCGAGGCCGATCCCGCAATTCGCATCCCATAGTGATACTTTTTTTTGTGACTCAAACACAAAAGACATCCCAGTATTGAGCTTGGCAGGCACAGAATCATTCGACTTTTCGTGTACACAAAAGCTCTACCTCTCCCACTTGTGAGTCCCCCTTTATTTTCTCCTCTTCATTCTTCTCATCCGCCTCAATTGAGCCCCTCCTCTCTTCTACCCCTCCATCCTTAGTGTCTGCCCCTCCGTGATACCCTCAACATTCTCTCCGAACCTCGTCCTCGCAAACCTGTCGCAACAACTCAATTCAAGCCGCTAACACCTCCCGAAGCTTTGAATCACAGTCGCAAGCATGTCGAACTACCCAGCCATCCTTCTCCGTGCCGAGGAGAAGCCCCTCGAGCACCGATCCTTCTCCCCCGCCGTCATCAAGACTCTCGTGGATGCCGGTTATCCAATCACGGTCGAGCGATCCTCCACGGATCCCAACTTTAAGCGAATCTTCGAAGACTCCGAGTATGAGGCTGCTGGTGCCTCTCTCATCCCTGCCGGCTCGTGGCCCACTGCTCCTGCTGGAACTCTGATCCTTGGCCTCAAGGAGATTCCTGAGGAGGATTTCCCTCTCAAGAACGACCACATTGTATGCCGAACTCCTTATATTTCTTAAGACTTTTAAATAACTTGGCTTAGTCTTTCGCCCACTGCTACAAGGTCCGACCTCCGGCTTCGTCCATCCTTCACCTGAACTAACACTCTGCAGAACCAAGGAGGATGGGACAAGGTCTTGAGCCGATTCCCTCGCGGTGGCTCTGTCCTCTACGATCTGGAATTCCTCGTGGACAGTGAAGGTCGAAGAGTGTAAGTTTCTTCTTCTTGTGCTGTTTTCATTGGATTTGATGTCGTTGTGTTGTTGAAGTTTCTGTCTTTATCCTTGCTCCCAATACTTCAGAAATCTTGATACGGGAAGTCCCTTTTCGAGAAGAGAAACCTGACTCGCATCCAAGAGAGGAACAGAGCAACCTCTGTCTCTGAAAACCCTTGGCTTGTATGCATTGGGCTTCATGCCAAGAGAGGGCTGAGGCTTGGGAGCATAAGAACGGGCTTGTGCTCGTCGGGGAGACCAACTTGGAGACAGCGGCATGCAAGTCTCTTGCCAAAGGCTCTGAGGTCAAGGCTGGGCAGTTACATGACGCCATGGCTGATTGTGATTGCCTCGAAAACCACCACAGGGTTCGCTCCTTTTAGTGTGGTTTACATTGGCAAGACACCGGACACGCTTTGGCTTTCATGCCAAGGGAGCTCTTGACCTTTAACCCCAAGAAACTCGCACGAGGAGAAAGCTCTCCTAGAGAGGAAATGCTCATGAAGATTTCTTTATCGTCAGAGAGCTTCTTCATGCGAAGACTGGGCTCTGAGCAGGGAAACTCTGGCTTCTATGCTCGGGGCTCCCTTGACTTCTTATCAAAGGGAAAGTCCTAGCCTGCAGGCGAAAGACCTTTAGTTTCTGCCTCTTGACAATATGCATTTATCTCAACAAGGGTGTTTTTTTGTTTTTTTTTCCCTTGTCTTTTTCTTTTTTGTTTTTTGCAAGGGAACTCGGACTTCCTCCCAACCCAACACCCGCCCCCCACCCCCACATCTCTGAGAGATGTGAATCGCTCCATTCAGCAATATTATCTCTACCACTTAGTTCTCGAACCCGAATTAATGATCATTAGGAGCGCATTCGGTTTCCACGCCGGATTCACGGGCGCCGCTTTGGGTCTTAAGAGCCTAAGCTGGCAACTCGCTCACCCTGGCGAGAAGCTTCCCTCCGTGGGCACTTTCACTGACGGCCGTGGATACTACCTCAACGAGGAGGAGCTCGTGAACCAGATCCGAGAGGACCTCGCATCTGCAGAGAAGGCCTTGGGCCGCAAGCCTACTGCCATGGTTCTTGGTGCGCTTGGCCGATGTGGTAGAGGTGCTGTTGACCTGTTTCTCAAGGCTGGAATCCCTGAGGAGAACATTACCCGTTGGGATATCCAGGAGACTCAGGCACGAGAGGGTCCTTATGAGGAGATCGCTCAGCACGACATCTTCCTCAACGCTGTAAGAACCCCTGCGTTGCCGTGAAACTTACAAGACCGTAAAAGCTGATTGGAAACAGATCTACCTCTCCAAGCCCATCCCTCCCTTCGTCAACGATGATCTCCTCTCTCAGCCTGGTCGCAAGCTGAGCGTCGTCATCGACGTCTCCTGCGACACCACCAACCCCCACAACCCCATCCCCATCTACTCCATCAACACCACCTTTGACGACCCCACCGTCCCCGTCACCGTCAAGGACGACCAGAACACCGCCCCTCTGTCCGTCATCAGCATCGACCATCTCCCCTCGATGCTTCCCCGCGAGGCCAGCGAGGCCTTTAGCGAGGGTCTCAAGGAGTCTCTTCTGACTCTTAACGAGCGCAAGACCTCCCGCGTGTGGGCTGACGCTGAGAAGCTCTTCAACGAGAAGGTCGCTCTCCTCCCCGAGGAGCTTCGAACCAAGGAGGTTTAGATGTGGATTCACCCCCTTTGTTTCGTTGCCTTGGGTTCATAGATGGGAATAGAACGCTGCTGAGCGAAGCGGTTGATAAGTCGCAAGCCGTTTCACGATGAATCTTGTTGGCATACAGATCGCGCGAGATATAATTCAGTGAGAAAACTTGATGTTGAATTAATAGAAATAAAGTTGACCGACGGGATGCAACTTTCAGGGGCTTCGAGCCTTGACTGACTAACCAAATTATATTAGTGCTCACAGGTTTGTACACGACATGCATGTGCCTCTGAAGTGCATTAGATGATGAGAACCGATATTTGACATGCCATTTTGGGTATCGTGCGTGTCGACGAGGTTGTCATTCCGAGATTCCCATCTGTCTTTCTGGCCGATTACATAAACTTCATTCGAACACATCCCCCAGGCCCTTTTACTATATTATTCCTGTAGTTAGCTGAACTTACAAGTATTAGCTTGTGCTGAATAGTCAAGTTCAAGTTGTAAGCTGCTGTCAAAGACATCCACCCTGAAGTGTGGGTAGTTGGCCTCAAGCATGGTTCGCGGACCCGTCATATCCGTACCTGACAAGGAACATGGACCGGGGTATGACATGGGCCGGGAAGATACTCGATCGGGAGAAGAGAGTCGCATAGTAACTAGTGATGTGTGCGACAGAGACACTGGAGTGTTGATTCACCCTGCAAAGTGCTGACTGGAATGCATTTATTGGAGATGATGCGCAAGGGGCGTATATCTACGAAGTAATATTGATGTCAACGCCAATGCTCTCTAAGGACAGTTCACTGTGCATAAGTTGGAGTGACGTAGCTTCACGTTTCGCATACGCGGTCCAGACGATCCACACCAGACGTCAACTTCGGGATGCAATGTCCAAGGTCGAGGAATGGGCGCCAAAGAAGAGGAGATGAAGTATCTCAAACAATAACATGCCCGCCTATTTTTCCGGTGAAAAAGAAGTCGAACATATCCGACTTCTCCTGACTATTCTCTGTCGAGCAACATACGATACAGCCTCATCAATCCCCAACCCAAAACATGCCTCTTGAATATACCGACAAACAGACAACACATAGATGACAATCAGCCTACCTCGAAACTTGACGAAACTGCACCCTTGGCCTATATGAGCCAAGACATGACATGATCTTCGTCTAGGTAAAACGACTTTAGTCTTGGCGTTTCCAGATCGACAGCAACAGCTCCATGTTTCACGCCAAAACATTCTCGAGGGAAGATGACGAATATAAAATAAATCGGTAACAGTAAAACTTGCGCAAAATTCTCTCAGACGATGTAACAATAATATATCATTCATTTACAACCGACGGTTTAATACTCTAACCTCGGCATCTTTGCCAAGGATGCTGTGCCCCAATCCCGTATTTTTCAGATTTGAAAAAAAATCTGATGACTCGTCGTCCTATCAACACTCGATGCCTCCCTACTGCTCGAGCCACGGACGGACTTTGCTTCCCACTTCCGGCTGGGGCCACCGTTTTCTGTCACATCGGGACCCCTGACAGAACACGTCCCCCGTCCCTGCACGACCGGGCCCTCATCTGACAGGTGCGGGTTCCTGAAATTGGAGGGATCATGAACCTGTGTCAGCCCTACCAGAATGGCCTCAGTACTTGACATGAGCGAGATTGCCTTTCGAGCAGGGGTCTGTTTGCTCTCGTAATAAAAGACCTGCTGAAGAAGACGAGACATCCCGACTCTTCCGCCTTTCTTCAACTCTGCAGTGTTGTGTTGTTCAACAAAGTCCCTTCATTCACCAGTCACTCTTTTCTAAAGTTGAGAGAGTCTTGACGATCTCTCAGCTCAACCACTCTTTAAACACCATCTATTCGTGTACCTCTTTTTGTTCGCTGCTATCTCAACCCCTTGGCTAGTTCCAGGATCGAAAAATCATCATCTATAGTATCCCCCCTTTAAGTCGATCATCATGAAGTTCCTCCTCCCCATTCTTCTCGCCGCCCCGGCTGTCATGGGCCGAGCTTGCAAGGTTCGACACTCGCACTCTTCTCAGCCCGTCGAGGTGCCAGTCAGCACCCAACCTGCTGCCATCGAGGTCCCCGATAACAACAACGGCGCCATCGTTGTGAGCACCACCGCTGTCCCCGAGGCCGTCGTCTCCCAGCCCGCCGTCGAGCAGCCTTCTACCGACGAGCAAGACAGCCCTGTCGTCTCAGACACTACCCCCAAGACCACCCTTGTCACCTCTGTGGCTCCCACCACCCCCAGCGCCAGCTCCGTCCCGGAGACTGGTTCCGGATCCGACTCTGGTTCCGGTGCTTCCGAGGATCTCGGTGGCTCGGCCAAGACCGGCTCCTCCACCTTTTACGGTGGTAACCTCGCTGGTGGAAACTGCATGTTCTCCACTTACACTCTCCCCTCCGGTATCTACGGAACTGCCTTCTCTGGCGCCGTCTGGAACAATGCCGCTTCTTGCGGTGCTTGTATTGAGGTCACTGGCCCCAGTGGCACCATCAAGGCCATGGTAAGAAGCACCACCGCTATTACAAGTAATTCTTATACTAACTCCTTCAGATCGTCGACCAGTGCCCCGAGTGCGAGGAGGGCCACCTCGATCTCTTCCCCGACGCCTTCACCGCTGTGGGCGGCACCGACGGCATCGTCCAGACATCTTACAAGTTCGTCAGCTGCGGCATCACCTCCCCTCTGTACCTGCACAACAAGGAGGGAACCTCTCAGCACTGGTTCTCCATCCAGGTCGTCAACGCCAACGAGCCCGTCACCAAGCTCGAGGTCAGTACCGACGGCGGCAGCACCTGGCAGGAGACTGAGCGCAAGGATTACAACTTCTTTGAGAACTCTGCTGGCTTCGGTGTCGACTCTGTCGATGTCAAGATCACCAGCAAGACGGGCAAGACCGTCACCGTGAGCGGCGTGGGCGTTGAGGCTGGCGCCAAGTACGATGCCGACTCCAACTTTTAAAGCAAGATAAAAACGGCGTAAAAGGGAGATTCTGGTAGTTGAGCGGCTGGGAATTCATGTGGAGAATGAGGTCGGGCAGCTGGCTGCTTTGACCTCGAGTCTCTTTGGGCCCTTGTACATAGCACTGATACCTGTAGCCAACTGCCAGTGGGGCGTTTTAGTGTGGGAGCTTTATCTTCATGTATAAATTTCACAGCAGTCTTGCTTCAGCATTGTGTCAGTCATCTATTGTGTCATGAGTCTCTACGGAGAATACCTAGGTAAACTACGGAGCTCAGAGCGAATTGCTCAGGGTAGAGTAAAAGGAAAAGACAAAAGAAATCCCAGAAGTCAAAGAAAAACATCAGTTCCAAGCTCACATGAGGTCTCATAACCCCCGGCTTTTGTCTAGGTCGTTTCATAGCCGCCTCCTTATTCGTTATCCCCAACGCCATGCCCTGTTTCTAGTTGTCCATCGACGCCAAAGTTCTCAAGAATCCGCATTTAGCAGTCAGGCCGGAGATGGTGAAAGAATCTCCCCTTGCCCTCTTTCCTAGAATTGTTAGTCCCTCTGCCGATGACCAGGATGCTGCTTGGACTCACCAGATGAAACCCAACATTCACATCTTGTCCACCGCAAGCTCCGGGAAGACAACAAGGCGGCCATTCTCATCTTTCCAAGACTTGGCGCGAACGATCTGCACTTCTCGCCTGCAAACGACTTGCAAGTCGAGTTCTTTCGAGGACCCCAAACCTTGCAGGTCGTCGGTCATCTTGATGACGTAGGATGGGTTCTTGTCACCTTGAATCTCGGGATCGTTGAAGATGAAGCTGTCATCTTGTTCGTTCTGTCGATGGATCCTCAGTGTGTCGATATCCTCGTCGCATGGTTCATCCATCAGGTCTTCTCGGGGCGGCAGGCAATTGTAGATGGCCCAAAGGCATTTGGGCTGGCCATTGCTTTGGACTTCAACGACCACACCGAAGCCAGTGGGCTCCCATACTCCATCAACGTCGTCATCAACGTCGTCATCATCGTCGTAGTCGTCGTCGTCACACTTATCGCGTGCTGTCTCCCAGTCTCCGACAAAGACACAGAGCTCCCCGAGCTGCGCAAAAACAAAACTGGTCGAGGTCTGGCTAGGATCAGATTGGGTAGAATCTGGCGTCATTTGACCATGGTGAAACCTGAAAGCCCGGTCGGTAGGTCGAGTGGTGGTGCTCGGGCTCGGAAGCCCCGTCATTTGGACAGGAATGTCGAGGTCGATGGCAAGAAGACTCTCGTGCATCAATCCAAGCTTGTCCGGGTAGTCCTTCTGGGCGCGGTCCTGGGTTGGCCAGAGAAAGGTCGAGCTGGGCTGGACAGCATACCCGGTCAAGTTGCCTCGGTGTCTGGCTGAGCCCAGGAAGATGAGAGGGTTGTTGGACATTTCCATGGCCCAGCAATGATTAGCCAGGCCATCGCTGCTGGCAAAGTTGGTGTTTCGCAGTTGCTCAAAGATCTCCTCGTCAGGCATTTGGTATAGCATCCTGTCCCTGTGTCGCCCAAGCCACTTCGTGGACCATTTGAAGAAATCGTCGAGATCTTCCGGGTTGGGCCATTCGGCCTTGAGGAATTGGATGTCGGCTGACAGGTTGAGGTGCCAGCGCTTTTCCTTTGTGCGGTGGTGCCAGTCGTAAAAGTCGCGTTCCCTGTCGGTGAATGAGTCGAAGAGCTCCTGGTCAGAGAGGGGTCGCTGGCCGAGGGGAGGAGGCGGCATCGTGGTCGAGATAGAGGACGCAAAGAGCTGAGCGATCGAAGAGAGGAGTTGAGTTGGGGGGGCAAGGAGTGAGGGGAGAGGAGAGGAGAGAGGAAGCTGGGGCTGCCGAGTGAGTGTTGGGTTTGGAGATGGAGAGATTGAGAAAGAGGGGTGAGAATGTTTGATGCGCGTGCTTGGAGGAGTGGAGTGTGTGCTTGACAGTGCCCTCACACCGGCGTGTGGTGAATCATGATTATCGAAGCACCTTAAACCTGTGTAGGTTGGGACTGGCAAATCCTGACCTCCGAATACAGGGTAGTTACCGTGGGGGAGCTGTGCGACGCTGAGGAGAGTTCTGGCTTCTTGTACAGTATCACTTTAGAGTTGTACAGTAAAAACGTTGGACATTGAGGATTGGATCGGATGTTGGGCGCTGTTCAGTCGATTGAACAAGCAGCCATGGCCCCCATCTAGACACCTGGGTACAGTGACCAATACTTACCCAGGTAGTCAAAAGTGTTCAAGCCCTTGATCATCGCAGACAAAGACGTCCAGGGACACATTATCGCCGTAGGTGCTAATCGATAGAACCAAGCCATGAGGTACACCGTACGCCTTGGCGCACCTATAATGAAGAAGACCTGCCCGTGCGCTACTTGTTATCATCAATCATGTCTCCAAGAGAGGCCATCGGCCACAATAGCGAAACTCACGCTTGTTGATGGAATCAAACAGAACTGGCAAAGTTAGTTGCTTGCAGAAAAAGACATATTTATCCATGGAGTTTCTATACACGGTGCTACCATGCGCTATCTAGCCACTCTTTAAAAACAACACCAAACCTCAAACACTTCCAACATTAGGCAGTCTCAGCGTGAGCCGTCTTCTCCTCGTCATCGTCTCCTCCCTTAAGGGCGCCAGTACGCTTGGCCTCCTCCACCTTCTCATCAAATCCTCCGCTTGCGACGGTGCTGCGCCAGGCAGGAACGTTTCCGTCAAACAGGAGGTCAACCTCCTCGAGGGTCTTGCGTGATGTCTCGGGGTAGCAGAAGAAGGCGTGGAAAGTCATGGCAATACAGAAGGTACCAAAGATCATGTACGTCTGCCACTTAATGTTGGTGAAGGAAGGAGGAACGAAAAAGGCAAGGGCAAGGTTGAAGCTGTTCACATCAGTATTTGTATACTCAGACTCTCGTCAAGCGACTTACATCCAGTTTCCAGCAGCCGCGAGACTGACACCCTTAGCACGGTACTTGAGAGGGAAAACCTCACTGGCGTAGATCCACGCAACAGGTGCCCAGGTGAGGCCGTAGACTCCAACAAAGATGTATGCCAGAGCAATGACGGCCTTGGCAGGCTTGCCCTGGATAGCCCATTTGAGAATATCATTGCCTTGATACCATGTCAGCCACTGACATATAGAGCATGGAAACTAACTTACCATCGACACTGTCGACGGGGTAACCGTGGACAGCCATCACAGCTCCGCTGGTGAAGTGGAGAACACCACAGATGACAGCACCAATGATGAGAAGCCATCTACGGCCAAGGCGGTCGATGAACGGCAGGACGACGCCGGTTGTCACGAGGAAGATGACATACTGGATGATGGAGGATGTCAGAGCAACGTTACCAGTCTATTTGTCAGGTTAGTCCGTGTTCTCATTCAGGTGTCGACATCACTTACCATTCCAGCCATGTTGAAGATGTACACGAGGTAGTAGAGCATGACGTTGCCGCCCCTGAAAACCCCAGTTAGCATGCCAACAAAGCATCATCGAGGACCAGACTTACAGCAACTGCTGCCAAATCTGTACGCTGACGCCAACCATGGTGCGCTTCCACACACCAGGGGCAAAGAGACCGAGGTATCCAATATCCTTGGACTCTCGGGCGATGCGAACAGCCTCGCGGACCTCCTCTATCTCAGCCAAGACGAGAGGGCTGTCAAGGTCACCACCGGCGTGCAGGTGGGCAAGGTTGAAGTGTGCTTCCTCCCAGCGGTCGTGCTGGGCGAGCCATCGAGGCGACTCGGGGAAGAAGAAGAGGCCACCGAGCAGGATGAAGCCGGGGATGGCTTGGATGCCCCAGGCAATGCGGAAGGCCGCGGGGCCGTCAACGTTGATGGAGCAGCCATACGAGATCAGGTACATGATAAGAATACCTGTTGTTGTCAGTCAGTGTGCTTGCTGAGACTAGAGTCAAGGACTTACCCCACTCAATCGACCACTGCTGGATACCAACAACACGGCCACGGATGTCAGAGGGTGCAAGCTCGGCGAGGTACACAAGAACCTGAGAACTAGTGATACCGACTGCAAGACCGCTGACGATGCGGCCCACGATAAGGTGGCCAACGTTCTGGGCAGAGCACTGAAGAACAGCACCGGCAATCCAGAAACCACAAGCAATCATGATAGCATATCGTCGGCCGAGTCGGTCAGCGAGAACACCGGCAAGCAAGGCGCCGATAAAGGAACCGGCAGACATTGAGGCAGTGATGCCGCCCTGCTCAGTCGATCCAGGGTCGTTAAAGTAGTCGCGATACTGGTCTGAGCCGATCCATGCGCTCATGGAGCTGATATCGAAACCAAAGAGCATACCGCCAATGGTGCCAATGGCGGCAAGCGCTAAAGGGACGTGTTAGTCAAGTTGATGGGCAGAGTCATGATGGGATTGTCTCACCATAGATGTTCCAAATTCGATACATGATAAAGAATTGGTCTCCTGGCTAGAGACTCAAAGACTCGATCAAAGAAGAGGGTGATTGATGATGATGCCGTCCCAAAACGCTATCCTCTCGCCGTGTCTCTTGGTTCTTATAAAGACTTGACAGCATCCCGACTGCCTCAAGGGTCGCGCAGCTTGGGCAGACAGACGTGGAGCGCGTGTAGAAGCGCACGTATAATATTGAAGCAATGAATGGGGCCCGTCAAGTCGTCTCAAACGTCATCCACAGTTTTGGTCGACATTAGCCCCGGGGCACCGCAAATGGTGGAGGATGGGGGGATGGACGGGGTCCCCAGGATCGCCCTCCTTGGTTACCACGCTTAGATAGCGGCTTCGAGTCGTGGGATGGCGTGTTGGGTTCATCGGCGAGCCTCATGACTTGGCCCGAACCAACAGCTGCGAGCCAAGGTGGGCGCCCAGCCGGTAATGCCACCGGTAAAAGCCGCGGAAGGGAGGATGGCGTCCAGGGCAGGGGTTCATGATTGGGGGTTTGGTGATGTTTCTGGGAGATGATGTGAAGTCTGTCACGGTCTGGTGGAAGTTGAAGCCGCCTCTGTCATCCTCCGTCAGGTACCTCGGTGGCACCTGCCCACTGTTCCCAGACCGACCACCTAAGACATTACGAGGAAGGAGCACCTCAAAGTGACCAAGGTCAACCCATGGTGAGCAACGAATTGGCCTACAGAAGAAGTCGGCGAGAATGATTCCGGAATGATATCATGGACAGGGTTCCCTGCCGTATTCATGCACTGTCACCTTATAGCGCGCGCAGGAGTCGGAGCCGCCCACGTGTGGTTGCCCGCAGAGCCGCCTTGTGCCGTGTGCCGGGCACCGGGACATCTCCGAGTGCTTGTCCGATTGATTCTCGAAGCTGTTGAGAAGGTGCAGAAAAGAGGCTGCCTCGTTCGAGACAGACTATTGGAGCGCATCTAATATTTTAATGGAGGTCGCACTGAGGGCTATGATCATAGCACGGCGTGTGTGTGGTTGTGGTTGTGAAGGGGCTCCACAGTCTACATCTTGCATCCCTGCAGACAAGATGGGTTTCTCACCTTGAGATTTTTCATGCCGAGTATCGTGATGTCTGGGTTCTCAGCTCCAGAAATGCCATGGCTCTGAATCACATCTCAGGGGTTGCTCAGCTCTGTTTGGGTCGCAAGAGTTCCATGGGCCAGTGTGTGTCATCACAGGCGCGGACTGCACCCGTCGCATGTTGCTGTGGGGAAAGGGCCGAGAGTAACGCCTAGTTTCTCCAACTCCCCAATTCCCCAGGGCCTTAATGGGAAGATTCGGGGTAGAGGGCGCCCCGGGGGGAAGACGGTCAAAGGCTAATCGTCTTCTTGGAGTCTGATGGGGGCGGTTATGTTGATACGGGCAGACGTAGCTCCATGTTCCCGGTGAGTGCTTCGTGCGCGGTTTAACAACACCAGACTCTTTATCTGTGGCATGTCAGTCAGCAAGGGGACAGGCATCTATTTCGTTGTTGTTGGTTCTTGGTGCATCAACACAGGGGACTCTTGTCAAAGTGGCGAACTGATCATCTCGTTACGGTACAACGTTTCAACAGACTTGAAAGGGTGACAAAAGGATGCGACCAATTTGTGTGACCCAAGCCTCGACACGATCGGCTTAATCCCGAGATGCAGGCCCTTCTCCAATTTCTCCAATTCCTGACTAAACAACCATAGCACCCAATTCGCTTCTCAGTCAAGAGGGTGATGGACTGATTTGAGCTGCAACACTGTCTGGCGGTTTCATGTCATGAATGGCTTACCCTGTCACACGATGCATCTGACTGAGATCTGAGGATTGTAGCCTTTGAATCTCGAGTGTTTTGCTTCTCAGACTGATCCACTTTTCAACATGAACGACGCGAGTCATTCCAATCTCGTACTTGTAAGCCACAGATAGCACCAAGAAGCCAGTGAATTTACCTGAAGCGATGCCTGTTTTTATATGCCTCATTGTTGAAGGCAAGTCCTCAGCCTGGGAAACCTGATTTCAACACCATCGTCATTGCCAAGAGACCTTTCACGAACTACGGCGACCCCTGTTGATTAGGCGCGCATTTCCCCCAGTCTACCATACGCTCCCGGACCTTGAATCGGCGCCATGAGCCCAATCTGTACTCCGTAGAACCATGATTTTATTAATTCGCAGACCCTCCTCTGAATAATCTTCCGCCTTTGTGGGTATTTTGGGACTCAATGACTTCGCCACATCGCCCTTTCTAACCCTGTCCAGGTATTCAAACCATCCACATCTACTTATGTGCTATATGCCAGAACATCGACTCAACTGGTAGTTAGCCCTCCGTGATGTTCTGGTGTCTTGTCTATTTCTTAACTGACGTACCTAAGGATAAGTACAGTTGCATGCTGGGAGCAGCTCGCAAAAAGGTGCATATGGCCCAAAAAGCCAATTGCTTGCAAGAACTCATAACAATCGGTTACATTTACAGGAAATATAATAAATTATCAAAGGGATATCATAAAAAGGCAGTACTTTAGGGCATCTTTATCCAATCTTCCTATACTCTACTGACTATCTTTAGAGGAGGATACACTCGTCTTTACCGCGCAGTATTTGCTCGAAATAACTTCTGCACACGACCAGGCCGTCTTGGCACGCCCAGGGAGGTTGAAGTCCGCAGATTGGGTAATCTCAGGGTCTGTGCATTCCTTGTAACCGATGCTAAGCTTGCAGGCAAGGCAACAAGGCACTGGGCCTTCATCCTGTGGCTGAAAGGACTGCCCGACGTGCCCTCCACAAGACCTCAACACTGGAATGTGGCGGTAGTCCTCGCTATCCGTACCGGCGGGAGGATTCGCCCTCAACCCGAGCCGCCACTCCATGATTTGGGTTCGAAAGGCATTCAGCTCAAGCCTCGGATTGGTCTTTGCCAGTATGTGGCGTTCGACGTGTATAAGACCCGAAAAGAAGTTTGCCCACCTCTCTGCATCACCGCCGGTACGAACGAGTCGAGAATCCCGACGAATTCTCCAGAAAGCCGCCCATGGCTGGAGCCGCTCCTGGGTTGCCCCAATGTGGATCATCTCATGGACTCGAGACCCGGCGCTGTCGACTCCCAGGCAGAAAAAGTAAGTCATTGGGTTGAATAACCGACTTTTCTTCTTGTCTTTCAGCATCTGTTTCCCTGGGAGGGGTTTGCGGAGCGGATATGGGCTGTCCCTTGAGTTTTCGTTTATGAGGGAAGCCTCAAGCTCGTCTGAACACGTCGTGAAATCTTAGTACCTTGCTGTTCTTATAGCAACGCGGCGAGAGAAGAGACCTACGGTAGAACTCCATGACATTACCGGAGTCAATCTCGTTGGAAAGCCTGCGCAACCGGGTCTTGGTGTTCCAAGTAACCCAGAATCGAATTTCACGAGGGGAAGCCGCTGGCACTGCATGAAGCTCAGGTTTGTTGATGTCGTCTAGGGCGGCGCATTGAGAATTGCTCAACCCCATATTGATGACAAGGTTTTGCTCAGCATACTGAGCTTCTTGGTGGACCTCCTTTGTAATCGCCAACATGGCTCTTAGGTCGTGTGGGGGGTTGGTAATCGCATCCGACATTAGCCATGGTTTTGCAGATAGTCTCCCATCAAGAGCCTCAATGGAGTCAATGGCCTCCTCGCAAATCAGATTGAAGTATCTGACTGATGCTACAAAGTGCTCTGGTTTAAAGACGAGGTCTATATGCTCGTCTTGGTCTGTCCAGCAGCGAGACTGATTAAATTTCCCAATTTCATCAGTAAGCACTATCGCAATTTGATGGATTTGAATTAGCATTCCGGTGACTTCGTTAGCGAAAAGTTGGGCGTCGTTCGAGAAGACATGCCGTGGTGTTTCAAAAGGAACAAAATCGCTTCCCATTACCGGTGCGGTTTTCCACTCATGTTGTAAGACTGGCAACGTCGCCATCTTGAACGCATGAGCAAGGGAGGGAGCCCGGGTTGAACGAGGATGAGTCGGAGCGAAAGGGAAAGATTCACCATAGAGATCACCAAGTATTATATGCTCAGAGAGTGAGGAAGTTTGTATTAGAGAGATAGAACATAGATGCTGGGTGGTCTTTTTGGTACTTTGCTCAGGAGAGAACATACATGTGTTTGACCAGCCGTTATGGAAACGTACGCAATACATCGACACACAAATACACAACTTTCTAGATCATGAAACTTACGATTGTTTGGGGCCTATCATACAAACACCTATACCTAATGGTGTTCCTGCCCATAGTTACCCCTCAAAATCATCCATGTGTTGCTTAAATACCCTAAAGGCAGAAACGGTGAGTTGCTGGAGCGCAAGAGAATGGACTTCAGGAGAACTAACCAAACAACTTCGCTTTCGCATGCCACCTTCCAATCAGTTGCTCCCAGAATTTTGAACATGCATCTTTAGCAAGAGAAAATGGAACGTGTTCAAACCAAACTTGCGCGGAACAGTTGGTTCGCTGGCAAATGGTGTATGGAAGGGCAGCGTTGAGACTAGTCTTGGGATGTTGAGGAACTGCCTCAACCAGCGGTGTCTGCATCTATGAAGGGTAACTATGAGGCCACTCGTAGAAGATTCTCTCAAACAAGTCAGAGGGTTCGACTGCCAATCGTTACTGAACGTTGAACTGAGCCTCATGGCCAAGGTCATATTGTCCAAGTCTAGTTCCAGCCGGGTTCTCGCCCTGGAGCGCATTTTATCGCCAAGAGAAATTAATTTTCGGGCCAGATACCACTGGAAACAATTGACTTCATTCCTTTCTTTCTCTTTGGTGTTATGGGCTTCTGGGCCATTTACCCAATTTGTCTGCCTCCCCGCAACATTGGAACGCTCTATATGATCCAAGTCTGACCCAAACGAAACACAATAGAAGTAATGCAGTGCTTTATTCAGGCCATTGTATTGAATTTAAAGTTTGATGCCCCCGAAAAAGAGCCCGGCGTGGCCACCTGATCGAGATGCCTTCATTCCATCCAGCTCCAAGCTCTGATCACAACCACACCAGCAGTAGCTGTTGCAGCCCGAGTGGCTCGTACTGTACACAAGCCTTCCACTGGAATCGCACCTGTAATTGTAAGGTGAGTTCTTACACCATCCATGGCCCCAAGCGCACTGAATGGAGCAGTTGTCGTCCTCGTTCATGAGGGAGTTGATGTTGAGGGAAGCCATGGTGGAGCTGACAATTGCCAGGAGGAGGGAGGCTTCAGGTTGTTAGTGGGACTGAACCAGCAATATTGGACTAGGGGGTGAACTTGCTGAGAAAAAGCGTCTTCATGATGAGATGCGAGAGAGAAGGGTGGTTGCAAGATAGTTCTGAGAAGTATACCAGTGGTCTTTGAGTGTTTCTCGACTCATGTGTCGTAGGTACAGAGGGCGTTTCTAGGGTCGTTGCTTTATACGACACCAAGGATGGATTCAATCTGTGATAAACACATGCTGCTATATTGCGTGAAGGAATGCAGTCGCTGTCTTCTGTTATGCGCGAACAGAGGCTTGGTCTCCGAATAACACAGAGGTAGCGCCATCCACACGGAGCTGGGCTGGGAAGGTCACTCCCCCCACAAAGAGCGGCCTTCTCAAGGCACATTCGCAGGTTCAATACAATAGAACTGAAGGTCAAGGGTTTAACTAGTTGATTGAATGTAATTTAATTATCAAGGATGTATTTCGCCCATTTATTTCTATGAGGCCGTTTTCGTCGAGTCATCTCAGTACGCGCACGTCTCCAAAACCATAGCGTCTACAAAAAAGGTGGACAAAGAACAAGCTCGCCAGTACCAAACGCCAAAAAATCGAGTTCATCTCATCACTTTTCAATATCACTCCCAGTGGATTGTCGGAACACAAGACCTGGGTGGCCGATGCAGAGGCAAAAGACGGCAATGACAACGAGCCTGTCGTGAGTTAGCACCCAATCACAACTTCCGAGGAGACAGGGGTTAACCCACACTCCCTCGAGACCGATAAAGAGACCTTCGTCAGTTACCAAATCAGAGTCTTGGTATCCTTCGCTCAACTCATAACACCTGAAAGCGCATCGGCCGAGAATCATGATGACAGCCGCGCTCAGGAAGCCAAAGAAGATGCGCATGCGAGTGCTCAGCGCGCTGGCAGACCCGCTGCGGAAGTATCGAAACAGATAGTCACCGAGAAGAACGCAGAAAAGGACGAGGATGGCGACCTGCAAGGCAAGACCGGCCATGGCGACGTCAATACCGGTCTGACTGGAGCCCTGGCTCACTGTCGAGAGGGCTCCTCCGGCGGCTTGGAGGGTGAGGCAGACAATGTCGGCGGGGATAAAGATCCACCAGACTAGCTCAGGTCTGAATCGAGATATTTCGGGGGCGAAAGATTGGATGCTAAGAGAGTCAGAGGGGAGTGTTAAAGTAAGGGAAGGGGGCTTACGTCTTGGACAGAGTCACGTAGACAGCAGCAGTATAAAATACGGGACCAGAAGTGATGAACACAATCTGAATCATGAATCCAGGGAAAGAAAAGGGGTTGCTGTACATGAGAAGACGGCCAATGTAACCAATAATCTCAAACAAGCAGCCGAGGATCATAAAGATCATGTAGAACCAGGTCCGCCATCGGATTCCGAGAAAGATGTGGATGCCCATGGCGAGGGCGTAGAGCACGATGAAGATGACATTGGCGGCTAGGGAGGGTCGGTACTTGTAGACGCTCCACTCGAGGGGGCAGAGATCGAGGGTACAGTTGGCGTCTGGACCGAAGACGATGAGGCCGTTGGGAGGATCCATGGTGTAAGTGCTGCTGTGGGTGAGGTGTAGTATGGAGTGGAAAAGAGGCTTTTGGAGAGCCAGTCAAGTTGAGATAATGCTGTTCCGTAAGAACCCAAAAGGATAGTTGTTCTGTAGTTGTGATAAGGTTGCTCTTCGGCTGATGCTGCTTGATATCGTCAACTCAAATCCGCTGTGGTCTATGTCTAGATGAGTATCCAAGTCCGACGGTTGTTGGTCGTGTAAGCCGGAATTCTCGGAGCACAGAAAAGAAGGCCCCAAGGTATTTATTTACAAGACATCCCCCATCTGCACCTTTCCATCTCTTGCTCAACCTCCATGATGGATGGTCCCCAAGATACACTACGCACGCAGATCCTCGCACTCGCTTAACTGCCACGAGGTGGAACCCGCTCGTTTGCGCCTTGCCCGTTCTAGCTGCCACAGGGCTGAACGAGCGGAGGCTGTGGAAGCGAGTGCGAAAGACGAGCCAATTAGCGACAAATCTTTCAGTGGACGGGCGTTAGGTCCCGACGGGCTGGCAGCTAACTTGTCCCTTTGGGGAATCCATGCGAGATGCATTTTTGGAGGACGTCATGGACCTTGCGAGATGACGAGTCGATGCCCTGTCGAATCATTCCTTTCTATCTCTACCTTATTTTGATAATGTCCGAATGCGAATATTGACCCCTGGTTGAGACTTGTTGATGACGACGACAAATGCCAAGATGGACAAGCTGAAAAGTCGTCTGAGGGTTACATGCTTTGCTTACGCGGAAGCAAACAACCATTCTATCTGCTGCGCCCAATCTTGTGAGACATTTTCTGCAGGCGCCCTCCGTGTTTGATCGCAGGCGTTTGTAAATGGTGATTCGATGTCTGCCCAAGATTTGGCGAAAGCGAGACAAGGCGAAATCTCAGCATCATTGCGTTAGCTTAGCAACAGTCGAGATTACTACATGTTTCAAACGGATTCGTATCATGGTGTTCAACGTGTTGCGATACACGTCAACTCGGTTTGACATTACACCGTGTATTCATTCTGGGTGGTTTTTTCTTACACGTGGAGGCACAAGCGCCTTGGACGTTGCACCAGCTACTAAGCATCCAATCTGATCTCTATCTTCAACTGTAATTACTCCTCCTGCACGTGCCCTAGCAAGTCCGTCGGGGTTTTGTGGCCCATCACGCCGAGATGCCCTCATCCCTTTCAATCTCCTCCTTGCCGGGGCACCACTTGTCCTGGAGGGCCTTGTCCGTAGTCTTTTCAATCACACTCTTCTCCCACCACTCGCCCCAGCTCGTCAGGAAGATACGGTCAGGGTCCTCGGGAAAGTCACTTCGCGTGAAAGCCCGAAGGATGCTCTGCGCACCTGTCACACAGTTAGTCACTCCCTTCAAACAAGCATAAATCAGGGCTCCCCACCTTCAGGAACGCTCTTGGCGTCGGGCATCTCGTGGGTCAACTTCATTCCGCTTCCGCGACCGATACCGGTGCTGGGGATCAGGCCAGGGGAGACGGCGACGACGTCGTTTGTGCCGGCGAGCTGGCGGCGCCACCAGTGTGCGCCCAGGAGGGCGGTGAATTTGGTTTGGGGGTAGGTGGTTCTTCCAGACATGCCAGAGCCGGCCTTGAGTTCGGTGTCAAGGACGCCTTTATACAGTTAGCATAAAGAAAGCCAAGATGGAAAGGGAGAGCTTACTTGGGTCGGGCACGTTGCGCACTGCACCAGAGGATACAAATACTATCCTCGACTTGGACTCAACCAACTTCTCTCGTAGGAGGTGGACGAGATAATGCTGTGCTAATCCTCTGTTAGCTCACACAAATCCACGAGAATGGTGTACAGGAGACTTACACAGATGGTTCACAATGTGAGCCTCACACCACTTGGATCCATTAGGACCAGGTCCTTCAGATCCATTGCTAATGCCCGCGTTGAGAAGCAGATAGTCAATCTTGCCCTGACCAAGCTTATCAAGGGTCTTCTCGGCGAATGACTTGACTCCCTTCAAGTCGGACAAATCAAGCGGCAAGATGGTAACGCCATTAGCCGCTCGGTCATACTGCAGCTCATCATAGGCTTTTTGCGTGTTTTGGATGTTTCGCGCTCCGAGAATGACCTTGTAGGGCTGAGTCTGCTCAAGAAGCTGCTTGATAGCTTCCAAACCCTGATGTCACCGTCAGCGAAGCCAGCCAGCACTTCAACGCCAAACTCACCAATCCCGAAGAGACACCGGTCGCCACGACAGTCTTTGCAAGAGAGGCCATTTTCAAGTAGTTCGTGAGATTCTGTCTGATAATCGACTCGTGTAAGCTGAAGAGAGGCCAAGCTTTAAGGCGATGTTCCGGCGGGGTTAGCGGATATAAGATGACGCACTCGAGTCTGGTTGGCGGAGGTAGAGGCCGGAACTCGGGTGGACATGCAAGGGACGGGGGATTTTCTGGGGGTAGAGCCTCATGGGCTGATGTAATCAACAGCGACATTATTAATCTGATCGAGATGTTTATTGATTACGGGATGACTTGGTTCTGCTGTGGTCTAGACCAGTCATTGGGAGATTGGGTGAGACATCGTGGGTCAGCTTAGCTTTGAGGATAAGCACTGAGAAAGGTATCAAACTTTGGCTCTCCATGCCAGTGTGAGCTGGTACTCACTCTGTCTGCTCTTATCTTTTTACCATATTCGTGCTCTCTCAAGAGTATCTTGCAGAATTTATCGACATCCCAGAATGAGCAATTGGTAGGGCAACAAGACCATAAGCTGGTTGGTGTCTATAGTTACCGGTGAACCAATTGTCTCATATCAAGGCGGCTCAATTCCACGTGTTCACCAGACAGACGTATCAAACCCTCAACCATCCAAAATCCCTCTTCGGCCTCTTATATTGTCCCTCTTTTATCACCACCCGATAATTTTCGTCCCTCTTCTCCCCATACAAATCAAGCATATCCGGCACCGTCTCCTCCACCCCACGCACCTCCTTGAGCTTCGGCAGCCGCTCGCCCTTCTTCTCCATTAACTCGGCCACCTGCTTGTCCATGAGCCGCGTCTTTCCCTTGACGTAACCGTACAGACATAGGGACTCGAGGGTTGGAGGTAGGAGGTCGATCAGACGGCGGGCCGGTTTGGACTTGAGAGGTCGCATGTAGTTGACGCCGCGTTCAGTAGGTGTTAGGAGAGTTCCCGGGTCGATGCTTAGGTGCTTCAGGGCATGAAAGTCTGCCAAAGAGCCGAGAGTCGTGCGAGGAGGACCATAGTACAAGATGCGGCGCGGCTTGTCGACCCCATTGTCCTCTTCCTCATCATCATCTTCGTACTCCTCATCCTCGTATTCCTCATCCTCTGCGACTACATTTGGATCCGCCAAGCTCTCTGGCCAAGGCTTCTGTCCTTCCTTGAGATCTGCCCAAGGAGATCTAGAATCAAGTCCTATGCTGAGATCAAGATCCAACCTTTCGAGCGTCTCCTTTTGCAGCGCCAGAGCCTCTCCAACCTCCTTGGTCACGACTTGAGACGAAGATCCATCCCGGTTGGACATGCCGCCTAGCCAAAGAGTAAACTCGCGCAATGCCTTAGGCGCCTTGAGGATTGTAACCATCGTCTCAGTTTCCACATCGCTATGGGTGATCTCTATCTTGTCGACGTTGGAGGAGCCTGGCTCGACGGGGAGGGACTCGACTTGGTACTCCTCCACGGCGTCAGCGACCAACTCTCTAAATTCGGGAAATTGGTTAAAGAGGAAGAACGGGGCCGTAAAAGTGGCCCGGCCGTACCCGCTGAACCCGCCCTTTCGACCCTCAATCATCTCGACTCTTTTGAGCTTCTGCAAACAGGGTTGAGGTACTTGGCTCAGCCTCATGGCCTCTAGGTACGCCCCCACCATCGAGTGAGGGTTATGGTCTCTACCCCATGGAACGATGAGATCTCCGAGATACAGTGTCGAGATGTTTTTGCACATGGCTAGTATGATGACAGCTGCAGCAGCAGGGAAGCCAAAGCGAAGCTCGTGGTCGTCCATACCGCACCTAAGGAACTGCTGCGGATCTGGCTTCTCCTCCAAGGCCCGTCGCTTGCTAGCCAGAGCATCAAGGACATCGCCTTCAATAGGTCCCAAGCCTAGGCTGCGCACCCGGAACTTGACCATTTCGTACACGGCATCCGAGATGGGGTAAGGTGTCAAACTCGGGTCCATGGATCGCCATCTCCAACCAGCAGAGTCGATGGCGAGCTCCTCGACCGAGTCGGCGAGGGAAGGTTGCTCAGCGTAGGCAATGATGAGTGGGAACAGAGAGTCATGATCGTCCTGGTTAAATATTTGTATTCTCTTGAAGGTGGCGATAGACTCATTGGCGAGTATTTGCTGAGGGGGCAAAGCCATGTTGCAGCAAATGTGGCGTGGTCGTGAGTTTTGGTCTCGTTGAGCTCAAAGATGCTGACGGTGCAAGTTTAATAACTCGAGGTCTTTCTTCTCGCTTATTCCCAAAAGGAGATTGCCGAAGGATTCTGGCCAAGACTCGAGTTTGAGTTATTTGCTGGGGTCTCATGGGCCCTTGCGCTTTTGGGCATTGAAGCGATTTACTCAAGGGTAGAAGCACTATCTACGAAATTGGGCCTGCTTCATGCGTCGTGTGGCTGCCTAAAGAGTTAATTCTTCCATAGAGTACGAGTTTGCTGTCAGTTCCTTTTTATCTCAAAGTTAGGTGGTCTTTTATTTCGTGCAATATGGGTGCGTTGGGCACCGAGTTGTCGACCTCTTGAGCGGAGGCATGCTGTTGAACAGTTGCATACCTAAACAATTCAGGTCATGTAATTGACATTGTTGGGCAGGCCGACATAAAGTCAGCTCATATTGAGGATGCGAATCACCACCAACCTTTTCAACACTTACTCAGGCAATCAATCGCCTCCCGCCACAGCCTCGTTGCCTTGTCACCACCGACGTGTCACTCTGTATAAAATCCCACAACTGTGGCTCTCCCCCCTTCAAATGAAAAGTCCTTTACATTTCCGCCTCACGATGTCTATACTAATACACAAAGACTGGCGCAGACTCATGGACCTGCTGACCTCGATCTTGCCAGGCAGACGTCGTCGCAAGCCGCACAAGCCGCGATACACGGTTGAGAATCCGCAGGTCATCTTTTGCCAAAAGATTCACCCTGATGCTCTTTGTGAGCTTTTGGAGAGAAAGTTTCAAAAATCGTTTTTTGTGCAGATGCAGAACGATGTTTATCGGATTCATGCGCCGAGACATCTGGCTATGGTGAGTCATTTGTGTGGGAGTTGGAGATAGTTGTGCTGATGGTTTGCCTAGCACGAATTTGATTGCTGCCGGATCCCATGATGATACCCATGATGATATGGCGAATCGGTTTATGCAGGTTGGTTGGATGGCGTTGGGGTTTGTTATGAGAGATGCAAGCATGGTCACCCAAGGCGAGGAAAAAGTGAGATACCAGGCCAGAGGGAGACATATCCTCTTGTGAGGGGGATCATAAAACATGATGAATTAATAGCCTAATTTATGACGCACATTTTTGCTCTAAGATAACTTTCTTCTTATGCCAGTCACAATATCTGCGATGACTTAGGTGGCTCTGCTATTTTATCCCGCGTTTTGCTTGGCCTGCATTCACGCAGGTCCACAGCCTTTGTGCATCAGCCTAGAACAAACTCTCAAATGTTTTTAGAAATGGCGGGTTGAAACAGTCACTGCCTGTTGATACACTTCACCTCTGAACCAACACTAGACTTGGCAGTGAGGCTCTGTGGGTGGCAACAGGGGCTGCGCCTCAGCCTTCTCATTCACTCCTGCATGAGGCGTCAATACTTGTGACATGAGATCTACTTGGCATTTAACCCCTTCTCTTCTTGACAACCTAAACTATTGACTGTTACGCGCTCGCACATGCAGTCAAATCGTGACCTTCATGTCTCAACACCGCGATTCGGGATCGTCGCAAGGCCTCCTGGCTGTCCGACCCCAAGAGACGTCTAGCGGAGGTGCAGGCCTCGCTGTCATTAGGGGAAGGGCAGTCGAGAATCTTCCGCTCAGACCTGCACGACTTGGAGCTCCGTCAGCTCGGTCTGGTCTTGCTGCTGATACACCACCTAGGATCTATCAAAGGTTTATGCTGGAGCATCTTGCAAAGACTTTTGGCGATGAACATTTGTCGTCTGCGGGGCCTAGCAATGCTGAATTTTACTCGACAGGCGGTCAGTTCGCTGACTTTAGCGGCGAACGCAAGAACAGCACGGCGGATACAGTTCTTGGAGGTAAGATGCTTGACTTCTCAACTCGGAGTGAACTGGGCTAATAATTACAGATATCGACGCAAGACTACGACAGTCAGGCCTGACCCACGAGATTGAGATAGACGACGAGACGGAACCTCTCAACCTTGAGCAGCCGGGAGAGACCGAACCAAAAGAAAAGTCCGAGCCATCGCAGATAGAGGTCGTCGATCTTAGCTGTGTCAGAAACGAGTTGACGGCATTGGTGACGAAACATGGGTGTAACACATCCTTCTTTTCCTCATGCACCGGAAAATTCCTCTCCGACGTTAAACTCTGGCACTACATGGACCAGCCCAAGGTGAGGGCCATTATGGATCAGTGTGGCCTTGAAGGAGTCTCGGATGATGAAAAGGACTGGTTGGCTGCCAAAATCTGCAGCAAGCCGCGATCAAAGACGGACATCGGATTCAAGTCGTATCGCAAGATCCTTGCTCTTCTCATTCGTATTCAGAAACAGGGACAGATCAGACGGTTTGTGGATGAGGAGTTACATGACGGTCTACTTCCTTTGAAACGAGTCGACGGCCCTGGTGGATGTGCTCAGCTTGTTCTTGATGAGAGGAGTGGTCCTCATCCATGCTTTGCTGATTGGGATCATGAACACATTGAGGACTTTGCATGGAAGCAATGGGAAATGTGCGCGCCCTTCTTCAAGACTGAAAACGACGATCTTCGACACTACATCTTTCCCGGAGATATCGCTATTCCACTTATCCCAGCTGGTGAGGGACAAGTCGAGGGTGCAGGAGGACATGTCGCCAAGGTTCAGTTACATGAAATGCACGGAAACCTCAGAACCCGTCAGGTTAGAACCACCACGGACTCACCCATTATATCTGCTAACTTATCAACAGACCGGAGAGAGAAAGCAGCTGTTTGCTGTAAAGAAACTCAAGAGCTCCGACCGCGGCGCCTTTGAGGCCGAAGCCCATGCTTTGGGTCGTCTCAACAAGATCAGGAAGCAGCATGAACAGGAGACGAACGAGAACACGAAGCACATTTCCATGATAGCGGCGACGTTTGAGATTGAGTCTGGAAGCATATTACACTTCTATCTCGTCTTTCCCTGCGCCGATGGTAACCTCCGTGAATTCTGGAACACGTACTCGACGGCACAAGATCCAGAGCATGTCTATGGTCTCTCCCGTTGGATGGCTGAGCAAATCCAAGGCCTTGCGAGCGCTTTGAACATCCTTCATGAATTCTATGCCCATCGAGCCGAAGATGACGACGACCCCCGAACCCACGGCATCCACGGAGACATCAAGCCCGAAAACATCCTCCGCTTCACAAACTGGGACGGCGACCCAGGAAAGCACGGCGTCCTCCAACTAGCAGACTTTGGTTTAACAAAGTACCACCACACGGGGACAGTCAACCACGTTGATCCACACATGAGGTTCCACCCCTACTGTGCTCCGGAGGTGCAGGCCAACTGGAGGACTAACCAGTCGCTCGACACGTGGGCCTTGGGTTGCTTGTTCTTTGAGTTTTGTCTCTGGGTGGTTTTTGGGAATGAGGGGCTTAGGGGGTTTGATGAATCGAGGACAGTGGTTAATTCTGACGGTAGTATGACAGTTGGCATGCTGTATGAGATTCATGGGTATGGGACTTCGGGGTGTTGGCCTTTTCCGAGGGTTAACAAGAAGATTGCCATTCATGAGGGTGTGGTTCAGGTGCGATACCCCTAACGTCGTGTTGTTTCTGATACTGATAGTTTGCAGTGGGCAAAGAAGATTCATGGATTAACTTGGGTTCCCAAGTTCATCCACGATCTCGTCGACATAGTCGTCACTGACATCCTCGTCCCCCGCAACGACTCCGGCGAACATCCCACTTCACCCAACGACGGAAGAGGATCATCCCAGTCATCATCCTCTCCTCGAAGCGCGACCTCCCAAGAGTCCCGAACTTATCTACCCATGAGGCGAAACACAACAGTGCGCTCCGAACCCTCGCATGTGCCTCCCCCGAGAAAGAGATTCTGGTCGAAGGATTTGCCCAAGAAGCGAATCAGCATGTCAGAGCTCTGCAAGAAACTTGAGGACATGGTTGATCAGGATGATGAGTATTTTACTCAGGGGTTTGCCTACGACATGGCGACTTTTAAAACGGCGAGGCCTTTTAGGTATGTGAGACAAAAGGGGAAGCGCCCTCCCCTCGGAGTCAAGGTGTAAGATCTGCGGTCACATCACTTGTCATCAAATGACAATTCCAGGGAATGTACATTGGTTGAGGATGGAAATTGGGGGAAAACATAGGTGGTCTTTCGGCGTCACTCTAGAATAGGGACATGGGGCATTGGCAAAAGTGTAACTTATTATCGTGTATCATTACTTGGACTCATAAATCTCAGTAGCCTCTGTAGTAGCTTGGACTATTACCAGCAGCTATGCCATTAATCATGGCCACAACGTCCTACATCCTTTAGTTTACCATGCCATCAAACAGGGAAACAAGACTCACTCTGGTCAGATTCTGCCTCACGTAAAAGTCATACCTATCCGTGAGAGGAGCATTCTATAACCGTCAGTAAACAACAGTCCAATTCCAATCAACCATTCACGTACATCAACCTTCCACTCTCCAACACCCAACACCTTGTCAAACTCATGCTTGGTCCGGTAGGGGTCAAAAGAAGACGAGTGTATAACCACGTCAGGTTGAAGGATCCATTCCGGACGCTTACTCCGACCAAATCTCCATGATGTCATGCTTCAGATTTCTTTGTAGGTGTCGTATGTTTTTTGAGGCAAGAGGAGGCGGTGTCGATGTTGGGTTTGCCTGAGGTGGACATTTGCCTGGTTAAGTAGGCGGCTAGTTTCAACGAGGCTCTGCATCTTACATCGAGAGTGGTTTCACTAGAATACATAGTCTCGGCTACGTGTTCGACATTTGTTGAACAGACATGTCCTCTGCGAGTATGCATCTCGGTCTAAACAGACAAAAACCATAGTAGCCGGGCGAGTTTTATTGATTGAGGCTCTGCAGAATAATTGTCTGACTGCTTCATGTCGGCTCCCGTAGTGAACAGCCTGCTTTACTCGACGTCGGCATCTTATTCGTCGAGTCGAGAGGCAACTGACCAGGGTCTCTGCAGCCATCCAGTACGCCTTGTGCTGCCTTTAAAAGCCTTGTCACGAGCTGCTGAGATTATCTGCCCGTTTCAAACTCCTGTTGCACACTGCCATTTCTGGCTGTTATAAGCTGTCTTTGCAAGCTCTTACAAACTGTCGCTGTAAGCTGTTGTTACGAGCTGTTGAAAACGACCGTTACAAGCTGATATTGGCTACCTCTTCAAGCTGTTGCAATATTCTATATAAAATCCTTTCAAGATTTTGTCACTTTTGGGAAACATTTCAATTTTGAATCATAGTTTGCGGCTTTGCATTTTACCCAAAGTGCGACCGCAGCCCAACCTGATCTGCCTCTTTCGCGAACAATTGCACTTTTGAGGCTGTGTCGAGGCATTCCCGCCCAACAAATATCTCTCGACGCTGCCTGAATTATCCGTCATCTACATTCTTCAATCTCATCACAGTTATGGCTTTGAAGAAGCAGTACGAGATGGATCGTGTCTGGAGGGACTTTGAACCCTCGGATGAGTCTCTCAGTCATCTCGACGGACCGTCTTATGGGGAGTCATCGAAGAGCTGCTTTTCAATTACGAGCGAGAGTCTCCTATCGGTAATGTGTATTGCTCATTTTTGTGGCGCTGGCTGATCAGGTGCAGACCAAGAACCTCAACCATTATCGAGAGATTCGGGGCGAACAAGACTGGGCATCATGGAAGACAGATGTAAGCCCTCCTTGTCTTTAGCATACCCCAATTCCTCGAATTTCGTCGAGCGATGTCGCATCTAGTTGATGTCGGCGGCTGACCTATCTCAGTGTGTTCCAGCCGTCACCAGCACCTCCAAGCCATCCTTCTCCCTCCTGTCAGTATATCCACCAGCATCAACTATGCTTCTTCTAACCACTTCTCAGAATGTGCCCTCGGAAGGAAATCACCGATGCCGACCCCAAGGTGTTTTCCCGAGTCCAGCATTATCGCATGGCCCTGTCCTGGATCCCCATTCAAAAGACAAAGTTCAAAGATGTCCTGACGCGAATGCACGTACCCTCAGTCTTTATGGACATGGTCAAGCGACCTAGAACTGTCTTCAAGAAGCTGAAGAGCTCTGTGCAGGGTCAGCCGTGTGAAGGTAAGCCTTCCTCTTCTGTACTTGCGATCAGTTCACTCACCATTGCAGTGTACATACTCTCCGTGGACTCGATTTTGACTCAGTACACGGCCATGAGCGTCACCTACTTTCCCAATACCCAGCAAGTATTTGGCCTCTTTCTAGGGTACGGTTCTCCCGACGACGTCACGGATATGACGTCCAAGCTCTTCAACAACAGAGGTTTCGTCGATAATCCGTTTGTTCTAATATCCGCCTTCCTAGAGCTCGAGAGGAAGCATCGCCTCAAGCAGGTAGACGATATGATTGATGGGCTAAGAATCAAGATTAGCAAAGGCCAACACCTCCAGAAGTCCGATGAGAGTTCTGAAGATCAGCCCGAGACCTTTTACGAGCTGTACAACCAGGTCGGCGTGCTCAGATCCCAACTCAACATGTGGAAGCTACAGCTCGACAAGCTTCTCAACGCATGCCCGCATCTCCCCACATTCAACACTCTAGGCACCGAGGGCTTTGTGCTCGAACCTGCAGACTACGTCACCGAAGTTCGCGAAATCTTTGAGGAGAGTGCCATGAGATGCGAAAACGTCATGCAGGCGACCTCCCTTGCCTTTCAAAAGGCTTGCCTCCAAACCCCTCGCAAAAGATGAGCCGTATCTAACAATCACAGGAACTGGCTGAAGTTGCACGTTCAGACTCCAAGGTGGCGATTGGCGATGCCCAACAGATGAAGGCAATTGCACTTTTAACAATGTTTTTCCTCCCAGCCACGGCAGTCGCGGTAAGTCTTCTATCCCAAAAGACATGAGAATGGTCACTGAGAAACTAGGGCTTTATGGACGCGCCCGTGTATGACTGGGAGGGCAAGGGCCACTACTTTTGGTACATCGCAGGACCTCTTACTGGGGCGGTCATGCTGATGTACTTTGTGTGGACAACCATGATAAAGACGAGATGAACTGTTGGCTATGTACCTGTTCTGTCACCCCGCACATGACAGGGTTGCATTCGGTTCCCGCGGGGCGTTTTCATGAGGAGGTAATACTTAGAACAGTAATCAATTCCCGTATCTTTTTTTCTGAGGTGAGAACTCAAAGTTCATCTACCGTGAAGCCAAGAGTACAACTCTTCGGCCGAGAGACGGCGGAGTCGGCTCCGGAGTGTGTTTTGTCACGAAAGCTTCAAAAGTGGACTCTTTGAAACGGTCAAAACATTATTGTCCGGGATGTTCGGTTGATGGTCATCCAAACCTAGGCTTTGCACCCCTTGACGATGTCACCTGGAGCGGCGTCCTCGGGTATCCGGAGTGTCTTTCCAAGAGTGTAGCAACATACCGAGGCTTGTTGGGATGTTCTATGCCCGTTCGACAAGGAGGGGGATGATTACGAATCTGAAAAACGACAGTTACGTAGTTGGTCCGTAGAAACGAAACGCCAGAAGAAAAAGACTGGTGTTCCAAATCAAGGAGCTTGGCCGCTCTTGGTGAAGCCCCCCGAGCCTCGGTATCCGTGTCCGCCCCACCTCCCATCTCCGGGGAGGCGAGTGGCTTTTTTTCAGCTCTAGAATGTAGATCCCCGACTTGACCGGGCGGCCGATGGTCTCCCCGGGGATATATCCTGATGGGAATAGCGTCCGTGATATGTGGCACTCCGGGCCTTGGAGGCGGGGCCGAGTAGCTAGATGTTTCTTCTCTACGTAGTAGGGGGGAAGTGGGAGGTTGAGGTTGTGAGGCTGGTTGGAGGTACAAAAAGGTTGCCACCCCTCGACGTCTTTGGTTCCAGTCGTACTGATACTCGTGTCAAGGTTGGACTTGTAACGAACGACGAACCTTTAGTACGACCTGTCGTGCACATACGTTTGCATCTAAACTATACGTTTCACCACATTGCCCAACATGGCTCGCGATAACCTCTCCGTCCTGCTCGCTGAGCGTCCCACCACGGACATCATCCCCGGCCAGACATTCTCTCAACAAACTGCACCCGCCCCTACGCCGTCTGACCTCAAGGATGGACAGATTCTTGTCGAGACTCTCTACCTCTCTCTGGACCCTGCCATGCGAGGATGGCTGCGAGGTAACATAACTTGAACCCTTGCTTGATTGATCGTCTCTAACATGTCTTAGATGCCCGATCCTATCTTCCTCCCGTTCAGATCGGTGAGACAATGCGAGGTGCCTGCGCTTGCCGCGTTCTCGCCTCCAAGAGCAAACTCGCCAAGGAGGGTGATATCGTTGCTGGCTTCCCAGGATGGACAGAGATTGCCATCCTCCCCGAAGGCCGCTTTGAGCCTCAAGCCAACTTCCCCGGCGTCCAAGAGCCTCACGACATGCTCTCAGCTCTGGGATCTACCAGTCTGACAGCCTGGATTGGCATGACACAGATCGGCGATCCCAAGCCTGGTGAGCTTGTTGTCGTGTCTGGAGCTGCTGGCGCTACTGGTAGCGTTGCTGGTCAGATTGCAAAGATCAAGGGCGCTAGAGTTGTGGGTATCTGCGGAAGCGACGACAAGTGTCGATGGCTCACTGAGGACTTGGGTTTTGATGTTGCGCTCAACTACAAGGCTGAGGACTTTAAGAAGAGGTTCAACGAAGAGACCAAGGATTACATTGACGTCTACTACGACAATGGTAAGTCAACCAACCCTCCCTTCAACTCAACACTAACATGTATCAGTCGGTGGTGACATCCTCGACATGTGTCTCATGCGAGCCAAGGAGCACGCCCGCTTCGTCGCATGCGGCATGGTCAGCCAATACAACGCGGCCAAGCCTCAAGGACCCCGAGCCTTCTCGCAGATCATCACGATGCGCATCAAGATGCAGGGCTTCATCGTTCTAGACCACGTCAAGGACTACCCCCGCGCACGAGCCGAGCTAGCAGGTTGGATCGCAGAGGGAAAGCTCAAGAAGACCGAGACCATCGTCAAGGGTGGGCTGAAGGTTGCCGAGCAGGCCTTGGTGGATCTTTACAAGGGGATTAACACGGGTATGTTTTTGTTGTGTTTTTTGTTGGGTTGGGTTGATTGAGCTAACGATTTTTTGATGATAGGCAAGATGATTGTCGAGATTAAGAATCCGAATGAGAGCCCTTCGAAGCTGTAATTGAACTTGTAGGACAGAGACTGAGATTGAGATACCTAGCGGGTTGTATAGATAATGATTATGTCAATGACCTTGAAGCCATCGACGATTCGTTCACTTCGGACTGTCTGCTCCGGATCGACTGACATTATCAACGAGCCATATCGAATGTCTCTTCTAACCTGTCTAACCAGATAACTAACCAACAGTCTCCCTATCAGAGACCGAAGCGTACTCTGTGCTGTTACACCATCGCGAAACTCCCTCTGCCAATTGTCCAGGGTAAGTCAACCGAGAAAAACCCTTCAACACCATCCCAATCCCTTCTTCAAATGAAGCCATTTTTATCACCCCCACGAGCGGCCCCGATCCCAGCAACTCAATCCCTACTAGCGAGTCCATGAACCTCCTCTAGCCAAGGATCCGTCGTCTGCAGCTGAGGCTTAAAACGGCCTGCAGCGGTTCTTGGCTTTCTCTTTGATCCTATTCGCAAAGTGACGTAAAAATTCACTCAAAAGTCGCCAAAATATCATATCAGCCTTTTTTGTGCTTAGACTAGTTAGATCCTGGTCGCGGCGTAAAAAAATTATTGCGTGTTTTTTCTGCCATCATGAATTATATCGCTCTCTCATGATACCTTCATCCTTTCGTCACCTTTAACAACATCGCATCATGGGCGCACACGAGACTCAACAGACTGACAGCGAAGCCGCTGTCGGGAACAAGGATGAAGCCATCGCCATTGTCGGAGAGGAGCAGCATGCCATCGATCCTGTGGTGGCTGCTCGCGCCGTGAGAAAGATTGACCTGTTTCTCATCCCCGCCATGATTGTCGGCTGTACGTGACTCACTTCACTTCGAGAGAGTTGGAACTAATTTTGTAGATGGCCTCGTGTACTACGACAAGGCGATTCTCGGCTCTGCTGTTCTCTTTGGTATGACTGCCGACCTTGACCTTACCATCGTGGACGCTTCGACTACGCCTCCAACAGTCGATACCCGACGGCTCAGCTGGGCTACTTCGCTCTTCTACTTTGGCATGTTGGCTGGTCTATACCCGATGACATTCGCCCTCCAGCGCTTCAACATCGGCCGCGTCCTCGGCGGTGTCGTGGTCGTCTGGTCTGCCATCTGTATGCTCACTGCTGCTGTGACATCGCACCAGGGGTTGTATGTGCAGCGCTTCTTCCTCGGTTTTGTCGAGAGTATTATTCCTACGGGATTCATGTGCATTGTTTCGGGATACTATACACAGACTGAGCAGTCACTCCGACAAAGTTGGTGGTTCTCGTCGACTGGCATCTTTACCATCATCGGAGGCGCACTCAACTATGGTTTTGCGCAGATCACAGGTGGTGGCCTCAAGAGGTGGCAGTACATCTACCTCCTCGCAGGATCACTGACTTTCCTCTTTGGTCTCTTCTGCTTTGTCATGCCCAACTCACCCGTATCGGCTTGGTTCCTGACAAAAGAGGAGAGATTCGCTGCCGTGGAGCGTCTCCGACATGGACAAACCGGTGTGCGATGTACAACCTTCAAGACGTCACAGCTAAAGGAAGCTGTTCTTGACGTCAAGATCTGGCTCGTGGCTCTGATGATGGCATCCGCATACACCGTCAACGGCGCCGTCAGCGGATTCGGACCCCTAATCGTGTCAACCTTTGGTTGGAGCACCCTCCACTCGATCCTCTTCCAATTCCCTCTCGGCGGACTCTGCTTCATCGTCATCCTCCTCACAGGATGGCTGGGCACAAAGTTCAACAACATTCGCATCTTCATGCTCATATTTACCTGTCTGCCCGTCATTACTGGATGTGCCATCATCTGGAAGAGCGAGTGGTCATACCGTGCTGCGGCTCCTGTGGTTGGATACTCCATCACCGGCTTCTTTGGCGGAACTGTCAGTCTTATCATCACCATTGGAATGTCTAATGTTGCCGGACATACCAAGAAGAGTTTCATGGCTGCCACCATCTTTGTCGCCTACTGCGTTGGAAATATTGTTGGTCCTCAGCTTGTTTGGAGCCAGACCAAGAGCGAGCACTACCCTGCTCTGTGGCTTGGCTTGATCATCTGGTAAGTCCATGTCCATCTTGGTTTACTTAAGTCTCTAACAATATGCAGCTACATCATCTGCATCCTTGCCTCGACTGCTCTCTACTTTGTCCTTCGCAACGAGAACAAGAAGCGAGATGCCGTTCCCGGAGACGAAGCTGAACGAGCCAAGCTCGCATTCCAAGACTTGACCGACAAGGAGAACCCCTACTTCCGCTACGTCTACTGATACCCCAAAAGCACTATTTGAAAGAGACCATTGGGGAGAGGAAAAGTACATGCGCTCGGCATCTAGCCCGCAGCTATTATCATATGCATAATCTATATCTGTAATGCCTACCCCAACGCCTAAACACTTTATCAACATGACACACCGTATGATGCCCACCTCAAAAAATCCTCTTGATGCTGGGTCCTACCCATTGCACCTCTGAGCAGTTTCTCTTGTTCCTCCACTGCTCGATCCTATCCGTCATCCACCCTGACTTGAAGTCAACCCATCGATCTTTGCGATCTGGAGGTGGAGGAATGACGTTGCCCTTGTCGTCCTTGACCTCGGGTTCGATGATCTTTTCCGGTTGTCTCGGATCGCCGACTCTAAATGATTTGGAGAGAACGCATTTCTGCTCATCTCTTCCTCTCCAGTTGAACTGGAGACACTCGTCGTTGTCGCTGCAGTATGACCCGCAGGCGTCAAACGAGTCAATCTTTGCTTCAGGGGGAGCAACCCAGAAATCCCACTTTCCATTGTCCCAGTTGTCGGCTACCTTGTGATCACCTGGGTGATGGAACCTCCAAACATCCGAGTAAAGCAATGGCCGCTATAAACAGTCAGCGTGTGAAACAACAAGACACAATCTCAACTTACACCAAGCTTCCTCTGGCCAAACTCCCATCTCCAGACATCCACCATGTCCTTGGGCTGGGTCTTGTGCAACGTCATAACAGGCTGACACCAGTACTTGTCGCTAAACGGGATGCTATGCAGGGGATGCGGGTTGAAGAGTGGCCAGTATCCCCGCAACGGCACACTCACGTTCCACAACGCCCAGCCGACGACGCTGTCGCCGCAGCAATCATCACGAAGCATGGGAAGCCACTTTTCCGGTGCCGGAGGTTCAATGTACTGTCCGTAGGGTGTCGTTTTGCGCACTAGGAGGGCCTTGACGGCGCCGCGGCTGAGGACAAAGCCAGGTCCGCCGTTTGCGAACCATGTCTTGATATCCTGCTTGACGTCGTGGGTTCCCGGCGAGGGAGAGCCCATGTAGAGGGGCGCATCGGGATCGAAGGTCTGGAGGAATCGAAAGGCGTTGTCCCAAAAGACGTATCTAAAGAGTTATAAGCTTGAGTATAGAAGTAGTGATCGGGAGCACCAACGTGTCTGTCTCAAAGAAAAAGTAAAAGTCCTTGTTGGGCTTGGTCCTCCATGCGCGCTCAATCATGGGCAGGAACTTGAACTTGTCCATCCTCCAACCATTGATGCGCGCAGTCGCCTCCCTGTCCACATCGAGTGTCCCGTTGCTGCGCATCTCCTTCTGCCAAATGTAGTTTATAAAATCGGGGTTGTCGTGGTAGTAGAGCTCCGGCAGGTCGGCCAGCACATCGATGACTTGGTGTCCTCGCACCTCCTCGTCCAGATCCGAGTACACAAGCAACTCATCCTTGCCAAAGCAAGCGCTGACGCTGTCAAACTGAGCGTCAATTCTGTCCTTGGCGTCTGCGTGACCTAGCTTGAGGACAGGTTGGATGGTCTGCAGGAGGTGCTTCGGAAAGCTGGCGCATAGCTCTTCGGTGGTCTTTTCCGCGGGATCGATGGAAACGGGGAAGAAGGAGCTCGTAGTAGAGAAGGAGTAGTACTCGGAGATGCCATAGCTGCCGTGGATGCGGCTCCAAAAGACGAGGATCAAGAATATGACGGAGCAAGAGCCAAAGATGGCCATGCGACTGAATCGCTTGTTGAGCATCATCCGCCGGGTGCCGATCGGGCCGATCGGGCCGGCGGGGGTCCAGAGGTTAGGCATGGAAGCTGTCGCTCAAACATGGCACTGAGGCCCAGAGAGCAGAAGATGTCTTGGGAGGCTGCTCGGTCGCAAGTCGAACGGAACAAACGTGGAAGAGGAGGCATCGCGGGATGGACTGGATGAAGCGGGCAGGGATGTGCTCCAATCGAGACGGGGAACGTCTAGCGCGATAGGGGGAAGCCTGCTGGAGGTCCACTAAAGTAACCTCTAGGGCCTGTAGAACCTTGTTTTGGACATTCAACTTTGTTAGAGACAGGGTGTTGTAGGATATCTGGCCCCTGAAATTATTTTACAGTATTGAGAAATTTGCAGATCAACAAGAATTAGTTGCATAATGAAGCAAAATCTTTGTCTTGAGGCAGGTCTGTCATGATGTTTCTCGAGGGTGAGTTTGGCTTCACATTCCTGCCCAGACTGCCAAGTCTTGGTAGCCTTCTCCGGAGCCGCAAGGAAAAGTTCAAATTCTGGTCATCTTGCGAAACGTGAGAATGAATAGTCTATCTGTGAATTAGTTTCAACTCCTGCCTTCTATGGACATCACTCCACATCCTGTGGATCACGACCCTGCGCATTACGAGCCCTGAGTCCTGAGTTTCCAGACGCAGTACGGAAAACAGAGCTTGATGAAGGATTCTCATGAAGCGTGATGCCATTGTCTCCTTCACGAGATCCTCCGCTTGACTGGAACTCTTGCCCAACAACTCTCTTGGACTCCCTGGTGGACCACCTCTTCTTGATCCATGGGAGGAAGTTGTAGTATCCCCCCGCAGCAAAGACACCACACCAAAGAACGAACTCTGTCGCGTAGATGACGATGCCGAGGTAATCGAGTTCCGGCTGGAAGAATACAGACGCGAGGGAAAAGACATCGCCAGCTGCGTCGATGGCCATAAATAGGAACGAGATGCCGCGCACTGTTCGGTGGATCCAAATGTCCCAGTAGTGACGCAGCACGCCCGCCGCGAGAAGGGCTGCAGAGAGAGAGGCCATCAGGATCATGGGCCATTCAATGTCTTTGGACTCAGGGATGCGGAGGGCAATGATGAGGCCTGCCTGAATGCCCCCCATGACGGCTGCGATGGGCAGAACCACGAGGAGTGATCTGTAGACGCTCCATTTCTGGTTGCTGTCAGTTTCATACTCGAACAGTTGCTCGAATGATTTCCTCACTCTCTCGTAGTAGTAGCATTGAATCCAAGTGACCAGGCTCAAAAACGTCAAGATCTGGGGTTGAATGCGTAGGGCGATGTTGTACTCCTTGACGATGTTATAGACACCAAGAGGAACACCCGCCCAGGCCCAGAGCATCATCATGGATGGCTGCAGACCAGTCGCATTATGTCGACGATAATTAACGACAATCTGGGGAATCAACTAGAAGTTCGGTTCGTTAACCAATGTTTACTCTCATGTTGTCTCGTGACAAACCTGGATTGACCAGCAGACCTGCGCGACGTTAGCAACGAGTCTCAACGGCGAGGATAGGAGAATATCTTACGGCCCCTAGGGTGCCTAGGACATTGGCAGCGACAGGAACATCCATATTTGTCTTTTCAGTAATGACTGTAGCAAGGAGAAAGATCCAAGCGCAGTCGCAAGATAAAGATCACGTTCAAGGATTCGGAGCTCCGAACCGGAGAAGCGAGATGGGCAAAACGAGCGCGCCAAGAGATGTTAAGCCGTGTTAACAAAATAGGTGGTAGGCTTAACATCTAGTTCCAACGTCCGCTATCGGGGCTTATAAAGCTCGAAAATAGCATCATGTGATGGGAATAATACGGAATGAACCTAATCATAGAGTGAATCATAATCATGTAATACTGTATTGAACTGGTTGACGCGATCTTCGGTGATGGGTTTGTTCTGGGGTGCAACGCGGGTCAAGAAAAACAGACATGACGATAGAAATCAGCCTGGCTTAGCTTAGCCTTCCCTAAGATAAAATAAAATAGTAAAATAATAAATAAAAAGATATAACTTCTTGATTTAGTATAATTTTATCTTGTATATCCATGTAAAATTTGCCCCAAGTTGAACGAAGAATTTAATCCTTGCCGTTCTGGTATCTCGTTCTTTTCTTGACCTTTGTGAGTGCTTGCTTCGCAACACCAAGACATATCACGTACCTCTCCCGTTAGTACACTTTGGATGGACCCGCTGATCAAATTAGCAGGGTATTCTAGAAGGCAGAATGCTATGGGCCGTGTCTGGGCTGTGTTTAGGCATTAACTATGCCTTGCAGGGCATTCCATCCTCCCAGGTGCCGAGTTTGCCGGGCGCCATGAAGGATTTTGTGAACTCGATCAAATCACTACATGTATATGATGTGTGTATTTCTCGGCTTAGTAAATAGTAATTATTGATCCTTCTATGAGGAACTCGTACCATTCGCGTGGACTTCTGTGACGCCAATTCCTACCATGAAACCGACCTCATCCTTCCAGAACTGGCGGCAAACAGCCTTGGGCGAAATACGGCCTTGAGGAGGCGCAGTTGTTTCAACTCGATGAATCGCATTCGCGTACGGATCGACGGATCCGAAACCCTGTTCACGTCAAGGCAATGTGGAGCGACACCACGACTATAACTACACGCTCTCGCGGACACTTCTTGAGCTGAAATCTTGGCATCAGCATTGAGCAAATATGGAATTCAAGTTGATTCACCTCTCCATGATACTGAGCTTGGTCGTTTTCCCTGCGGCTATAGGCTGGTTCAGCGTTCTCTCTTGGGCTGAAACGGTGACTGCTGCCAAAGATGCATGGCGGTTCCTCTCCTGGTACAATGTGCCCTTCTATCAAGATATAACTGGTAATTAAACAAGAGGCTATGATAGGAGTTCATGTGCTAATATGCCTAGATGCTTCGTCCGAGCAGTCCAGATACTCAACCAAGGAATATGTGAATTCGATTCTCGGGAATATCAACATTCCATGCCCACGGCTCGAGTGCCCAGCACCAGATGCTAAACGGTATATTCCCATTCGGGAGCCTTCCTCTGAAAGACCAGGAATCGACTACATCTTTGCCGTACGGGTGGTGAACAACCTGGACCAGCTGCCCACACTCCTCGGCGCCGTTCTCAATGCCATGTACTACCTAGGACCATACCGTTGCGCCTTGACAGTCATTAGCAGCGGCTGGAGACCACATCTGGACGATGTGCTAGAAGAATTGCACCTTGGGCTCAACCACATAGGTGCAGTTTACAACTACACCTCGTTCGCCTACGGCCCTCGCGCTTATAAACATCGCAATCAGGCGATAGGCGCTGTACGTCATGCTAGGAAAGAGGTATCAGAAGACGCGACGATTGTCTTCCTGGACGACGTGGATATTTGTAGCGAGGATATTCTTGAGTTGATTCTCCAACGGGAGAATCTGGGAGCCGACATGACATGTGGTATGCAATGGGCTCCTAATAAATCCAACGGCATCCCCTTGTTGAAGAATGACGGAACTTGTCGAGACATGCAGGGAGAGAGATTCGGTCACGTCCCGCCTGAGAAGTGGACCGAGGGGACGGATGTGAAGGAATACTTCTGGAAATCCTCCAAAGACCAAGCTCGATTCAACGAGAAGCGACCTTTCCAGGTGTTTTCCTGCTGGGGCGGCGCAGCAGCATTCACGGCTTCTACTTTTACTCGACTCGAGCAGATATTCAGATTGCCGATAAAGGGAGCAGAGTGCACCCAGCCGGACACGAGACTATTCTGTAAAGACATGTGGTCCCACGGTCGAGGAAAGATTGCAGTAGTCCCCAGCGTCAACGTTGCCAGACGCCAGGACGACGACTTTGATGTCAAGAAGAGCATAGGGTACACTTCAGATCTGATACGGGGACAGGGCCCCAAGGGGGATCGGATCGCTTGGGCGAAGGAGCCGCCTAAGGAAGTGGTTTGTTCCAACCACAGGCGGGAGGCTTGGGATGCGGGTTTGCCTTTGGATGATCCGTGGGATTATGAGTTGCAGGAGGAGGTTTCATGATTTGAAAGGGAATGAAAGGGTTATACTGTACTTGCTAGGGTTGGGAAGGACGTTAGAGAAGAGTGGGAGCTTGTAGATGTAAATGTATGATGAACAGGTTATTTCTAGGGCGTACATGTGAAGTAGTGTCAAGCCTTGTCTGCACTCAACTCCCCCAAGACCCCTTCGACAAGATCTACATCGAAACATTTCTACCGGCTGAATTAAAGGGACCACTGCATTAGATACCCGTTAACCAGCACCATAGCTGCCGAGTCTTGACCAACCACTTCTGAAGCCGACGCGCGTCCTTGCTCCACTGCCCACGATCTTCGAATACCACGTTTGTTAGCCGACTCATTGGGCCTCCCTTGTCTCTACGCGGCATTGGTCCCTGCGGCTTAAAACTAGATCTGGGGTAAACAACTACACTCGATGAATGCTAGATTGATTGCAAGTTAGTTCCCTCGGTTCTTTTGTTTGGGGCTAGGGTTGATCGACGTTGGCGACAGGGGAACATCACGGAGGTTATTCCCGGGGATAGTGCGAGGCTTGACATGATGGGGAAGTAGCGGATCTTGTATCCATATCGATCGATTGTATTTCTAGTTGTGCTTATTGCCCTTCTGACTTGCATGTTAGGTTTGTATTGGGAGGGAGCTGAGCACGCAGGTCAAGAGACAAGACAAGACACGCAAGAGGCAGCATGTAACCCTGGGTCCTCCGACATGTATTGAAAGAGATACCTTGTGAGCATAGAATACTTTAAATCTCGTTTGTGTATTATTTTTCTGTTGCCATTGCACGTTCACAGTTACACTCAGGGATGATACACTGGTTAATGCCCTAGCACTGGCGTTTTTCTTGATCTGCGTGCCAAGTGACACGAACACTTTGACAATGTGCAGAACATCCCTGATATGATATAGTTGTCATGCCATCTAATCACTCATATGATGCTGTAGCTTCTTGTCCGCGGCGTCCGCGGTGGGCTTCCGGGATCGACGAAGACCAGGATTAAGCAGTGTCCGAAGTCGCTCTTCTCTTATTTAGACAACGAGGGTAAGAACTAGATGGAACCTATAGTGTGTAAATGGAGGGGTATATCAGACGTGTTTGTGTGACTGCGTGATCCAGCTGGGCTCTCTTTTCAGGCCTGTGTCTGGCAAGCGTACCAGTATAGAGGGTTCAGTCCGTATAGCAGATTCAAGTCCAATACAATATCTTTTATAATACAAACTGTGTCTGAAAGAAGAGCATGAATCCATCGTCAATAAGATGATGGTAATAAGATGATGGAATTGGAAATGTCCCAGCTAAACCTATCCTTCGCCTCCAAGACACCATTAAGGTATAGCCATAAACACCCCACGCCCGTTAAGCAAGGGCCCAAAAGCCAAGGCCTCGGCTGAACCGCTCTTGCACAGACATGGATACTAACGAGTTTCCTCTTGAAGATAAGCGGGCCTTCGTGGCGTGACGGCGGACGGACTGCACCCGTAGATCGGGAAGCGGTCTTGGCCATCTCCAAGGTTGTTCTTTTGCATCATTAGATGCGTTATAAAACGTTGAGGTGTGGTTCTTCTGGCTTGGCGGGAGGATCATGGCCAGGTCGGGGACATGTGGGATATGTGGGATATGCTGGCTATAACCAAGTCGCTGGGTTAATATATTGATATGTCTCTGGTCTTGAACGAATGGTACTTCTCAAGTTGGCTGACTTGGTTCGTAGAGGAGCAGTGAACAAAGGCAAGACGACAGATCTCTAACATCCAAATCGTACCCCGTAGACTGTCGACAACAAAAACATGAGAAACTACGAGGGTCCAAGATGGCAATTCGCCTAATTACCTTCTTGGACTAGACAACTCTGGTTCGTCGTAACCGAGAGCGGAACCCATACAAAAAGTTGTTCCGCGACTCCGGTCCTTAGTGCACCTATTTTGTCTACAACGGACTTTGAGCGGACTTTTGATCTGATAAGTCAAGAGCCAATGTGGCAAGTAATGACCTTGTTCCCTGCCAGAATAAGTCAAAGATCTGAGGCTCATTACAACTTGGGAAACCCGTATGCGCGGTACCATCTAGCAGCTGAACACACTACCATGACAAGGAAACCACCTGTTGGACAAAGCGCTTATCTGATCCGAGGTGTTGAATCATGCTAGTTCTCCATGCTAGAGAACAGCTCAGTACCTGAGTGAAGGAATTTCTCTCCCACCTGAAAAAAAGGACCTGCCAAGAACGGTCTACCGATTGTAAGCTCATGTGCTCGTTCCCCCGTCGGACCCCGTTTCGGGAGGTCTGGTCCGACGCCTCGGGCCCCTGGTCGCCAAGGGCGCGCTAGACTTCGGATCAGATAACTTTAACACGAGGAGTGCAGACATGGTGTAAGTGAAAGGCGGGAGGGAGATGGTAAGTTGACGGGCAGTCTAGACTGTAACTGACATGTTTGTTGCCCTTGTCAGTTGAGTCACTCATGGTAACCGTTAATCGCTCAGAGAACTCTTGTAAACGGACGGGTTGACCTGGTACCTGACCGGACTCTCGGCTTGTCTGTTCACCCACGATGTATCCATACCTGAATGTATACCTCCCTGAGCTAGCTTGCCCAGAACGACGGGCCACACCAGCTCAGTTCAACCCTGTCATCCAAGTGGCGACACCCTCAACACCTAGTTCGAGCTGAGTCTTTGCCAAGGGTCATCGGCAGACACGCCTCGGCCCACGGCGGGTACGCATGTGGTTCAACGGGGTACCTTTGCCCTACCAGCAAGGGTACCTGCGGAATTCAGCTCCGGAGATGCTGGTGGCTCGATGGCTCGATCGGACTGGGCTGGAGATGAGAGGAGGGGTTTATAACCGTCCCTTCAGCCTCTTAATCTCGAACCGTTTTTGTCCATACAAGCTTCTTTATACCCAATCTCTTTGTCGAGAATAACCACTTGGCTATCCTTTCCCATACACTTAATTCATCTTCATCAGTCGTCAAGATGGTTCTGGCTGTCGTTCCCGCGTTGATACCGGACATCCCGGAGCTCTACGACATTTACTTCAAGGCCTTTGACGATGACGAGATGGGCCGTCGCATTGTAGAGATCCTCTTCCCCCAGGGCATCACCCCCGAATTCAAAAAGGCCCACGCTGCGGGAACGCTGGCATACTGGCATACTTCCAACACGCAGTTCACCTTCAAGTGCATCGACACCGAGAACGGCGAGATTCTCGGCATGGGTCTGGCTGATCTGGTTCTGAACCCTCCTGAGAAGAGAGAGAACCCCGGTGTGCAGTGGCTTGAGGGTAAGGAGCGTGAGAGGGCTGAGAAGATTCTCAACCCTCTTTGGGAAGCTCGAGATGAGCTCATCGGTGGACAGAACCACATCTGTAAGTTGCTTGACCCTGTTCTGTCCTGACAAGACTTCTGACACTCGACAGACGTCCATGTCATCGCCGTCGATCCCAAGCACCAAGGCCGCAAGGCCGGCGCCCTCCTCTGCCAATACGGCATCGAGCAGGCCGAACGCCTCCAGATCCCCATGTACTTCGAGTCATCCCCTACGACGCTCGGCCTCTACACAAAGATGGGCTTCGTGGAGCTCGAGAAGCACATTGTGCACAAGGCGGAGGACCTGGGCACCCCCGAGGACGTGGTGGTGCCACTGTGCATCCGCATGCCCGCCGCCGCCAACGGCCTGACCTTTGAGGAGTGGCAGGCCAAGGGATACCCCAAGTTCGAGACAAAGCCTATTGATACGAGAATCCTGGCAAAGGCTGCGAGCGCTGCTGCCGGCGGTGCTGATTTAGTTGGCCTTCTTGAGAATTTGACCACGGCTTGTGGTGGAGAGAAGAACCTCATGGCTCTCGCTTCTATGGCTTCCACTATTGGTGTTGATAAGCTGCCTGGACTTCTTTCGCTCACGGGAATCTCATCTCCTGAACCTGCAGCAGCAGGAGCACCAGCTGCTGCTGCTCCTAAGGCGGAACCCGTGGTTGTCAAGCCCACAGAGACAACAGTCGAGACAACGGTCGAGGTGGCCCAGCCTTAGATTTCTTGGTAGTCAGTGCACGGATGTTGTCAGTTTTACGAAATACCCCAAGCAGAGAAAGATGAAAAAAGGAACAAGGATGTTGTATAGGTAGATGTTAGCGAGAGAGAGACAAGGGGGGTGGTGCCCGACATCGGTTCGTTACCTGAAAGAAAGGTACGTACCGAAACTTAATTTGCGTTATCAGATCATCAGATAAATTTGTCCCACATCGTGACTCTTGGCACACGCGACAAGAACCAAGCCCGTTAAGTAAGAGCTTTAAAAAAGTGTGTGAACCCTTGAAGAAATGTTCCGAGACATTAAGTCCCACGTGAAAGAAGGGTAAAAGCCGCGGAAAGCGTGTGGGCTGCTGCGGAACATTTGCGTGGGATTGATGTAGCATGACTGCGCAGTACCTTGCTGCTATACGTGTTTCCCCTTCAGCTGAAAGAGGACGCAAAGGTTACTCCGTAGCTAGACTAAACCCGAGCCGATGAATAAAATGCCTTGGGACGCAGCCAACATCTCGCCCATGTTACCCTCTCACCTCTTGCATCCTTCACCTCTTTGGAAAGAGTCCAATTGAAGCCATTCTCTCGAGAGCACGACACTCACAATGCTGGACAAGCCCGTCCTCTTCAGCAAGGTCCTAGCCTACACTTTTGCCTTTTTCTTCCGAGAATGGCGTCGCGCCCTAGGAAGAACCACAGACGGCTGGGCCTCCAAAGTCTCTAGCAAAAAGCCCTCGGACACGCGAGACCGCAACATTGTCATTGTCGGCGCCAGCTTTGCAGGATACCAAGCTGCTCGGGTTCTCTCCATGAACCTACCCCCCGGAACTTCGTTTAGAGTCGTTGTCATTGAGCCGAATTCGCATTTCCAGTTTACTTGGGTTCTTCCGAGGTTTTGTGTTGCAAAGGGTCATGAGCACAAGGCGTTTATTCCGTATCGGCAGGATCTTAAGGAGCTTCCTGAGGGTGCGCTTCATTGGGTTCAGGATCGTGTTGTTGAGGTTACAAAGACGCATGTCAAGCTTCAAGAGAGTGGTGAAGAGATTCCTTACGAGTACCTCATTGTCGCTACAGGTTCTGCTATCAAGGATGGTCTCCCTTCGCGACCCAATGCTGCTGACAAGCTTGAGGCGATGAAGAAGATGCAGGATATGCAGAATGGTATTGAGAAGGCTACCAAGATTGTTGTTGTTGGAGGTGGTGCTGCGGGTGTTGAGCTTGCGACAGATGCCAAGTCTAAGTATCCCGACAAGACCGTCATTCTGGTGCATTCGCGAGCGGCGCCTATGCATCGGTTTAGCAAGACTCTTCAGGATGCTGCGATTGAAGGTATCAACAAGCTCGGCATTGAGCTTATTCTTGAGGATCGTGTGGTTAGCGAGGAATCCGGAACAGTCACTTTGCGATCCGGCAAGGTCATTGAGTGCGATTACTATGTAAGCACCCCATATCACTCCCAATACTCACAACTCACAACTCCAGGTCAACTGCGTCGGCCAAAAGCCCGCCTCAGATATCCTCAAGACCCTCGTCCCTGGCGCCATCACCGAGTCCGGCCATATCAAGGTCAAGCCCACTCTCCAGATCGCCGACGATGCCTTCCCCAACATTTACGCCTGCGGCGACGTCGCAGACACCAAGACGACAAACCCCAACGGTCGTTCGGCAAACCGACAAGCCGACGTTGCGGCTGATAACGTCCTCCTCGCTCTACGCGGAAAGAAGCCTAGCTACACTTTCACAAACTACTGGGCTGATGGCATCATCAAGTTGACGCTGGGTATTGTAAGTATCCCATTACTCTTTTAGCGATACAGAGCTAATGCATTATCAGGACAAGTCTGTCACGTATCTCAGCGACGGAAACAAGCAGCTGCTCTGGGAGGCCGAGGAGAAGGACGAGGCCCTCATGGCCGCTGACTGCTGGCGAAAGTTTGGGGCCACGCCTTTCGAAGATGATTACATGCCCAAGGATGCAACCACCGAGGCTGCTACTCCTGAAGCTGCTACTCCCAAGGCTGCTGATAAGGAGCAAGTTTAGAAGATATACCCGTTCTGTAGATGTCGATTGTTGAGGATAATATTATACCATTTCATTCTATCGCACAAGATTGAGCATCTGAATCAACACCGCTCTGACATACAGCGTCTAGAGTGGCCATCTCGAATTGACCTGCACTGGATGACCAATATCCAACTTCTGAGAGGGCCATCATCTCACCATCCCGCACTCATGACAGCTTCAACCCCTCCAGGCACGAACCACCATCCCAACAAGGATAGTCACCCCAGAAGAAACGTATGTAGAAGAAATAAACTCAACACGGACCCGGAGTATATCGCATCAGGCTAATCGTGTACATGAAACCCTGACCCCAGAGTGTGGGGGTGGCGTGAACAGTCGATGCATGGCATGTTTTGAACTTCAGCTCGGTTAAGGCTGTCGAGATAGACGAGAGTATTGAAAAGCTGTTGTATAGACACCAGTCGGTCTATTCGACTATACGGAATACCTCTTCGATCCAGACTCTCCAGTCATGGTCCGTTTTCTCGGGCTTCCACCCCAGTTCATACGCCCTGTTGGGCACTGTCTTGTTCCTGTACTGTCATCAGCAACTTGCCATCCAAGACATGCCATGAGCCGACAAACCTCATGCAGAAACACAATTTTGTAATTTCTTGGTCACCATTCGTCGATTCCTCCCACCGTTGCGCAGCCTCTTCTACTGTGATGGATCGTGGGTCGGCAGACTTGAGTACACCCCTGGAAACACCAACCTCTCCGATGAGCTTCGCGACGTCGAACCAGTTATGGTATCCCGTTTCCGTAAAGAACAGTCCATCTTTTCCAGAGGGCACCGCCTCACCTTGCAGGATCCGCAGTATCATGACTTTGTAGAGCTCAGCGAGGTCGGTGACATGTACATGGCCCGCTCCTCCGAGCCCATCACCAATGCACTCGGGATACCCCACGCCAATGGCCTTCTTGACAAGGTCAAACAGCTGCGGCGTATGTTTGTTGAATAGACCTGTTCCTTGACCGTAAATATCGGGTGGAAGGAGGATGTGCGCTTCCACACCATGCTGCCCTGCGGCTGCGATGACCCCGAACAACGTGGTTCGTTGTGAGAACGGCGACTCTTCTTCCAGCTTCCTCAAATGATCTAGGAGATCATCTTCCTTGAACTCGGTTAAGCCGCCCTTGTTTGTGAGTTCCAGCCCTGCAAGGTTCCAAGTCCCAGATGTCTGTTGTTTGTGTCAGCTTTACAAAACTCTTAACAGACACCATCTTACATGAATGTAGTGGACCTTGCCACCGTTCTGTGTCTTTCTCTGACCCAGCCCCTCAATCAAGGCCAAAGCAGAGCCAAGATGAAACCCTGACGCAGTATGGATCACCACATCGTGCTCAGCGGCAACACGTTTCAAATGCTCAGAGTCGTCCAGGTCTCGAAAGATGGACGTCTTGATGCCCTGAGACGCAAGAACGTCTGCCTGATCCTTCTTTCGGACCAGCGCTGTGACAGACGATGGTTGAATGAGGGCACTTTCGGACTTCAAAAGCGTTGTCAGGACTGAACCTCCTCTGGGTTCATGGTCAGCCAACCATACCAATGCGATGCCGAAGCCTTACACATAGCCAGTCGCGCCGGTCACAAGTATATTGCGTTGAGCCATTGTTTCGAGGCCGTCAAACGGTCGTTGTAGAGGCAGGATGTGAGTCAACCCTCTGAGATCTCGTATTAGCTGCGAAACCCCGCACACAGTGGAATTCATTCCGCTGATGACTGGAAAACGGGATCATGATAAGGTATCGACAGTCATGTTGGGATAGGATCTGATGTGACTGCAGTCAACACGATGTATTCAGACTCAGATATTGCATTACTTTCAAGGGGAACAATCCAGTCCCTGTACCAACGCCTCCCTTCCGGACGCATCCTTTTGTTGCCTTTAGAAAGTCGTCTGCAGCTTCGGGTAGTCTTTGGCCTGCGCATGCAAGTCTGCAAAGATGGCAGTCGACTCATCTTCCGCCAGGTCCTTCATACGCTCAAAGTCATCCTCCTCGAGGTTTTTGAGCACCGTCTTCGGGTCTTCCTTGCCCTTCTCTTCGTCCTCCTTCTGTGGCTCAACTGCCTTTTTGATACCCGATGATTCCCCAATGAGTAGAATCTGCGCATTGACATAGTCCAAGTGAGCTGGCTTCGAGGGCATCCAGCGGAGAGTTCGGAAATCGTCAATGATCCTAGAAACTTGTCAGTATCAGATAATCTTTTTGGTAGATGTGTTACTCACTCCTTTGGAAAATCAGGTCCCTCAGGCAGTTGCGTATTCGCAGGTCCAGAATGCTGGGGGTTCTTGGTACTGATGATAAAGCTTCCCTCTTTCTTGAGGCCCAACTCTTTCTGCACCTCGTCCAGCTTCTCGGGGAGCGTCAAGAGATACGCCAAATGGCTATCCTGTCCCGTCGACGTGATGGCATACACGCCTTCGCCGACTGGCGTGGCAGCTGGGGTGCGACGGGTGCCAGCTGTCGTGGTATCATACTCGGACGCCGCAAGGAACTCCTTCTTGATCTCGTCGTAAGAGGCGCCCGACTTTTCAACAAACACCATGAAGCGGTCCTTGCCGCTCACAGGCAACGTCTTCTTTGGAAGGGCGAGCAATCGAGTGTTCCCTGCGTCGGCGAGGGCCCCTTCACCCAATCGAGCATCCTTTGCGATAGGACGAAGCAGGATGTGCGAACGCGCAATGTCTTGGACACTCTCGGGGTCCTCAATGTTTATGCGACCGCGCATAAAGAAGTAGATGATGCCTTTCTCGAGGATGTTGGATGGGACATTGGGTTCCTCGGCAGGCTGAACGGCGCCTTTGGCATCCCCCTCCTCCTTCTCGCCGGGTTTGGCCTGTTCTTCGCTCTTCTCTTCATGCTTCTCCTCAGACTTGTCGTCTGCGTCTTGCGACGTGACTCCTACATCTTCAAGGGTCTTTTGCTTCTTAGTCTTTGCGCGCTTTGCATCAGGCGAATCGTGCTGTATTTGATGCTTTTCCCCGGCCGATGCCTGATTCTCCCCACTGCCGTTCTCTTGCATAACCTTGGGATCGGAGTCGGCCATTTTCGATAATTGACAGAATTGGGTTGTCACAATTAAAAGAGAAGTTGCTGGAAGGTTGTTCAAGATCGGGAGGAGTTGTCTTGGACGCGTCGCGTAAGTTGTCGCACAGGTGATGTCATAGACCTTTCATCCCCAGCCGCGTCTCGTTCGTGTCTATGAGCCACACTAGCCGGATGCATATGTCATTGACCTCTCACCATCAAGCTGTGGCTGGCTAGTTCAGGGGATGCCATCTGGATTAGCCTTGACCATGCCAAGGCCACCGATATCGCGCTCCAGCAACCGCAACGCCTCTCGAGCAAAGGGGGCAGCGGCACCGCGGACTCTCAAAGCCCATCTTAACTCTTCGACTCGAGCTGCGCACCAGGCCATCTCATCGAATGAGTCTGCCGTCGCCCACAAGAGTCCTGCCATGGATCCAATCTCAGCTGCTTGATAGGCCGCGGCGCTGCCCCAGAACGCTGCCGTATGCTCTGGCCGAAGAGATCCAAGTAACTCAATTGCCGACTGTAGCTTCGCCCGGGCAGTTGATCTCAAAACTTCATAGAGCGATCCAGGTGTGTCGGGGGTCATGATCCGAACAAGAGCACGGTGTAACGCAATCTCGACAGCAGCATGCGCCAAGTGAAGAGCACCGTTGGCACAAAGCTCCCTAAGCTTTGTGCTTTGAAGTTGAAGCCGATGAGGGAGGTTCCCATGCCATTCGCGAAGACGAAAGACCAGAGGCTTTGCCCGCTCAACAGCGGCGACAACCCCCATCTGATCCAGAGTTCCTCCCGTGCGAGTAGCCGCGGCGCTGTAGAATGTCCGGATCACGTCGCTTAGGATCTGCGTCAGCTCGATATGACGCATAAACAAGTCCCAACCGACAATAATTGGTGAAGTATGGTCCCGGTTGGCCTCTGGGTCTATCGCGCCCAGCTCGGGGTAATCAGATACAGTGCAGAGACGAACGTCCCAGTCACTGTCCTGAATGAGAAAGGGTCGTCCATGAATACACGCTCCCCAGCGGTCTTGCATGTACAGAGCCCAGGCCAATCTCCGTCTAAGTCCAACCTCCCACGCAGGAATGGCCCAAGCACTGCAGTCGATATGAATGCCTAGATCCTGTGCCATGGCAACCAGCTGTGCCGTAAACATGCGGTTCGACATTGGGTGGGTGTGAGAGCCAGACTCGACAATACGACGGTTGCGTTGGAGCAGCAAAAGTCCAGCTTCAAGCGTACTGAGCTTGGGTCTGCGCATATCTTGAGCAATGGTGCGCTCAGCCAACTGCTCAAGGGCTGCAGGATCCGGGATAGATTCGATCTCACGGCCAGCAAGGGAGCTGTCATATAGCTGCCAGTCTAGAGCCACGAGATAGACGGCAGCCAGTAAAGAGGGCGCAAAGTGTCGATGGGACAGTCGATGTTTGCTGATAAAGACATCCTTATGTAGGATGGGAAAGCTGGGATGGACGATACGAAAGTAGAGGTCAACCAGCGTCCGACCAAGAGGGTGAACAGTAGCCTCGACGGCATCCAAGTCGGCAATCCGAGTCTGTTCAGACGCGGCGGATTCATCAGGATGCACAAGGAATATCGTCTTGTAGTCGAGGCGTCTAGCAAACGACGACGACGCCGGAAGAGGTGGAGGATCCTGGTTCATGAGGTTTGGGCGATGTAGGTCCAGCAAGACTGGGTCGCGATAGTCGGTAGGTCCAATATATTCAGCGTGAGTCTTCAAGTCCAGGCCAAGGGTGTTGCTGAGGATGGGAGGACGAGGAGCTTCAGGGGCCTTTTCCTCGACGCGTGCCATTTGCTGCGTCTGTCCTGTGGTAGGCCCGGATGTGCTCTCTACACTCGCCGGGGTAGAAGCAGCAGCATCGCCCTGGCGGCTTGAGCTCGGTGAAGCCCCTGGGTTTCCCGGTCCGCTGGCACTGTTGTACAGCGGTGGTGATGTCGCGTCTCCAGCATTCAACTCCTCGGTCCCATCATGAGACGCAGCCTGTCTTTCCCGTTCACGCTCCCGATTCTGGCGTCGCTGACGAGGAGTCGGGCCTCTCAGAAAGGTACAAGGTTGGTTGTGAAAGGTGCACAAGACACATCGGAACTGACCCTCCTCCTTGACGCACCGCGTCTTGCGGACACGACAAGTATCACAAGGCCTCGAGCGCGCCGAGGCCGGCGGGCCGCCGCCGTTGCTGCTGCTGTTACCGTTCCCCGCGCCGGCGGTATTCAAACCTGAACCTGGGCCTGGGCCGGACAGATCAACCGGGCCGCCCTGCATGGGCATGGCGAGAGATGAATCACGATGGATGACGGGCTGGGAAAACATGTGCTGGTTACTACCATGACCCCACCCACCCCGGTAGGAAGGCGTCTGGCTAGAGTGTCACTAGGTAGATGCACAGTGATAAGAGACTCGGGCCCATCTTCCAGCTCTACTCGCTCGTGCAGATGGATGCTAAGCGGAGCCGAGGGACGGGAACATGGAACGCGATGGGAAGGTAGAGTCGTTACGACGACTCGAGCGAACGCGGAGAATCTCCACGGGCGGACTTGACTTGTGCTTATCGACATGGTCCGGGTTGGGTCCATGGCACGATAAGGAATTTGATGGAGGAGGCAGGGAGCCCCACGGGGTCGGAAATACGGGGAAAGGATACACCGAGATGCTGTGTGAGGTCCGTCTCGAGGCTTGTTTCACAGACAAGCAAGTATTGGTGTAAGATGGGTTAGATTGCGGGTTGGACTGTTCATGTATCTTGTAAATACTCAACTCTAAGATGTCTCTGGTGATGCATGTCTAGGTACCAGGTGCAGGTCCAAAACACGCAGATCCAATGCAGGAGCGCATGTACCTCCACTCAACCCAGACACGGGGGTCAAGACAGAATGGCAAAAGCAAGCACGTCTAACTCCTCTCAAATATCATCAGTTGTCGCGTAAAGAATAGACGTTAAACACAATAAAATGATATAAAAATACTAAATCATAGTATAATACTTCCATCGCTACACGAGGGAGCACAAGTCAATACCTGGACCGACGTCTTATTTTGTACAAACGCCATTACGTATAAAATCAACCAATAACTTTTCGTCTCTATATCTCATCCCCTTCGGCTATCTCCTCTCAAACCTGATACTTATACACCTCAAAAAGCCAAGCGATAACAGAGCCTCCTACTCCTCCTTCCCATTCTTTCCAATTGACTAACGAGATCGACTCGCCGCCGGCGAAATAAACTGACAAGTTACGATCTGAAATGCTGCAGAGTGGCCGCCGGCGAGCGTTGTGATTGGTTGCGGGGATTTTGAGGCTTCGGTTGTCATTTCCGGGGGTCACTAACATTAGCGACCTTGGCCTGGAGACTGAGAGTGAAGTCTATCGGAGAATATTTGGGTTGACAAGTGAGTTGACTATTCGTTCGAAAGTTGATCCACAGCGAAAGCTGCAATTCAGTTGTTCAAGTGCTCATTGGTATTCTCATAGTTGTTGATCTTCGAGACTGTTAAACTACTCTGTGTCGCTCCCGCTAAGCTCCAAACGCCACGGCCGCTCACGGAGACAACCCGGCCGAAAAGGGGAATTCCAACACCACGAGTAAAAGATTTGACGATAGCGTACTTCACTCTCACCAGCTCTTCCTACTTTCTGATCGTACTCTGCATACAGCCCTCCGTGTCACAAGCAAATACACAAGCAGAAAACCCATTCTCGGCGCTCGCTCAGCCCCCCGCGCTCCTCTACTGATTCGGCCGAGTCCTCTGGCCGCCGGCCCCCGGGCTTCACAACACTGTCCAACGAGACAGTGTACCTTTTGATTCTTCCCCGGATGCTCTATCAGTGCTCATCATGAAATCACTCGGCTTCTTGGTTATCGAGGCTATGCAAGTTTATGAATCACGAAAGTTTGAACCAGTCGAGACCATCCCCCAGTGCTACCTCCAGGCTCACCCTACTTAACTACCTTCGAGGCCCAGGAAAGATATATAACCATCATAGAAGAACAGGCAGATACTTGACTTGCTTCTGTCTCAGACTTTCTGTGTACTCATTTGCTTAGCATTTACCTCGATTACCAAGAACGGGGCCTGGCCTACCTCCTTATCCTACCCTTGCACTATAACGTATCACTCCTTCAACATGAACGGATCTACTAACGGTATCATGGATGGTACCAATGGTACCGCCAATGGTATCAAAACCGAAAAGCCTCTTACAGTTGCTGATTGGAAGGCCGCCCAACTTGCTGGGGATGGCCTCAACCGTCTCTGCTCTCTCGTTGAAGCCGAGAAAGCCGCCAACCCCAAAACCAAAGCATGGATATCCCTCGCAACACCTCAACAACTCGAAGATCAATGGACCAATCTTCAAAAACTCGACAATGCCACATCCCTACCTCTATATGGTGTCCCCTTTGCCGCCAAAGATAACATCGACGCCAAGGGCTTCATCACCACCGCCGCATGTCCATCCTTCAACTCAGACCCAGCTACTGCAGATTCAGCTGTTGTGGCTAGACTCAAGGCTGCCGGAGCTATCATTGTCGGCAAGACAAACTTGGACCAGTTTGCGACTGGTCTTGTAGGCACCAGGTCTCCCTATGGTGCCGTGCCAAACTCATTCGACCCTGGCAGAGTCAGTGGCGGCTCCAGCTCTGGTAGTGCCGTCGTCGTTGCTCGTGGTGTCGTACCATTTTCTCTCGGTACAGATACTGCTGGCTCTGGTCGTGTCCCAGCTGGTCTCAACAATATCATCGGCTTGAAACCTACCCGTGGCGCTCTTAGTGTACGCGGCGTAATTCCCGCCTGCAAGACCCTCGACTGCGTCTCCATCTTTACTCTCAACGTTTCTGACGCCGAGACTGTCCTTTCTGCGGCTGAAGGCTATGACTTGGAAGACTCCTACTCTCGCCCTCGACCAGATGCCAAGCATGCATACGCCCTTGATGGATTCGGTTCTGCAAGCAATGCAACAAGGCCCTCGCTAGCCGTATGCGCAGAGCCAGATTGGTTCGGCCGCGATGATCACCATCCTCCATATGAGAAAGCATTGGCAAGAGCCAAGTCTCTAGGCTGGGACATAGTCCCCGTGGACTTTACCATTCTCTTCAAACTCGCCAAGCTCCTTTACTATGGCCCATGGGTCGCAGAACGATACGAAGCAATCCGAGAGTTCATCGAGGCATCACCAGTCGAAGCCATGGATCCCGTCGTGCGAAAGATTATCATCAGAGCTCAAACGCTCTCAGCAGCAGACGTCTTTGCGGGTGAATACCTTCGTCAAGATCTTACCCGTCAGATTGAAGTGGCCTTTTCCCAATTCGACGGTCTTCTTGTTCCTACATCCCCTACGTTTCCCACAATGGAGCAGATCCAGAAGAACCCTATTGAGGAGAATTCGCTGCTTGGCACGTATACAAACTTTGTCAACTTTCTAGACTGGTCAGCGCTTTCTATCCCCGCGGGCTTCAGACCGGATGGGTTGCCTTTTGGTATCACTCTCATCTCTAATCGTTGGCAAGAACCGCTTCTTCTCTCGTGGGCGCGTGACTGGTTCGGACAAGAGGCTAGGTCTTTGGGATCAACGGGTGTAGAGGTCTCTGAACCGACCGTGAATCACTGTCTGGTTTCCAATTATATCCCAGTTGCCGTCGTTGGTGCACATCTCACGGGGTTCCCTCTCAACAAAGACCTTACATCTCGAGGCGCCAAGCTCTTGAAGACCACAACGACATCACCTTGTTACCGCCTCTTTGCCTTGAACTCAGCCTCCGGTCCAAAGAAACCAGGCCTGAAACGAGTCGCGGCAGGCGAGGAAGGATCACAGATTGAACTCGAGGTCTGGGATCTCCCCAAGTCCTCTCTCGCCAGCTTCATGGATACTATTCCTCCTCCTCTCGGTATCGGCTCCGTCGAGCTAGAAGATGGATCTTGGGTTCGTGGGTTCGTGTGCGAGCCGGTCGGTTTGGAGGATGCTGTCGACATTACGAGCCATGGTGGCTGGAGAGCCTACAACAACCATCTCCAAGAGAATGCCGAGCCAAAGACGAACGGTGTTCACCGGAGCGGAATTTCAAAGGTTCTTGTGGCTAATCGAGGCGAGATCGCGGTCCGAATCATCGAGACGCTTCACAAGATGGGACTTGAAGCTGTCGCCATCTACTCCAACACGGACGCAGAGGCTACGCACGTTAGCAAAGCTGACGTTGCTCTGAAGCTCAAGGGAACTTCTGTCTCCGAAACGTACCTCAACATTCCTCAGATCTTGGAACTCGCCAAGTCATCTTCAGCAGATGCCGTCATCCCTGGCTACGGATTCCTAGCAGAGAACGCCGAGTTCGCAACCGCCGTTGAAGAAGCAGGCATGATCTGGGTTGGTCCAACTCCCCAGCAAATGTCAGATCTCGGCCTGAAGCATCGTGCTCGTGCTATCGCCGCCGATGCTGGTGTTCCAAATGTTCCCGGCTGCGACAGCCTTCTTACGTCTTTGGAGGAAGCCCTGGAGGAAGGTCAAAAGATTGGTTTCCCCCTCATGCTGAAGAGCACGGCAGGTGGTGGTGGAATCGGATTGAGCCACTGCAAAGACGTCGAGAGTCTCGCCACGACTTTCGAAAGCGTTCGACGACAGGCGACGGCGAACTTCGGCAACGGGGGTGTGTTCCTGGAGAGATTTGTTCAGCGAGCGCGTCACGTCGAAGTTCAGATCCTGGGAGACGGTACTGGCAAGGTCATTGCAGCTGGAGAACGAGATTGCTCTCTGCAACGTCGTCATCAAAAGGTCGTCGAGGAGAGCCCTGCCATCATGGTTCCAGTCGAAGTTCGAGAAAAGATGAAGGCGGCTGCTGCCAGTCTCGCTTCGTCGGTCAAGTATCGAAATGTCGGTACTGTCGAGTTCATCTACGACATCGATACGGAGGAGTTCTTCTTTCTCGAGGTCAACACTCGTTTGCAGGTTGAGCATCCTGTTACCGAGTCAGTCACGGGTCTCGATCTAGTTGAGTGCATGCTCAACATTGCGGATGGGAAGACCGCTCAGCTATTCGAAACCACGCCTGAGGTCTCTGGTGCTTCCATCGAGGTTCGACTCTACGCCGAGAGCCCCCTTCAAAATTTCCGACCTTGCGCTGGTCGTATCACCAAGCTCGAGTTTCCCTCTAGTCTCCGAGTCGACACTTGGGTCAAGGTCGGCACCGAAGTCACGACCTCCTACGATCCTCTCATAGCCAAGCTCATATCGTCTGGAGCTGATCGCAAGGAGGCTCTGAAGAACCTGGCCGATGGTCTCGCGGCAACATGCATCGAAGGCGTTCAAACCAACCTGGAGTATCTACGCCAAATCGTTGCGTCGTCCATGTTCGAATCTTGCGATTACACGACAAAGTCTCTGGATTCCTTTCAGTTCGTGGCCTCCTCTTTGGAGGTACTCGAGCCGGGCGCTCTGACCACAGTCCAAGATTATCCCGGCCGTACCGGCTATTGGAGCATCGGTGTTCCTCCCGGTGGTCCCATGGATTCGTATTCTTTTCGTCTGGCAAATCGGCTCGTTGGTAACTCTTCAGATGCTGCCGGAGTAGAGTGTACTCTTCAAGGGCCCTCCCTCAAATTCCACTGCGATGCCGTCGTCGCAGTCACAGGAGGCGTCGTGCCAGTCACCATCGACGACGAACCGGTCCCTCAAAACCAGGCTGTCGCCATTCGAGCTGGTCAAGTCTTGACTATCGGGCTTGTCGAGCATGGACAACGCATGTATCTCGCCGTTCAAGGTGGTATTCAGGTCCCTGTCGTTATGGGGAGTCGAGCGACTTTCGAACTGGGTAAACTCGGTGGATTTTCTGGTCGAAAGCTTCAGCAGCGTGATATCTTGGCTATCGAGCCTCGTCCGTCAGAGGGAAACCTCAATGGGCTTCTTCGACTTGCCTCTCCCGTGCCTATTCCGCGTCATCCAAAGGCTCGCTGGACTATCAAAGTGGTTCCTGGTCCTCATAGCGCGCCCGAGTACTTTACCCCTGAAAGCATCAAGTCCTTGTACCTCAGCGAGTGGAAGGTCCACCACAACAGCAACAGACTCGGGGTCAGACTCACAGGTCCCCAGCCTGAATGGGCACGCGAGACCGGCGGAGAAGCTGGTCTACACCCTTCCAACATCCACGACGCCCCGTATTCTGTCGGCAGCGTCAGCTTCACGGGTGACGAGGCGGTAGTCTTGGCCTGCGATGGTCCGAGTCTCGGTGGATTCGTCGTGCTTTGCGTCGTTGCTTCGGCCGAGATGTGGAAGATGGGACAGGTTCGACCTGGTGATACGATTCGCTTCGATCCTATTACCGTGGAGGTTGCACTCGAGTTAGAGAAGCAGCTTGAACATGTCATTGAGAACCTCTCACCTCTTCCAAGCGAGGAGCAAGAGGCCACAGACGAAGCATCTCTGATCAAGGAGCTAGCCAGCATCCCTACTGTGGTTGGCACCATTGAGCAGGGTGGTCAGAAGATCGTCGTCCGTCCAGCTGGCGACAGAGCGTTCATGCTCGAGTTTGGCGAGGCCGTTGCTTTCGATTTGCGACAAAGCTTTGGCATCTTTGCCTTTTGTCAACAGCACGAAAAGGAGCCCATTCCTGGTGTCGAAGAGCTCACGCCAGGAGTATTCAGCCTTCACATCACTTACGCGAACGGTATTCCCCAAAGCACCATGATGGCTCGCCTGGTAGAGCACGTTGGCTCGTACTCTGTTCCAGTTCAGGTCCCTTCGAGGACAGTTCATCTCCCTATCGCTTTCGACGATAGCGTTAGTCGAGCGGCAGTCGAACGTTATGCAGCAACGATTCGAGGAGAAGCCCCCTGGCTTCCCAGCAACGTCAAGTTCCTGGAGAAGCTGAACGGTATCGACAACATCGACAAGACGGTCTGCGCTGCTGAATTCCTCGTTCTCGGACTCGGCGACGTCTTCATGGGCTCGCCTTGTGGTATTCCCCTGGATCCTCGCCATCGTCTTTTCGGTACCAAGTACAATCCTTCTCGGTCGTTTACGCCTCGTGGCGCTGTCGGCATCGGTGGGCAGTACATGTGTATCTACGCGACGGATTCTCCTGGAGGGTATCAGCTCGTGGGTCGGACAGTCGACATTTGGGACTCTGGCCTCGTAGCCGACATCGAGAAGCAAGGTTCCAAGCCCTGGCTGTTCCGTCAGTTCGATCGAATCTCTTTCTACTCCATCAGCGAGACGGACCTTGACAGCCAGTCAAAGGACAAGCTCATCCGGGTTACCGATGGTGTGCTGGACCTGGCCGAATACGAAGCGTGGCTGGAGGAGAACAAAGAAGACGTGGCCGCCACAGCCGCACGCCAAGAGGAAGCCATCGCGAACGCTCCTTTCATCGAAGAACTAGTCCGACCGTACCAACCCAGCCCCAGCACGAACAGCCACGCGAATGGCATCCTAGGCGATCTCAGCGTCGAGGGTGAGCGCGTCAAGGCTATGCTGCCAGGTCGGTGCTACAAGGTAGTAGTCAAAAAGGGAGATGCTGTAGAAAAGGGCGACGTGCTGGTGAGTAACTCTTTGCAGACTGTGAATGGATCTTGCTGACCTTTTGGCAAAAGCTGTGCGTCGAATCGAGCAAGATGGAGGTGGAAATTCGTAGTCCGGTGGGAGGGAAGTGTTCGACTGTGCTTGTCGAGATGGGAGACTTGGTTGATGTGAATGACGATCTGGTCATCATCGAGACATGATGTGATGCCGTACTTCGAGAGAGATTTGGTGGGCGAGGTAGTCGTAGAGGATGTTTTGGGAGGCATGGCACTGTTGAGGACGAGCACGGCACGTTTTTTCAGAGGTCAAGCACAAGTACAGGGCACCAAGACACTAAAGCGGTCGCGCACAGTTCACTAGAAGGAGATTTACAGTCATTACAGTCATTGCAGTCAGGGTCATCAAGGATCATGTTTGAGCGAAGCAAGAGTGAGTTTTATTTGAGTGTGTGTGTGTGTAGTCTGTAGTCCCAGTCCATCCATCCAGTGTGTTTCCAAGGCGTGTGCGGAGTGTGTTGGTGTGTGTGGTGTCGAGTGCGTGTGGTCTGTCGAGAGAGCGAGAGCGAGAGAGTGTGCGTGGTCTTTGAACGCGAACAAGGTTGAAGTCATCTGTTGCCCTTTGCTGCGTAGGACCTCAGTCCTTTGCGCAGGCTTGCAAGCGCTGAGGAGCAAGGCCTCTCGTGAACCAGAGATTCAGGAGCAGGCCTCGCTACCCAGCACTTGCGAGCCTGCAGCAAAGGACTGAGGTCCCACGCAACAAAGGTCGCACAGTACTCTCGGGTGTCAGCTTGTTAGCCGTGTACCAGTCGTAAGTAACCTTGCGAAGCAACACGATCTGTAGAGGGAGATGATTAGTACAAGTCAAAAGGCAGTTCAAGGTGGATATTACTTACATCGTGCGCCGAAGTTGCGCTCAAGGGCAGGGTCGATTGGAAGCGGCTCTGCGATCAAGGAGGTACTGGTCGCGAGAGGCACGAGACCCATCAGGTCGGGGACGGCTTGAGCTCTAGGCAAAAAGCCCAAAATCTTGCAAGCCTGCGCAGGGACGAAAGACTGCAAATTCTGTGTCAGCACAAGTCAAAAGGCAGTTCAAGGTGGATATGACTTACATCGTTGTACTTCCAGGTGGGACTTCGAAGGCGATGCTGGTAGGCGCGGCTTCAGAGAAGCCGCCAGCTTCCTTGATCTCCTTGTATGTATACCCATCGGCTCGGCGATCAAGCAGGTACTGATCCTGAGATGCGCGAGACCCGTGAGGAGGAGGAAAGCTTTTGGGTAAAAAGCCCAAAATCTTGCAAGCCTGCGCAGGGACCAAAGACTGCAAATTCTGTGTCAGTACAAGTCGAGAGATGTTTCAGAGTGAGCATGACTTACCCAGCCTTAGACCAGCCAAGGCGGCCGCATGTCGACCAGAGGGCCTTCTTGGGCAAAAAGCCCAAAATCTTGCAAGCCTGCGCAGGGACCAAGGCCAGAAGGGCATCTGCGAAGTTGATGAATGCATAGCCAACAACCAGTCAACACTACAGAGTACCAGTGCATCAGTATGCCAAAGAGGTTTCATTCAAGAATGCAGAAGGGAGAAGGCTGGGGGGTGGGCATACTGGTTGGTGTTGTCAACGACGCGACCTGCTCTGCTTCGAAAGGAGACAGGAGCAGGCCGTTCGCCTCAAGCATGACTAGGGGCCCAGCCACGCTAGCATGGATGTCAGGTGGGCGACAGTGAAGAAGACTCTTGGAGACTTACCTTGGGGCGGTAATGCTCCGCTTCGAGCATGACCGAAGAGTTGCGAAACTTCTGAACCAGTGATGGGATCAGTCTCAAACGTTGCTGCGATGCCGTTGATGTACTCTTCATCAGGAATCTGAATCATGGTCCAGTTCTCTTCCCAAGGCGTTCCTTCGCCGAGGATGACCCATCTCCAACAGTCTGACTTCAACTATCCCTCTCGATTAGTTCACTCCATCTAGGTCATCATGGGGAAAGCAAGTGCAGCACGTACCATGATACCGTTCAAAGTGGCAGTCCTTGCCCTGAATGGCTAGGGTCTGTCAGTTCCTGTTGGGTAAGCAAAGAAAAAAGAGGGATGAACTTACTGGCATAAGAGGCCTCAGGCCTCCGATGGACGGGCCATGCCGTTGAGGTTGGCAAGAAGCCAAAACAAAACCGAAAAGGGAGCGAGAAAAGCAGCCGAGAGAGAGCGCGAAGAAAGGAGCAAGGCGAACCAAGAAGAACCAAGACAAACCAAGACAAACCAAAAAGAAAGGCCAGAACGATTCAGAAGCGGAAGCAAGTCACCATCGCTTGGCAAGAAGCCAATTGCCAGGCCAGAGACCTCCCCTAGCCAAGAGTTGCCTCAAGGCTAGCTCCGCCTCGGGAGAGGCGGGTGGAAGTTCTGACCATGGCTGCGATGGTGACTGCTGATGATGAAAGGAAGAAAAGGTGGGAGAGGTGGGAGAAGAGGGGGATTTTATAGCTGTGGGAATTGAAAAAGTGGGTACGGCTGATCTGGGTGATTTTGCGTGCGCGTCTGGTGTTGACGGCGAGCGTGGCCGCCTGGCTGCAGGTGGTCGGGGGGCAACAGCCCTCACCACGCGACCGTCTCGAGGTACGTACCACGCATGAACGCTCAGTCAGAGAGAGCTCGGAGGATCAGTTGCCTTGTCGCGTCGTTTGAGAGCTGGTTTGGGGTCTTGGGGGCGCGCGGTCGTGGTGCTGGACCGTCGCCTGCCTCGATCCCCTGAGCGGCCATCGCATGCACCTCTGTCCCAACCAAGATGCCTGCGACCCGTGTAACAATTATTGAAGCATCTTGAGCGTGCATTTATCGTTAGTGATGCATTAAATGTCTTGTAAATTAATCATATCAAATGTAATTTTACTTCGTAGCTGCCACCCTGACATTCACCATCATCCTGCCCATGATCTCAATATTTGCATCGTCCTGTGCTGTTGCGAATTCACTGTCGTGCACACTGCTTCTATCTCTATCTCCCATGCGCTTCGTGGCCAAAAAATGCGGCGCGGGTGAAGCATTATCACAGCCAGTCTGCCCATGGACGCGGATGAGGTGAGGATGACTCCCTTGAAAATACTCAGGGCAACCACAACCACAATTAATTTTGAAGATAAGAATATGCCTCGGAAGCTAAAAATTGGCCCATCATGAGAAAAATAGGCGCCCATTTTTAATATCGTGTGTTGTCGCAAGATCACGGGCAAGTGTCCCTCGCCATTTGAGAGATGTCGTCCAACGCCCGCCTGGACCCCTGTCGCGCCACCCAGTAACTCACCTAACCCACTGACAGCTAACGACCTGCGGCTCATACGCCCCCCCCTGTACGACCGATTTTCCCCTGGACGCCCCCACCGGCGAGGGGCTGCCCCTCGAGAATCGATCGCGCCGGGACTGGCGAACCGGCAGATCAGCCAGGGGTGATCCCGTGCCCCAGGGTCCAGCTATAAAATTCCCCTCCATCCGACCCCTCCCCCTCTTCTTCTTCTGTTCTCCTCATGTCGTCGACCATGCTGGTCGAGCCGGTAGCACCTGGAGCTCAAGAATCCTGGGTACTGCGAGCCTCCTACAGGTAAGGGGAGGGGACCAGTCGCTTCGGCGGCTTGGCGGTGATTAATTTTTGGTTTTCATTGAGTTCGGGGCCTTGCGCTTCGGCTTGAAGAAGATCTCTTGCCTTGGTGACCATGATGTGATGCTTGTCTTGGTGGAGCGATGTTGACTGGGCGCGTGGAGGGCGTGGAGGGCGTGGAGGCGAGCTACGTGAGTTGGGTCGTGATGTTTGTTTGTGGTGTTGAGGGCATTCACATTTGCAGAGACCGAGATCATGTCAGGAAGACACTCCCCGAGAGTGTTGACTTCATTATATCCGTAGTAGCTATCACCAGTATCTATCGCCATGTCCCTTTACCCTGCTTGATCGTGTCCCTCCCCGTAGCCGCCACCGTCGAGCCATGAAGCCGGTCGCGCTCGATCGTCCCACCACGCTTATGGAGTTCCTCTGGTCGTTGGGGTGGGATTAGGGAGCGGGAAATTCCATGTAGTACTCTAGCGATGAGGATCATATCGTAGATGTGCCGTTCAAGAACCCCATGGCCCCCATGTTCGACGGGGTGTCGAGGCCTTTGGTCTGTCGCGATGCAGGCCGCTCGATCGCAGTGCTGGTGTTGACGTTTCCACCTCCCGTGGGGCACCCACCAGCAGCAACGAACCCAGACATTCTTTTCCCTGGCGTCTAGCCTTTTTACCTCGATAGAATACTCGCAGTTTTTGAAATTTCTTTGTCTGGACGTTTCGTCCCTTTTGTTGTCATCTCCTCTGTTCGGTCCTGAACATCCATCCATCCTCATTCTGGTCAGTGCCCCCATCACCATCTCTTCTGGACAGAAATCGCTGACCCCATCACCATCCCACAGCTTTTCAGTCCGCTTCCTCATCCCTTCGTGTCGAATCCCTCCCTAGAATCTTCGCTACGCTCGAGAAAAGACTTGCCTCCATCACGACCCTCCCGCCCTCGCTGCCGCTGCTTCGCAATCCAGCAGGCCAAGAGCGCGTTCGCTGCTCACATCGTACTCCACCATGTTCGTTCCGTCCTCTCTGATTTCTCGCCTGCATTCACTCATGCTTCCCTTACTACAGATCTCTACCCCCTTTTCTGGAGCTTCCCTCCGAATAGCCTCTCTCCAAGCTGATCGAAGCCGATGGTCCTAGACGCGACCGTCGACATCCATCATATAAGACACGAAGCCATCATAATCCCCAAGAATAGAACCATTTCATCGCCTTGCCCTTAAGAAAGCCGACAGTTACGCCCTTACTCCTGAAGCGCGACGCAAGACCATCCTCACGATACCCTCTGTTCTCCCCTACCAACGCCTAGCCGCGCCTATCAGGTTCGCCAAGGCACACATATCTCCTCAAGTACGTAAGAAATCTTTCTAATGACCAGAAAGACACAGGGCGACTATGTCGCTACCCGTTCGGGATACAGCGCCGAGCCATCAAGACTACAGAAGCCCATCAACGTCAGCTAGCCCTCTCACGATTCAATCCAGTCTCCAGACTACTGGCAGCATATCCAAAGGTCAGTATCTACCCCTTATATCTTTCGCAAAGGCTTGAGTGAGGCGCCTTCCTGAGCTGCCGCACTCGATCGATCCAGCCCTCGCATATTCACCCCATAACGGTCCTCTAGACCGTTATTCCTACAACGTCTTGGTTGCTGACTACCGTTCTTCCAGGATTTCGTACACTATAAACCGCGAACAAATCTAATCGAGCCCTACGAGATGAAAAGGAATCTACGATACCAGTTGCCGGGTTCTCGATGACCCTACTCCTGACCGAGACGAAAGAAAAGCTACACGAAACGCCTCGAGAAAAAGTCAAGATCTGACTCTCTGGCTCACAAAGAACTCCTTGTCTTCAAAGGCTCTCGGCAGGCTTCAAGGGGTAACATGGTGCTGGCCAAGGCAGGGCACCTTGGCTTTAGTCAGGGCTCAGCTATCCAGCAGTTCCCAGTCTAATTGCAGACAGGCCAATACTCTAGACAATTGAACCTCTAAACCAGAGGCCGGAGACCAAGCTACAGTTCAACAGCCAGACGATTTAAGAACAGGGGCTCACCAAGATGGCAGGTAAGAGTGGCTTCCCAAGGCTTATTTGCAAATCTGGGCCTACGACGGGGAGAATGGGGGAGAGGTAATGCCAGCAGGTCTCGAATTCACATCAGCAACTCAAGAAACTTCATACGCCATCACTTAGCTTCAAGCAAAAGACTTGCCTCAGCTGCCTCTATGAACTGACAGATTAGAACGCTCTCATCCAAAGCAGACCCCTCTTCCTCTCTATTCGTCAGACTCTCACAATAGAGAACTCGAATGCCTCCTCCATCTTCCAATTCCATCTATTTCTATGACCCTGTTTAGTCTAGACATCTCACTAACTACTTTCTTTCAACAGACCGAACCAATTCCTCCAAAAGCTCCGAAGCCCTCTCCCCTCCCCCTAACTCATTGAGTTCATCTCCCAACCGACCCGCCCTCTCCGCGAACCCCCGATCGTCCAAAATCTTCCTCGCCGCGTTCTGAACCTGCTCAGTCGAAGGGTTATCCGTCTTCAAGTCGATGCCAGCTCCCGCCCAGCTGACCCGAGCCGCCGTGTCCTTCTTGTCCTCCGTCTGACCTGCGCATATCAGGGGTACCTTGTGCGAAAGAGCTTGTGTTACGCTTCCGTAGCCGCCGTTGGTGATTAGGAGGCAGAGTTGTGGCAGGAAGAGGTGGTAGGGTATCCATTTGGCGTATCGTACGTTTAGTAGGTCTCCAACTCGGGATTTGATCTCTTCCTCGTGAGGCGAAGCAACCACCAGAAGAAGGTCAGGATCACCGGAAAGTGCCTCGATGGCTGGGATGATCAATGAGGTCGGATCCATTGCCAATGTGCCTTGGGTGATTCCAACAACCCGCTGGTGCACGACAATTTCATCCCACCAGGACGGTAGGAGGTCTGGATTAGTCGTAACCTGCGTGACAAGAGGTCCGACAAATTTGGTATGTTCTCTTTGCCCAGCAGGCTTTGGTAGGAGTTCGAACTCCAGCACAGGCGAAGAAGCTTGAATGTGGAGAAAGGGGCTGTAAGTGAAAGACTCGGTAGGTTCGCCATACGGCAAAGCCTTCAAGCCCAGCGATTTCCGTTGAGTGCTGATGATTGGTCTCAAGAACAGCGGCAAGAGAATCCACTGGTTAACGAGGTGGTGAAGATGATTCCAGGCCAACCCGAACCACGAAGTCGACGGACTGTCTCCAGACACAGCTTGAGGAGCTCCCCAGCTCGACATGTAGATGGGGATAACTCCTAGAGTCGCATACACTGGAATCTCGCCGAGTTCATACAACGCCCTCGCACCGTATGGCATGACATCCACCAAGAGCACCTCGGCCTTGAAGTCGCGCAGCACCCGACGATAATCGCTCACTTGAGCAATAACTCTCGAATCGAGCCGCCTATACACCTTGTCCAGAATTCCAGTCTCACTCTCTGCCATGAGCGGTGCGTCGACGACGGCAATGGCCTCTGTTGCGACAAATGTGGCTCCCACAGCGCGAACGCGGGCTTCGTTGTCGGAGCTGGTCAGCCATACGACGTCGTGACCGCGACGGACGAGGGCTTGGGCCACGGCTTGCATTGGGTAGGCATGGCCGGCTGGGAAATGAGAGTGTAGTAGTATCTTCATCTTGAATTGTCGAGTGATGGAGGAGGGGAGTTGATTATTGGCTGAGATGTTGCAGCGGTGTGTTGGGTCGTGGGGCTATCATGCAAGGGAGGGAGATAGACTAGATGTTTCATATAAGGACTATCAAACCAAGTATCAAATCTAAGTATTGAAGGAGAGTGTTAATATTCCGTGACTGATGATACTTGGGCTCCATCTCGAACAAACCGGTCCTCGAACCGAGCCTGGTGACAGGGTTAGCTGGGAATGAAGCTACCCTACACGATATGTCGAGATCACTGGGGAGAACACGACAACGGTCTCAGAGGACTACATGTTTCGTAAAGGGAACGTATAGGGATTATGACTAATTCATAGAAAAACTTTGGTCTCTTGGAAAGTCTTTGCCCATGATATTAGCAAAATTATGCTCAACTACGGCTCATAGTTGAACACTGAGAATTAAACCACCAAACGAGGTCAGAAAGCAGGCCAATCTCCCCACCAAACCAACTTCACTCCTACACACACACGACCTCACATCACAAAGGTACATTTCAACCCTCAAATTTTACTGACGACCAGCCCAGAACCTCAAGAAAGCCTCCTTCTTATCCTTAGGCGGTGGAAGCGGCTCAGGGTTACGATCTTTCTCCTCCAGCGGCATACCATCATTTCCAACATTCGTCACCGCGTTCTGCTGCTTGCCTAGGAAGTAATTCGTCTGGAAGAAGGCCGCGATGAGGGGAATAAACGCCAAACCCAGAGCCACAGAGAGGCAGTACCACAGAGTGTTGCGGTACGCAGTGATGGCGCCCTGTCGCATCGGGTCGTCAAACTCGTAGAGCGTACGGATCTTTGTCACGCTGCTGAAGAGCGTCTTGACGGTCGTTTCGTTTGCGGGCGGCGGGAGATGCTCGCGAAGCTGGCCGGGCATCTTGTTCGCCCAGATGACAGCGACTATGGCGCTTCCGATGGCGCTGCCGATCTTGGACCATAGAGACAGGAGGGAGATTACGAGGGCGACGTCTTGGTGGGGAACTGAGGCTTGAGATGCTACGCGTGAGCCGACGACCGACATAGAACCTCCAAAGCCAATGAGGATCATAGACATGACGAGGGCGCCTGTGTTGTTGGTTGCCTGGCGCTCGTCGAGGAGGATACCCATGCCGATGATCTTGACGCAGAGACCGGTGATCTGGATGGTTCGGTAGCGGTGCGTCCATCGTTGAGCGAGACCGACTAGTGGACCAGCCACGCAGAGAGCGAGAGTCAACGTGTTGCCGTAGTAGACCTACAAAGTCAGCAACGTCACCTTCAGCAGACAAGACAACTTACCCAGTTTTGGTAGCTCCAGTCCTTGGCAATCAACGTGTAAGAAGAAAAGTACAGTCCTCGGATGTTTCCAGCAACTAACTCGGTCAGATAGGCACTCGAAGCAGAGAGAGAAACATACGCATATAGAAGCCGTCGATAATTATGGCCATGATAAACGTCCGGTTAAACACGAGTCGTCGAGGAGCGCTTGGCACTCTTGCCCACTTCATCTCGAACACGACATAGAAGATGAGGAGAAGACCACCCACGATCATCATGGCGATGAGGGACTGGTTCCTCCAGCCATGCTCGGCGTATGTTTTGAGAGAGAAGGGGAGAAGGAGGAGAGACCAGCCGAAACCGAGGAGGATCAGACCAAAGGCATCAATTTCCTCAAGGTTGTGCTTCAGTGCCTCGAGCCACGTCTTGTTCTCTTCAACAGCCGGCGCGACGATGGCTCCATGGGGTCCTTCATATCCACTCTCCTGAGCAAGCTCCCTCGCAGCACGACGAGCAGCGTTGCTAGAAGCAATATTGACAATACCCTCCTTCTTAGCCTTACGGTCAAGGTAGATCAGAGTTGCAACAGCAGGCGAGAGAGCCACGGGCATGATGATGGCAAACATACCCAGACCCCATCGCCACTGGTTCCTAGCCTGAAGAGCATCGACAATCTTGCCAGCAAACCAAGTGTTGATAATGAAGGGGGTCGAGAGCATCGAGCTTGCGAAACCTCGCCACTCGAGGGGTGTCAGGTCGGCCACGATGATGTCGTTTGTTAGGTCGAGACCAGAGCTGCCGATGGCGACAAAGACTTCTCCGACAATGTATGCAGACACGGTCCGCGAGGAGGCGGCAATTATGTAACCGCAGGTATAAAAGAAGATGCAGAGGAGGTACGTGTACGGCCGACTAGTGATATCGGAAAACTTGGCGATAAAAGGCTTCGAAACAGCACTAATGATACTCGTAGCGATAGAAAGCGTCGAAAGCACCGAACTATGCCTCTCAAAGTACGACGAAGCATCAACGCTATAGTACGACGTGGTCGAAGAATCGAGAGAGTACGCCCACGCGCAGACAAGGACGGAAGCTCCCACGAGCCAGAGCGTCTTGCGGTCCGACTTGGCCTCGCGGTAGACAGCCTCCATACGAGTCACGCCCTGCGATTGCAAGACATTTCCGACGTTGGAGAGTTGCTTGAGGTTCTCGCTGCTGCCGGAGTTGACCCTCTCGGGTTGAGCTGGGGGACTTGGCTCGATGGCGTCTTTGTCTCCAGACATGATGGATGATGCTTGACTGGATTACGATCTCGGCTGGACAACGATGGCTGAATGATGGATTGACTATCTAACTCATAGGCGCTACGTGAGGCATTTGTACTTTTCTCCCCTGTTGCCATAGCGGGTAAGTCCAGCATCCCCAAGGATCGTCACCCACGCATACCCAACCGAAATCGCCCGCTAGGTGTAAGTTCGTGATCTAATCTAATCAGATCAGCAGTGGAGAATGGGCAATTCTCCATCAGATAATTTTTCCATCATCAAGACCTCGACTCCAGCCTTAACGGGCCGAAGGCAAGAACCCAACATGGGAAATATAGAGTGGATAAAAAGTCCAGTTACTCGGTAAAGTATATCGTATAGGGCTCATCACGAGGCCTTTTGCAACGTTGTATAGATGGAGTCTTTCTCCATAGAGAGGCTCCCTTTTGGCGGCCGATCCCTTCAGCGGCCGCCTGTTTAGTCGGCCGCACCTTGTAGTGAGTTTCCACTTTTGCATCCCACGCTCGTTTCGCGAGAAATATCGTCAAGTTTTTATTGATTGTCTATCCATAATGTCTTTGTGATCACTGACCAAAGCGTGGATCCTCGTGCCACTTACATACTAAACTCACCGGGAGCGAGCCTCCTCCTCCTCCTCCTTCTCCTCCTTGGACGTCCCATCATCGTGGAACCTCGTTTCTTGAGCTAAGAATGTTCATGTTAGCGTAGGTAGATCCTTGCAGAGATGCTTCAACTCACCACTCCACAGTTCGGCGTAGACCCCCGCGCGGTCGATCAGTTCGCGGTGGGTTCCCATTTCCGCCACTTGCCCCTCTTTAAGTACGATGATGATGTCCGAGTCAAAGATGGTGCGGAGACGGTGGGCGACAAATACGCTCGTACGGCCCTTTTCCCGAAGGATGCTGTTGATGTTGAGCATCAAGGCCTGCTCCGTGTGTGTGTCGAGGGCACTTGTGGCCTCGTCAAAAAAGAGCAGAGGAGGATCCTTGAGGAGCAGACGGCTGACAGCAAGACGCTGCTTCTCTCCTCCAGAAATCATAAGTCCTCTCTCACCAACCTTGGTCTGGTAACCGTCAGGGAACTGCAGAATCGTGCTGTGAACGTGGGCCCTCTTGGCAACAGCAATAACCTCGTCGTGGGACGCGTTGATGGATCCATAGCGGATATTGTGCTCAACCGTGTCGTTGAAAAGGGGAGTATCCTGCGGCACGACTCCGATGGACCTCCGGAGGGACTCGAGGTTGACGTCTCGTATATCCTGGTCGTCAATGAGGATCCTTCCATCCTGAACATCGTAAGACCTGAACAAAAGACGCAGCAGCGTGGACTTGCCGCACCCGCTGGGCCCGACAATGGCCACCTTCTTGCCCGCAGGGATGGTCAAGGATAGGTTGCGCAGGATGGGGCGGTCCGGGTGGTAGGCAAAGTTTACGTTTTCAAACTTGATCTCGCCGCCCTTGGACAGCACCAGGGGCTTGGCGTCGGGCTTCTCCTTGATGTTGGCGTTGACCTTTTGCAGGTTGAACAGCGTCTCCATGTCCAGGAGGGACTGGCGGAGCTCGCGGTAGACGGATCCGAGGAAGTTAAGCGGCACAGAGAGCTGGAAGACGAGCTGGTTCACCATGACCAGGTCGCCCACCGTCAGGCCGCCAGAGGCAACGCCCTCTGCGGCGAGGTACATCATTCCGGTAAGTGCCGAGGAGAAGATTAAGTTCTGTCCGCTGTTGAGAAAGGCCAGAGACGTTGCCACCTTGATAGAATTCCGCTCATACTGCTGAAGGGCCTTGTCGTAACGCGCCACCTCAAACTTTTCGTTGTTAAAGTACTTGACAGCCTCGTAGTTGATAAGCGAGTCCACCGCCACAGTCGAAGCCCTGTTGTCGGCCGCGTTGGCCTGTCTCCGGAACTTGGTTCGCCAAGCTGTGGTCCAAATAGTAAATGCCGAGTAGCTAACCATGGTCAGGACTGTGAGAGCCGCAAACTTGGCGCCATAGTTATATGTGAGGATTCCGCAGACCATGCTAATCTCAAGCGCAGTGGGCAGAATATGAAAGACCATGCTCGTCAAGATGAAGCTAATTCCCTTGGTACCGCGGTCTAGGGCCCTTGTCAAGCCACCGGTCTGCTTGGATAGATGAAAGGTGAGATCAAGTCGGAGTAGATGCTCAAAGACGTTGCCCGCAACTCTTCGGATAGCTTTTTGGGCCACAGACGCAAACACAGCGTTGCGCACCTCCTGGAACACCGTTGCGCCTATACGGGTCGCGCCATAGGCTAATATCATGGCTCCGGCAACCGTAGTCGCAGTGCCTCCAACCGCCGCAATGTCAATGTTCATCGAGTCCACGATACTCTTGAAGTAAAATGGCA